GCTATGGCGATTTTTCACGTACACGTCACACGGAAATGGTTTTTTAAAACATCCAACTCTCTGTCAACGACATGTGTGCCATTCGAGTTGATGTATACAATCCGAATTTGCAAGAGAGATACAATATAAATAGGCACCAAGCAAGATGCGATTTTTTAAAAACTAGTCTTTTATCTGCATTTCATGGCAAAGATGCAACATAGTCAGAACATGTTTTGGAGTATCATTGACAAGAACTAATGCCCTTAATTTCGATGCAAAGGATGCGGTCTGGTAATGGACATGTACATTCAGGAGAGATCTATGCGAAAAACTATGGTACTTTTCTGTTTGGAGAATGTGGTAATATTTAGTAGGATGATTGCGTACGAAATATTACAATGGTTAGCGTACGTGATTGCTATTATACAGATATTCTTGTCTGATGGTCATGGTTGATCTTACCGCGACGGACAGAGATGAGAGAAATGTTACGCTATATTTTGGATCTGAATGGTCTCCCATCGGCATATCTTCGAGGCTGTAGACCGCACTCTCAATGACCTGATGAAGACTGTGGACCCTGAGAACGAACACCGTCCCTTTGGAGGAAAGCTCATGGTCTTTGGCGGCGACTTTAGGCAGATTCCTCCAGTTGTCAAGCAAGGACGCAGAGAGGAAACCATTGGAGCCTGCTTTAAACGGTCTCCACTCTGGTAGCACATCCAACACCTTCATCTTTCCATCAACATGCGCCTTCTCAGAAATGCCGACGCTCCCGACATCGAGGAACAGACCGCGTTTGCAAACTGGCTTCTTCAAGTCGGAGAAGGAACAGTTCCCGGCCCGTCTCTAGACAATGGAATCTCCACCAACATCACACTCCCACCCCAGATGGTGATGCCAGCCAATGCCAACATTGACGATCTTATTCCCAAGGTCTACCCTGATCTCCAGCACAATGTTGGCAATGCCCAGTATCTCAATCAGCGCGCGGTGCTCTGTCCAACAAACGACGACGTCGATGAAGTCAACAACCACATCATGTCGACCATACAAGGAGAATCAAAGGAGTTTCTCTCGCAGGACTCCATCATCGATAAGGAGGACGATAGAGTGGATGCTCTGTTTCCTATCGAGTTCCTGAACGGCCTCAAGTCGTCTTCGCTCCCTCCACACTGCCTGAGATTGACCGTGGGTTGTCCTGTCATACTCCTTCGAAACCTCATGCCCCAGGAAGGACTTTGCAATGGTACACGACTGATATGTACGTCCCTCTCCCGGTACGTCTTGGGAGCCACTATCATTACAGGAACACATGCCGGCAATCAAGTAGTCCTTTCCCGCATCCCGATCTGCCCTTCTGACCTCGATATGCCCTTCAAGTTCCGTCGACTCCAGTTCCCTATCCGGCCTGCCTTTGCAATGACTATCAATAAGTCCCAAGGTCAGACTTTGGACACTGTTGGTATCTATCTCAAGAAGCCGGTATTCGCCCATGGCCAACTGTACGTCGCCCTATCTCGAGTGACGAGCAAGAACAACGTGCATGTGTTGATTGAGAATGAGGATTCCAATACACCAGATAGATGTACAACAAACGTTGTTTACCCAGAGATTCTTGCCCTGGGTGACTGAAAAAAAAAAAAAAAAAAAAGGGAGCAGGGAGAAAAGGAGAGCATCAGACAGAAATAAAAATTAAAACACCCATTTTTTTTCACCAACACCTCCGCGAGCGAAGCCGCGGGTACTATTCTAGTATACTAGAACGAGAGAAGAATTAGAACTAATCCTGGAAAGGGAATACTAGGCGTGCTAAGCACGTAGATTTGTTACATGTTATATAGACACGCATGACATCACCGAGCTATACTGAATTGTATGGGCTGAACGTGGCATCGAGGCCATGTTGAAGGGAGAATGGCGTGATTGGTGACATCAAGGGGAGGTGGGAACAAGTGAGTGGAAAAAAGAGATGGAGAGCAGGATGAAGGTCTGCGCGAAATGGCGTGCTCAATCATGTCATGGGGCGGACACAACAGAGTATGGACAGGGAGGGCGCGGAAAAGGAATTGAGTAAGAGGATACGTCGACGAATGGGAAAAAAAAGAGCTATGAGGGCGCAGACGTCATGGGTCGTCTTTAGTGCAAAGGAGCTGTCATACCCAACATTCATGTCCAGTGTTGAAGAAGGCATGAGGGCCACATGAACGCAAACTGAAGATAAAGAAATGTTCATGAGGGGGAAGAGATAGGATGGAAGAGGGAAAGGAATGAAGAGAGAGAGAGAGAGAGTGAGAGAGAGAGAATGAGAGAAAGTGAGATGGAAAAAGGTGAGAAAAAGAGATCCATGCAAGTGCAAGGCACTCAAAGAGTAAAAGATGTAAAGGGGAATACCACAAAAAAGAAAAAGAAAACACGCACAACTAAGAAAAGGAAAAAAGATGTGACGTAGCCTAAGAAAAAAGGGTGTCAGACTACGAAAATAAGGAAAAAAAGAGGCGCAGTAATGAGAGAATAAGAAAAAAAAGGAAGGTGAAGGAGAAAGGTGGTATGAGTTTTTTTGTTGATTTGTTTGTCGATTGATATTTGAGCATGCCATTGACGGACGGAACCTAGAAAAAGGAAAAGTAAATTAGCAAGCAGCAAGGAAGAATAAGCAGGCTTGTCATATACTTCTGCGCAACAGAGTTGGGTAGCGCAAAAAATAGCAAACACAATTCGCTTTTTTTCCATTATCGATAGACCGTATCTCATTGCAAACGTGGATAACAACAGTAAGTCCTTTTCAGAGTCGATGGCAGGCACGTACTGGGCAGCGTTCATCTCTATCAACGGCCCAAAGGCCTTCTTCCCACCTGCGCCTCCAAAGGCACCAGAAGTGTTCTTCTAAAAAGCCCACGAGATGTCGTTGAGCCGACCGCCCCAATCTTCTTCAGAGTGGCTTTCAATTCAGCATTATCCCTCTCTTTTTCCGTTTCAGTCTATCCAGCAGACCCTAAACCTTCTTCCCCACCGCTCTGTCGTTCCCTCCAGGAACCATCACCGAGACCATCCTTAATTCCCTCCGTTTCACTTGAGGTTATCTGGAACGTAGCCAATCCCTCGATCAGCCATCCATCAGTCACTCTCGGGCCTAGTTTCGAAAGGTAGTTGTTGTGTGCATCTCCGTCAACATGTGGTATGCCTGCTGGTTTGAGATCGGTTACTGGAGCAACTGCCACTGGTGGTGCCTTTGATCGGTAAGCACACCTTTGGGTCCTGTATTGGTGTCCGTCTATCGTTCCGGATGGTTCTTTGTCCGTTGGTTTTACTCGACCTCATCTTACCAGGAGCGGCCGAGTCCTGAACGCCTAACCGGTTTGAAGCCTAGCCATCCAACATACCGGCCTCTCTGCCTGTCAACTCGCCCGTTTCGAGCGTACACTGAGCCCGTTCCTCGTCGTCGACGAGGTTGTCAACATCGTAGTAGCCGCATTCGGATACTGTTGAGCTCCATTCCTCGGGAAGGCTGTAGTCATACAAGCATTTTGCACTTCGGTTTTGGTTCCAGAGGTCGCAGGATGGATTTGCGAACGTCACTCTGGGGTCATACTTGCACAAAGACGAGGAAACAGACAGTTGAGCACCAGGGATGAAGAAGTAATGATTTTAAGGGGGAAAGGAAGATAAAGATGAGGTTAAGATAACCAAGATAACAGAAAAGAAGGAAGGTCTAATGGTAGAGAAAGAGAGGTGATTGCGCACTTGTACATATACAAGGACACACTCTGCACTGCAGCTGAATATAACAAGAATGTCAGAATGGAAGAGGGCCAGGACAAGGGCAAGGAGGATGGAGAAGAGGTTGCTAAGAAACAACAAGGGAGGAGGCGAGGTGAGGGAAGAAGATGATTGCGAGGGTAGAGAGGTAGAGTGTGCAGGTGGATGAGTGAGAAAGTAGGGGAAGGAAGGTGAGACGAATGGTCAGCGAGGTCGTTTGTTGTTGGCCGTGCAGGAGCAGCCTTCCTTGCTGCTGAACGAAAATGAAATTCGAAGCAGCTTTGAAGGTTTGCGAATTTGAGGTGAAAGAGATTAATGATTCTGTATCTGAACCACGACCATGAGCAGATTCAGCGACCTTGATTACATTAGCAAGGCTTTCATTTGGGAGTGTGTTAATATCCACTTCCAACCATCCTCCTCCATCCACTTTGCCCTTCCTTCACACTGACTGAGTGTGTCATGGAAAAGGGAGTGGACGAGATTGTCATAGATTATGTGACAGGCCACCTTTGACATATCACCAACTGGAAAGCTGAAGTAAGTGTGAGCAGGAGGCTGGAACAAAAAACAAGTGTCAAGTGGCTACGGCGCAAAAAGCGCTGCCGCACACTGCGCTGAGGAAGGGAAGGAAGCATTTCATATCAAACATATAAGAGGACTGAGACTAAAACGCTAAGGATGATGGTCTATCGAACTCCAAGTCCAAATAAGCTGTGATTCATGTTGCGGGGTATCGAGTCGGTTATTGGACACAGGGGAGGATGTTTAAGTTTGGCCAAGGCTTGGCATATGACAAGACCATACACTGTAAGGTATTGGTTGGTGATGGGTATAGAAGGCGAGGTGCGGAAGGGCCGAGGAGAGGAAGAAGAAAGTCTTTTTGGACGAGTCTCCCCAGCCATGGGCGACATCAGTCTTCGTAGAAATGTTCTCTCCGCTGCATATACCATTTGAGAAAGAAGTGTGTTCAAGGGAAGAGAAGGGAAGGAAGAAAGGTAAGGAAGAGGGACAGGAGAGGGGGAAGGATGAGACAAAGGCGACAGAAAGATGGTAGGGAGCAAGGGAGACTGAGGGGAGGGAGAGTGAGAGAGAATGAGGAGGGTGTAGAACAATAGGGAAAAGGAACGCCTTGGAAGTCCGAGGCGGGTATGGCAGCTAAAAATTCCACAGTCAATTTTGCGCTGGTGGATATTCTTTGTCTTCTAATACACTATTGTACAAGGTTTATTAAATATTGGGCGCGAAGAAATACTCCCCTAGGTATGAGTGTCGTTCCAGAACGGCGATGTTGGTGAAATCTCAGGGAGGTCGAACCCTGAATGGAGATCCACTGCTTGTGTGGAGAGTCGGATTTCCTCAACAGCACTGTCTGGTTTGAGAACCATTGCCAAGGAGGGCTTGGCGATATTGTTCGGACTGGGCAGGGCAACGGAAAGTCCACGTTTCCTTGCCTTTGCATCCTTGCCATCCTTGCTATCCTTTCCTTCCTTGGTGTCTTTTCCTTCCCTGGACTCTTTCTTGAAAGAAGTTGACCGCAATCCTGAAAACATACTCCTGCGTTTGTCGGGCGAGTGTTGGACATCCACCAGTAACCGCACTTCGTCGACCTCTGGGATGTCTTCGAACCAAGGGCATAAGAGTGTCTGGTATGCTGTGGTCCGAGATTTGGGGTCGTATTTCAAGAGTCCACCAATCAAATCGATAGACGCCTGTGATGTCGGCCGTAATACATCCTGCAATGATCGAGTGTGAGCCTATTCGTAAAGGTTCAAAAAGTTAGCGTGCGCTCTTGATATCGATGGCACATTCTGAAAGCAGTTCTTGCTTGTGAAAGCTACGTACTTGTGGAAATGACACGCCCATTTTTGTGGCGAGCTGTACACCTTCCTTCCATTCGCCGCCGCTTCCAATGGTTATCATGGTACCGGTCGCCTGTTCCTCATGTGCACCTTGCGTTGGGCACCCAAGAGCATTCCCGATCCGATTGATTTGATCGACGTCGCTGCTTCCCGGGAATAGCGGCTTTAAACTGATGAGTTCGGCTGCAATTGTTCCTGCCGCCCATAGATCCACTGCACACGTATAGGCTGAGGACTTCAAAAGAACTTCTGGAGCTCGATACCTAAGGTTGTATGGATGAAGGAGGATAGTTAATAGACTGGTCAAACGTCTTTGTCAGTCGCTCGATTCATAACAATGATAAGAGTGAGACGTTGGAAACTGACCATCGCGTGCTGACATAAGTTGTGTATGGTGGCCGACTCTTGAGTTCGCGCGCTAGGCCAAAGTCGGCAATCTTGACACAGTCTCCTGACACCAACAGGTTTTCTGGTTTCATGTCGCGATGCATGATTCCTTTGGCATGCATGTGCTGTAGTCCTCGGAGTATCTGGAATCTGTCATTGTGAAGAAGAGTGTAAGAAACACGGTCAGCCTTCCTGAATTGAGGTTCGGATCGAACGAATGGGCCACTTAAATAGGTCTTAAGAATAATAACAACAACAAAAAAAAAGGACAACGCACACCATACTCCTGGTCGTTGTTTCCTCTAGCCGTATTCCGTTTCTGTCCTTGATCAGTTGATAGAGGTTTCCATCCATGAGCTCGAAGACCATGCAGAGTTCCTTCTTTTCAAGGAAGAAATGGTGGAGTCGGACAATGTTCGGGCCTGCACGAAGTGCCTCCAAAGCCTAGGGTGAGTTGGAAATGATCGTGAGTGCAATTAGTAATCTGCGAGAGCACAGTATCCCAAGTGGTTCTATCGTCCGAGGTTTTATGTATACGGTTATTGGGTAAAAGAAGAAGAAACCAACTTACCTTGACTTCTTGGAGTGAGCGACACTCGCCTTGTGAGGTAAACTTTTTCTTCATCTTTTTGATCGCAACCTACAGTCATCAATAGGGGAGCAACAGGTGGATGGAGGGTGAGTAAAGTCGCGTGAGCATTGTTGGAGGCCAATAATGGTGGACAGTGCACTGCGGCAGTAGGGTGTTCATACATGTGTGTGTGCGTGTGGGGTAGGGTTTCAGCTTACCGTTTCTCCAGAGACTTTGTGCTGGGCTTTGAAAACAGAGCCAAAGGAGCCTTTGCCCAGTTCCTGTAGGACGACAAAGTGATCCATCGACCGTGATGTTGCGAGACTTTGGAGGCTGGAATGGCTGTCGTTGGGGGAGATGGCAGAGGCAGCCAAGGTATAAGAGGATTGTGGTTCATGTTGCGGGGTGGCAAGTCTGTCGGTCGAGGCCGGGGAGCGTGAAAGAGGGAAGGAGGGCATGGTGGTTTGAGGTGGGGTGCAGCGACCCTGTGCTTCGCGCAGGTTGTCTAGGTTTGGCCCTGGCCCGGGATAAGAGGAGGACATGAACTTTGAGTTCTTGGTGATGGGCGACGGAGGGGAGGTCGGTGTGAGAGGGGTCGGGAGGGCTGAGGGGAGGAAAAAGAATGACTTTTTGGACGAATGTCTCTGGCCGTGGGCGACATCGGCCATCGTGGACAGGACGCACTCTGCACAACAAGTAATAATAGCAAAAGGAGAAGGGAGCGAGTGCAGGGAGGGAAGGAGGGTATGAAGACGGGTGGAAGAAAGAATGGATGAAGTGGGAGGTAGAAGGGCAAGACGCAGATTGCGAATGATAAGCGAGGCAGAGAGGAGTTGAGGGTGAAGAAAGGGGAGAGGAAGGTAAAAAGGAAAGAAGAAAGAAGAAAAGGGTGTACCTGGGAGGAGACACACTCAATCCGCACTTGCAGCGTTCAATAATCCACACGCAGTGACAGAGGGGAAGAGCACAGGACAGAGAGACACAGGACTAGGGCAGGTAAGGCAACAGCAAATATTATTATTGTTACTATTATTGTTGGATAAGCGAAGGAGGGCCTTGTGTTCACTTACAGTGCTCATTACTAGGATTCGTTTTCAATGCACTCACTACCGGATCCTTAATACTTCATATCAAATCAAATCACACCAAATCAAATCAAATCTCCATCAGTCAAACAGGGGCCAGGAGAAGCAGCATCAGAGTGTCAAAGGAGGAGAAAGAGGCCATCGAAACTCTAATTACACGTACACTGGTATTGTGTACGTACAAATCAAAGGTGACGTCGCCAAATTTTTTTTTTTTTTGTTGTTCTTTTTATATTTCAGAACAAGCTGTTCCCTTTGCTCTTGCTCTCCTCCTACTCTTCCTCACTCCTTGTTTTTTTCTTTTGTTCCCTTTTGTTCCTCTTCCCTCTTCCTACTTTCTCTCTCCATCCTTTCTTGACCATCACCCTTCCTGTGCACAACACACACACACACACATACTCATCGCTCCCACAATAAGAACAAAAACAAAACAAACAAGAAAAAGAATGTCCAGCTACTCTTCTTCCTACGGTGGCGGCGGTGGAGGATCTTCCTCCTACGTTAGCGGTGCCGGAGGCGCATCCTCCTCTCGCCACGGTAGCTCCAGCTACGACAGAGGCACCGATCGTTCATACGACGACCACAGCAGACGCGAACGCAAGCCGTAAGTTCAGTCACTTTTTCCTTGACCTTGATAACAAATCACTATCAATCGTAATCCATTTATCGCAAAACCACAAAATAATAATCAGCAAACAACAACGAACACAACAAGAAGAAAAGAAAGCAACAACAAAAACAGTAACAAGAACGACAACAACAACAGCAAAAAAAGACAGCTGCAAACAAAAAGGGGTTCACCGCGGTCTAAGAACAGTTACCTAACAAGCCTCCATCTTTCACTCCTTTTGTCTTTACAGTTACGAGTCTAGCGACAGCCGCGGCGGCTACGGTGGAAGCAGCGGTGGAGGCGGTGGAGGCGGCTATGGTGGAAGCAGCGGTGGCGGCTACGGTGGTAGCTATGGTGGCGGCAGCGGTGGTGGCGGTGACAGGATGAGCAACCTGGGCAACACCTTGGCCAGGCCCCAGTTCGATCTGGCTACTATGCCTCGTTTCGAAAAGAACTTTTACCAGGAGAACGCTGCGGTCACTAACAGGAGCCAGGCCGATATCGATGCCTTCCGTGCCAAGCATGAGATGACCCTCTATGGCCCCAACATCCCCAAGCCCGTGGAGACGTTTGACGAAGCTGGCTTCCCTCGTAAGATTTCTGCTCGTTGACATGGCGACATTGTTCTGTGAAATATGCACAACAGACGCTCTTCACTAACAAAGTAATGTTTGACTGGTTCTTCCTTCCGTCAATAGCATATGTGTTGAAGGAGGTTCTCGAGATGGGCTTCAAGGCCCCCACCGCCATTCAGGCCCAGGGTTGGCCCATGGCTCTTTCTGGACGTGACGTTGTCGGTATTGCCGAGACTGGTTCTGGAAAGACCCTTGCCTACTGTCTTCCCTCGATCGTTCACATCAACGCCCAGCCTTTCCTGGAGCCTGGTGATGGTCCCATCGTTCTCATTCTCGCCCCTACCCGTGAGTTGGCCGTCCAAATCCAGCAAGAATGCACAAAGTTTGGTAGCTCCTCGCGCATCAAGAACACTTGCGTCTACGGAGGCGTTCCCCGTGGCCCTCAGATCCGTGATCTGTCCCGCGGTGTCGAGATCTGTATCGCTACCCCTGGACGTCTCATCGATATGTTGGAGTCAAGAAAGACTAACCTTCGCCGTGTCACTTACTTGGTCCTGGATGAGGCCGATCGTATGTTGGACATGGGTTTCGAGCCCCAGATTCGCAAGATTGTTGACCAGATTCGCCCTGACCGTCAGACTCTGATGTGGAGTGCCACCTGGCCCAAGGAGGTCCAGCGTCTTGCTCAGGATTATTTGCACGACTACATTCAGGTCAACGTCGGATCCCTCAACCTCTCGGCCTCGCACAATATTACACAGTCCGTCGAGGTCTGCGCTGAGCATGAGAAGCGCGGAAAGCTCATCAAGCACCTCGAGCGCATCATGGACGAGCGTGAGCACAAGACTCTGATCTTTACTGGAACCAAGCGTACTGCTGACGATATCACAAAGTACCTTCGCCAAGATGGCTGGCCCGCGTTGGCCATTCACGGTGACAAGGCCCAGAACGAGCGTGACTGGGTGTTGAACGAGTTCAAGGGCGGAAAGTCTCCCATCATGGTTGCCACCGATGTCGCCTCTCGTGGAATTGGTAAGTTCATTTTATCCTTTCCCTCTTATTGTTTTTCGTGGAGCGCAACAGAGGCTTAGAGGACATTCCTACAGGACTCTCGACATTTCTGATACCCTTCGACTTCCTTCGATACCCTCGACCTTCGACATTTGTCCAATATACATTTTATGGCATGTGGGCGTGACAGGATTGGGTAACCTTGGGTACTATGGTATTGCTCCTTGGTCCCCTCGATCGACATTGCCACACCCATCGACTTTTCTCCCTTACGACACACCAAGTATGGGACAGGAGAACGCCAGAAACTCTCGACATTTTTATCCGATCAAGCTCGCGACATATTCCCCCCTACGTCTTGATCGATCGGTCATTTCTGGCATGCTTGGAACATGTCGAAAAAATTCTGGAGCGTCCCTTTTTTCTATTCCGTCGCTGCCTGTTGTTTTTGCATGACAGAGAGTAAGCTACTTCCTGTGGCGACGGAACCATCTCGAATCCGTATCGGTTGATGGACTCTGCACTTCATTTTGTTTGTCTGGCCTCTCTTTTTCCTTTTCAGTTGTGGTTCTTTTTCGCGCACTTTATACATTTGCTATTCCCGCGCAAAGAATACCATAGAAACGAAAAGAAGATGTGGCCAAGGCAGATAATTGTATTGGAGTAAGAGTTAGGATTAGTCACCCACGACGCACATTCCAGAATTAAAAAGACATTACTCCAAACTCACACCCAGACGACCTCGATGCACACAAAAAGAGAGCGCGGAGAGTGAAGAGACACACAGCGACATTGGAAGGATCTCTACTACGGATTGATATGCCATGTCTTTGTTGCCCACTTGCTATTGTCCTTGTTTTCGTCTTGTTAGTATATAATACCTGTGTCTTTTGTTTGCCGATGTGTCTGACACCAATGCGTTGTATTTTTCTTTTCCGTGTTCTCCAGATGTCAAGGATGTCAAGTTCGTCATCAACTACGATTTCCCCAACAATGTCGAGGATTACGTCCATCGTATCGGCCGTACTGGTCGTGGTGGAAACACCGGCACGTCGTTCACCTTCTTCACAATGGACAACGCCAAGCAAGCCAAGGAGCTTGTCGGAATTTTGCAGGAGGCCCATCAAGAGATCGACCCCCGCTTGTTGGATATGATGCATATGGGCGGCGGTGGCCGTGGAGGTGGAGGCCGTGGCGGTCGTGGCGGCGGACGTGGTGGTTATGGCGGTGGCGGCGGATACGGCGGTGGCCGTGGTGGCGGTGGCGGTGGCGGATATAGCAGCCGCGGAGGCAGCGGTGGATCCTATGGAGGCAGCAGCGGTGGAGGATATGGTGGCAGCAGCGGCGGCGGAGGATATGGATCCCGTTACTAAGTTGTCGGCCCTCGCTCTCCTCGAATGACATGAATGAGTGTCTGCAACCAGTTTCAGGTTGTATTGCTTATACGTCCGTCTCTTTTACGTACTTTTTTTTCCAGCTCTACCTTTCTTTTTCGCACAATCAACTTCTTTTGCATGACAACAATAAATAGCTTTCATCAAAGTTACAAAAAAACGCTTGAATTAATATTGATACATGGGATGCTGCTAGAAGCAGCGACGAAAGTTGTTTCTATCTATGAACGATGGTGGTGTTGGTGATGCGGGTGGTGAAGCTCCTTGCGGGCTAGTTCTAAAAGATTGAAAAGCTCTGTGATCTCCGTACGAAGGATGGCAGTTTGGATCTGTAGTGGGCCAAGAAGGGTCTCGTCGAGGAGGTGCTTTTGTGGGTTGTTGCTGTGGACTATTGGCGTTTTGGGTGCAGTGAATGATGATGCTGTGGATGTTGTTCTGGCAGAGGAAGAAGGCCGTTGAGAATGCTGTTGAGCTCTTCCGGGTACGAGTGATGAAAACGGCTTCCAGGAGTCAAGGTTTTCGACCCATTTCCTGTACATGGGATCATCTGAGTGAGAAGGGCGGCGCTTGTGGTGGTATGATGCTTGGAGAGGATGAAACTGGTGCCGAAAGACGTCCTCTTTCAGCTGAACGACCTCTACCATGGATGAGACGACGCTGAAGAGGTGCCAGATGTTGAGTGCAGAGACCGCAAGGCCCAGGATCACGAAACCAAGAAGGATTTTTGACAGCCGTCGTGATGAGCTGTGTTGTTGAGTATAATCACGATCGTGGTCTTGCCTTCGTTGCCGTGGAACCGAGCGATCTTTGGGAAACGTCTCAGCCGACCTTGGTGATGCAGGAATCGAGGATGCGGATGAGAAAGTGGAAACGGCAAAGGTGACTCGAGGCGATCCAGCCTTGTCAACAACTCGTGCAGTCCCGTGTCCAAATGTGAGTGTCGCTGGAGAGTTCAATCCTGGGGAAGGCATGGCACGCTGATACTGTGCATTCACAGTTGTTGGCGAACCGCGACTCACTCGGGATATGGTTCTCCGGACAAGATCGATCCACGATGATGTAGGACTACTTGAGGACGAAGGCGGAAGGGGTGCAGCTGGCATTATGGGGGAGCTGGTGCCAGTGGATGCTGATAAAGGCGTCGAGATTGCGGTTTCTCGTTCAGGTGCCATTGGTACGATGGGGTAGGTAGGGGGCGTCAAAGATTGAATAAGGACAGTGAGGGCAGACTTCTTCTCCAATGGCAGCATTGGTGTGCTCAAGGGACTTTTCTGGGGCACAAAGGAAGATGCTCCCACCATCGATGGACGTGCAGAATCAAGAGAGAGACGAGGCAAACCGGCTGCGGCAGTTGACGATGGAGGGTGACGGAGAAACTGCTGAGAGAGGAGAGAGCGAGCGCGGCTCATCTCTTGTAGTCCAGGTTGTGTTGGTTCTTGGACGGTTACAGGGGTGTGGATCCTTTCGCTGTTTCTTGTAGCTTCGCGAGTGGAACAGAGAAATGGTCGCGGGAGTAAAGATGGGTGTGAGTCGTCCGAAGCAGACGTGCAAGCTCTAGTACCCAAGGCAAAATCTCTGATATCGGTGACAGGACTGACAACCAAGGAAGAGGAAGAGGATGAGGAAGGAGAGGAGGAAGTCGACTTTCTGGCTTCGTAAGAGGAAAGAAGGTGCTCTCGCTGGGACTCGACAAGCTGCTCAAACTGACGAATAAACTCCTTGTAGAACCCGCCCGATCCTTCGAGAGATCCGGCCTCGACCTTGCTGCTCCACATGATGGACCGCTTGAACTTGACCTCGGTAAAGCACTTGATCCTTGTCTGGCCCTCAGACTCCCAGGTCATACAGATCTGGTTCACGGTCGAAAAGTGGTCTCCATAGGGTACATTTGGTGTCTTGGACTCAGAATGCACCAAAATGGCGAAGGGTTCGTGTTGAGTGACCCTCTGAGTTTCAAAGCAGGCGGTAGACGTCTTTGCCACTACAACAGGGAAATGTTGTCAAGAGGAGATAAATAAGGGTCAAATAGCCATTCAGGGAATTCATTCTTTCCAATAGCATGCAGTTATATGGCAATTGGAGTCTTACACATGGGGACCTTAAAGGACACAGAGTACTCAAGTCTCCGTTGTTGATCCACCCAGCCCATATGACCGACCCTGTCGCCATCCTGCAGTTGGTCCTCATGCTGCCATGGCATAATGAGAATGTCCGTCGACCCATCCTTGATACGATGAGTTTCGCACCCCAGATTGTCGCCAAGTCCGGCTCCTGCACCTGAAAACAAGATTTCGAAACACAGATCAACCGGCAATGGGACCACCGTCGAGACAACCGCGTTCTTGTAATGCCGAGAACACCCGCAAGAAACGGGACCTGAGGGCAGAGGAGGTGTCGAAAAGTTACCAGGATTGGTGTTCGCTTTGCTGCTGATTGTGTTCATCATGATTGCTTGTCCAGATGTCGTGCCTCTCTCATCGGGCGCGAACTTAAGTCCATCATTGCTCTTCCCGCGAATATGCTTTGTCATGCCGTATGTGCTCCCAGGCTTCCCGTCCGTTTGTACAGTCGAGAGTGAGCGCGATACCTTGGTTGTTGTTAAGGATGGGGAAATGAGGGTGGATGGAGGAGTTGATGCCATGAGAGCTTCGTCCTGTCGTTGGGCCGCAAGCAAAGGTGAATCTCGGAAGGTAGAAAATTGTGTGGTAGTCACAGCAGTAGCGGCGAGTGAAACGTGGACAGGCGATGGAGTAACATCATCCCGATGATCCTGCGCTGCTTCTGAGCTAGAGTCTGAAAAGTTGCCGCCTCCTCCACTCTCGCTTTTCTTCCACTTGTGGACTAGACTTGAGCGTCGTTGAAGGAACCCAATCAGTCCGGATGTCAGCTCCTGCTTGTCGGAGGATCCGATACTGGCAACCGACCCTCTCCGACTCTCAGAGACTGATCCTGGTATTCCGGAGGATTGAGAAGGGTGAACGCTGCCTGCTCCCGTTGCTGCAGCTGCAGCTCGCCAGGAACCGATATGCTCGTGTGAAACGGGAGTTGAGGGGCGGATCAAGGACGTCGAGGCTCGCTCTCGAAGATGGGATCGATCCAGATTCTCAGAGCTTGAGAACACCTCGTCCGATATCACCGAATACGTCCTTGGGACCTTGTGTCTGTCCAGTATGGTCCATGGCTTTACACGGCTGTCGAGCTCAAGAGTGGAGCCTCTGCCGTTCCCACTGTCAGCCAGTCCAACCAAGTTCATTTCGGAACCTCCTGGGGACTCGAACTGTGGCGTTGGCAGACCACTGGTGCAGGCACTCCTTTGAAAGTGGCGTTGGGCTTGCCAATTCCTCTCAATCTCTGCGAATGCCTGTTCCCGACTCATAAGACTGGTGAGGACGTAATCCTTTGTTGTTGCCGGGATGTTTGGCTCAGCTGCGCCTGCATCGTTGTTGTTGGTGTTGGTGTTTCCTTTTGTCTCCTGGGAATTCCGTACTGCGGAGGTAGGAGGATTCGTCTCTACTATCGACACGCGCAGTCTAATGGAGCTCGGAAAAACTCCCATCTTCTTCTCTCGTTCAATCAGCACCAAGTCTCGATAGTCGATAATGACCTTGACAGTCTTGCCAAAGTGCTTTCCGTAAAAGCAGACATGGGTTGCTGCAACGTAGAGTGTGCCCTGCCAGAGGATTTCTCGCTCTAGTGCACATGAATAATCGTGGAAATGACCTTGGCAGGCCAATGTCGTCGTTGAGGATGTCGTGGAAAAAACTGAGGAAGCCAATGTGCTCAAGGTGTTCGAAGCTGACAGGGAGGTGGATCCAGGCGTGAGAGGGTGCTCAGGAGGAGTGTGGGGGGGCGTCGCTAGACAAGGCAAACAATAGGCAGCGGGAACCTTGGTCAAATCTGCGAGTTCTGGGAAAGCACGAATGAATCGTTTCTGGGATTTTGACAGACTTGTTTGGACGCCCGGAGACCCTTGGCTGAAGTATTCGGACTGTGGGCGCCAGGGAAGTCCCAGGGTGAAGTTTGGCCGGCGAGTGGTCGGTCGTGCTGGAGATGTGGGCGTGGGAGTGCCCGCTCGGCTGCTGTCTAGACTGAGAGGAGGGGCGCTTTGGGAAGCGTCCTGCTCGAGACTTGCTCTACTGCCGTCTGGAGATGATAATGATGAATTTTTACACTGTTAGTGGTGTTTGACTTCGTCGTGTCACATAAAGTAATGATGTAAGCCTTCCTCAGTCCCTTACTGTTACTCCTTTGGGAGGATGATCCAGCACTCCCATCAAAGAACCGCCCGAGCTCGAGGCTTTTGCGCCGAATGATGTTCTTGAGAGGGTTGGCCTTTCCTAAGGATCCCGTACTTGACGATCGGACAGGGGCGGCCGTGTTGTGACCCACCACCACTTTTTCTGTAGCTGATGGAGGCGGGACGACCATGAATTTTGTTCGATCCTGACCAGATGCTGGTGGGTCTGTTGCTGCAGTGGTGATGATGGCGGTGCTGTTGATAGTGGGTCTAGATCGTTTCCTTAGGAAGCCCAGGACCTTTTGAGCAGGCCTAAGTGTCGTAGATCCTGTGTTTGAGGCTGATCCTTTAGGCTCAATGGCGCTACTCGAGCTCGAATTCTGCGTTCGACTCTAACAAAGGAGGGAAGGGGAAGAGTGCAAAATGAAAGGGGTGAAGATCGGTTAATAATAGTTACAAACTATGTGGTAATCTAGCGATAAGAAGGGAGTTGAAGAGGTTTCGTTGGAGGGTAACGGGCAGAGTGAGGAAACAACAAGAGGAAGATGGTGACCGAGGGCACAAAAGGAGTGATTAGCGAAATCAGGAGAGCGTTCCTTCGCCTTGCCTCAGAAGGAGCATTCAGGGGGTGGAGCGAAAAAGAACGGTGATAGGAAAAGTGGTGCAATTGGATAACGGGATCGATGACAAGTGTAAGGGAAGGAGGGCATTGCATGTTGTTATCATTGTTGTTATTGGTGTTGTTGATAATAGTTGTTATTCAGCTTACGGCCATGATGACTGGTGAGCAGGCGTGAGAGCCTTCAAGGATCAGGTGGCGGACAATTGGTCGCTGTATCCAGCTCGGGTCGAGCACAGAGGATAAACGAAATAGTAGGTAGGTTGAATTGGGAGGGTTTTTTAGGGTATGGTGCTTTGGTTAGGTTGAAGGTAGGACGAGAGACCAAGGAACAAAAAAGGAGTGGTGTAGGTTTGCTTTTTGAAATGGATTGAATGGAGGTCTGGTGTCACAAAAGGGATGGATGTCGAATCAGGGTGTGGGTTGGGTTGTGGAGAAGGGAGGCGTCAGATTGTGGTAGGTGGAGGAGGTGTGTCGAATCAGAGGGGGATTACAGAGAGAGAGATGAGTGACGAGCAATTGAGGGAGGAGAAGGAAAGTGAATGAGTGAATGAATGAATGATGTATGAGGAAAGGAGAGGAAAGGGGAGGGGAAGGCCATGGGTTGAGGAGGCGGGGAGGAGAGACAAGAGAGAAAGAGAGACGAGCGAGAAAGAGAGACGAGAGAGAAAGAAATACGAGTAAAGAAGAGAAGGTGCTGTATCAAGGGAAAATAACAAGGTTGGACGAGGATAAGAGTTGGGAAAAAGGAAAAAGTGGGCTGATGGGCTATTGCTATTGTGTCGAGTGGACAGCATGGAGAGCATGGACAACTTGGACGCAGGAAGAAGACGGGAGGGGTAGAGGGGTGAGGGGTGTAGAGACAGAGACAGAGAGACAGAGACACATACATCACACAAAGTATGCAACCCATAGCACAAGGCAGGGCCAACTGCAGTCTTCAGTCTCCCTTGAAAAGGACAGGGGGAGGAGGAAAAGGAAGAAGCGGTATCATGTCATGTCGTGTCATGCCATGCCATGCCGTGTCATGTCCTGTCCTTTTCTCTCTGTCTATCTTATGCAATGGGCAACTTTACTCGCAATAACCTTTTTGCAAAGTGTGTACAACAAAGGTACATGTATTACAGCTTGCCTGGTGTTCGCTATGTGGTCGTGTGAGTGAATGTGGGTAAGGGAGAGAGATTGAGATTGAGATTGAAATGAAAGGCTCAGATCGTGGACAAGAGGTCGGTCTCTGAGTGGTCGATCTATTCACCACCTGTTCTCTCTCTGCATTGACACCCGCTCTCGTGGTATTATTATTATTATGTTGTTGTTGTTGTTGTGGTTGTTGTCATTGTCCAACTGGGGTGGACGCTTACTTTTCTGTTTAAACCTGGGAGTGTGGAAGAATAGCTGTAAAGGATAAGGGAGAAGAAAGAAAAGAAACAGTGGCACAGTGGCCAACACTTGCGGGAATGAAGAAACAAGAAAACAGTACATACCTGGAACACACCAGGGAATGACACCATGTTCCGTGGTACCCATGGCCTATCCTTCTATTATCTTTTTTATACCTTTTCTATTCCTCCAACTATTGTTTTCTTTGGGCGATTCTTGACCACTCTATCTCTTCCCTTGAAATAGGGAGTGCTCAGGGAAAGAAGTGCCTTCAAGCCATCGACATCCCACCCCATGTTAATATGTATGAAAAACAAGGGTCAAAATAACGCAAGACAAAAAAGTGTCTCCATTGGGTACGTACCTCTCTCTCTCTCTCTGTCTCTCATCGACCCCGGATTCGTATCCCATTTTTCGCACTCACACACACGGACACACCTGTGCATACAAACATGCAAAAAATGCATGGGCCAAGAGTCGGGACAAAGAAAAAACAGGAATGCATCATGCGCTCCTGAGATAAAAAAATGGCTCAACATCCATCTTCCTTGAAATTATAACAAAAGCGGAAAAGGATGTACTTCATCTACATATTCCACAGGACTCCACGGCAAAGTCTTGTCTACGTACTCCACAGTCTCCTGTCCACGCCATACCATGTGTTTAACCTTCTACGTCATTACTTTTTTTATCGTGACGGAGGAAGACGAGAAAGAAGGAGGAGGTTGGAAGGGGGGAGAATGAGATCCCCAACATGCATTTACTCAAGCTATTCTTCAGGCGAGAACATCTATATTTCAATGTGATGGTGGCCTCGTTGAGAAGAATAGGACGACAAAGAAGAGGGAAAAATAATAGGAGAGAGACGGTAGAATGTGATTGGTTGACGCGTAGTGGCCTGAGAGTAGTCCCTTTCCTAGCAAAGACGAGGGACAGCTTCTTTGGGACTTTATTTTTTTTTCAATGTGAACAAGAGACAAGATAAGGGTACGGAGGCACATTGAAATCAAGATTTTTACGACTGAACTGTGCACTGTAAAATAATTGTTATCTACATGTAGACCGATCTAACGACTGTAAGATGGGTTGGGTCCCACTCCATACGAAGCAGGAGTGAACCGCTGAGAATAGAAACAAAGGAAGAGAGAACAAGAGAACGAAGAATAATGGCGTACAGGCATGGAAGCATATATGTTTGTAGGTGATTGTTCCTGGAGTTCCTGGATGTTTCTGATGTTTCATCAGTTGATGGGATGTGGTTGTGTGTTAGAGAGAGTGTTCCTTGAAATGATAAAACCTTAATTTGCCGCAATGTCGCACAGACGGACTGGGATGTATGTGAGCCGGGTTGGGGTGGGGTCCTTCTACTAGCGTGCTGACTGATGCAAATTAGAACACAGGGCGGCAGTCTTTATTTAAAGACACAACGACATAGAACAGGTGGGCGCCAGGGCGGGAAAGGAAAAAAGAGAAAGAGTATAATGGACGACAATAGAAACAGGAACATACACAAAAAGGGTAGAAAAAAATAGAACAAGGGCTGTCCTGTCGTTCTATATCCGGATGGGAGGTGTGGAGCGTGCTGACCAAGAGAAGGAGCGAAGGCTTACAAAGACAGACACATGTACTTGAATGGCGTGGGGGGTGGTGTCAGAAATAGCAGGTGGGGGAATGTGCCTTAAGGTAGGACAAAGGGTAAGAGAGGATGATGGGGACAGTGTGGACAACCTCTCTCTCCGAGGGGAAGAGAACACCACAACAACAGCAACAACTGGTTGGCTGGACTAGTGCTAATTCTCTGGGCGTAATAACCGTACTACTTTTCAGACTAAAAAACTGCTTCTCTTCGCTAAACAGATTGACACACTCGAGGGGTAAGAAGAACAACCACGAGAGCCCTCTTTATTGTAGTATTTATTCTTTGTGTACAGTACATGTTTCCACATCCAAGCGAGAATAGGGATAAGCATCTATGCTAAAAGAACAAGAAATAGAAATGAAGGAGCAAAAGTAAGAAGACGATGAAGACGTGAGAGGAGGAGTGAGTGTCTCTATGCGACAAGGAGCCAAGAAACAAGTCGCTCCTTCTTCTTCTCCTTGTTCTCCTTCTAACACCTTGTGTGTCATGTTGTATGTGTGTGCAATGTGTCAATTGTCGATGCACATCAGCCAACTTCCTTTTCCTTTTGTTCTTTGACTCTTTCTCTTCCGTCTTGTCTTTCCTCGACCCCTTTTTGACACTCTACAATACCCATTGTGTTGTGTTCAGCCGCTATTGTTATCCCCCTCTAGCCATCTCGCCCCCTTTTCTCTTTTCTTTCCCTCCTTCCTCTTATTCTTCTCCTTCCTTCTTATTCTTCTTCATCACCCATTTCGTCCATCTTCCACCCATCCCTCCTCTCCCTCCCCTCCCCTCCCTTCCCTCCCTCTTTCTCCTTCTCCTCATCAGTCATCCTCCCCGACCTCCCCTACCCGCCACCCCTGTCCTTCTTCCTCGTCATCCTCTTCACGCCCCTCTCCACACCACATAACTACTAATTACCTCCACGAAACATTGACGAACTCGGGTCCCTTTCCCTCCCATCCTTCCGACGCCTCGACTTGCGTCCGCCTCAAACTCGAACACAACAACCATCAACTTTCAGGGTGGCACTTTCCTTCCACTTCATTCATCACCATCAGCTCCATCATCACCATCCATTCCTTCCTCCCTTCCTTCCTTCCATCTCTTCCTTTCTTTCATCTTCATCTCTCCCACTTGTCGCTCGCCACTCGTCACTCGCCGATAATAAAAAGTTCACGCCATGGAAGAACAGGACCCCGTCTGTATCGGCTGTCACCGCTCTATTGAAGAAGGCAGCGTTGTTGCCTTTGGAGAGGGCTTGTGGCATGTCCAATGGCAAGTATACAACAGTAATTGGCAGAACTTAAGAGGCCAAGGAAAAGAGAAGAGAGAGGAAAGAAGAAAGGAGAGGGTGAAGAAGTGGACGTGAGAAAATGGAGGATCGTAGCATTATGACATTGAATGAACTCAAAAAAGGGAAAAAGAAAGAAGATACATTATTTGTAACATAAGCACAGGCATAGTCGATTGATTGCATAATAATTGTCTCCGAATGCTAACAATGCTCGTCCCCTCTCTGACTATCTTGACCCGACTGCTTTGAACCGACTTGTAGCTTTCGGTGCGCAAAGTGCAAGGGCCGAGTGGAATGCGACAGCAACTTGCTTCTACTCTCGGATGGAAGCCCAATCTGTGAGCAATGCTCGTACAGCTGCAGCTCTTGTCGGAGACCCATCCTGGACGAGGCGATCATGACTGGTAAACTTGTCTTCCTCTCGCAAATTTAACCCACCCACTCTTTTTTTTGTTGCATGGTAGTAATACCGGTATTTGCATCCAAACACGACAAGAACCTTCTTGAAGTTTGCTCATATGGCCGTCTGCTAACCCGCTGATTTCAACATTTATTTTCCTTGAATATTATTGTGTAACGACAGGTGATGAGGCATATCATGCAGATTGCTTCCGATGCACACAGTGCGACTCCAAGATTGACGACCTGGTCTTTGCAAAGACATCGCAGGGCATCTACTGTATGAAATGCCACCAAGAGCGAAAGGAGGCCAAGAGGCAACGAGAGGAGCGTGAACGTATGGAACGGGCCGAGAAGATGATGGAGAAACTGCTGCCAACCATTCCCGAAGGAGAGGTAAGGACAGCAACAATATAGCAGCGACAACTAGCTCAAAATGGATGGTGCAATGCTCAGACCTACTCTTCTGAACACGCACACGTGTGCCATGTATGATACTTTAGACACATGTATCGCCATGCTCTCTCCCTCTCTCTTTGTCATGCGCTCTTTGGGTGGATGGATGAAAACAAAAAAATGTTCGTGCTCTGTGCGCATGATGACAAGAGGATGAGATGAGGACGAGAAAGTTTCCATTCTTATCATGGCTACATAGACACTAACGGGTCGCACCCCTCCTTTTCCTTTCGTTTTCCACTCTTGCCTTCTAGAAACCAACTGCAGCTTCAACTTACAGGAACCAGTCGTATGAGAAGCACCAGCAGCCTGCCTTGCCATCCAATGGAATCGCCCACACCAACAATGATTTGCCAAGGTACCCTCAGCCAAAACTGCCAATGCACGAGCCGCTCTCCAATGGAAGCTATGGTCACGGTGGGCCCAGCTTCGCACCTTCCATCCGATCTGACGGTCGCCCAAAGACCAACGGACCTAGTCTGCCGTCTCTCGATGTTGGACCACCATTGCTCCCGCCTCTCACTTTCGGACTCGATGACATTGCCATTAGCTCTGGTGGCTTTGATCTTGGGGATATGCTCAGTACTCCTGGGACCAAGGATACAAGTCAAGGTTCTTCAACGATCAGCTCTCCGACTCCCTCGGTGAAGGAGGTAGAGATTGTTAAGAGCTCGGATCCCAGCTCCTACCGACTTAGTATTAGTCGTGCTAGCGCCCGGTTAAGCATGTCGTCTCCCACCAGCAGCGACAAATCGGGTGTAGAGGACGAAGTCAAGACGCTGTCAGATATTCCAGAGCACAAACCAGTCGACACCCCATTGTTGTCGCTCCCTGACGACCTTGCAGAGGTAAGGAAAAAATCAGCCTGTTCTGGCTATTGAATGCCTCATCCGTTGACGTTGTCGAGGCATCGTATAGACATACATATATTTACCACAATTTTTTTGCCAATCATAGGACGATGGAATGAGTTACAGCGAGGCACTTAACTTGGTGCGGGAGTTGCGCTTGGAGGTTGCCAAGCATAATCCAGCCAGTCCACTCCTCTATGGCACACCCCAGCTTCACTTTGGTCTTTTGAAGGAGAAGGTCGACAAGCTCACTCAGAAGCACACCGAACTCGAGAAATCAATTCGCGACATGTACATTGAAAAGGACCTTCTTGGTATGGATTTGGAAGCCATGAACGACGAACTTGCGTAAGTCCACATTTATTTTCAGTTATCTTCGTTTTAAAGTTGTCACTGTATTGAACTCAACGTTAATCACTCAAAAACACCACTATTAACGCTTAATAGTGCAAAGGAGGAGGCGTCAGCGGTCAATACCTCGGACAGCTTGAAGCCTCGGCCTGTGACCCACAATTTCAGGTTGAGCACGAGCCATGACCTGATGAAACAATCGTACCAGGTCGAGGTGAAGGCGCTTCAGGACCAAAAGGAACTGCTTCAGCAAGAGATTCATGCCTTTGTCGAGACGCGTGATCGGGTCCTTGATGAGATGCAGATTCTGAGCGTAAGGAATGCAGAACTCTCGACCATCAACAATGACATGATGAGAGAATTGCAGGGACGGAAGGACGCAAAGGCTGCCCCGGCTGCTCCTTCTTCATCCTTCAATTTGACGTCATTCACTGGAAAGATGAGGCGGCAGAGGCAAATGAGTGGAGGCAATCAACAGGAGCTCAAGGCACAGAACCTCGTCGCTGGAAGCAATGAATCGACTCTCTCGTTCGTTTCGACCAACTCTGACGGGGCGTCATCCAGGTCTCAGCAAGGATTGAAGAGCAAGAAGGAGGACAGGCAGGAAGACATCTTTGGAGAGGATATTGTGGCGCCCAAGAAGTTCAACTGGAAGAAGGGCACCATCAACACGATGAACACCAGTGTCAACACCGTTAAGACCGTTGGGGCGATGTTTGGAAAGTTGCTTGTTGAAGGTCCTACTGTCCAGGATGCCTCTGCGGCCAATGGTAGGGGTGCACCAACCATGCTGAGCGACAACGGGAGCTCGAACGGACAGATTCTTCCACCGACCAGGTCCTTCTCGGCGGGAAGCGATAGCCGATCGCTGAATGGGCAGTACACGGAGCAGCACTTTTTCATCCAGCACAACTACATGAAGCCTACTCGGTGCGACTGCTGTGATGACAAGATGTGGGGTCGCGAATACAAGTGTCGTGGTAAGATGTCCACTGTTTTATTCTTCGGCCTCTTTTTGGACAAGATACTCTTTGATATGTGTCATTAACATTGCTTTACCTTGTCAAATCAGGCTGTGGATTCCAAATTCACGGACGCTGCACTCATGAGATTGTACCAGGATGTTCTGGACGGTTCAAGGACTCCGACTCCTCCAGCATCCGTAACCTCACCCCGAGCGGCGAAAGCAGCCATGGCCTCCCCTCACCATCCCCCAAACAAGTCATGTTCGGCAACAATCTCCTCGATCAGCTGGAGACCGAACAACGAGCGATTCCTATGGTCGTTGAGAAGTGTATCGAGGCCGTGGATGAGCGAGGTTTGGAGGTGGAGGGCATTTACCGTCGTTCGGGAATGGCCGTCGAAGCCAGACAGTTGGTCCAAGCGTTTGACTCTGGTCTCTACCCTAACCTCATGGATACTGCGGTCTACCAGGATATTTGCTCAATTACATCCGTCTTGAAGCAATATCTCAGAACGTTACCGGAACCCCTGATTCCTTATGACCTTTATAGCGAGTTCATGGAAGCCACCGGACTACCCCATACAGATGACAAGTATGACATCTTCAAGGAACTCATGGATCGGATGCCATTCGCCCACTACTTGACGCTGAAGATCCTCATGGAGCATCTGAACCGAGTCACCGAGCAAGAGAGTATCAATTTGATGACCTCCAAGAACCTGTCGGTGGTCTTTGGTCCTACCCTCATGCGGAATCCAGACCCAAGTCTGGAGATTCTGGACATGACTTCCAAGAACTTGACGATCGAGTTTTTGATTGTTAACACTCCTAAGCTCTTTGTTCGCGTCCAGAGAACATCGCCCGGTAGTCATGCTCACGGTCAAGGCTTGGCCAACGGATCAAGCTTGTCGCCATCAGACGGATTCCCACCTGGGTTCACTGGACAGCGGCAGGGATCTCATGGCAGTCTCAGTCATATGAGCCCCCCACCTAGACGAGTGCCTAACCATGCCGGCCACCCGAACGCGCCTGTCCTCCTACCACGATCGAGTTCTGGCGACGCTATACCCACTGTGACCCAGGGCCAACAATCACAGCATTACCATCAGCAGCAGCAGCAACAACAACAGCAGTACAGCAATGGTCAGCATATGTACCAGCAGCAGCAGCAGCAGCAACAGCAGATGTTCCGGCCGCAACAGTTCCAGCAGCCTCAACATCCGACTCTTCAGCAACTGAAGCTTCAGCAACAGCAGCGCGAGCAGTTCCAACGCGACCAGCAGCAGCAACAGGTTCACCAACAACAGCAACAGCAGCAACAGTTGCAGCAGGAGAAGCATGCAGAGCGAGATCAGGAGCTCGATCCTGAGCAAGAGCAGGAAGAGTCGGATGCAGTGGCGCCATCGTCACCGCCATCGGTCTCGACGCAGCCTTCGTCGCCGCTTCCGTCTCAAAACCCCTCACTGGTTCAGCAGCAACAGCAGCAATTGCAGCAGTAGCAACGACAAGTCAACTCTGAAGTCGACATGACACACTTTCCCTAATGGATACCCTATCACACACGCCATACACGCCAATAAATATCTACCTTTAGTTTCACAGGGCTCAGAACACCTTTTGTGAAATGAAACCCCATGCGAGACCATCCATTTTTCACGTCTTTTTTGTGCTTTTTGCTGCTGCCAAAGGATTGCCTACAATAACAGATGAAAGAAGGCAGTATGGCTTGCGGTCATTATTTGTCAAACAAGTTGAGTAGGAGGGATGTGGCGATCACATTTGGTTTATTGTCTCTGAAGTAGATCTTTCGAAAGTGTGCATACACATTCTCAAATGAAGGCGAGACACCTGGAACAATGGATGCATCGTGCCTCGAAGTGAAACACCAACCACGGTTGGTTGCTGTTGCAAGTCAAATTCATAAGCGCACAAAAGCAACGACCAGAACCATAACCAGAACCAGAAAATCGAGACTTGCATCCTCCCACCTCCACCCCACGGTGCCAGGCCGTCGTTAGTTCTCATGGGTAACACAGTCATCTAGGTTGTCTTGCGCTTTTCTTGCGGCCAGATGAACAATAGAGCATTCTTGGCCTCTTTCTTCATCATATACTCTTACTCTCTCCGTCACTCTCAGCCGCAACTGCACCCTACCTTCCTACTTCTCGGCTCTCCCCAATTACCATTTACAGTGCACTTTAACCCCCTCTCATCCGAAGTGTCCTTCATCCATCCCACCTGCAAAGCCTCTCTCGCTATGCCTGCATCAGTTGAGATTCAATCCCCTCTACTACATCGACTTCAATCTAGTCATTCTACCCCGCTCCTTCAACAGTTCTCCTACCTCGCCGCTGCATACGAGTATGTACTATGTTTCCTTTGTAGGGGATCTGTGCATGCCGTATCCTGCATCCAAATTCACACTAAAATGCTTGTCGCAGAAGGAGAGTGAGAAATAGATAGGACAGCAAAGGCTGCTGCCTTGAGGAATTGTGCGATCCAAGAATGAGTAAACACACACACAGAGAGAGAGAGAGAGAGAGAGAGAGAGAGAAATACAGAGGGAGAGAAATAGAGAGAGAGAGAAAGAGACACAATGGTGAGGGCGGACAAGAGAGTATTACTAATTTATATCAGCGCAAGTGGTGTGTGGGGGACGGATACCGCGATGTGGGGTCACGATCCATGCTATACAGCATCGCTCTTGTTTTACTTTGTCCTCTAATTGACCACTTTATTCTACGATACCTTTAAACATATTTTTTAGACGCGAGAGCGACTTTGAACGACAGTTATCATCTCCGATGCTAGAGGTGCCCGGTGCCGCACTCATGGCCCCAGGAACGGGAACAACAACGGCATCAGCAGCAGCAGGGGGAGGACGAGGAGATCATACCAAACATGCGCGAGAGCGACTTTGAACGACAGTTATCATCTCCGATGCTAGAGGTGCCCGGTGCCGCACTCATGGCCCCAGGAACGGGAACAACAACGGCATCAGCAGCAGCAGGGGGAGGACGAGGAGATCATACCAAACATGCGCGAGAGCTGGAGGCCGCATTCTGCCGAGATTTTTACTGCTGTGGTCTGACGCTCTTGGACCTCCACGACCTGCTGCAACATTATGAAGAGTGCCACGTTCGGTTTGAGGAGGATGAGGATTGTGAACACTCTGTGGATGGTAGCGGTGGTGGTGGGGATTCAGAGTTCCTTGATGAGGATAGCTGGAGTGATTCAGAGTCGTTGTCGTCTTCCTCGGGAAGTTCCTCGTCTCCACTTGGGTCAGGATCCAGCGACAGCTTAAGTATGAGCAGCAGGAGCACTGGACAGCACCACCGTCACCACCGTCACCAGCCTCACTTTCAGCAATGCCCCAATGGCCCAGCTATCCCGACAAACAAGGATGGTCATGCATCAGTTTCGGCATCGTGGTTTATGCCACCATTGCCGTCGAGACAAGGGGGCGGTGGCAATGGCGGTGGCGGTGATGGACGGACACATCATCACCTGCATGCCGATAACATCAACCCGACGACGCATGCGCTGGAAGTCTTTTCGACGTCCCTTGTCGGGGTTCCTAAACGAAAAACGGTGGTGTCGCTGTCGGATATCTACGTCGAGAACGAGGGTGGATATGAATACGACGATGGGGATCCTTCGTCTGCTTTTTTGAACACCATTTTATGTACAAGTACTACAAGATCAACTAGTGGCAACAATGGCTTCACAACTTTGAATCCCTTTGAACCTCCTGCAAAAAGACAATTACTGGAGCCAGCTCAACAGCAACAACAACATTCTCAACTGAACTTACAACAACAGCAGAGACTGCATCCAATTGATGTGGAACCAATTCACTTCGCAGACAGGAACCAAAACAGCACATCGTATGGCTCCTCAAATAGCAACAACAATAAGAGCACCGACGTCCACTCAAGCGGCTTTGCAGAAGGATTAACGGCGGGAGCAGCAGGCGCGTATAACCGCGGGCATGCACAAGGAATCCATTACAGCATTCGTCCCAACGTGTTCCTCGGAGGCAGTGTCCCCACAACGTCGTCCGGATCGTCCGCTAGTGGGCTCTCCCTATTGACTTCGTCGAGCCAATCGCCCTACATCGTCGCCGCCGTCGATCTGATGCGCCAACGTGACGAGGTGTTCAGCATCATTGAGGATATGACAAAGATACCTGCAAGCGCCTCCAGTGAGAACAAGCCCTACCGGTGCTCTGTCATGGGCTGCGACAAGGCCTACAAAAATCCCAATGGACTCAAGTACCACAATCTACATGGCCATTGCTCCAACAGTCTTGGGGACGGCGACAGTCCAGAGTCAAAACCCTATGTGTGCACGTTCCTCGAATGCGGCAAGCGGTACAAGAACTTGAACGGGCTGAAGTACCACATTGAGCACACTCACCCGAACCTCATTGCTGCACTGCGAGCCCACCAGTCCGGACTGGCAAACCACCCTTTGATTGTAAACGGACCGTTTGCAAACGGCAGCGCAGTGGTGATGACGATTGCAGCGGCTTTAGCAGCGGTGGGGGCGAGTCCGATGATGGCCCTGGCCGCAAACGCAATCTTGACTGCCCAGACAGCGGCAGCCAACCAAGCCAATGCAGCAGCAGCAGCGGCAGCAGCGCCTACTTCCGAGTCAGCCGCTTCGTCTTCTGGTCAGTTAAGCCATGGGGGCAACAAGTTTGTTTCGGATTCTGAACCAACAGTCCCTTTGGAGGGAGGCTTTGTGTCTACGACGAGGTCAGGGTTACCGCAGGTTGTGATGGCCATCTCCGGGAGCCTGGAGAGTGGGAGTCATCACAGCATGGTTCCAATAGCCCCAGCACCACAGGATAAGCGCACCCCGTAGACTCCATGAATACACCTTTTGGTTTGCTATAAAGTCTGTTCAAAGTGCGCGCTTATGAAAGGAGTGCGAGGTCACAATCTATAGCACCGCCCTATGTCTTGGTTATGCAAACAACAGCAGAACAGCATTGTTCTTCTCTATGGTTTATTTGCTGGTGGGGGTAGGTTCTAGTAGCGTCTCCTCGCAGAATGCCCAAAACTTGAGAAGTGTGGGTTTGATGGACCGGATCGTCAGGCGACTCCTATGAACGAGAACGTATACATTGTTTAGTTCCAGTTCTAATAGGTAGCTGTTAAACAATCTTGCATATGTTGAAGTGGCGAACAAAGAGTGGTACAAACCTCGTGTCGGGCAACATTGGATACTGCAGTCTTGGGATCGAACGGATGGTCTCCCCCGAGAGCAAGCATTTGAGGACGCGTAACGTGAAGTAGTGAGACGAAAGTCGTCTCCAAAGTACCGAGTATTGGAAGAATATGGCCGGTGGTGGCAAGGGTGAGTTCTATCAATGTAATACAAAAACAATATGGACAAAGGTCAATGTGGGAACGATGGGGCGTTTCAAAATTGCAGCGAGAGTATGTTGTATCCTTGTCCATCGATATTAAACTCACAGTAAGGAAGACATAGCTTGTGGAGCGAGGTATTCTCTCGTGCTCCATGTTGTTTGGGCCATCAAAAGAGCCAAGGAAGCTTGGCTGACCAAGTTGTGATTGAAGGTGTAATGGCGTGTGCTGAGAATATTGGAGATGGCTTTCGTAGACGTTTGACGTTCCTGAAATGTTGGAGGACTGGCGATAAGACGTTGGAGACTCATCGACAAAACGATGACGGAGTAGGCTTGACGAAACACCACCACCCATATCGGTTAGTTGCGGGCTGGGTCTACCTCCTGCATCACTGGTATAGGCCGGTGTCTGTTGTGAAGGATACTCAGCCGAAACAGACCTTAAGGAGCTCACAACCCATCGAAGGGGTGTAGCCCTGTCAAAAAAGAATCGCTCAGGACAGACTTCAAGCCTCAGTCCACCAGGGAGACGATCGGGATCTTTGATCCTGAGCATGATCGCGAACAAAGGAAAGTGGTTCAGGCACGCTAATATCGTCTCCATGGTAGCCTGCATGCATATGACTGCGACTCGACTCTATTGAATTCAGATGGGCAGATTTGCACTTTGTTAGTCTCGTGCATGATAGGTTGGGTAGTAATTTACAGCATCCTCCTGCCAGTGCTTACCAGGGCAAATGTCAGGTAGTAAACGACAATAGTCGGGAACAAAAAAGTCAGCAGTGTGAATAGGATCGTCCCAAGAAGCAGCTGGTCGAGATCATAGTCGCATGAGTCAATCCTGTGCCGGAGCGTGTTTCGCTTTTTGCCGCGAAACAGATTGAAGAGAGAATAGAGGATAGTGAGTTGCCAGTGAAATATCCTTGCTGCGACCATGTAGAACCAGTAGATGTGGAGTGTGGTGAATGCCAATAGGTCCGATATCAATGAAAGCGCCATGGTTGCTCCAAATGCTCCCGAAAGCCCAATCAAGTTGATGGCGACAGGCACGATGGGTGCGAGCGAGATGATGAAGTCTAGCCGGTTGCAAATAGAAGCGTGAAATTATTATATTAGTCGCATTGTACTTGACTAGGCCATAAGATAGCTAAAAGCGAGATGGACCCCTCGTCGTACCTGCCCACAGTTCGATAAGCCATTTAAAGAGTTGGCCCAGGAAGGGGTTTAGCTCGGGGTTGAGTTTGAGTCCTGCGGGATATTCGTTCTTGGATGTCAGCCACTCCAACACTGCAGAGATCGAGTCGATGGTATAGCCCTACAAGTACCATCGTTCAGGGAGCTCATGTTAGTTCTATAAACGATTGATTGGATTTGCTTGTGCATGCATTGACTTTAACCTTGTTGGTCAAGTGAGCCCTACCTTGACATAGCGCTGTAGCACCTCTGCCATATACTGGTTGTTGCTGATAAGAAACGACCCAAAGGCGACTCCGATGATAATGTCGTTCGCGACCAGCCACATACTATTGTAGAAGCTAACAAAGGAAAGCGGCGCAAAACATTAAAACTCTCGATTAGCATTGGTAGTCGCAGCCCAGAGCTAAACGTCGATCGAGTGAAGAATAATCAGCCATGCTGCAGTGTACCTGATGTACTGTGCTCTCGTAACAGACATATTCGTCCACGCTCGTTTCTTGGCCATGAAATACTGCCATGGCCAAAAACAGGCTTGCTGCAGTCTCAGGTCGATCTGTTGTCCTGTCGTTGTCATGTCCTTGATGGCAATTCCATTGAACGCCCAGGCAGGAAACCTCCAATTCAGTACCCACAAGCTAAACTCTACAAGAGCTCTCAGAACAAACAGGATCACCATCAGAGGCCGGATCGTGAAGGGTTGGATCCTTGGCCACACCATCGAAACGGTGATCGCCAGTTTGGACCGCACCTTGATACTAAGGTCCACCGCCGACTCGCGTACTGCTTCCGACATGCTCCTGCTCCTGGCTCGCCTCCGGAGTAAATTCTTGGCCTTGGCATGCACAGCCTGCTCAATCGTGTAGGACGAGTTAATCTATAAATGGAGACAAAGGTGTTAAATAAGTATTCATATTCCCCATTTCATGCGGCATATGGAGTGCAGATCCAGATCAACAGACCCCACCTGCTGCAGCGTGACATTCATATCGTCCGTCACTGTCCGTCCTGATGAAGATAGATACAGACGAGAGTGGTTCATTGAAGACTTTGTTCGCCTTTGTGCCGCCTTTGGACTTATCGCTGCGTCGAAGAGGGCTCCAGAGGCATTGATCTTCGAAATGTCCAGAGTCAGCGGGTCGAGAGAAAGGAATTGAAAACTCCTTGGATCCGGCTGTTTGTAAAAGATGATCTCCGAACTGACGTGGCTGTACAGATATCCACAGCAATGCAGCGACTCGAGGAAAGGGATATATGTTGGTTTGATCTCGATGGTCAGCCACAAATTAGCGGTTTCCTTATGTTCCAGCAATGACCGCGACGATAGCAGCTTGGTATTGCTCTCTGCCACTGCCTGCGCCGTCATCCCATCTGCAAAAGGCACAATTGCAACGCCAAGGACTACAGGGCTCACTCCACAAATTCGATTCATGGCAGCAAACTGAGGCTCTGATGTCAACGATCCAAGCGCTCTCACTAAAGCATCCAACTAGTAAAAGTAGAGGGAAAAAAGCAAGCAATTAAGTGACAGTCAGTCGTCTGGCGCAATTGACTAGTGGCAAGTCGGATGTAATATATTCTGGATTTAACATGTCCTTACATCGATATCCGAAACAATAGTAGCGATGCATGCAGTGAAGCTCCTGACGTTCCAGCCAATGATGAATCCAGTGCGGACGTGTCTCGAGCACAGATGGGATGGCCAAAAGACCTTTGAGATTGCCGCCGATGAGCTCATGGTTAAAAAGAAATGTAGTCCAGGGATTAAAAGCTTCCTCTCCGTTGCAAATGTTCCCGAGCTGAAGTCCGGAATGGGTAGTCCTGTTTCTATGTTCAGGGGGTAGAGTAGAGTCAGTCTCTGGGTGATAAGGAGTGGGATGTGTGAATCCAACGGTCATATAGTGTAAAAGCAGATTGTACAATGAATTGGTTCATTGCCAACGTGGATATCGACATACCCTTCGGGCTTCAAAGTTAGCGATCCGCTCCAGGGGGATCAATATGAGCACAAAGAGGACGACGAGGATCAATATCGCGTACAGCAGGTATCTCTACAACGCCATAAAAAAAATGAGCGACAGTGAACAAAAAGGCAACGTAGGTTAGATCGCTATTATTCCCGCAGCGATGGTGCCAATGTGATATTATCAAGTGTATATAATACCTTGTGGGTTGTTTCAGGGACAGAGGCAGCAACGTCGCAGATGGTCGAGATGATGGCAAAGTTGCAGGCACTGTAGCCAAAGGCAAAGGATAGGGCAGCAGAGATCAGGATGGTCCGCATCAAAGCAGGAGCTAGGCGATGATCCACAGAGGAGGATGTAGATTGAAAGAGTGGAGGAGTGTGATGTAAGGAGGGAGGGAGGGATATTAATTGAGCGAGTAAGATTAGTCTGTTGGTTCGCGACAGGCTGTCTGAGCGGCGCAAGAGTGAGTGAGTGAGTGAGTGAGTGCACGCTCTACAAAAAGTCACGGAGGGGGGGGACTGCTTTGGCTGTAAGATAGTGTTACTCTAATACATTACTGTACATGGAGAGTACCCTTTTTCTCACGATCAGCCAATGGATTTGCTCATTGCACTACTCTACTACTCTACAATAAGCCCCTTGCCACACCCTACTCCACCTTTTATACACGTCTCTTCCGCCGTTTTCTTCTTTTTTTTTCTTCTCCTTCTCCTTCTCACCCCCACACAACACTCCCCCCACACAACACACACTCCTCCCCACTCTTTCTCTCTCCAACCACACCACAATGTCCTTCATCGAGACCAAGCCTGACTCGGACTTTTCCATCCACAACATCCCTTTCGGAATCATCTCCACTCCCCACAACGTAAGTTTATTTTGTTGTCCTTTTCTTGTTTTTTGTTCTATGCCCGTCACCGTGTCAATGCCCATCGCCACCGTGGCCGTGTTTATGACCCCAATCGAACTCGAACAATCAACCTGACTGACACTCTCGTCTTGAAACATTGACCAAATAGGCTGCTCCCCGCGTTGCTACCCGCATTGGCGACTTTGCCGTCGATCTCTCCGTCCTTGCCCAGGCTGGCCTCCTCTCCTCCGTCGTCGCCGATGCCCAGGGTGTCTTCTCCCAGGTACGTCTTTCAACCATTCCTTGTATGATTTTCGTGACCCCGGCAGCCTGTATATAACATCTACGTCAGGTCGACCACATGCACTTGCATGTTCCTAACAGCCTTTCCTTTCATTCACTTGAACCTTTTTGTTTTGGTTGTTTTATTTGCACGCATGTTCCTAACAAACTATCCGTTATATATCAATTGAACGTCTTATGAATTGTAGCCCACGTTGAACTTGTTCATGACGTTGGGCAAGCCCGTCTGGTCCGCTACCCGCAAGCACCTTCAGAAGCTCCTCTCTGCCTCCGAGGCCACCCTCCGCGACAACAAGGATCTCCTCGAACGCGCTGTCTTCCCCATTAACACCGTCAAGACCCACATCCCCGCCAACATTGGAGACTACACTGACTTTTACGCCTCCAAGGAGCACGCCACCAACGTCGGAATCATGTTCCGTGGCAAGGAGAACGCCTTGATGCCCAACTGGACCCACCTCCCCGTCGGTTACCACGGCCGTGCTTCCTCGGTCGTCATCTCTGGCACAGAGCTGAAGCGCCCCCAGGGTCAGCGCGTCGTTGTCAAGGGGGAGGCTCCCCAGTTCGGTCCCTCCCTCCGCATGGACTGCGAGCTCGAGATGGTATGTTTTGTTTTTTCTCTGTCTATCTGCTCATGTGTCTTGTTCATCGTAAAAATGATTATTTGTGGCCTGTGCCTTCATTCATTTTTATGAACGTTCAATGGAAACAAAAAAATTAAAAATTTCTCACGCCTCTCTTTTAGGCCTTCTTGGTCGGCACCGGCAACAACTTGGGTGAGCCCATCACCATCGACAACGCCAAGGACCATATGTTCGGTGTTGTCCTCATGAACGATTGGAGCGCTCGCGACATCCAGGCCTGGGAGTACGTCCCCCTCGGACCCTTCCTCGGCAAGAACTTTGGAACCACCGTTTCCGCCTGGGTCGTCACCATGGACGCCCTCGAGCCCTTCTTGGTCAACGGCCCCGTCCAGGACCCCAAGCCCATGGCCTACCTCGCCGAGTCGACCGCTTCCGCCTACGACATCAACCTCGAGGTCAAGCTCAAGCCCGCCGAGAGCTCAAAGTACAGCGTCATCTCCCGCTCTAACTTGAAGTATATGTACTGGTCCTTTGCCCAGCAGCTCACCCACCACACCGTCGGCGGATGCAACATGCGCTCCGGAGACCTCTGCGGATCCGGCACTATCTCTGGACCCACCGAGGACTCTTTCGGCTCCTTGTTGGAGCTCTCCTGGAGCGGTGCCAAGGATATCCAGCTGGAGGATGGCATCACTCGCAAGTTCTTGAAAGACAACGATGAGATGATCTTGGCCGGTTGGTGCGAGAAGGATGGCGTCCGTGTTGGCTTTGGCGAGTGCCACGGCAAGATCCTCCCCGCCCGCGTGTAAATAATAGTCGACCGACAAGATCCTCCCACATTCCCCTTCAACCCCTCTCATAAGATAGCATTGCATACGAAGTATTAAATATGATCCAAAAAAAAAAAGAAGATTGTAAATGTATTGTAAAAATGTATTATACTTGCGAGCTGTATCCTCTGGGATTCTGGCTCTGCCATCTCCAAAGGTCGACACACATATCATCCAGGGACCGCTCGGCCTTCCAGTTGAGCTCCTTGTTGGCGAGGGACGCATCAGAAGTAAGGTTGGGCACGTCTCCAGATCGACGGGGAACAATGACATAGGGCAAGTCCCGACCCACAGCCTTGCTGAAAGCGCGGATGACCTCCAGAACAGTGTAGCCGATACCAGCTCCCAAGTTGTAGGCCTTGCACTCGTAGTTGTTGCAGGCCTCTTCCCGTTCGATCTTTTGGAGCGCAGCCACATGTCCATTGGCACAGTCGACAACATGCAAGTAATCGCTATGTAAGAGGATGTTTGGATGGTCAGAGGTATTAGTTGACAAAGTACACCATACCATACGAAGGTCGACTAAAAGCATCAGATCCTGAGATGACCGTTCCTTACCGAATACAGGTGCCATCCTTTGTGGAGTAGTCGTTACCATAGACAGACAGCTTCTCGAGGTTACCGACTGCGACCTGCGCCAAGAATGGAGTCAAGTTGGCGGGAGTGCCGAAAGGCGACTCTCCAATCAGTCCACTGCTATGAGCTCCAACGGGGTTGAAATATCTCAACAGCAATGCGCTCCAGCGGTAGTTCTTGACGATCTCGGCGCCCAAGCGTTTCTGCTCCTGCTCGTACTCCTTCTGCTTGATCTCTGAGGCGACGCAAAGATCCCGTAGAATGTGCTCCAAGAAGACCTTGGTCCGTCCATAGGTACTCATTGAGGCGATAATGGGCGAGGTTTCAGGGATGGGAATTTTGGGTGGATCGCCATAAACAGTTGCTGACGACGAAAAGACCATACGGCGGACATCAAAGTCCTCCATGACTTGCAACAGGTTGAGTGTGCCCGAGATGTTGACGTTGTAGTAATCCAGGGGTCGTCTACCTGACTCGCCGACAGCCTTGAGTCCAGCGCAGTGGATGACAGACGAGATCTCTGGATGGGCTTGGAAGATCTTAACGAGAGCAGCTCGGTCAACAATATCAACGGGGTAGAAGGGGATGGGTCTATCTGTACCGACGATCGTTTGGATACGCTTGAGGGCCTCGGGGGTGGCTGCGGTGGTGCCTGACTCGGTGGTGTTGCACAGGTTGTCGAGGACAACGACCTTGTAGCCGGATTCGAGGAGGCTGAGCACTGTGTGGGAACCGACGTAGCCGCAGCCTCCTGTGACAAGGACTGTCTCGGCGGAGTTCTTGGTGGACATGGTGACTTGTTGGACGGGCGGTGAAAGTGAAGTAGTTCCTTAGATGGCTTCGCTTTTTGGTAGCCTTGGTTGGTCGAGACAAGGAGAAGAAGTAAGAGGAGGAGTGGAGGTGGGGAGTGGGAGGAGGTGAATGAAGAACAGAAAAGGTTGAAGGGAAAGGTTCGTTTTTATAGCAGGAGGCTTGTGCGCCTCATGCTCCCAGGCATAACGAATGTCCAATGTCCATAAATAACAACGCTCGCCGCCGACCTATAGCAACCGACCGCATGCAATCGAAGGGACAATAGCAGCGATCGAAGGGGTCCCGGGCGAGCAGAGATGCGCAGTGGTTTCATGGTCATGGGCGTAAGCGTAATAGACCAAAAGTTTAAGATAGACATTTTTATCGCGATGCAGGTAAATAACGACATGGGCTCAGAGAGAGAGGGGAACGAGAGTGTATTCTTGTACACACAGACGAGTTCTGTTGTGAAGAAGTGCTATTCTTATCGTGGATTCACCTTCAACAACTATTGTTCACCATGGTGGATTGGATTGTCCTTCCTCTTGTACCAACAGCCCAATAGAGCACAACACCACCGCCATCAACAATCATACAAAAGCGAGTCCCTCCTCTCGTGTATTTTGCCACTAAAATCCATCCATCTAAGTTGCATGCGGTTTGTGCGGAGTTGTATGATTGGCATCCTAAGCCACTTGTCAACAAACTTTTTTCTTTTTTTTAAAAGTAAAGAAGGCAAGGAGGGCAAGTTCAGGACATGCTGCCATTCAAGTCGTCTTAATTGCTTCCCTCTACTTTCACCTACTCGACCAAACCAACCAACCAACCTCATTAACACACTTATAACACATATAACAACACACATACACATACAACGATGAAACGCAAGTCTACATCCGACCTTCCTACGCCAAAGGTGCGCAAGCAGGCCCCCGTCGACGACCACAAGGTCAAGTTCTCGTCTACCGAGAAATCCGCCAAGACCGCCTCGCCTGCCTCTACCGAGCGAAAGTCGATCCTCAAGAAGCCCCTCCGCTCAGAATCTAGCACAGCATCGAAAGACTCAAAACCAAAATTGACCATGTCCGCCTCCGCTCTCCTCAAAGCCAACACCAAGGCCGCCTCAAAGACACAGCTTTTGCCCCAAAAGGGGCGACCCCAGCCAGTGCCGATTGCTGCTACCCGAGGCGATGTTACAGGAGGCATGGGCAGAAAGAGACGTGCACGCCGCGAGGACAAGGAGGAAGTGAACAGCGGAGACGACAGCGACAGCGATAACGACGGCGAGGATGAGAAGGATTCAGGAGACGATGCCGAAGAGTCTGACGAGGATGATTTCGAGGGCATGCCAGCTACTGTTAAGAGTAAGGACATCTCATACAAACATTTATCTGGATATCAATTGATGACAGGATAGGAAGCTGTTGTTCTGTCCAAGGAATGAGAGTACATGGGATAACTAACACCTACCATCGCGTCAATCAATTGATGCGACCTTCCAAAAAATAGAAACGTCAAAGAAGCACACGGAAGAGAACATGGCAGAGGCTATGTCCAAGATTTTGGGATCGAGTCTACGCAAGGCAGATGCCAGCACACCCATTCTGGCGAGATCTCGTGGAGCAGAGAGAAAGATTGAGGAGGAAAAGATGGAAGCCAAGGCTAGGAAGGCGATCTCGAACGAGAAGAAGCGTTTGGCAAACAGGGACCGCGTCAAGCCAGACTATACTGGCATGGAATACGAGAAGAAGCTGCGCAAGGTCGCCACCCGCGGAGGTATCTATTCTATGTGATATGTTGGAAAATTTATCCGTGCTGATACACAGTGGCCATCTGATTGCTAACGCAACCCGTTCTTCTCGATATTTCAACCTAGTGGTTCAATTGTTCAATGCTATCAAGGTCCAGCAGAAGGCTACCGATGACCTGACGGAGAAGGTTCGCCCTATTACCACCAACTCCAAGGATAAAGGTACAGGAAGGAGCAGTGCAATGGGTTGCTTGGTCAATGGATTTGCCTGTTGCCATGCAAGGGCGTGGAAGAATGTTATAATAGACATCAAAAGAAGCTGACCAAATGTTCTCTATCTATCTATATGTTCTAGTTGCCAACCTTACGAAAGCGTCGTTCCTCGACCTTCTCAAGTCTGGTACCAAAGTCGGTGCCGTGTAACTCATATGTGTCCTTTCATAACTCCATTTTGCATTCAAATAAAAAAGTTCCCATTGAACTCAATTGGTTGTGTGACTTTCACATTTGAGCAGTCGGTGAGGAGCAAAAGAATTCGCGTTTGTTTCCGCTCTCTGCCTACTTGTTTGTCGTTCTTTAACCATGCTCTCGTCCGCTTCATTCATTCGGCCCTCCTCCATCAGGACTCGCCCTCTCAGGCACCACGCCGCAAGAAGCCTAGTCACCTCTGTCTTCAGCAAAGTAAACTTATACCGCGCCCGGTTTTTTTTTGTCATCCATGTCGCTTCCATGGGTTTGAATCTGATCTAATAAAACGTAAACGTAAACTGCTCGACTACACCTGATTGTTAACCGCAAGTCAACCTCTACTCCAACGGTGATAGACTAGCACACCTACAGCAGAGGCCGAGGAGTGCTTGAAGAATATCGCCAAATACAACCAGTACACCAATGCCTTTGTCGACCTCACCCAACCCGATCATATCCGATCTCAAGCTGCCGAAGCAACGCGTCGCTGGGAGTCTGGTATGTTTCTACTCTAGGTGTCAATTGACGCCACAAAGTATATAATGAGCCGTGGAATGTGTGGCAATGGTCAGTTATATTGGTATCCATTTCTAACTCAATCAATTGACCGTCTATATTTAACAGAGGCGGCCAAAAGTGCGGTGGACGGGGCTGTCATGGGATACAAGATGAACTTTTGCACGTCGGACTTGCGCACAACGTGTTCGTCCGCCATGCTCGAAAGTAAGCCAATTGACGCTTCATACCACCGAGTACTATGTTTCATCAAGGTGAACAAGGAAAACTGACTCCTGTTCTTATATTTGTGAATCTCTACTCTTTAGATTTCAAGGCACCGTACACGGCTACAGCTATCGAATTGCTGGAGAAAGCAGGAGTCATCATGGGCGGAAAGATTAACATGGACGAATTCGGGATGGGGTAAGAACCCTGCACCTTCACTCAAGTAGGAGGTCAAGGAGAACTAAACGCTGTAGGAACAACTTATTGAGACTGACAAAAGTCTCTTTTTTTACATGCTGTCACTGAACATGTAGGTCACACAACGTTCACAGTCATGCAGGACCAGCAAGGAATCCGTTTAGAATTATTGGTCGTTCTCCGGACGAGGCCAAGGAACTGGAAGCTCGCTCTGCTGGTGGAAGTTCAGGAGGCAGTGCTGCAGCTGTGGCTAGCAACATGTGCTTTGCGTAAGTTCCGTCGTGGTTCAGCCTTGAGCGGGGATAATGACGATCAGCAGGAGATCGTAAACGCTGACGCTCAAACACGTTTTAATTTTCAAACGCGACAAACATAGCGCACTTGGATCGGATACAGGAGGATCAGTCAGACTGCCTGCGTCATACTGCGGAGTAGTGGGATTTAAGCCATCATATGGCCGGATATCTCGATGGGGTCTTGTTGCATACGCCAGTTCCTTGGACACAGTGGGCACACTCACCAAAACAGTTGACGATGCCCAAACTATTTATGGTACAGCTCATATTGGACAACACTTATCAGTTACAATATGCTCCGCATACTATTACGCATGCTAACTGGCCGATATTATCGTCGATCAAAACAGACATCATGGCAAAGGAAGACCCCAAGGACTCAACATGCCTGACAGAGAGGCAACGAAAGGCAATCGCGGATACCATCAACCCTATCGATCTGACAAAATTCAGCGACCAGGAAGTGAAGACGAAGCCGTTGTTGGGCGTCAGAGTGGGCATTCCTCAAGAGTTCAACGTTGCTGAGCTGGCTCCCGCAACAAAGGACCTCTGGAGGCGAGGGATTCAGGCTCTGAAGGTTGCAGGAGCTGTGGTGATACCTGTGAGTCTTCCCAACACTAAGCTTGCTGTTGGAGCATACTTCACCTTGGCCACCGCCGAAGCGTCGAGTAACTTGCAGAGATACGATGGAATCCGATATGGTGAGCTTACCTTGATATGGTTCTAATGCGGTTGTTGAAAGTCTTTTCGCTATGATGGAGCTAACTCGTAAATCTCATTCTGGGCAATAGGTCATCAGAGTGACAAGAATGATGAGAAGGATGCGCTTTACACTCACACCAGGATGGAGGGATTCGGCAAGGAGGTCAAGCGCCGTATCCTCCTTGGAACCTATGTTCTCACCTCAGGGTATGATGTCCAATTCGCAACATAGTGGAGTTTGGGTTGCAAGGCAATCCTCGCTTTGCGAGCAAAATGATTAATCGCAGAATACTCGCTTCAATTTGATCCTAGGTCGTTTGACAACTTTTTCTTGCGGGCTCAAAAGATTCGCCAAATGGTCCGGAATGACTTTGACAGGGTGTTTTCACGCCGGAACGCCATTACAGGATCGTGTGGGAACCTGGTAGAAGACTTTGAGAATGACAACAGCGCCGCCACCAGAGTCCACGCCCTGTTGACGCCAGTGGCTGTCTCGACAGCACCCAAACTAAAGGACGTGATTGGCGACCAGATTGACCCTGTCGATGCGTTCTTGGACGATATCTTCACCATCCCAGCGAGTCTTGCCGGGATCCCATCGATGAGTGTGCCATTTGGGACATGTACGAAGGATGGCTTCCCGATGGGGCTGCAGGTCATCAGTCAGTATGGTGACGAGGAGATGGTGTTTAAGGTGGCGAGGGTCATTGAGGAGAAGGGCAAGGGGATGTGCAGCGAGAAACAAGGAGAACAATAAATTGGTCATAGATTCTTTTTTTTTTTAATTCTAGTGCAGACGCCCTGAAAAAAAAAACGCCATGTCTGTCATTTTGTTATAAAAGATGGCCAACCCTTTTGTTGACGTCCCGGAGAGCGTCGAGCCACTGTTGGATTATCGGAGCCAAGTCATTCATCAGTTCTTGAAATGGCGCCGCCCCCTTCAGGTTCTGGAACCAATAAACCTGTGTATGAGAAATTCCATTTGGCGGATGGCGTCGACACCAGATATCATGCTGGTGAGCGACCAAAATTTCGTGGACAATGCCGGCCAGCAGCTCGACCATAGGGAGAGGCTGTTGACTCTTACGTTTGTTTCTTGGGGTATCAGGAAAAGTTGCGAGGGCAGACTGGTTGGTCGAGCATCTTCTTATGTCACCAAGGCGCTTCACGAGGTTCGAAGTGAATCCAACCATGACTGCAAGCCCATCAGATGCTAAGTATGTATCGAAGAGAGCGCAGGATCGATAAATGAATAACTTTTACGAATGCAAAGGAAGACTCCAACACTCTGAGCAAAAACATTATTCAGCAGGAATTGTGCAAGAAATACCTTTTTGTCCCTCGGCGTCCATTCTTGCAATGGCATCGGTGGTCGGGTCGACTTGAACGAGCCACACACACCCTGACCACCTGCACTCATCCAAAAACGTTTGCATGCGACGACTATCCACCTCACCGTTCTTTTTGAGAGCATGCTGGCGGTACCTCGCCCCAAAATGAGACTTGCTCCTTGACAGGATGTCGTACTTGTCTTGGCTGTCTCCGAGAAAGAGAATGTAGTCATTGATGTAGTGGAGAATGCCAGCCTTGATTCCGTGGTGCAAGCCAGCTGTCAGCTCTAATATTCCGCAAAAAAAGACAAAGACAGAAAACAAAGCCATGTAAGCTTCCACTGTAACAAGACCCAAATCTTTGTTAATTTTTAAAGCGCTTCAACCACATGGCAAGTGGTCAACTTACCATCAAGATGTGCTCCCAAGAAGACAGTAGTGCTTCGGTTGCCGCGAACGATTCGGATATTTTCAGTGACTGGTCCTGCTACAGACAGAATAGACTGGTCACCCGAAACCAAGGCTGTCGTTTCAAAGCCTGGAAAGCGCCTGCGGAAGATGGCGCCTCGCATATAGGTTTCATGAGTTGTGCAAAGATGGGTGTCAATGTCGTTGTAGTTGAAAACGGGACAGTTTCTCTCAGTGCACCGCTGAAGCTGGCCGTTCAGATTGGCGTTGCACTGAAGTCCATCCAGGGCTTCTGTTAGACTTGAAAGGTCAAAGGCGGTCATGTATCAAGGAGAAAGGGAAGCTGAGAAACGAAGAGAGAGGAGGGAGGGCGTGGAGGGTGGAAGGCGAAGATAGAGTAAAGGGAGTAAATGTGGCAAAGGCGAGGGTGAGGGTGAGGAAAGAGAAGAGAAGGAGCAAAGGTTGGAAGAAACAGGCCCATAGGTCATTTGACCAAATGTGCGTTTTGTTTGTGTCTATCCTTCGCCACTCTAACCCATGGTTCGTCATACGCAAGTGGATTTTGTGCCATGTACACAATCTTTTTTTTCCTCATGCGCCAATAGAGGAAAGAGCTTGCATAATGAAAACAACCATGCCTTTCTTGTCTTTGCCGTGTTCATGCAATGACGAAGTGGATAGGACATGATTCATGCCAATAACCACACTTTCACTAATCGACGCCACTAAAAATTGGATACCCTGAGATTGAGACGCAGATGACGTGGAAGCAACCCTTGTCCTTCTTTCTGACTATAGTTGGGTGTACACACACACGCGCACGGAGACCTGTCATACACGTCTATAGTTTCATATATGGTAGACCCTACTAGGGTTGTGCAGGGGGAATGGTAATTGAGCCTGGCACCCTATTTCTCTTTATTTCATGGAACAGGTGAACAAAAAACAAGTGCTCACTCGTACGGTTATCGTATGTTGTCGTCTAGAGGAAAATAGTAAACCGAGAAACGCTCCGCTCTGCTTTGAACGCACACTGGTACTTTTTATGAACGGACTGCTTCCCTTTTTACCACCGCTTGCCCTTCCGATCAGGTCGAACACATAAAAAGGAAGACAAAGCCACTTCAATCCATACCTCTTGTGTAATTGAAGCAGTATATTCAAGCTATAGACGCGTCGACTTCACCTCTCCTGTCTGTGCACAGGCATACAAAAAGACAACGAACGCCTCTCAACTGCTATTGGATGGTAATGTATTACTTTCAGATACATCGCGCCTCAGCCTCCTCGTGCCCACCATTTTTTTTCCTAGTCTTGTGTTGCGTATATGTAGATCTCGCTTGCTCATGGGATTTATGTTCGTTGATGTCATTTTGCTTATGGTGTAGTTCATTGTCAGACTCTCTTCTAATTCTACCCTGTCGGTTCGGTGTCGAGGTCTTGCTGGCTCTTGGTTAATAGTGCAGGTGTGTCAGTCGGTATGCTATTTCAGGTATGGCCAGGCAAGGGCAGGGGATATTGTTCTTGATACAAGTAGTAGACGTAGACGGATGGCTCCAGCTACATAAAGAGTCATCAGAGAAGGTAGGAGTAGACGTGCTTTATGAGTGCGATCGACTATGACGTATGAGCCACCTTCCCCTCAAACCTAGCTGCTGCCAGGTTGCCAAACAGGTATCCACAACAAATACATGGGAGACCTTCATTTTTCTTCCTTTGAACCGTACTAGAAGCCATGTGAACAACAGGGCATTGATTTATTCGTGGATATGTGGCTTATCCTTCAGGGACGGTGAGAACACGTTCTGGGAATTGACCAATGAGAAGACAAGATTATCATAGGACGAAAGAACGTGCATTGTGCCCGTGCTGGGGATGGATTGATTACTTTTACTTTCCTACTCGTTCATCAAGTACCTGTACTGTGCTGCACAAACGAAAGTGAGAAGAAAAAGAGAAACCAACAACTGGTTTAGCCAAGCGCAGCTGGACAACACAAAAAAAGTTGGTTCTTTCAGTTCACCCGTATATTCATTATCTCTGTCTGCACCGACCTTGCAAGGTAGTGGTGATAGGAAAACTCTTTTTTGTTTCGAGTCACACAAGAACAGTAGAAAAAGGGGGAGGAGGGCCCAAGAAATGAAAAAAAAAAACGGGAAGCCCACAGACACACGTTCGCAAACCCATGATGGTTTATCGATTCATTTCATTCGCGGCTCTTTTTTCTTTTCTTTTTGTTTGCATGTTGGAGAGAAGGAGGTGGTGGGGTGTGGATTTGTATTTGCTATCTTGCTGGCTTGCTGGCTTTGGTTGCTTGTTTGCTTTGTTCATGGGAGGCATGTTATTTGTTCGACAAATCGGCACAAGAGAGGAAGGAGTAGACCGACACACGTTGTTCAAACGACAGTTGTTGGTAGACCGTCAAGTCTTTTGTTTTGTTGCCTCAAGGAACTCTCCCTGTCTCTCTCCATAAATACCTCTCGCCCCCCTTTTCTCTACTTTTTCACTCACCCTTTCCATCCCCAACCCAACTCTTTCCTCCCATAACTCTCAATCACTTTTGATTCCATTCCTACCTACGACCCAGTTCTCGTCTCATTATCTTCGCCGAACAGAACCTCTCGTGGTCGTCAGCTCTACCCACCCTATCCCGACGAATACCCAGCTCCCCGTAGCAGCCAGACTGGAATCCTTTTAACAACCAGGATATCAATTCTCCACCCGTATACCAACTCAACTGAAAAAAAGGTAAAAAAGCATAAGCCGTGCCGTTTTCTTTCCTCATGCAGTATCAGTTGACTCATGGCTTCTTTGGCTAGGAAAAATGCGAACCACACTGGATAGATGGGGTGGCAAAAAGAGGAGAGAGAAAGGAGCAAGCGAGAGAGAAGATACGGAGAAGGAAATCGTAGAAATGACTGCGGGAATAAGTAGGAAAGTGAAGAGGGGCGAGAGGGAGAGGATGGATGAATGCGCGTCTGGCTTGTAATACCACCTTGTAGATATCTAGTTCCTTATCAGGGTAGGATGGGGTGGTGGACAGTATTGTTTGAATGATTGGTTAGAAAAAATGAAAGGAGGTTGTGTTGTGCAAGTCAACAAAGGTTAAACGGTTGGTTTGTTGCAGGGAAAGCGACAATCCCAAAGAGAGAAAGAGGCAAGAAGTGGCGGCAGGAGGGAATACCAGAATGAACATGCAATGCATAATGCATGCACTCCTCCCTATCTCTCATTGATATCTTGCACGTTCATCAGCCAGCCAATTCTGTGGTGATCGAAAGATTTGTCGTTTATGATTGTGCCATTCTTTGTTGTTCTTCTTCCTTACTTTTCTATTGCCTCCACCCTCCTTCCTTCCTTCTCTTGTCTGCCAGGCTCATTCACTCTTCGTTGCCTCATTCTTTCTTCACGTCCACTCCCTGACTCTGCCTGTCATCTTCGACGCACCTTAAATTAAACCCTATTTTTCCATTTACTCCTTGCACCTTTCAAAGACGATGATGAGTGCACAAGTCTACTCTCACCCTGCAGCTGCTACTGCAGCCGCCAAGATCACCTCTCCCTCCGTCGGGCCATTGGACCCCAACCAGGGCAACATCTCCCCCCTTCTCCAGCCTACCGTCCCAGAGACCTCTACAGCCCAAAAGCGTGGCGGCTCCCTCACCCCAGGTGGATCCATGTCTAAGAGCGAGCTCTCGTCCATGACCGGCTCGATTGCCTCCAAGCTGGACCAGTACCTCGGAAGCACCAACAACAGTCTCCACCGTCACAACCGTGGCTCATCTGATTCAAACGCTAGCCTTGGTTCCCTCTCTGGCACCAATCTCGAGAACCACAACCATACAAGCGACAACAACAAGGATAGCAACAATACAGGAAGGGAACAAAACAACAGCGGCAGCGTCTACGCCAGCGGAAGTGGGGGTAGCAACAACGGCGAACTGGACGACGACACCGCGCTGGCCAACAATCTTGCAGCAATCTCCCTGGCGACCCAAAAGATCAGCGAGATCTATCTTGAACCCAAGCCCAAGAAATCCGCCCCCGATGGCCACCAAGTCACCAATGACCATTTCGAGCCCGAGAAGCATTTCTACCCTCGCGTGTTGAATGCTCAGATTCATCCTATGGTTGGCTACTTTTTCTCGTTGGGCAATGAGCGAATTATTGCGAGGTATATGCACTTGAATCCTCAGGTCAGTGAGGAGGTCTTGCGCAAGTGCCTGGATTATGTTCCTAAGCACTTTCAGTGGGCTGGTAAGTTGTTGTTTTTGTCTTCTTCTCTTGTGTGCTTTGTTTTTTTTTATCAAACAGCATGCCATGGGGTCCAGTCGGCTCTGGTTGTCTACTGCTTTGTAGTGGTGGTGTAATAACAAAAGGACTCGGCGAAAAGATAACGAAGAGTAAACAAAACAAAAAGAGGGGCGAAGGAGGGAACATTACTAAAACGTACAAAACAACACAAAGTTTGAGAGTGAGGGTAGGGAGCTTGTCAGGCCTGAGCAAGAAAAAAAAATTGGAAGAGAAGGAGTATCAGCACGCGTGTGTCGATTCATTCGTCTGCGCCAACTTGAATGGAAAAAGATAGGAGCTCTTCGTTGGCGAGGATACTGAACTCTTTTTGGGAGCATAAGCAAAGCAGCGACAGCAAAACATTAAAAAGATGGGGTGAATGGTGACAAAGAATAGGCAAAGCCTAACCTTCGTTTGTGTTCTTCCCAACAGAAGTCGGTTTCCTTACTGATCGTGTGTCTGTTATTGCTATTTGTTGTTATCAATGCTAACTTAACCTTGTCCACTGCTTTCACCAAACAGGATCAGATCTGTTCAATGTCACAACCGCGTCGGGACACCGCCAGATGATCATCGTCGAGACCAACTCGTGTCCCTCTGGCCAAAAGTCGATGCCACTCCTCTCAGAATCAGATGTAAGGGTGCAGAATAACGGAATTGGACACACGGGCTGCAGCTGTTGTTGGGACACCTTTTTTTTTTTATGTTGCTTTTCTTTCCTCACATCTAACAGTGTAATCACCACCTCGTCCGCCCTCTCTTTCTCCCCGTTTTCTTTCCTTTCTGATGGTGTAGGAACACGGAGGGTACCGTTTGGTCCTCGAGTCGGCGTTCAAGGACATGATTGAAACTGCGGATCGCAGTTTGGGAGGACTCGCAGTTGTGTGCGACAAGAACATGATGGAGGCGAGTGGATATGCGTCAACGTTGGCAGAGGTCATGAAGGAGAAAGTCTGGCTGGTAGAGTTCTACGAGTATGACCAGGACCCTCCCGTCAAGTGGATCGACCGCGTCATGTACATCCGCGACGAGAAGAAAGGTATGCCTTTCCACACTTTTGTCGATGGAACCGCTTGATCCGTTACAAAGGTGCTTAGCAATTGCTAACACGCGTTTGTTAATTTTGCATATCTCGTAGAATGGCACTCAATCAGGGCGTGTTTCAGATATGTGACACAGAAGCCATGGAACCGGTTCCCTCTGTACACAAAGACCATTGTCATGAACCAGACGGTCGCCTGTCTCGCTGGAGGACGCAACAAGATGATGGCTGCCAGGGCATACGAGTTCTTCAATGCCGAGCTGGCTGATTCTGGACTCCACGTGCGCGTCCCTGAGACGATCAACAATGTCACCAAGAACGAGATCCCACTCTGGCTCGACAGCATGGGTGGCCATGCCGTCGTCAAAGTCCCCTACTCCAACGCTGGTAAGTAACTCTTTGGGGTTGAATGATGTATCATACCATCTGCTCCAACAATGAATTCGTATTCTGGTTTTTGACTAACCATCCGTCTACTTTGATCTCGCTTTCTCAGGTCAAGGAGTTTACACGATTACGAACAAGCAGGAGTTGCAGGACTTCATGGACACGCCACAGCACTACGACAAGTACATTGTCCAATCCCTAGTCGGAAACGCATCCTGGTCATCTATGACCCGCCACGGCAAGTTCTACCACGTCGGCACAATCCCCAACAAGAAGAACAACACTTTCGTCACGGATCTCCGCATGATGGTCGCTGGTAACAAGCAAGGTTTCCGGCCGATCTGCATCTATGCTCGTCGGGCACGTAAACCCCTCATTCGCCACTTGGAAGACGACTTGTCGACAACCTCGTGGGAGATGTTGGGCACTAACTTGTCGGTCAAGTCGCCTACCGGCGAATGGAGTACAGAGGCCGCACGGTTGTTGTTGATGGACCGCAAGGATTTCAACCAGTTGGGGTTGGGTGTGGATGATATGATTGATGCGTATATCCAGACGGTGTTGAGTGTGATTGCGATTGACAAGATGTGTCAACGGTTGATGAAGGACAATGCGGAGGGGCCTGGACAGACGTTTGATATGGAGTTGTTCAAGGCTCTTAACCCGGACTCTGTCCTCTGGCAGGAGGTTCTTCTGTAGAATTGAGCCTTCCTTCCTCCAGGCGTTCTCTTTTCTTTCGTTTCGTTTCTTTTCTTTTCTTTTCTTTTCTTTTCTTTCCTTTTACTCCTTTCGTTTATTGCACATACAAACAACAACAACACTACAAGACCTAAAGCGATAAAATTCGGAAAAAAAAAATGTATCATTACCACCACGACTTTTCTTTGGGAACCAGGCTTAGATAAATAAATACCAATCAGGAAGCACCATGGGGCTTCAGCGACTTTTCTCTCGCCAATTCGCGTTCATAGTGATACACATGCTTGTGAATATAACAAAAGGGAGGGTTTTATTGTAGTAAACAAAAAAGGATGCTGAAATATGATAGATGAGAGGGGTAATGAAGATATGCTTGTTTGTTCTAATGGGCTTATTTCCGGTGGAACACGCGTGCGGCGCCTCTGCTCTTTTGGGCCATGTTGAGGTTGGCGTCTTTGCGGGGGATTTTGGTGCCGAAAAAGTGCTGTTGTCTAAAGTCGGCGACTGTCTGGGGGATGGCGTGGCCCTGGGCCAGATGCGACTTGTCCAGCACCTTCACCGTCACCGGGCTACAACACATTCAATTGAAGAGAAGTAAGGCAGGATTTGTTAGAAAAGCACGTTTTACACCTAAAAGCAGATGTGCCTGAAGTAACGATCACCAAGTGAAGCGTGAGAATGAGTGAGGAGAGACATACCCGACGTTCTTTTGCTTCTTCTCGGTCCGCTTCCGCTTCGCCGCCTCAGCCTTGAGTTCAGCCTCCAACTCCAAGAGTGCAAAGTCCTCAGGGCGCATATGTTTCCTCTTCTTGTCGTTTGTTGTTCCCTTTGCCGACTTTTCCTGATCGTCCATCTGTGCGACTTCCTCCAACATATCCATGGGCAGCAGTGCAGGTAGTCCTGATGCTGGCTTTGTTGTAGATGTTGATTGTTCTGGCTCTGATGTTGGTGCTGCTGGTGGTGTTGCCTTCTTCTTGGCCTTGGACTGGTCCTTCTGCTCCTTCAACTTTTGTTCGCGCTCGACTCTCTTTGCCTTTTGCTCGGCCTGGACCCTATTCCGTTCATCAAGTGAATTCAAGTCAAGCAATTCATTAGTAACCTGGTCCGTGAGGCAGCAAATTCCGATAATACAAATGTTCTACCAATTGATTGGTCCTGCTAGGCGTGTGCTTACTTTGACAAGAAGGACATCTCTTTATCCTGAGCACTCTGGACTTTAGCCTTGGCGCTTGAAAGCGACTCTGCCTCAGGGGCCTCATCGTCGCTATCCCCTTCCTCGTCACTGTCGTCCTCATACTTCATGGTTGGCAGGGCAGCGGGGGTGGTCCGAGGGGCAGCAGCAGCCTTGGGGATATGGATTTTAAATGTGGGCTCGTCGTCGCTGTCAGCGTCGTCCTTCTCTGACTCTTCCTGATCCTCGTTATCCTGCTCTTCTTCATGCTTGTCGGACCCGGCTTTCTTCTGGGACTTCTTTGGGGAAGCGGCGGTCTTCTTTGGGGAAGAGGCGGTCTTCTTTGGGGAAGCGGCGGCCTTCTTTGGGGAAGCGGCGGTGGGCTTGGGTACGCCTTTGTTGCGGGTAGTGACGGCCATGAGTGTATGCGGTATGTTTCAATGAATGAAAAGAGAGATGAAAGGGCGTGATGGAGACGAGTTTGCAGGTGTTCAAGACGGGCACACAACAATAACTTTTGGCGGTCCTGTTCAAAAGCAAAAAGAGTGACTTGTAGTAAGAGCTGCAGCAGCTTAGGTCAAAGGGCAAAGGGGTCAAAGAAAAAAAAAAAAAGAAAACGAAAATTGTTTACAAATGTGGCTTGGGAATAAAAAAAAAAGTGCTTCCCAGTCAATAACATTTGTTTGTATGTGCCTTCCACTTGCTCTCCTCTCCCCTTTGACAACAAAGCTTTGGTTTCCATGCTCCTCCTCTCGTAGACCATCGTTCCTTGTTCCTTTTGTTCACCTCTCTTTTTTCTTTTTTTTCTTGTTACCACCAACACTTCTTTTTTCTACTTGTATATCCACCTCCTCACTACCCTCACTCTCCTTCTCCCGTCAACAAACAACAAACACCCGCAACCATGAGACTGTCAGACTACCCCGTGGTCTTCACAACAGACTCCAACTACTTCTTCTCATGCAACGCAAAAACAATCCGCATCATCTCCGTTGAGACCGGCCAAGTTGTTCGTATCCTCTCGGCGTCAACTGAAGATGGCGGCCACGCCGACACCATCACCTGTGTCATGCTCAACCCCAAAAACTCTCTCCAGCTCTACTCGGCCTCCCTTGACGGAACTATCAAGTTGTGGGATTTCAATGATGCTGTCCTGTTGAAGACGTTTGAGGTTGGGACGCCTATTTCCCACATGGCGATCCATGAGGGCGCTCCGAGTGATGTTTATTTGGTGGTGATCAAGAAGTCGACTAAGCGGTTTCATAAGAAGCAGATGTGGAAGTGTAAGTTTGTGATTTGAATGTCTTTTGGGATATGATGTTTTGGTGCATTTTCGACGGTGGTGGTAGATGTCAATTGGATCTTAGCACTGGAGGACACTTGAATGATAGCATTGGAAGACTAGTGGATGATGGCATTGGACACCAATTGCTGAATGTCTTTCACCTAGTATCATCTATTCAGTACCATTGTGCAGCACCAAAATACTTACCAACGTGTCCCTTCAAACAAACCATCAATGACAACTAGCTGGAGGACTGGTGGCAAAGGAAAACTCGATTTTGGTGCGCTACTCTCTCAAATCAACGCGCAAGAGGATGATTCGTCTGTTGTCGTCTCGCTCCTGCAGTGGATTGGTCATCTCCTCGGACGGCGAGTACTTGGTCATGACTGGACGCTACAAGTTGCACGTCATTCATATCGCAGCTGGAGACGGCATTGAGCAAGGGACCGTTTCGGAAAGCGACGAGTCTCGCTTCAGAACCTACCTCACCCCTAATAGGATCGCTGCCGTGGCTTTCCACCCAACCGAGGGCTGCATTGCTACAGGAGACGAGCGCGGAAGAATCACACTGTGGTACTGCTTCGGGAAGAACGTCGATCGCCCCGTCACCACCTCGATGCACTGGCACGCCCACAAGGTAGCATCCCTGGCCTTCACTTCGGATGGAAACTATCTCTTGTCGGGAGGAGAGGAATCTGTGTTGGTCATCTGGCAGGTGTCGACTGGACACAAGCAGTTCTTGCCTCGTTTGGGATCAGAGATCAAGCATATCACGATCTCGCCTGATGATTCACTCTACGCCATGGGACACCAGGACAACTCTGTCAATGTCATCCGGGCCGTCGACCTCAAGATCAAGAACAGCATCCAAGGACTCAAGCTCTGTACGATATTTTTATCATTGTGTTGTTTTCCGCTGTTATCGCGCGTCCACTTCGGGCTGTCTCCTTAGGCAACAGAAACTAACCAGCCCACTACTTGCATATGAACATAGCTCACACCGACCCTATTAACAACCCTCTTTTGACTGGGTTGGTGATCGAGCCTCGCAATGGACACGTTGTCTTGAACGGACTTCCAGGAACACTTCAATTCTACGACCCTATCAAGGACCAGCACATCATGGAACTGGAGGTCTTCCCTCGCAACAAGGTCTCGCGTACATACCAAAAGGAGATTGTCGCTCCTCGCGTCATGCACGTTGCCTTCTCGAATGACAAGGCCGCCCGCTGGATGGTCACCGTTGATGGTCGCGATGACAAGATGACGACCCCGGAATTGTACATCAAGTTCTGGGAGTACGATGACGATTCTCACACCTATCTCCTCAACACTCGCGTGGACTCGCCTCATACCAAGGAGGTTGTCTCCTGCATCTTCAACCCTCGTCAGGGTAACCAGCCCCCCATGGTCGTCACCACGTCTCTGGATGGAACTTTCAAGGTCTGGGAGCTGACTCACCAGGGCGAGTCTCGTCGTGGTATTGAGGCCGAGAGAGCCTGGAGCTGTCGGTCGACTGGATTCTACAGGGATATGGTCCCTCGCGCAGCAGGGTTTGCCTCGGATGGCTCGTTGTTGGCTGTGGCCTATGATCAAATCATCACCCTCTGGAACCCATACTTGAACACCCTTCAGGGTGTCTTGACCCAGCCTCCCGAGAACCGCCCTATCCGCCATCTCACATTCCTGAAGAACTCGCCCTTCTTGATCGCTGCGACCTCAGACCACCTCTACTCATGGAACTTGCTCACCTGCTCGGTCTGGTGGAGCTACCAGCTCAAGATCGACCGCTTGGTCGCCTCGCAGACCAACTCCAACTTTATGGTGACATGCTCCAACCGTGTTCATGGTACGGCACCTCAGCACCGGATCATGGTGTTCAAGCCCATGGACCCCAAGCCTATCCGGATTGAAACGGTCGAGAAGAAGCTCCGTGCTATCACATTCATGCCCGATGCCACTGCTGCCGCCAAGGATGTCGTGGAACCCATTCTTATTATGAACCATGGATTCGCTCTCGAGATCTTGGGAGGACGGTCTGTTGAGGAGTTGAAGGCCGAGGCGGAGGAGGCTGCTGAGAAGGCTAGGGCTGAGGCTTTGGCGGCCGAGACCAAGAAGTCGCTGATGTCGGATATCTTTGGCAAGACGGCAGCAGCGGATGCAGCAGCTGCGACCCAGCAAAAGAAGGAAAAGATGCAACAGCAGGACACTGTCGCCAGCCGTGGCATGGTCTCGAAGAAGAATATGGTCCGTAACCCCTTGTTCGATGCACCTTCGCATGTGATGGCACCCGTATCGTCGTTGTTTGAGGCGTTCATGGGTCAATTGTTGACACAGGGCAAGGCGGCCAAGGATGAGGCCAAGGCACGGAAGAAGGCATTGAAGCAGCAGAAGCTGGAGGAGGCACAACAGCAGGCTGGCGCCGCTGGCAATACCGCCGACACTGCCATCGGTAAGTTTCCTGTTCATTTACGTTTTCTGTTCAAGTGTGGGCTTCGATTGTGCAAGAGCATATTTCTAACGTCCTTTTTTTTTTTTTTTTTTTTTGGCTTGTTGTCGATGATAGATATTGATATGGATGATGAAGCGGTGGAGATTGTGGGTGTCAAGGAGGGAGGAGACGACGCAATTCCTAGTTCGCTAGCAAAGATCTTTTCGGCCCGGTTATCCCTTTAAGCCAGCTGAGTCCGGATCTTACTGCTACCACATTTGATATCATTGGGAATCAACTCCCTTCCACTCTTTCAATAGATCCTCACGCGCACACATACACACTTTTATGCTCTCATTATATCTTTCGCACTTCTACCATCCTCACACATTCATCATTATTCATTCAACATTAAAAAGCATTCTGTTATTCACGATAAGAAAGAACCACTTGGATGTTGTTCTAAACGTCAAGGCGAACCGGAAGGAGTCCAACCACTGCTATTCACCCACACGCCTCCCTTTTTTTCTAGTATTCCTTTGTGAAGACTGATTGCTTCCAACCCGGCTCGCCCTTCCAACTCATACGCTTTGTTCGCCACTTCCTGGTGATGCCATTCATCATTCCTTCTTTTGCTGTGCTCGCCACGAGCTGCTATTGTTAGCTTGACCTATTTTTCGTGATATACATGTGCGATACTTGTGCGATGCAAATGCGAGGAAAATGAGATAGAAACGTGGAAGAACAACATATCATCTATCCCTGCGCTCGGCCTTCATCCTTCATTTCCTTGCCCAAAAACCCCTATATCGTACGCGTTGTGTTCATCATCGTGCGGTTTATTATTTTAAGGGAAAGAGGATGCAAAAGTTGGTGGTTATAAAAGGGGTTATCTTATGCCTTGAAGGTGAGTTCGAGGATCTCGCGACGGACGAATGCTTGGGCAGAGAAGACGACCTTAATATCAAAGACGCCGTCCTGCTCGATCAGTCTCCGGAAAGACAAGATGTCGCCTCCAACTCCAAAGTAAAACGTCTTTGCAGCCACCAGTCTGTATTATTGCAAGGAGAAAAGATAGGCAGCTTGTTAGTCGTGTGCGCACTTGAGGTTGAAAAGAACCAGGTTGGGAATCAGAGGGGGAGAGACAAGCCGAAAGGATACTTACGCTTTGCCGCCGCGCTTGAGGGAGTTCTTGATGGTAGCATACAGCTTTTGGTGGGACTCCTCCGCATAGATAGTCTCACTTGTCAGGATCAAATCATACTTGTCCTCGTCCGACTTGAATCCAAGGAGCTCCACAAGTCCTGACCAGTCGCCGAGGAAGAACCGGGATTGAGCCTCGACCTTCTTCATCAGCGCCAGGCGGTCCTCATCGGAATCGGGCAGGTCGAGTTCGATGTTGTCAAAGTCGCCGTCATCGGGGTTCTTTTCTGGTTCGGCGTCTTCTTCTTCCTCGTCGTCGTCGTCTTCGCCTTCCTCGCCTTCTGCGCGGGGTTCCTTGGATTCAGGTTTCTCTTCTTTCTCTTCTTCTTCTTCTTCATCCTGGGGCTGCTGGTCAGGGCGGACGTGAGTGTTGAGGAGGACATTGGGGATGGTGACGAATTTGAGGACCTGATCGTTGTAATCCTGGAGATCGACCTGCACAGTGTTGGATTGTGTCAACACATAGATTCCTGGCAACGCCGATCCACATCCGAGCTATGTATTCACATACCACAAAGTAGAGTGGTCAGTTTCAGTCTCCACTTGACTATCATCTTCAAATGGGGACAGACTTAGTTGCACTAACAACAAGGTGCTTACCTCCAGGACTTTCTGGCCGTCATAGTTGTGCTTCTGATCAGCAAGATAGGCGACCAGATCCAGGGCACACTCCCAAGTCTTGAGCCCTCCCTCATAGACACCCTTGACTAAATCACTCTTCCCTGCCAACGCCAACATCTCTACACCTCCTGGGCCTGTAATCGTCCCTTGCTCCTTCTCCTGCTTCTTCTCATCGTCAAACTCATCATCCTCCTGAATAATCTGGAACTTGACATCCTCCAAGTTCCGCTTATAAATCGTCACAATCTCCTTCTGGGCTCCTGTCTTGATATCGGTAGCAATCGCAGTTCCGGCACCGGTCCCCTGGTGGAGGACGGGGATCTGGGCGAGTTCGTAGTGGAGGGTTGAGGGGAGGCTGTGGATGCAGGATAGGGAGTGGATGTTAAGTTGTGCGGCGGGGACGACTGGTGTGGCTGTTGAAACGGAAAGGGCGGAGAGGGGTTTTGAGAGCTCGTCGTCGTTGACTTGGTCGTCTTGTTCTTGTTGAGAGATATCCTCATCGACTTCGAGGTCTGCAGCCTATAAAAGGAGGGAGAAGAAATTGGGCGAAATTAATTGTTTTGGTCCACTAGGGTTTGGCTTGGTCATGGGGGTGGTGGCCGTGGTTCCTGTCGGTGAGAAAAATGTGTGAATGCTGGCGATGAGGGCCTGTGTTTTTACAGAGAAGTTGAACTTGAACATTGTTATAGCAAGGAGTCTTCTAGGGTGGGCGGGCGCGTCTTCCAAGGAGTTGTGCTGAAGAAGTTAGAAGTAAAGCTGCGAGCAAATAAAAAGAAAGTAGTGGTTAAGAGGGACTGCGTTTCTTTGACGCATAAACAACCCAAGCCACCGGGATCCCCGCACATTCTCCTCGGTCAGTGTGTGCCCTAAACACATACATATCTCCTCTCGTAGTCAGGTCCGGTTTTCTTTTTTAGCCAAAGACGAGTTCACAACAAGCAACGGACATCTCCTCGCCCTCTTCCGCCCCTTTTCTCCATTGTTTTCTCGGTCATTCGCCACCCTCGTTCATTCTCTCGCACCTGCAACGACGACCACGACCGCACGCTTGGATTCCTGCTTCACCCCTACAATAACGATTCACACGACCTTACTTTCGGCGTAGCACCTTTCTTCATAAATGTCCTCCATTCTTCGCACACAAGTCCTCAGGACCGCGGTCCGTTCCTTGGCCACCGCCACCCGCTCCCAGATTCAAGGTTCGCCTCTCACACATGTATTCCTTTATAATGGAGATTCACCTAACGCCAAGCACGCTCGTCTGGATAAAGAGCCAACAACCTGCAGGAGTAAAGCGGTCAGGCACGGAACAACTAACCAATTGGTATATCAATCTGCACCTACAATAGTCACCCCTGCCCGCTTGACGGTTGCTGCCAGATCCTACACCTCTGCCACCACCCCAGAACCCCTGAAATCCAACATCTCTTCCACCTCCTCCGCCGTCGTCTCGTCGACCAAGGATCTGATCATTAACAGCCAAAGGATTGTCGCCGGCGCCGTCGTGTCCCGTCAGCCCCTGATCCTCCGCGACCTCACCCCTTTCGAGAAGGAATACTTCTTGTACCAAAAGAACCTTGAGCGTGACCATGCTGCCGCCTTTGGAGCCGATTTTTATTTCAAGAAGGGATCTGTAGCCGAGCGTCGCTGGAAGCAACAGGAGGCCGAGAGACAGGCAGCAGCAGCATCAGGAGCATCATCTACATCTACAGGAGCAAAGGGATCAAAATCATCAAAAGGAGCAGAGGCAGTACAGGATGAGGTAACGGAGGAGGACCGTGTTGCGGCTTTGGAGGCCAAGATTCAGTTTAATGACCGGATCACGGATGCGGATCGCAAGAACGATGTTCGGTCGTTGGAGCGTGCCCTTGCACGGACATTGTACCTCATTGTCAAGAAGCCTAGAGATCAGCATGCTTGGCAGTTCCCCCAGGGCGGTGTCCGTGTCTGCGAGAACTTGCAGGAGGTAAATTGTTGTCATTTTTTCGCGGTAATACCGAGTTGAATGGGATGTCTCTTTTGTATCGTTGGAGATACTAACCGGGGGTTGCCTACTTTGTATTTAACGATTTTGATATTAGGCCACTGGTCGTGAGTTGTCTGAGGAGTGCGGATCGAACATGGATCTCTGGTTCGTCGGCCGTGTGCCAGTCGGTCACTACCAGTACAATTTTTCCAAGGACTTCGTTGCCAAGTCTTCCAACACCGCCGTCAAGGGTGCCAAGGTATGCTTATTCAAATTGAAACGAAGGAGAAGATGTGCGACCACTCTTCCATTTTTTTCCCATTGACCCTTGGATTCATGTTTGATGAGATATCTTTATTAATCGCTACGTTTTATACTTGCGTTTTATGTTCAAATGATATAGGTTTTCTTCATGAAGGCACACATTTTTGCTGGACAGGTCCAGGTCGACAACAAGGAAGTCGTGGATTTCGCATGGGTCACCAAGCAGGAGATGAAGGACTATGTTACCCCCGAGTACTATGACGCCGTCAAGGACATGTTGTCTGATTTCTAAGCAATTGTGGATATTTTTTTCGAGAGACGGAGAGTGAGAGGGATAGGGAGGTGGGAAGTGGGTCTACACAAAGCAAGCATAAAGCATTTTATTTAGATTATCATTTAACACACGCACACAGACATATGTATATTTTATACACGCACGATCGCCATGGAAAGTTTTGTTGTTCTTTTGATGTTGGAGAGGGAGGGGCATCATTCATGGTTTGCCAACAACGCGATCAGTGCACAAAGGCTTTAACAGATAAGGTGGGGGTATATTACGCAATGCTAAAGTGAAAAAGGTTATGCTACTGTTCCGAGTGTCCCATCTACTGGTACTGGACTTGGTCGACGATGCTCCAGTAGTACTGCATGTAAAAGTCGCGGGTGGTCATGGCCATCTGGAACTCGGATTTCAAGGTCTTGTCCTTCACCTTCTTATAAATCGCGCGCTACATTAATCAGGATGCCGAGATAAAGCAATGTAACGGTTAAAGATCTAATACTTACTCATATTCAAACAAAAAACAAAGCAAAAGGGAGAAAGAACTTACAGCTGGATAAAAGATGACGCCGACGCAGGTAAGGAAACAGAAGAACTTTGTCCAATTACTCCTCATGAAATTTGCCAACGGCGACGCAGACCTGACAATGACCACATTATTCGTACAAGGGTACGAGATACTAATACTATGCCTATAATTTACAGACCGGATGGCATGCGTGATCGCCTTGGTGAGCTCTTCATAGTCCCATTGGATCACCTTGTGCACATGGATTTCCTTGAAGGGGTTCTCTTCGTCTGCGAATTGCTCCAGGACTTGTTTGATCGTTGGGATGGCGCCTGTTTTGGGATCGGGGGCGGTGAAGAGGACGCCGCGGGGGATGATGTGAGGGGTGAGGTCAAAATCCATTTTGAAGTCTTCGACATAGTGGTCTGTGACGACCAGTTTCCGCTTCCCGTCCGAGTCTGTCTCGTATGTCTCGCGCTTTTCGATATGGTGACCTATTTATGTGTTGGTGGATAGAAGACATGATGATAATAATTAGTATCGCAAATAACGCCGCGTCGCTTCTCTTCGTAGTGCAGTCATATCGCTATTTCCAAGTTACCTTTGATGGCAATGTGGAGGGTAGGACGGTCGTTGTGGGCAACCAAGAACCGATAAAGCTGGTAAGGGTCTCCAAGTACAGGGTCGCAGGACTCGACACCCTTCGTTGTCCGTTCGAATTCTGCAATGGAGATATCCTGCGGGTTCATCAGACCCGGCATGGAGGGTACCCCTGCAAGGGGTGTTTCTTGTGCGGGTAAATCCTGTGGCGGTGGGAATGGCGGCGGTGCATATGTAATGGCCGGCACTGCTTCTGAACTAGAGCCAGGGGATCCTGACCTTGATCCTGAGGCGAAATCTACGGGTGCGTTGACTGGAGGGGGGATGGACTTTGTGTCGTTGTATTGCTCAAGAGGCGGCGGTGGCATGGATGGCGGCGCATAAGAGGTTGGGGGGGCAGTGTCGGGTGCCGAAGGAGGTGCCGAGGGAGCGTTCAGAGCGGGACCAGGGACCGGGTAGAGGTGTTGCATAGAGTTGTTTCCAGTCACAGGGGCAGTATAAGGACGCTGCATCAGGTCATGAGGGGGAGCAGCGTACTGGGGGTGGCGAAGAGGGTAGGGGTACGTAGATCCAGGGTGCTGCTGAGGGATAGGATACCCTAGGTGAGATGGGAGTGGAGACCCATTGTTGTTCGGTGTTGTGCAGGTACTGTTGCAGCTCTTCTTCTTTTTGCCAGCTTGGATGGTATCGTTAGGTTGGATGAACGTGTACTGCGCCTGGGTGTCAGGGATACGCCCCATCTTCAAGGGCCGCGACTCTTCATAGTCCTGATCGTCTTCGTCCATATCTTGGTCCATCTCGAGGCTTCTCGAGGGGTCATTGTGGACGACGCTGATGAAGTCATCGCTCGATGGGTATTGCTGCTGCTGCTGCTGCTGAGAAGTAATTGTTGGTGGCGTTGACACGGAGAGCTGACGACCAACGGCCTCTTCGTATGAGGGTGGACAATGCGGGGGCGGTGGAGGGGCGTTGGTGGTGGTGGTGCTTGGTCCTGGTCCTAGGGGAGGGTAAGCAGGGAAGATGACCGTAGCGGCTGTGTCGTATGATGGTTGTTTGGCCATGTATGAGTGATAAGTTGTTGTTGTTTGTTGTTTGTGGGGAGAAGGTTGGGTGTGTGGGAGAGAAAGAAGTGAAAGAAGAGAGCGTTAAAAGGTGGACAGATGGACAACCAAAAGTCCAAAAAGGGGAAATTCTTTGAAAGTCGACAATCTCTGCCAAGAGAACACTCTGTGACCGGTGCTTACAGCCCCTTTCATTGTTCAAGCCATTGGACAGTCGTCCTCTTCTTTTCTTTCTCTCCACGACAGCCAGAACCAATGTACGATTCAGGGTCTTAACGGTGGCTGTGAAAGACTGGAATGCAGCCTTGGTACATTAGTACCAGAAGTCCTTAGATACCTGTCTGCATATCACATCCATAAGTTGGCAATGGAGGGAACCTGGAGGCCATAAGAGTAACCTTAAATGTGACTGTCAAGGTTATGCAAGCCAAGCCACGCAACCGCAAAAAAAAAACGTTGCCGTATTTCAACAACGCAATCCCACAGGCCCTTGGCTCGATCCTTCTCTTTTCCATTCCTTTTCAAGTAGTGAGGAAGGTACGCTCCATCAGCCATCGATTCACATCTCTTTCAGGAGAATGCGATCTCTCATCAATCGACAACTACTTGCACATGATCATCCAACCCCCCCATACTCAAATATAACCTTCCCCTCCTTACAATCGAATAGATTCCTTTTCAAACCGAGAAAAACAATCTAGTTACTTAGAAAAGTTCCACCAAACAAAACCATGCAGTTCTTTGTGAAGTCCCTTTCCGGCACTGTGGCTGTCAACGCCCAGGCCGGTGACAGCATCAGCAATGTCAAGTCCATCATCCAGGAGCGCGAGGGTATGTTCCCTTCGTCGTTTGGGCTTGTTTTTATCGGCATTCTGGATGTCTAGGATGGTTGTCGTGATATGTTTCCTCGGCATGTCCTCACACGACAAGCATTCACAAACAAGAAAAAAAAAAGGCAAAAAAACTAACAAATGTCACGCCCTTTCTCACATCTACAATAAACAGGTATCGCCGCTGCCGTCCAGCGCTTGTCCTTCAACGGCAAGACCCTCTCCTCTTCCACCCTCCTCGCCACCATCCCCGCCATGTCGACCTTCGACTTGAACATCGACCTTTTGGGAGGAGGCAAGAAGCGCAAGAAGAAGACCTACACCACCCCCAAGAAGATCAAGCACAAGAAGAGAAAGGTCAAGTTGGCCGTCCTTAAGTTCTACCAGGTCGATGGCAACGGCAAGATCACCCGTCTCCGCCGTGAGTGCCCCTCCGCGACCTGCGGAGCCGGTGTCTTCATGGCCTGGCACCACGATCGTCAGTACTGCGGACGTTGCGGTCTGACCTATGTCTTCAAGAAGGAGGGCGAGACTGCTTAAATGCACCATCTCTCCTCCTTGGTTCTTCTCTCTGGTTCTTCTTGACGAGATGACAAATTGAAAAAAGATTGTTTTCACTTTTCTGCTGTTGCTTCACCTTTCTGGTAGTAAGTTTACGTTCTTTTTTGTGGACTTGAACAGTGCTGCGCATTCTTTTTCTCTTGTTAATAAAAAGGGACAAAGGCGAATGTGTCGCTCTTTTCACAGAAAATACTTTGAATATTATTGTTCGGTTTGGCCAAGACGATCAGAGAACGAGCACCTAATCTATCCAAGGTGCCAGACGTGAGGAGGGAGCGCGTCGCGGGATGCTTGGACGGCTGCAATAGCCCGATTCAGATCCCATCCATTTGACATCAAAGCCTGAACCGCATACTGGTAAACAAGCCCCGAAACCCGCATCAACTCGTCAGCCGCCGCATGCTGCTCCGCCGACTAAATCGAATTATATCAAAACAAAAGTAGAGAAAGAACTGATGTGAGTTTACCGTTTGAAAGGCTTACCAACGCGAGGAAGGTCATGGACATGCCAGACTGCAAGATGATGATGATAATTACCAAGCCGTCGGGGTGGTTGAGGGCAGTAGGGGAAGGAGCCTGGTTGTTGGTAACTCTCAGTCCAGGGGCAACGTTTACCCCTGGTTCTGGCTTCCAAGCCTCGTAGCCACTATACTCCCGGACCATCAACTGATCCGACACGATCACACACTTCCACCCATTCTGAGCTGCACTGTTCACATAAATCATACGAGAATTAAAAAGATGAGTGCCAGTGTTCAGTGTGTAAGCAATAGAATGTCATATCAATCAGAAAAGCAAGCATCCAAGACTTACAAAGAGTCGGCTGGGGCTGGGGTAAGGATAAAAGTCCGGTCGAACGACTTGCGGGTAGAGTTCGGGGAAGGACCAGGTCTATATTCTTCGAACTCGCCGTGCACAGACGCAAAGATACAGGTTTCCGTAGGAAGGAGCCCTCGTGTCTGCCATGCATCGACACATATCTTGCTGTCGTCCGACAAATCATGAATGGTCTTGGGGAATTTTATCAGAGCTTGAAGAATGATCGCCTCGTTGCCCATAAACAGCCTTGATTCCCGCGATGCTACATTAAAGGAAGGTATGAAGTTGGTTTGATACCATGATCTAAATATGGCCACTACAGGAACTTCGAAAGGAACAAACAATACTTACAAGTTTCCTTGAGGGTTTTAAAGTTGCGAGAGTGAGAAAGGTATTCTGACCAGACGGACCATTGCAGAGCTGTATCAATTTGGTTCCGTTGACCGCCGCTCGATTGTTGCAATAGTTGGTTCGATAACTCCTCCGGCAAGGCCACCGTACACGAAAAAATCGCATCGGGTTTGTAAACATATCCCAGATTCACGCGCTCCTCCGAGTCAAATAGCCCAAAGTAACTATTGGGCAGGAAGAAAAACTTGCCAGTCAGCATCGGTCAAGGTAACGTAGCCTGGTACCACATATGTCGATAGGATAGTCGCGGACACACGTTGTACCTTGTAAGGAACTCAAGGACTGTTGCGCGTGTATCCGGTTCGCCGAAATAGTTGCCACGGATAGGCACTGGGAGCGCAACCTTGCCCAATGGAATATTACCCAGGTTCACACCGAACGAGATCCTGAAAACATTTAGGTTGTCCAGTCGAGTGATTGACTTGGCCAGCTCTGCCACTTTGCTATCATAAGCGTAAAAGAAGGAGAGAAGAAATGTTAAACATTTATGACAACGGACTTTGCACGGCGGCATGTATGAAAGAGTCGCTACCCTCAGTGGCGAGAAAGTACCTTCTGTAATCGGTATCGTTACTATGGGCTTGGACATCTTTGTCCCGCACGGGATTGTCCTCGAGGATGAGTTCTTTCAAGAACGGGAGTTTACCATCTCCGCAGATGTGCCAAAGCTCGTCGAACGAGGAAATGTTGTTACCTTTCAAAGATAGGTTTTGTAGGTTTGGAAAGTACTGGTTGAGGGATGAAATCGACTGCAATGACGATAGACCATTGTGCGCCAGCGAGATCGTAACAGCCTTATATGAGCATAAAAAATGCGGTAGTTAGCAGGTTATCGTCGCTCAGACACAAACGGCGGACACAATGTTGTTAGAAGAATGAAGTACAAGTAAATTACATCAGGGAAGTGTTGGGCTGCAGTCTTGAAGAAGAGTGGTCCGGTGTCATGACGGCCAGGGTTCTGTCCAGGAGGGGTAACATGACCTTGACGAAGGATGGGGTCCGCCGCCATTCTCTCCATATTCAAAAAGCCATTATGGTGACACGAATGGATGTATGCGCGCACAGTTTCAATGGTAGCATTGTTGTACTGAGTCCTGTCCTGGCGATCTCCGCCTTGTCCATCCAAAGCTGCGCCTGCCGAGGTCGTGATCACAAGCTATTGGCCAAATGGAACAATGGGCATATGTGCATAAGTATGATTGCCAAGTGACGCGCTTTATGGCATGTGTACCTGAAAAAACAATGAGGTGTGAAAGTGTACCTTGTGTGTTTTGAAGCGAATACCCGAGAGATTGCGAAGCGCCCTGGCCTGGTCAAGGTCCCCGACATGGTATGAAACGGTGTCGTTTCTGAACATTGGCTTCATGTGTGAGATATTGTAAACGTGATGATAATAAAAGACGCGTTCAGCTCCTAGTTGTTCCTAACGTCAATAGACAATGCGGATCTTGAAAGCACACCATGTTTCTTTGTCTCTTACGTTGGTCAGGTTGACTAAGGTTGGTTGGGCTTGCTGACAAAGAAACGCAGACAGGCCTGGGTCGTTGATCACATCTTGTGCACCGTTCCCATTGGTCTGGACTCTGATCTATTTAGTTGGAGGGTTGGTTGGTTGGTTGGGACGGTTAGAACGCGGCGATTGTTGGGCTGAATATCGTTTGTCTGTTGGATAGGAATAGTCCCTTCAAAGGATGAGCAGAGGGAAGCGACTTACATAGACGATGGCACCGTTGCGGCGCTGACCCTGACCGTTCCCTTGCCGGTTGTTATTGCTGTGTGAGAAACGAGTGCGCCACTGTCAGTTGTCTGTTTAAATCTGAGCACAGAAAACTCTCATTTGTTATAGAACACTTGCGTGTGATGTGTTCACCATATCCAACTTACAAATTATTTCCTAGGCCACTGCCACTTCCTCTACCGCCTCCTCGGCCATTGTTGTTGCCGTGCTTCATATTCATGTTGGTTCGTGCTCCCAAGCCTTGGACAAGACCACCACCACCTCCTCCTCCTCCTCCTCCTCCTCCTCCTCCTCTTACACCACCCCCACCGTGTCCACCTCCATGGAAATCACCACCACCACCGCGTCCACCTCCGTTAAAGTCGCCACGACCACCGCGTCCACCGCGACCTCGACCACGGCCACCACCGTTTCCACCGTTGATATTGTTATAGCTATTGTGATTGTGATTGTGATTGTTGTTGCCTCCTGACCCTCCTGGCCAACCGTTTATAATGGCTCCGAGATGGTTGGTGTTGATGCTTATGGGATTTCCATTGCCATTGCCATTGTAGTCGTGGTTGTCATTGAATGCTCCTCGACCTTCGCCTCCGTTGTTGGAGTGTTGTCCACCTCTTCCACCGCGGAATGTACCTCGTCCACGCTCTCCTCTTCCTCCGTTGGGGTTGTAGTTACCTCCTCCTCCTCGAAGCATGGCGCGTAAACTGTTTTGTGTAAGGGTTCCTGAGTTATTGGTTGATGGAACGCGTGGCTGGTTGCAAGGATGTGAAGAATGAGAGTATTAGATGAGAAGTGCTGCGAAAGCGTGAGTTGAAGCAAAGTAAGAGGAAGACAAAAGAAGGGGAAAAAGCAGAAAGGATAAACGTTCCAAGCTTTCCTTTTTTCTTCAGGTGAACGTGGGTATTCCACTCCGCAAGGGCGTAGTCAGACTTGTTCCTTGTTCCTGACCCTGTCTCCTGTGACGCCAGTCACACTCAATTCGGATATTGCCTTAGAAACTTTTCTTTGTTTGATCACCCCACCACTTCCATCATTCACACCTACAATCGACTAATCAGGACTAAAGCCTGTCCACTCATTCACCATGGACACACCACCCTGGACCAAAACAAGCACACCCCAGTCAACCACTACCGATCCACCCCGTCTACAATCACCACACTCGGCCCACAACAAAGAACAACATGAAAACAACAAAGACAACAACGACAACGACCAGCCCCCACTCGCCACACCCACATCCTTCCCCGCCTTCCCCTACCCAACCCCTTACGCCATCCAAACCCAATTCATGCAACAGCTCTTTGAATGTATTGACCAGCGCAAAATCGGTATCTTTGAGTCCCCCACGGGGACTGGAAAGAGTCTCAGTATGATTTGTGGCGCTGTGTCTTGGCTGTTGGAGCATGACCGTGTTGAACAGGAGCGTGCTTTCCTGGATCAGGATGCCGATAAGAAGCTTTCTACTACTGGTGGTAGTGGTATTATGAACAAAAAGAACAACGACGATACGCCGGACTGGGTCCAGCAACACAGAGCCGTCTCGGATGCGACGATCGAACGACAGGAGCGGGATCGGAGACGACAAGAGTTGGAGGAAAGGGTACAGCGGATCAGGGATAGGGAGAAGAAGATTAGGGAGAGTATAGTCAGGAAACAGAAGCGGCAGGCTGCTGGGGTGCATTCTATTGGAGGGTATCGCCCCCATGCAGGACAGTCCGTCAAGAAGAAGGTAGCTACTCCGCTTGGATATATAGTTCTCATTCTGAGCAGGATATATATCACTTCATTAAAGACTCGTTTGTTAACCAATGTCCGTGTGTGGTGTTTGCTATCTTGTAAACGATTAATAGAAAGACCAAGATTCGGAAGATGATGAGCTGGATGATGGAGCGTTTCTGGTGGACGACTATGATAGCGATGACAACAAGAAGGGCGGGCGGTCATCTAAGGGTGGCAGCTCTGAATACGGGAACGTCTCCAAAGAAGTTTTGGAACTGTTGAAAAGGTAATGTCCTATCAACGAGATACGCGTTTCTTGGTACATTGACAGCGAATGTATGCTGACTGGAATGAATTTGATCCGCATATGTTTTGCCCAATCATAGTTTTGATGCGAAGGAGGCGGCACATAATGGGCGGCGATCGGGATCTGGACTAGATGATGAAAACCAAGGGCCCGATGTTCTCAAGGTAACCCTTTTACCCTGTCCAAAGGTGATAGAGCACGTTACTCGCGTGCAGATCTGAAAATACTGACACCATGTCAACCATTTACTGGACCAGATCTACTATTGCTCAAGGACACACTCACAGTTATCCCAATTCGTCGACGAGTTGCGCAAGACTTCCTATGGTGAACACCTCCACGTCGTCTCCCTTGGTTCCCGCAAATCCCTTTGCATCAACGACAAGTTCCGCAAAAAGGCTTCCACCAAAAACCCTCACTCTGCATCAGGAGAACCTGTTGTTCAAGTCAACAAACTGAATGATGCCTGCCTGGACGCTCAAAAGTCGGGGACTTCTTCTGAACATCGGTGTGAGTTCTTGCATATCCCTTCGTCCACTTTTGGATCTGGAGCTAGTCGGATCGGTGGTCTGGATGATGAGGTGAGTGGTCTGGAGTCGTGGAAGAGGGGGAGTAACAGTCTGGAAATGAGTGGAGATGAGAAGCTGTTGGAGTTTCGAGATCATACCCTGGCGCGTGTCCGGGATATCGAAGAGCTAGCACAGCTCGGGTCAGAACTTGAGACCTGTCCGTACTATGGATCCCGTCAGACCGTCCGACACTGTCAACTGGTCACTCTCCCTTACAACCTGCTCCTCCACTCGTCTACCCGCGAATCTCTCAAACTGGTCATCAAGGATAACATCCTCCTCCTGGACGAGGCGCATAACCTGATCAACAGTCTTTTGCAGATGCATTCGATCATGATCACGTTGCCGCAGGTTATGTTAGCGCAGGATCAGCTCCGGATGTACTTAGTCCGGTATGAGAGTCGACTGTCGAGTACGAATGAGGGGTATATCCGGGTGCTGATGAGGATCTTGCGGTGTCTTGTGGCGTTTGTTGAATCCTGGAAAGATAGACCTTCCTCTTCAGGGAGCGCGACGGCAGCCATAAGTAATGGTGAGAAGCGGTCGTTCAAGCCGGCAGATCGGGTGATGAAGGTTAATGAGTTTCTGCACGCTGCCAACATGGACCATATCAACCTTTTCAAGGCACATGCATACCTGGAGACCAGTGGCGTGGCAAGGAAACTCCAAGGGCTTCATGAGTCATTACAGAGGAAGGAAGCCAAGAAGTTGGCCAAGGCCGAGGGACGGGTGGGTAATAGTGCCGCTGGTCGTGTCAAGATCCATCCAAGCGCCAGTCATTCCAATTCTTCAGCAGTGGGCTCTCAAACTCCCAAACAAGGCGTCCAAAAGTCGACCTCGCCTATTTTGTTGGTGGTAGATGCATTCTTGATGAGTCTGTTGAATGCGGACAACGATGGACGTGTTATTGTGACGATGGAGGACGATGGAGTAGAAGGTGGTGGCAGCCTTGACGATGGAGGAAGCGATGGCGGCGGTAGCAGGCAGACAGGATCTCTTTCAGGACGAGAGAAGGCGCAAGTCCCAGTCCTCAAGTTTATGCTTCTCAACCCCGCCAACGTCTTCAGGCCCTTGGTAGAAGAAGCCCGGAGCGTCATCCTTGCAGGAGGAACCATGGAACCCGTCTCGGACCTCCTGTCCCATCTCTTCCCTTACCTCAAGGATCCTTCTGCTTCCTCTTCACTGACTAACAGTTTGACAGAGAGGCAATATCCAAGGATCCACCGCTTCACATGTGGACATGTCATCCCCAAGGAGAACTTGATGGCGATTGTGCTGGAAAAGTCGTCTGTAGGATCAACGCTCGAGCTGAACTTTGCCAACCGCAACCAAGACCAGGTCATTGACGGGATCGGACAGTCGTTGGCGAATCTGCTGAACGTGATCCCGGATGGTGTGGTTGTGTTCTTTGTGTCGTACTCGTATATGGCTCAAGTTTTGGCGCGGTGGCAAGTCAAACCTCCTGCTGCTACTTCTGGTCCAGGAGGCGTAGGTAGAGATGGAGGTGGAGGTGGGGGGGTGTTGGCGAGCAAGAGTATCATGGAGAGAATCCAGCTGCGGAAACGCGTTTTTGTCGAACCCCGAGAAGCTACTGATGCAGATCGGATGCTGAAGGAGTATCAGGACTGTATCGAGTCCAGACCTGAGCACGATCTTGGTCAACCGACGACAGCTGCAGGACCTCGTGGGGCGGTGCTGTTTTCGGTGGTTGGAGGAAAGATGAGCGAGGGGATCAACTTTTCAGACCGGTTGGGTCGTGGAGTCATTATGGTCGGCATGCCCTTCCCCAACAAGGGGTCCCCTGAACTCCAGGAGCGCATGCGGTACATGGATCAAGTCCAACAACAGGAACTACTCCTCCTCCAATCCTCTTCCTCCCTCACACCAGCAAGATCCTCGACGTCGATGACACGAATGACGGCAGGAAGCGAGTACTACGAGAACCTGTGCATGCGAGCCGTGAACCAGTCGATCGGACGAGCGATCCGACACCAGGGCGATTACGCGGTGATTATCTTGATGGATCGACGGTATGGTACCCCTCGGATCCGGAAAAAGTTGCCCGGGTGGATTGGAAGCTCGCTGGAGACTTGTGAGCAGTTTGGGCCGGTGATGAGTAAGCTGTCTGGGTTCTTTCGTCAGAAAAAGACGGCAGCTTTAGCCAGCGCGTCGCGTCGATAGTTGGTTGTATTAAAAAGCCGTTGCCCAAGATCAGATCAATCTTTAATCTCTTTTGTCCGAGGGTGACTGTTTGTGATTGATGCCTCTGTGGTCATTTTTTTGCCCTGTGTCCCTCGGCAAAGCAGCTGTCCACCCTTCCTCCTTACCACTTACCTCCCCTCCCTTCTCTCCCCTCCCTTCTCTCCCCTCCCTTCTCTCTCCCTTTTAAATGACGTCCACGATACCAACAGCACCGGACGGATACATCCACGCCGGCCCTGTCTCAGACTTCTTACCAACCCCCTCCTCTTCCTCCTCTGCATCAGAAACCAATGGTGATTCAGGAACGGACAATCCGAATGACCAAGGCACGACCTCCGTCTGTCCTGCAGTCAGTGCACCCACCACCCCCACACTCGCCACCACCACCGCCACCACAACAACGGCAACAGAGACATTAAAGGCGAGCTGTAAAACACAGGGAGAGGAGGGCCAATTGATAAAAGTGATCGAGGTCTCACAGCCGGCAGGTCGGTACCCGCCAGTGAAGCGGGTTGCTGTCAGTTTCTTCCATAACAAGTGGTATGCCTTTATTAATGTAAGTTCTTTCTTCTGTGCTGTGCCTGTGTGAGGCTAGCGCAGTCGGGCGTTGTTGTTATTGTTGGTGTCGAAAAGTTCTCGCATATAAATTGATAGTTGAATTAACAAGGAGGGTTTGGGATGTTTTGATAGATTTGTCCGCACCAGGGGTCGGCATTGTCGAAGGGCACGATGACAGATATTGAGGACATGGGGATCATCTGGGGTGCCGGGGTTACCTGCTCCCTCCACAACTGGTAAGGATCACTCTCTTCTTTGGCTTCATTCATACCCTTGTCACCCTCGCCACTATGTCTTCTCCCTCGAAGCGCAGAACTTTAACTAACCCTCCTCCTTTTCTCGCGTGCAACGAATGTAGGACGTTTGATGCGTCGTCGGGACAGTCGGACTCGACGCGGTTTGTGATCGACACGCACGACGTGAAGGAGATTGACGGTCATGTCTTTATTAGCCAGAAACCCAAGAATGCTCACATCGCCGGGCAACGGCGAGACTTTGGCGGTCGCGAGATGAACTAAAGCTCTTTCTTTTTTCCTTGTCTCCGAAGGTCAGATCCATTATCATTAAATACAAGGGGTGGTTGTTTTTTTTGTTTATTCTGTTGAAGAAAAAGAGGGTTGTTATTGTTGTTGTTGCTGTTGGTGTGTTAGAACGATGGTATGTGTATGAGCGAAAAGAAAGACGGGGTGAATTTAGAGCTTGGCGGCGTTCAACTTCTTGAGACGGTCCCTCGCAATAGCAACCATATCATCCATAGCCACCTTCATCTCAGCCTCCTTGGTCGAGTTCCTGATCCTCTCTTCCATGACCGGAATAATCACACTCCTAGGCCGTCCATTCACAAAGACCACAAACTTGAACCCATACTTGGCCTCATACTCCTCATTCAACCTCTTCAAAGTCCTCTGCGTCTCCTTATCATCCGCGCTCGGCGTAGCGGTCGCATCCACTTTCTTGGCAGCATCCTCAGGTGTATACCCTTGTTCGATTAACGAGAGAGCGGAGAGGTTGGCTTTTGCGGCGCCGATCCGGGGATGGGCATTGATAACGTCCAATTGTTCTTGCAGGGTGAGGTATTTGTCAGGGTTGGAGAGAAGGACTTCAGTCTCGTCGATCAAGGAGGAGAAGGAGGCGTAAGGTCGGTGGGAGTAGAGGTGGGCGACGATTGGAGGTGCGGGCTCGAAGAGGAGGGTGACGGCTGAGGAGAGGTCTTGGAGGGTAGCCTCGGTGTTGATGAATTCGATTGTTGGGAGTGCGACTGGTGCTGCTGCGTGTGTCATATTTGGTATACTTGGTTGTTTTGGTGATGAGAGTGAGGGAAAGGAGGAAGAAAGGAAGAAGAAGAAGAAGAAGAAGAAGAGAAGAGAGAAGATTAGGAGGAGAATAAAAATCGGTTGTGAATGACAGCGAGGCATGAGGAACGAAATGAACGAGGACTGATTCCTGCCCGCGTATGTGTCTCTTCTGAGTAGAATAATTCCAGGGGAATCATGAGAAGAGAAAGTGAGGGAAAGGTAAAAAGTGGTTTAGTCCAATCCCGTGTAACGATAATGCATAACGACGGATCGGAGCCTTTACTTTTTCAATAGCGATAAAAGAGTGGGTGGGTGAGAAGAGGACTCCAGGTTCGTCCCCCGTCCTGTCTGCATGTGGGCGAATTAGGAACAAACGCGGGGAGTGTAATGGAGAGAGTGGGTGGGATATTTTCTTTTCTATTTTATTCCGCCCTTTTCTTTGCATGCTCACAACAGCACACACACAGCTTGAGACGACGACAACTACGCACTCAACCACAATTCATCGGCGTTGTTAACGAGACCTCCTTCTGATGCACAACAACGGAAGAGAAAGACAAATGAAGTTAGCGATGGAGACCACAACAGTGGTCATGAAAAGTATCTTCGAGAAAAGTTATGGGTCACTCGCTATTCATGCATTGGGAGAAAGAAAAAAAGGGGGGACATTATTTGCATGGTTGAAAAGTATCCCACGGTCTATCACTTTCCTTCTTTGCTCAAATTGACCCATCACTCCCAACAATGCACACAAGGACAGTGCAGGAAAGACAAACAACAGGAAGAGTACCAACGATCAATGGAAGAGAGCAAAGGAGTTATAAGGGTACTGTACAGGGTTGTTTTTATTATTTAGATATGTATCATGGCGGTGAAGACGAGGTGCAAAGTGGGTATGGGTGATCTGTATCTCTCTCTATTGTTCAAACACACACTCCTTTGCTTTAAAGACGAGCACTGAGGGAGCGGGCAACGGTGGCGGTAATGAGACCGGATGGGTCAGCGACGGGCTGGTAGACATCAGCATGCTCCTGCAAGTTCTTGGTGCCACGGAAGTAGTTCAAGTCGACGGCAAAGAAATGGCGGTTGGGAAGAGCATAGGAGACACGCTCCAACCACTTCCAGTTGTTGATCGACTTGGCAGCCATCTTGTACAAAGTAGCCTGGACCGACGCAGACTCATCCTTGGCAAAGATGTCGCAGGTGACATCACGGACAGAATCGTAGATGGTGTTGAAGGGGATCTGGCCGAGGGTCGAGAGGACGTTGACAGAGTCGACGGCGGGGACGTTGAACTCCCAAGTGGCGTCGACACAGGTCGAGAGGACGCGGTCCTTGGCCTCGGGGAGGGTGGTGTACTCGTCACGGACGAAATCCTCGAAGGAAGATCCGGTGGTCTTGAGGACAAGGAGACCGGCGATGGAGGATTTGAGGTCAATGGTGCGGCGGCCCTTGCAGTTGGGTCCACGCTTAATAAAGATCTCGGTCTGGCGGGTCTCGTCACCATCGCGCCAGAAGGAGTGGTTGTGCTCCTTGCCGTCGATGATCATGCGGGCCCAGCGGTGGCGGATGATGGTGACGTGGGCGCCCTCGACCCAACCGTAGGTGTTCAAGAAGTGGTTGGCGAGCTCGGCGGCAAAGAGCTCGAGGGTGTCGACGACCTTGGAGGACTTGGCGAGGATATAGCAGGTGTTCTTGATAGAGTCGGTGGCGACGACGGCCTTGTTGGACGCCTCGGTGTAGGAGGTGGTGAAAGAGGAGCCGGAGAGGAGGCAGCGGATGGTGAGGTCGTCGACGCGGTGGACGTTGGTGTCCTTGTGCACCTTGAGGAGGCGGACCTTGTCCTTTCCGTACTCCTGCTTGTCGAGGTAAACGTTAACGGTGGCAGTCATCTTTGTTGTAGGTGTTGGTGAGAGAGAGAAAGAGGAGGAGTGAGTGGAGTGAGGTTGTATGGATAACGAAGAAGAAAAAAACAAGAAAAAAGAAGGAAGACGATGTAGTTTTTATAAGGATCAGAAATAAGTGAGACCAAGTGAAATTGATTGGCTCTGATACGAACAATCAGATGTCTCCCTTTCCCCGGATATTTTTCTTGTCTGGTTGAAGTGTGCTGTGGATCATCCAGCACAGGTTCCCACCCTGAACGAACTGCCTGTACTTGGTCATGCCTGAGGGAAGCAAGGCGACGTGCCTGAGTAACTCTGCTCACACACACACACACACTCACTCACGCCCTTCCTGCATTGCACTCTCACGTACAAGATAAAGAGGTGGAGGCATGACCCACAGCGATGCAGCCATACAGCCATGCAGACCCACATTTTTTTTCTCTGCTTTCACCCGCCGACCGGGCAGTTCGGGAGATTCAATCGGAAAAAGAAAACTGACCGGAATGAAAAATTAAGGAAGGAATCACACGGCAACAACAAAAACTGGGTTCATTTCGAAAGTGTGGGGTAGGAGGAAAGACAGGACCCGATCTACATTTCATTTGTTGACGTACATATCCAAAAAAAAAAAAAAAGGAAGACGACCCCACTTCGTTGTCGTACTCCCCTCCTCCGTTCCATGCATCCATTCCATTCCTTCTCCTCCATCTACCCCAGCGCCCCTCTCTTCCTTACAGCCGTAGAGACTCCACCTTCCACCCTATAGAACAATCACCACTTCCCTCATCCATTGTCCTCCTCCCTCCCTCTCACAAGAAAAAAGATCGGCTAACCTATCAAAGAAAGAAGCCAACAAGGTAAAAGCCGTCACCTAACCCCATTGCTCAATTGCTTCTTCCTTCTGAACTCTGTTAACATAAAGGCAATTAGTGGAATGCGGGGAACACTTTCTCTGCATTCTTGCATTGCACTATTAGTCGTTGTGTCTGTGTGCCTGGGCAACTCATTGGCAAAACATATCTCTTGATCGCAAAACAGAATAGCCGAGCCAATTGCGCTGTTACTGCCTTTGAATGCGACTTTTTTCAAATCGTCATTTGCATTCTGCTAAAACAACCACCCATGAAGGTACTCCCTCTTCCGCCTAGCAAAACGCAATCCTACGTATTTCCATCTCCCCGCAATCGAACGTCGCATTTGTTTATCCCAAGTATCGAAAACTATGTCTCTCAACCTTCAACCTTCCGCTGCCTCTACTCACAGCCCTTGGATCCCTAGGAAGAGCTGTGAGTGAAACCCGTTGTTTACCTTGACCGGCACACTCATCCACACCCACAAACACTGCATCATCCGTAAGAGCCGTAGAAAGGGTTGGAGAGGTAGAGTCTTCCTAGGAGCGAAAAAGGACGTACGTTGCTTAGGAAGAAAAATAAATAGAAAGAAACGCGTTCATCGCCAAATCAAAAAAATGTAATGTGTAACCCTCCTGCACCTAACCCACCTCGCCGACACTTGGTAAGACGAAAGAGACAAGCACTGTTGCTAGTTATAAAAATACATGGAGAGGAGAAGGTGAGGTGAGAAGAGGGACCTATGGGATGTGACGAGTGAAAGAAGAATGACTACCCTGCCTTGTGTGATCCTTTCCTGCCGCCCATTTGACTAGTAGAGTAGTAATACATACTTTTGACGTTTTCTCAGCAATGGACGTGTGAAGAACAGTTGGAACGAGTTTCAAGCATCCACGGTTGGATAGAATTGGATACAATCATGGGCAACTTCAACCTGCTCTTGACACTATTTCAGCATGGAAGCCGCCAGCAATGATGGACAGAGTGAGGTAGAATGCAGAGTGGAAGTCGGTGCCGCTGGAGTCCTTGTGGCGGCGGGAGAACCTCTTCCGGCGCTCTGAGGTCATGATACTTTAGACGTGTCACACACACAAAAGGTCCCCCTCTCGTCCACCTCAAAGAAGATTGACGTTCAACAATAAGTCGATCACCTTCCAGGCACCATCGACCTCTGCCACTGATCTCGATTCGATCTCGCCGTTGCCTGCCAGGTCCGCCCCCTCCTCGACCGAAAAATAGAAGTATGGATTAAAAACAAAACGCGTCTCTTCGACATCATCATTTCTATTCATGATATATGCGAACCAGAAGCGAAAACACGAAAAAGAAAACGAGTTGACTGCCAAATGAAGGGCGAAGAACATGTTTGGGTCTTGGTTGGACTCACTCTCAATGCTTGCATCCGCTCTCATCTATCGCACACCATTCTCTCCGACCCTATCATTTTCTTTTCTCGCTGCTATTGTTGTCAGGTCTGTGTCGATAGTCTCTTTGAAGTAGATGATGAATAAAGTATCCGTACGCGAGTGACAATTATTAGGCTGACTGGCTTCTATTAACTTTTTTTGACCATCTCGCCTCGTTCCTTATCACATATACTAATTGTGCAACGAGTTACTCCCTTTGATGTGAGTGACATTAGTACACACTTTCTTCCAGAGAGAGGTTGAACTGTTGCTGTTGAAACGGTCGATCCCTTGGTGTTTTGCTGTTAAATAGGCAGGAGATGGGGAGGGTGTTCGATCAATTTCTTAATTCCTTTTTTTCTTCCTTGCACTTTTTTTCCGCCTAACATGGATGGGTGGAGGTCGTCAAGCCTATACCCGTAATGAATGGTAGAAGAAGAAGGGAGAAAGAGCTGTGTGTGTATTGGGCGAAAGAATAAAAAAAATAGCTAACACCAAATGAAACGAACAGAACGAAAAAGAAACATGGTAGAATAGAAGGGAAAGGAGTGGTAGTGAGTTAAGTATGTTAACGAGTGATTGTTTACTATGAAAGAGGTAACGCAGGACGAAGTTGTTGAAGAATAGAGGATTATTCTTTGTTTGAAAGTAAAGTAAAGGGGAGAGAGAGGTAAAGAGAAGTACGTTCTCATGCCTCTTTGGCCGCATATGCAAGGGCGTCAGAGGAAGGGAATGTCATTTTACCATCTTTGTTATTGTTGTTGCGGCTGGTAACGTAAAGTCCTGTTAGACTGGTGTAAGTGAGTGGGGAGGTGAGCATGCCTAGTTCCCTTTTCTTGTCCTGCGAGACGAGACTTGAGTACTTGGTGACAAACAGCGCAATCATGATCTTCAAATCGTGCACAGCCAAGAACCGACCAGGGCATGTAAACCTACGAGCAAGAAAGCAAAATGACGCACTCCGTCAGTACGTTATCGCGCGTTGCGGGGATAGTACATAATGAAACAATAAAAACAAAAAAACAAAGGGGACTTACTTTCCGAGACCGAAGGTCATGTAGTCTTTGGTGGCCTTGGCAGCACCAGGGTTCTTGCCCAGAAACCTCCAGGGATGGAACTCTCTCAGATTATCGCCGTGGACCTTGTCCTGATGAACCGATCGCATATTAACAATGACCTTCTCGCCTTTACGAACGACATGCCCTGTCGACAACATCACATCCTTGCGTGCCAAATGCGAACTTGCCAGACGCTCGATCCGGTGCCGGAACATCTCCTTCAGGAACGAGTCCACTTTGACAGCTCTCTTGACCACAAACTCTGTGATCTCGCGATCCACCGAGGGATCCAGATCGGTGCCCTCAAATGAGGACATTGTTCCTTTCTCGTGGTAGCTCTGACGCTGCTCCTCACGGTCCTTTGCTTGCTCATCGAACAGCGCCTCGACCTCTTCATACAGTGGCTGGAGCGAGTCCGGAAACGCCGCTAAATAAAACAACACGTTCATCCCAGCCTCCAAGGTAGTATGCATGCTCGCCAGGATCAACAGGATCAAATGCCCACAAATGTCCTCCAAATCCACAAACCCATACTCGTCCACATTATCCAACATCCTCTGCAACATATCCTGGGGCCGATCATACTCGACTCCTTGCTCAGCAGCCAGGCGCTCTTGTTGACGACGCTGTTCGACAACGGGTTGAGCGGCCTCGAAAAGGACCTGACGGTGCTTGTGCATGGCGCTGAGATATCCATATTGGGCCTTGTTCTTAAGGATTCTGTTGGTGTCACGGGTTTCGGTGTTCTGGTTGATGATCTTGCCGAAATCGTGGGTGCAGTTGATGAACGTCTGGAGTACCTGTGTGTTCTCGGCAATCTCAGATCCCATGAAAATCTGCGCCACTATGGTTTGTCGTTGTTTTTCCCAATGGCGGCAATGGGGAAGGACGAAATCATGCGAAAGTGAAAGTTTAGAAGAAAGAATGGTGGAGAGGAGAACAAACAAAGTGAGCAGTTAGTGAGCGAAAAGAAAGAGGAAGAACCATAAAGAAGAAGACGACCGAACGAATAGTGTGGACACAACTTTAAACTGAACAAAGAAGCAAACACACATCCAACACTCTCCATATCGCACACACCTCAAACGCTAAAAAAATTGCGCGTAAGACAGAGGAAAAAAAACACTTACTCGTGGCAGCGACGATATTCTGAAGAGCAACCAGAGGCCATTCAATCAACTTCGGCTCCTCTCCCTCGGACGGCCCAATATGCTGCTCCAGCGTAACAGTCATCCTCTGGACAATCTCGGGCGTAAAGCTGCTCAACTTGGTCGAAACACCCTCCCGCAGCAATTGAAAGTGCAACATTGTGTCGACATCCTTGTGGCTCTTGATCACACTGTGGATGAACGCCCGGTATCCTGTCATATGTTCGACAGCATCTCTGAAGCTGAAATCTTCGTGTAAATGGATCTCTCTGGCTAGCGAAGGGCCTGAGACGACGGTCAGAGACTGGTTTAGGCATTGAATTAGGAAGACAGGGCCATAGGCTTGTTCGCATCGGAGCAAAAATGCATCGGGGTTCTCATTGTACTCGACATCGTGGGTTGAGTCTCCCTCCCGCAGCGATACTTTTGGAATCACCTATGTTCAAGAGGTACAACGAGATACTGGTGTTAAAAATTGCAAGCGTACATAGGTCTGCATGAAGGATGCATGACACTTAGTTAATCAAGTGAAGTGGGGAGGGCCATGCCGTGTCCAGCAAAGTCTCAGACACACACACACACACACGATGGGACATGATGTTCCTATCAATCCCTTCTCTTTCTCTATGTCCCTCCATTTGTTACCTCCTCGGACTCATATTCAGTGCGGACGTTGTTGATGAACAACTGGGCACACAGGTACGCTAGCGAGATGACACCGGCACCGATGGGGATCGCCAGTTTGAGTGTGTTGGCAGAGACAGTGGTTAAGGTTGACATGAGTAGAGATGAGAAGGAGCGAAGGTGAAAAGGGTTCGGAACAAAACTTGAAGGAAAGAAGAGGAGAAGTGGGAGTTGCTTGTAAGAGGAGAGAAAGAAGGATTGAAAGCGAAGGAGAAGAGTGAGAAACGCATTACAGGTTTTCCGACAATAGCAGAGCATTTCCGAGCAGCCTCCTCCCTCCACCTTCCCATACACACTTCGGTCGATTCTGGACCTCGATATCGATGTCGAACCATAGATGCCAAAGTCGATAGCAATCAAAAACAACAACTCCAACAACATAGCAACAAGAACAGGAACAATGCCGACAACAAACAGTGGCGACAACAATAAAAATAACACTTGAACAATTGAACAGGCGATCAAACAATCCAATTGTCTGTGCAACCATAGCTTCTCATTTTTCGTCTTCCTTCCCATTCTTTCCCCATGCCATTGGTCCCTCTTTTGCCAAGTGCTCTCTTGAAGCGAGAGGCTACCGTTTCTTTCCACAGGGCTCTCTTTTTTCTTTTTCTTTTTCAGTTGCACCTTTTCTTCCTGACCCACAACTTATGTCCAATTTGCATGCTTTTGGCATTTCCCCTGCCTTTGTCACTCTTTCTTGGTCTTCAGGCCCTTCCAGATTCATAAAACAGTTTACGCCCCTCGGTCTTGTTTGTGCTACCTCATCTCACCCATCCCATGTCAGTAAAATTAACATCCGTTCGCAACTCTGTGTGTGTGAACCACTCACCTTTCTCTCTTGCTCCTTCGCCTTCTCAGCCAACAGCCCATTTCTATCCTCTTTTGTATTAAACCCAAGGAGCACCTCCCTTCTCCCCGCGGACAACTGCATCCCTGTCGGCAAATAAAAATGTTACACGCGCACATGCTCACGCATGTTGGGGATGATATCAATGGTTGTCATTTTGTTTCTTTTTTGTATGTTTTGAGAAGAGGTGTTTTCTATGGAGAAATAAAAATCTCTTTCTCTTTCATATATGCCCTATGGCGCCTACCACGAATTTATTATTTTATTGAGACGATTCCTTTAGTAAATCGACATTGGTATACAGGACAACATTATTGAGAACTCTCTTAAATCGAATCACTAGCAACAAGCGTCGGATTACCCCCCTCACTACATTCAAGCTACCGTTTGTGTCGTTCACTGAGCCTGAGCTTGCTTCGTTTTTCTGGAAGAGAGAACCGCTAAAGACGAGACTTATGGATCTGGTTGCAAAGGATGGATCCCCCACCAGTACCTTATCCGACATCGCGAGCTGGATCGCTGGCAAGGGTCCCGGGATCATTATCAAGCAGTTCATTGCTGATGTCGCGCCTCAGGTTAAAACGAGCCGTTAGTGGAGGAAGGCCGGTCACCGCGGAGCTGTCAAGCTTCTCAACTTGGAACAGATCAAGTCGCATTTGACAGCTGTTCAAGACAAGTGGGTCGACCCGATCAATTACGCCACAAAAGGATACATCCTGCGTGATTCCATTCGCACGGACGGATTCCAGCTTCAACTTCCCGCCTACAAGCTCTGTGAGCTACAATCAGTACGGTACCGTCGGCTGGAACCTGCAAAGCTGCCACCCAAGTTGACGTCTACGGTTGGAGGCACAGATTACTATCTCCAGGGAATCCGGGGTGTGATAACCTGCAAGGAGGGTATCGAGGAGCTTTGGCCAGGTGTCACTGTCGACAGGATCAAGACTTTGACGTTGGACGGTGGACAAGTATGCATTGTTAATGCCTTCACGGAACTTTCAGAGGCCGTGTTGAGCCAGGCTAAGGGCAAGGAGAATGCGAGCGAGTCATCTATGGAGGACGTCACCACCACCACCACCGTCGCCAGTACCATCGCCGCCGACAATCAGCAATCGATTAATGCGACTACCTCCGCATCGACCAAAAGTCCCCATCCCGTTGCCACAGTCACAAGGGTTACCCGCCTTCTCGTCCAGGATAAAATCTCTGAACCTGGCTGTCAAGCAGAAATCCGTTTACCAACCTACGTTCAGATTCCGGCGCTGGCTTGAGGACGCAAAGCAAGAGCAGGTCTCTGTGGATAGACAACAGGTATCGATATCTGACATCAAGTCTCGACTTCCGCCCCTCAAAGGCCAAGGCTCGAGCGTGATCAACTATGTCCAGAAGCTGGAGCGGGTGGGGAGTGTCTCCAGGAGTTTTATACTGGCTCGGGAAATCTGTACAAGCGGCACAAGTGGGACATGGAGAGGACCCGCGATTATGAGTATCGGCTTATCGCAAATCGCCTCCTTGGGATCGTGGGAGGAAGCCTTGGCAGGCGATATGACCCATCAAATCCTGTTCTCATTGGCGTCGGTCTTGGGAACTTCTCTATCAGGAGCGGACTGTCAGCCCTCAACTCGACCTTTCTCAGCTACTTCATTCAAAAGGTAACCATTGCCTTGAAGGTGTCCATTAGCGGAGAGTTGAAATATTTCCTAATATGGGTCATGCAAGACTTCGTGTACTTGCTTCGGTGACGTGAGAAATGCGTCCACTGTCCCATAAACAACTCGAAAAGTGCGCGTACACAACAACGACTCTCTCTCCTTTCTTGAACACATGTGCAACCGCCATGGGTTTATCTTTTTGGTACCCATTCATACGACGCAAGGGCTACAACCCTGCTCAATTGTACCAGTCGATCGTCGCCAAAGTCGCTCCCAACAGACGTCGCAGACTCGATGTCCTCGGAACATGCTACCGTGTCATTCGCAACAGTTACTCCAACAATCCTCCAGATGTCGCGCACCGTATGCTCGAGAAGGAAGTGAGCCGGTATGGGTCTTCTCTGGATATGTCACTCTATATCGACGGCTATCAAGCAGTGGAAAAGAGTCACACGGCCGCCGAGCGAGAAGGAGTACGGGATAGAGCAATAGAACGCACCACCACACACTCGAGTCCCGTCTGGACAACGGTCTCCGCATTAGAAAACGCCACTTTGTTGACGTTCGGTCGGGACTGACGTCGTCTTTTTACTGGTCTCGGGAAAGTCGCTTGGGATTTGCACAGTACATGCAGAACGCGAGCTGGACTGTCAAAGTTGCCGACACTGAAGCGGACTTGGCCATTGCGATCGATGCGGAGCCAGACGATATTGTCATTTCTAGTGACTCGGATATGATGGCGTACGCCTCCATCCAAACTCTATGGCGTCCCGTATCCGGAGGTCTCATCCTCGCTTACACCGTTCCAGATCTTTTAAAAGCTCTTGGTGTCACCCGTTCCCAGTTGACTGCTCTGGCAGTTGTGAGTCGCAACGACTATAACAGGAACATTCACTCCCTCGGCCCGGCGACTAATTTTTCTATTATCAAGTCCATTGACCGTACAGGTAATGATCAAATGGGGAAATTTTATCCCTTGATATTGATTGCTTTTTCATATGAAATTCTGACAGTCGATATCCTGCATTACTAAATAGACCCGAAGGACATCGTGTTGAGCTATCTATCTAACAGCAGGGTTGTCTCAAAAAACACCAATAATCAGGACTTCGCCTTCTCGACCAGAGTCTTTGTGGATCTCCGACAAACCAGACTTGAAATCGACGGATCCCGGCCCGGTTCTCAGATCCTGTTCCAGCAACTACAGGACCGATTTCAGGATTTCTGCACGCGATATGACCAATATAAACAGAGTCAAACGCGGGGAGTTCAGCTTAAGTAACTATTTACTGTTGGGCCAATCGAGATCAGGCTATATACGTGAACTGTATCTCATCATGTTTGTATTTTTTTAAAAAAATTGATAGGTCCTCCGACGATACTATCGCACGATTGCGAGCTCCGAGCTCTTTTAATCGGTATCGGACTGTCGAATCCCCAGCACCGGTTTCCAAGGACTCTGAATCCTTTCCTCAGAGGCCACCCACTGCTAGTTTGGAGCCTACTGCTTCGACTTCTTCGGATCCGCAAGATCATAGCCATCCGCCATTAACCAGAACACAGATACCTCGACATCGTCAACGATTTTCCTTCAAGGAGCGACGAGGGAACGTGGCTCATGATCCCCCACCCAAGGCCAAGCAATTGGTTTGGAAACCGCCCAAGAAGGCTCCCGAGTCCCCCGACGACACTTCCACCAGCAGCACCAAGAAGGACAGCAAAAAGAAGGATGCAAAGGCTAAGAAGACTCGGGAAAAGCCGTCATCCAATGAAGGATCGAACTCGCACGCGGAGAAGGGCAAGCAAAGTCTCGTGAGGTCTCTCGGCTGGCACCACCCCATATCATCGCTGGAGGTCGGTACTTTGAAGACCAACATCGATAGAGTCTTGACGAATCGGCCTGATCTACAGCTCGAGGTGATCAACTGTATCAGCGAAGGTTCAGAGCTTGCAGTGGATATCAAGAGAAAAGCTCAAGGTCTCATTGGTGGGTTTCTGGAGAAGTTGCGGAATCGTATGAAGGCAGCGGAGGAGTCTAAGCGACAGGAACTGAGGAAATCAGGCAAGACCATGTCGGAGTCGGAGCGGCTGGAGGCACGGCGGGATGCGGTGACGATGGACGAGCGAGATACTCTGGATTATCTGTGTGAGAGGGTTGAGCCCAAAGTCAACAAGTGTGGTGACGACGACGTCGACGACAGTCAGGAGGATTCAGGCGACCTGGATACAGAAGGGAAGGGTAACAAATACTTCCAATTCCTTCTGTCTTTCTTGGCCTACTTGTACTCAAGGAACCTTCCAGACAAGAACTCGAAAATCGGAAAAGTCGTCAACACCTTCATCAACATCCTGGTAGGGCTTCAACTCTTCGACATCTGTAGAAATCGAAACGAGCTCAACGAAAGAATGCCGTTCACGGCGAGCTATCTGGTGCGGTCCGTCGCTGGACAGCTCTCGGTGGAACTGAAGAAGATGTATAAAAATGGCACCCACCTTTTGTATGATCAGGTAAGGATACCAGGGCTATTAACAAAATGGGCTGAAGTTCATTGCTGCAAAATATATAGCTCATGCTTCTTAACTTTTCGCTATAGGTCAAGACCTTGAAGGAGAAGGGACGACTAGAGGACCATATCGATATCCGGATTCAGGAAAACATCTCGGCCGCGGAAAACTACCTTGCCCTCAACGAGCTCATACCGAACAGCTGGTGACTCGCTCCCATCACCTCCTCGCAGCAACCGTTTGTGACATTCTCGGAGCGAGAGCTGGCACTTTTCTTTTGGAAGCGACCCTTGTTGAAACAGAGACTGGTCGAGCTGGCCTTCTCGGACGAAGATAGTACCACCCTCACGTCTACTAAGGATCTCGAGGACTGGATCGGAGGGCGAGAGCCTGGGGTTATCGTCAAGAAGTTCATCTCCGACATTGATCCAGTTGGGCTGTCAAACCGTCAAAAGCGCAAGACTGGTCATCGCGGGGCCATCAAGCTGCTCTCCTTGGGTCAGATTCGGGATCATTTGGAGTTGGTTGAAGAGACAAAGCCAAAGGACTATCATTATAGCGGCTACATCCCTCAAGGATCGATACGGACGGACGGTTTCCTGGTCCAGGTTATGGCCTTCAAGTTGCGTGAACGACAGGACGCTCGATTCAAAAGACTGGCCGAGGAGGATATGCCCTCACGAATCACTACAACCGTTGCAGGGGTTAACGGTTTCCTTCAGGAAATTCGGAATGTGATCAAGAGCGAGCAGGACATCAAAGAACTTTGGCCTGGAAAGGACGTGGACAGGATGAAGATTCTAACCTTGGATGGGGGCCAAGCGTGTGTGGTTGGCGCGTTCGCACATCTACCCAATGGCTTGGGTGGCAAGGAGAAGGCTGAGGAGGAGTCCAGCATGGACGAAATCATCACCACCAACCAAGAATCGACCAGCCTCGCCAGCCAAGGGTTAGCGTCCGTGGATCCAGTGCCCGCGTCAGCCTCCACCATCACCTCTGCGCAGCCTCCAGTAACGGATTCGCTCGTGACCATTTCGAGACCTGCCTACTATAACTTGGCGGTGAAGCAGAAGGCCGTATATCAGCCAACATTCCGCTTCAGAAGGTGGCTCGAGAACGAGAAGATAGCTACACTACAAGGCGACGAGGAGAAGTCGATTACTTACATCGAAACCCATATGCCACCTCTTCGAGGACAAGATGCGAGCGTTATTGAGTATGTGACAGAGCTGGAGCAGGTCGAGCAACGGCTGAAAAAGTTCTATACTGGAGACGACCATCGGTATCAAAGACATCGTTGGGATATGGCACGGGCCCGACAAGCAGAGTATCAAACGATCGCGGAGAGACTGCTTGGGATTGTTGGTGGTAGTCTAGGTCGGCGTGTGGAAGATAACAAGGACACCGACCCTATCCTAATTGGCGTTGGTCTTGGACAGTTCGCAAGCAAGTCTAGGCTCTCGTCCCTACACTCGACCTTCCTAACGTACTTCATTCAGAAGGTAGGCTTGTTTTTATCGATACCTTTGATACAAGGCACTGCAAGTGAATGTCATTGAATGAAAAAAAAACTAACATGGTTATTTATTCGCGATTTTCAGGCACGCTCGTTGGGCTATGTGGTTATTGGCCTGAACGAGTTTTATACCTCGAAGAAGTGTCCGAGGTGCACTCACTTTGTCGCACAAGTGACCTTACGGACCTTCCACTGCTTCCACTGCCAGATATACCACCACAGAGATGTCATGGCAGCCGAAAACATGTCCAAGATCGCTCTAGGACACCTGGTGAGGCAGGAGAGACCCGATTACCTCCAGCCTATCAACGCAGATGGAACGTACCCTTGGAAGGCTAGGTCTGGCGAGGGATCCGGTACAAGTTCGAGCAGTATGGCCACCGGCAGCACCCCCACCGATCGAGTCCCAGGACGTCGCAAGAGGGCCATTACCGCTTCCAGTCAGGATCAGGGCAGGAAAGGCAAATCGGCCCGAGCTTAGACTAGTTTTTTACGCGTGTGCGAAACCACGCATTAGTGATGGATTGTGGGGCTGGGTTCTACGATGGCGTTACTTCGGTGACGTCATTTTGGCGCCCATTGTCCTGCAGCCATGCGCTCATTCTTCTATTATCATACGACACCGCTTGGTGCTTCTTTCACCACTCACCAAAGTAATCCACGTCCCTCAATGGAGCAACCTTCCGATATCATCCCTCATCTTTCGACGGATCTCAGAGCTATTCATGATGGCCTACAAACCCAACTACAAGGATTGTCAGAGGTCCTTGCTCATCGCAACCTTTTCATTTACAACCAAACTACACAGCATTACACCACGCTTGTCGACAAGTTCATGCACGTTCTCCAACAGTACCTCGACAACACACTACTCGACCTCTTCCGAGTAATCGATAACATTTCAAGCCTGATGAGGATTTACGACCGAGACCTCGACATATTTATCCACCATAAAGCATCTACCATTTCAGGCGTGGAATCGTGCATACAAAAAGTCGAGGCGCTGATCGACCAACACTCCAACACTATTAGCGAGTTATCCATCACTTCTTTCGAGATCGCCGAACTCATTAAGGAATATGAAGCCGAAGCCGACAACCATTCAAATGGCTCCGTGACGGCAAAGATTGTTTCTGCCAGTCTGGCCGTAACAGGGGCCGTAGCGAGTGCTGGTCTTGCAGTCATGGCCCCACCCTTTGCCATTGGTACATTCGTTTTGTTAGCAGGAGGTGGTGGAGGAATTAGTGGTCTTATCTCTCTCCACGACCAACACAAGTCCGATATCTATACCACCGCAGCAGCCAATCTCAACATAGTCCAAAGATGCTCCGAGGGACTCCAAGCACCTATCTCCGCGATTTACAAAAAACTTGGAAGCAGCAAACAGTCTCTGCTGTACATCAAAGACGACACCTCGACTGCAACTTCTGACAACCAGCCAGACTTCATTCGTCGTGACTCATACATGGCGGCAAGAAAGGAGGCTGAACAGATCATACAAGTGTGCAGCGAGATTAGACAGCACGCAGTAGATATTAGAATTTTAAGGGGCCAGCTTACATCCAGAACGAACCTGAGACAAATCACTCAAAATTAAACATAAGCTTGGTTTAGATTGCTTCTTATCTGCTGTTGCACTTTGTCCTTGAGGAGCCATTCAATTGCTTGAGCAAGCACTGGCACAAGGTTAGGAAGATGCTAGTTTGTCCGGAAAGACCGTCACGAGGTATGTTTTTTAATCGCAACTGCAGATATCATACCTCGTTTGCGGATATGATACCTGTTATTAGAGAAATTGAGCACTCTGAAATTTTCACAGTGTGTGGCAGTGAAATTCCAAATACGTAGGTTTTTCTAAGCCACTGTGAACATCACTGTGAAATTTTCACTGGTTCGTTCACAAGCTGTGAAGATGGCTTCAAATGTTCATAGTGGTTGTTTTTGAATCAATTCTTCCACCTTTGCAATTGAAAAACCAACTTCACTGCCACACACTGTGAAAATTTCAGAGTGCTCAATTTCTCTATTAAATTGTACCTCTTAACAACCAGTATCACACACTTTTTTTTTCAAGGTAAAGATGCGCGTCCGCGACGACACATCTATTTTATCCAATCAATAGTGGAGCTCTCTAAGTGTCCCTCGTACGTGCACATAGTCTACCTCACTCAGTAAAGTATCCTAAACCGTACAGCGCACATGAGGATTGTACAGCCCGTCCTCACCGGGTCAGGGACGACGAGCATCACACACTGGATGGTAGGCGACTCACCCTTTTTTTTGTCGCAACGGCAGGTCAAGTGCTTGAATATTTTTTTGACTGAATACACATTAATTGAAAAGGTTATTGGACGATTTACTAATGGAATCGTCCCAGTCCCAATAAAAAAAAATTCACAGTGCTTCTCTTTTATCTGCAACAGTATCACCAGCCTTGGTATGGACATGCCGCACTGACGCGACTCTCTTTTACTGTTACACGTCCATTCATATAGACAAGAATAAGACGATCATGCATACAGTCAAATGAATCGGGGCGGTTGGGTTCTTGCTAATTGGAGTGCGAAGAGAGAGAGAGACAGTAGTGGAACTTATGAGAGAAAGTGCACAAAAATCCATAAACAAAAAAAGAATGGATAATGATGTGAAGGGACAGGATCATACATGTTATGGAAACTCGCATTAGAAGACCACTTGGTATAAATAGCTATCACATCCGTACATAGGATTATTAAAGCACGGATGGACCTTGTACTCGTTGTTTTTCTCTACTGCGCCTCCAAAAAATAATAAGAAACAAAAAAGAAAGGATGCGGAGGGACAGCATCAGGATTGAACCTGTTGGATCCCTCTGACTAGTTCATAGTGGAGGTGTCTCCTTTGTGAGAGAACACTGGTTTTTTTTGGTTGTTTTGTGGATTATACTTTGTTGACGATGAAGGGTGTTGTGGTCGCTAACGCATTCCTACAGTCAAAAGTTGCAGCAGGGTTGTTATTCTCCTTGACGTCTAACGTTTCTGGGAGTAAAGAAGGAACGACGATGTACTCCTTACGACTGAAGGTGTATGTCTGGATATGTTCTTTGGCAGCTGAGACCACCACTGAGATCTGGAAGGAAGCCATGGGCAAGATTGACGAATGGGTGTGCAGGCGACAAATAGCTACAACGCAGCCAGGGAACGGGAACACACACGCGCGGTTGACAAAGGTCGTCAAGTGCCGAGGCCAGTGCCCATACATTGGCGGCCCCCTTCGGATGCGGATCATGTACGAGGGTTCGCCTCCATCGGTGGAACTCGAGCCTTGCACAACGGTAGTCCTGCTCCCGATCGCGACGATAACCTCAAGTGGAACGTATCGGATCTCCTCCGCGGCATCACTCCCAAGAGCATGTTGGCTGAATGGTCCACGGTCTTCCGGACCCCAATGTCCATCGCCAAGACGGTTCTGCACAAATTTGTTAGCTACCTGGAGACGCAGGCCTTGGAGCTAATCTGGAAAGCTCGGAGCTCCGAGACGATCGCGTGGGAACAGACCCAGGGCATCTCTGCCAAGGACAAGACATCCAAGTACACAGGCCCCGAGGTGACTGGAGTTAGGGATACGGTTACATCACCCGTGATGGTTTTTGCCCGTGTGGCGCTTCGTTAGCCACACATGATGAAGAAAGGCGCCCTGGAGCGACCAAGGACCCTCCGCTTCTGATGAGCAGTTGTTGTAGAGTGTCAAGGATCTAGACTAGAACAAGGCAGAGTTGACTTTTTCTTATGCAGGATCAAGGAAAGAGGTGGAGGGAAGAGAACAAAGGGAACAGAGAATGAGATATGGGGTTTCAAGTTGTAAACAAAGTATTATTCAAGTTACTAGGTAAAGATCAAAGTATTTGGGGTGCCGTGGGATCTTTTTTTTGTTTTTTTTTTTTTGTTTTTAAGAAATTTATTGCGTCGTGGGTGTGCGTGCAGGGTGCCGTGGGATCTACTAATACAAAGCGACTGCAGGACCACTGATTTAGTAGTGCACCGTCACAGTCTGCCAACCGCCCACCATGTTATGCATGTTCTTTTCTTTTGAGATGTGAGATGTGTGCGGGTTGTGTGTGTGTCTGTTTGTGCGTTCGAATGTGTGTGTCGTGTAATTATCTGATTCTGATGGTGAGTGATTTTTTAAAGTTAATTAAAAAAAAATGAGATATGGATGCGATAAAACCATATCGCCAAATCATGGTAAGAATAAGGAAATGGAGAAAATGAGGAAAACCGAAATGCTCATGGGTCAGGAAGGTGAGTTGAGGTAGAAAAGAGCCGACGCCTTTTCTTTTTCTTTTCCAAATAAGTCATGTTTGCCTTTCTTTTTTCATTCTTATCTTCTACATCTTTCGTTTGCTACATTTTCATCACACCTATCACTCTCGCCGTGTCGCTCTTACCTCCATCTCCACTTCCGATGTCTCTCCTTCTGCAACCTTTACAGGATACCGACGAACCAAGGCGACCAACTCAACAAGGTCGCTCTACTGCTAGTCTACCGCTCCCTCCATTTCCTCCGTTCCCTACTTCCTTCCCACCAAGCGCAACACCACTATCACCGCCAAACTCAAAACCATCACCCCTTACTCTCCTCCTCATTCCTCCTCTTCTTCTTCTTTTCCCTCTTTTCCTCTTTTCCTCTTTCCCCTCTTTTCCCTCTTTTCCCTCTTCCATCAGTAGGTGTGCCAAGTATCGTGGACGTGGAACCGGTCTTCAAAGGTCGACAAGTCGTTACTATTCCTACTATAACGGAAAACAAACGGTAACATCAGGGCAAACAGACCACAATTGCTCGGACCATCGCTTCTTTGCAGCACAACTCCTAAATTTATAATGGTAACAACTGTGAAACAAGCTTTGATACTATTTCAGACGGGGATGTTTACGCTGCAATTGCTGACATGGTTCAATAGTTAGAGACTACAACTCAGACAACGGTTGAGTGGGAGGGTGAGGAGAGTGAAGATGGGTCATCGATCAGGCGGCGGAGGCATTGGTAACGGGAGAATGCTTCCAGTCTGAGGCCTACTATTCTGACCCATTTAGGTAACATAAGCAACAACGACGACCTGCTGAAGGAGAAAAGCCCGCTGACACAGGTTGTCCCAGTTACGCATGATTGTAGCAGCCATGCATGGTTCCAGCCTGACGCCAACCATTCCAACCCATTTAGGTAACATGGGCGAGCTATTGCCATTGCATTGCATAACGCTCCTCAGTACTCTGCTATTAATGTAATGCTTGCAGACAACTTGGTCACCATCGTGCAACTAATGCGGATTGCCTTATAAGCAGGCAGCGCATGATCGTTGCAGAATCTCTTGCTCCTAATCCTTCCATGGTCCTTGCTGCTCCTGCCGCTCCTGTTGCCCCTGCTGTTTATGTTACCCTTGCTGCTTATGTTACCCCTGCTGCTCATATTTCCTTTATTGCTCATGTTGCTCCCGCTGATCTACGTGTTTTTGGGAATATAATAGCTGCTGTTAAGGAGCAGGACGACACAGTGTACATGATCTAGGGATTTATGAGCGTGGTCTGCTCTCATTGGGGTGCTTTACATTGGACAGAGGTAACCAGTTACGATAACACCTACAACTATTCTACATTCTTCTATCTTTTTATTGATGCGCGATTTAATTATTTATTTTGAATACGTAGGAGCGTGTCGGACGTACAGTCGCTAATCCACGCTTCTCTGTATGCTGCCTATGAGTCAAAATGCCAGCCATCGAAGCTTCCCTTGCTGAATTGCAAAGCCTTTTCAGAGGTATTTCTTGCAACCACCTGGGCCTTCAACAGTGTCTTTGCCTTTACATCCTTTGGTAGCAGTACAAAGTACCGTGACATGCGACATGCGTTGACCGCCTGGCAGAGGGAAAGCGAAAAGAAAAAAAGGTATTGTGAGTGCGATAGAGGACTTTGGGAGGATGGAGATATGGCACGTACGTTGCAAGGGCGACGGTCGAGTAGGGGAAGACCCAAGGAATAACACCTCGAGAGAGGAAGGCGGGTTTGAGCAAAGGAGGAAAACCGACAGGATTTGACCCGCCAAGGCAACGAGTCGATTTGTCAAACAAGGTCTGAGTGAGGCGGACGAGAGGGTTGTACAGCACGTACATGGCAAGACGGTGCATTTGATGGAAAGAAAGGAGAATGCTGCATAAAATCTTTGACCGGGATCTCGACCGACAGAGGGCTCATCAGACCCGACAGGTCGCGTTGGGGATGCGGAGGGCTGGCTCGGTGCTAGCCACTTCATGGCATTCATACGACCCAAGTTGTGTAACCATAGGCATTCGGACTCCTAGGGGTCCCGTCTGACACCTCCTTCCCGTGGCCGTGGCTTGGATCTGTCAGGCCTGGCACGCCGGCACGATTTGTGGAAATCTGACGTCAAAAAAAAAAAGGAAGGGAGGACAAAACAAAAAAAAAGTGAAGGCAGAAAAAAAATCAAATAGAAAAGCGAGAGAGAAATGAGGAACTAATAAACACCACTTTTTTATCAATTCACACTTGCTCCACACCTCTGCGAGCGAAGCCGCGGGTACTATTCTAGTATATATATGTTTTGAGAGAGAAGCTAAGTAGTTATCTTGGGCGCAGTTGGCTGCGCAAAAGGATCGACTGATCATGCCAAGGGTCGACCGATCACGTCGAGAGTCGACTGATCATAGGGAACGACGCGACAGTGAGTTTATTAGGAAGGGATAGGTTATCAATGAAGGAGAGGATGGGAAGAATCCCTTTTATTCGTATCTTGGTTTATTTCCCTCCGTTTAAGCTGTGAAGAGCAGCGACAATTGTTGTGCAGAGCTAGGTTGCAACAAGCGAAGACTGGGACAGAGAAGTATAGAACGGGGACGAGAGTTGAAGCAGTGATGATTGATGTTATTACTATGATACAACTAAATATATATATACAAAGTCGCCAACTAGGTTTCTAGGTGTAGTGTCATACAGAGTCAGAGATGATAGAGAGTGACAAGGAATGACTAACTAGAGAGCAATGATAAACCTAATATGTTGCAGTTGCCGTTCATGTTCTATTGTAGCCCCAGACTAATAGATAGAAACCGTTATGTTAGACACCTCACCGCAACGGGACCGGGAGCGGGTAACCGGCGCCATAGAGTAGACAGTGGGTAGCGACAGCGCTTAACAAGATAGTGAACTATAGGCAGATCCAATAGAAGGGCGACGAGGACATAAAAGAAGCAGATAGTGAAGAAATATGTAAATATAATTTATGATGAGAGAAAACTAAGGGACTTTCTTGAGAGGCAGATTCACTCTCTATTTATATAGATATGGGGCTTGGTGATGGAGCTCGAGAGATCTCTCCAAGATCTCGAGATGTCTTTCACGAGGAGATCAAGATGATCTATAGAAGTTGCATGCTGGGCGCTGGGAGCGATCCTAGCATGCCTATCCTGCAAGAGCGTTTACATGGAGATCCTAGTTAGATGTGTCCCGTGTGGCACTAATCTTGACATCCCCCCACTGAACAGAGGCCGGGGGAGCGACGGGCTCGGAATGGCTCCCAGGTGTAATAGTACTGAAGATTCGTAAAGAAGTAGCGTACGTGTTTACCTTCGCGGCGAAGAGAGAAGACGTCTTGTTCAAGATCGATAGAGTACAGCCCATATTCATTGGCGTGGTAAACGCGTTCCAGGATAGCCAATTGAGCATGAATGATTTGAAGACGGGCGAGGTAAGTCGGTACGAGATCGATCTCGGCAGGAAGAGCTGCTGGATGGTCCGGGATTGTTGGGAGAGGTTGTGATGAGGACTTGAGGATACTAACCAGGCGATGCACCGGACTTGAAGGACGCGAACAGAGGACCGGGAGCGCTTGAGAGAGCTGGTCAGATGGGCTGTCGTGGTTTACCATGAAGGAGGAGTCTCGGTCTTAATTCGAAACTTCCGACGGTGAGGAGACTTGACAGGGCATGGGTTGAACGGGAGAAGTACGGAAAGGTAGAATAAACTAAGGGGCTGAAGTGAGAGAGGAAATTGTGTTGCTCTCTCTTTTTTTTTTTTTTTTTGAAGAGGAATTGAGTTGTGAAATGGAAAAGATGGATGAGGAAAAGAATGAGGTGCAGGATAAACAAAGATAAAGAGAAAGTGTTGGAGAATGCGAGGGGCAAGAGTAGAGAGGAACAGAGAGAGAGTAAAGGATGAGGAGGAAGAGTGAATGGTTGAAGAGGTGGTGCTTTTGGAAAAAGTAGTTTGATATTTGATTTTGTAATTTGATTTTAAAAAAACACATATATTTTAGTCATTGTTTTTGCTTTTCCAGATGAGAAGAATAAGTGATATGGCAATCAGACAGGAGATAGTGCACACAGGTATTATTGTGCTATTTGATAAGCTGACCGCGCATGAGGCAAACTGCGCAACTGTGAAAGCAACGGGAGGAATAAAGAATAAAAGGAAAACCTGTGACTTTGTGCGTATTGAGTGTTGTGTTAAATCGTGCGTGCTCCTAAAATATGCTCTAAGAACACTTATGAGAAAACATGCAGGTGGAATAAAAATAAAAATGCTTATTGAAATTGTTGGGCAATAATTCCCAGAGGATTTTTGAAATTGTGGCAAAAAACAGAGTAGAAGTGAAAAAGAGAAGAACGAAAGAAAGCAAATAGCCAACGAAGCCGTTTCAAATCCAAAGGGCATGTTTTAAGATGAGTAAGTAATGTTTGTAATAATTGATGATGTATGCCCCAATCGTAGTAAAGAGGAGGGTATTGACTGTGAAGGATGTTGGTGTTCTGAGGGTGTAAAGAGTGGAAATAGCGACCACAGAAAAAGAAGAGGGATGCAAACGCGAAAAAAAGAAAGGGAAAGTGTAATGAGATCGGAGGTGGACCAAGAGGGAGAAAGAAGCGACATAAAGAAAGAAAGGAGAGGAGAGAAGAATGAGGAAGTGAAGAGAGGAGGCGGAAGAGGCGGGACAGGGGACGAACTGAAAAAAACTCGATGAAGATATCGCGGCAGCGGCAGAGGGCACATTAATATATCGATCACGGTCGCAAAAACGGACGTCGAGGAGGGTATGGTAGGATAGGAAAAAAATTCTTGAGCTTCGCCTTTGCTTTGCCTTTGCTTTGCCTTTTGCTTTGCAAACGTTTCTTTGGAAGGTTCTTTGGCGACCAAGAAAATTTCAGGGGAACTGAGGGAAAATTCAAGGGCATGGTAACACAAGATGGTGCCTTTGCCTTCCTCAAAGTAGAGACGCTTTTCTTCTTGTGCACTTTCTGGCTTGTGGCAGCCAAGCGTTCATAGCGACGTTGCTTTTTGATCCTTCGATGCCAATCCTTACTTCATTAGAATTCGAGGTCGCGTTGCTGATGCTTTGTTCATTTGTAAGAAATTTTATTTTATTTAAGGGGGTTGAATGTTCCATAGCGCGTTTCCAGTGTCAATGAGAAGAAAGAGAGGGATCTTTTTATTACGCACTACAGAGAGGTAAACCAGTAACGCACCAGTACTTTCGACGCATCACTGGGTGTGGTCTATGTACGCGTCGCGATCTACGGAAAATTTTGTTTTATTTTGGAGGCGCTAAAACAAAGACGATTCACGTTTAACAATATATGATTGCTCCGAAGTAGAAAGATGCCAATGATTGGTAGAGACAGGGGGAGAAGGGGGAGAAGGGAGAGAAGGGAGAGGAGGATAATAGGGTTAGCATCGCGTTCTAGGGCTAGGAAAGAGACGACCTAGGGAAAGAGGCGAGTCAAAGGCAACTACAACCAAATGACTTGTGTCAGCACCATCACCCCCAGAATTATTTGAACTCCTCTGAGCTAGTTGGATGGCCAATTGAGGGTGAGCAAATGTCGATTCAAATGTGCAGGCGAGTACGGCAAACACCAAGATATGGATAGTGATAGCACCACTGAACTTCTGTGGTGTCTTGGAAGAGAACATGAGCAATAGCTGGAGTCTGCGAGAGAATGTCACGCGATACTATGGTCAGTTAAAAATAAACACTGCCATTACTTATTGTGCCTTTCTAACAAAATGAGGCAAAAAAATTAAAACTAATCCAACAAAGTTCAGTGGAGAGCGGAGTGTACACAGGCGCGGAACAAAATTTTAGTTGTGAACAGCAACTTAATCAGGGTTTAGTTGTCCGAATTAATTATTTTGGTTGCAAGGCGCAATACGTGTAATCGCCTAAGTGAATTTTATGGCCTTACGAAAGTCTGATTTCAAAATGCTGTGTATTCGAAGATTGCGCAGGTCCTCTTGTAAGCGTTTCCGTGAGTGTTCCTATGAACGTTATTGATAGGGGTATGCGCCGCACTTGTAAGAGTCCAGCGAAGGAGATTGTTCATGTGGCGGCTTTTGCGACGGCTCTTGAAGTAGTTGTTACCGGCATTGAGAGTGCTATTGCGAGTCTAGAGTCTTGGGATAGGATCAGATGTGTGTCAATAAAGGACGCTGAGAAGGTGCGGCTTCCTTATAAACGTGAAGATGACTGTAAAAGAAACGAGTTGTTGCCCAATTGGGCATGGAGAGAGAAAACAAAAAACGGGCACACTATTCATTCCCATCTGGGCAAGAAGAGAGAAATATCAAGGACTCACTGAGAAGGGGAAAGACGCCAAAAGATCAAGGGTATGCTTAAAACAGGCGAGAAAAACAAGACGAATCAAGGGGTGAAAAAATCAAGAGATACCACCAGAAACAACACCGAAGGACAACATCAAGGAACAAACATCAAGGAACATCATCATCTTGAAGACATAAGGAACATCACCAAGGGATAATGTCGAAAACAGCATCAAGGACATTGGTCGATTGGTATTAAGCCACGTGGTTCCAGAATTCTTGAGTGAGGATGAAGGACGATACTCCTGGCGGAGGCTGAGCCCATTTCCAAAACTGGTCGATTTCGATAGCCCAGGGTTGTTGATGGAAGTGACGGATCTGGCTGAGGTAATCTACTAGTAATGGAGGCGAGCCAGAAGGTGGAGTGACAACGGCGCCGGAAGCGATAATATATGACTCGGCACAGAGGGATCGTCGGACTGGAGTTCGAGAAGGAGGACCTTGGGAAGGACAGTTCTGGGCGGGAGTGTTTTGAGCAAGGCGCAAGTGAGGATCTGGGTCAAGAGACGAACTCGAACTCTGGCGTCATTACTCAACATAATTACCCTTTCCTACGTCATGAGGCCCGAGCTAGGACTTGGATTATTTGTTTTTCTATTTTTTCCCTTTTCCCTTCTCCCTTCTCCCTTTTCCCTTCTCCCTTCTCCCTTCTCCCTTCTCCCTTCAACCCAAAAAAAACACAAACCACCACCAGAACACACACAGAGGATGCCACGCATAACACAAGAAAAGATAAACGAGGCAGTGAGAATGATAGCTACAGGAGCAACAACCAAGGAGGTCTCACAGGCGCCCGACATCTCCGCATCTTCTGTCAGTCTCCTCCGTCGCGCCAACAGCGAAAACATCACTTCCACCAAAGCAGCAGCGGGACGACCCAAGAAAGACCCCGGTCTCATCTTTGACTTTCTGCAACCCAAGAGCAGACAAGGCACCTTCAAGTATGCCTTTGCTGTTACACCAAGGGATCTTGTCACCAAGACACCTTATGGTCGTCAGCTCCCTGCAACTACTGCTCAGGCCAAGAGGAATAAGTCAAAGGAACCAGCTGCAATGCCAGAGGCACCACCAGCACGGCCAGTACCCGATACACACAACATCCAGGGACGACTGCGCTTTGTAGACAAGTATAAGGACTGGACCGAGGAGGATTGGAAAAAGGTCATCTGGTCAGGGAGAACAAAGATTGGCGAGGGCTGTGGAGGCGAGCCAACTGGTATGTGGGTCGACATACGCAACCCACATGAGCGTGATGAGGGTTCTGTTGTCTATGGAGGATGGGAAGTGCAGGTCTGGGCGTGCTTCTCGTGGGACGGACCAGGGAACATCACCCAGATCGACGAGGACCAGACTAGGAGCACCGAGCGCTATGTTCAGATTCTGAAGGAGGACTTGGAGGTGTCGATCGAGAACTGGGGTATTGCCAGGGATGGACTTGTTTTCCATCAGAGGACTGGACCCGTACCACACAAGACCAAGAAGACCATCGACACCCTGCGGGCAGCACATTTCTCTGAGGCCGAGGGGACTCTTTTGCTTGGACCAACTCATTCACTTGACATTGATCCGATGGTTCAGATCTGGGACTTTGTCAGGAAGCGACTATGGACTTATCACAACGCCCCAAAGAGCCCGGAGGAGCTGTGGGAGCGACTTGTGGCAGAGTGGCGCAATATCCCTGTGAAGGTCTGTCAGGATCTCATCAAGTCGATGCCAAGTAGGGTTGAGGCAATTCGTGAAGTCAAGGGGATGCAGGTCAAACAGCGAGAGTAAAATGGTAGTAGAGGATTGGAGATACGCATAACGGTCGTCCTTAACCCATCCGAGGTCAACTAACAAGCAATAAAAACAACACGTATTGCACCTTCCACGGACATGGCTTGTACTGATACTTATTTGCCAACGGTTTCTTTCCAAATAAACATGCGCCGATACACCACCTAAGGTTGACTCGTTCGCACTTGGTGTAGCGCTTCCATTCATACCGGAGCCGAGAGTAGGCAAATGAAGCAAAGGTTGAGGATCACGATACGATTTTTATTACGAAGGCTGATTCTAAAGTTACCCCCACATTCTAAGTCAAGCGTTACCAGCGTCTCATGTCTTGTCCATCCCCCTATGACTTCAGCAAACCCAGTTCAGATCCGTCGCTTGTTTACTGCTTGTGTACTCTTGTCCGCGTTATTATGTCCGTGAATCCATTTCCATGTCTCCATATCCGCGAGCGTATGAGGCGAAGCACAGTGAAAAAAGATGGGGGAGTGTGGAGTGGAGGAAAGATGGGAAAGGAGACAATCAAGGGAAATTGATTGAATAAATAAAAAAAACTTGGCCTATGAAGAGGTTAACAAACAAATGTCCGCTCTATCTGTAAAAATGCATGCGTATCTTTTTGTGACATGCTCATGGTTGCAAAAAAGCCACCTACAAACCTTGTTAGAAGGAGCTATATGGCGGAGGACTGATTTTCGTGCGTGGGAGAAGTTACGTATTCATCAGTCTCAAATAAACCGATCCCTCGCCATTTTCCATGATCTAACCCCATCATCACTGTACAATGAATATTTTTGAGGCAGTCGAGGAGAAGTATACGGTTAGGAACAGGGATGCAGAAAACGAACAAGGGCATTGAAGAAATATGTCAAGGCTTTCGCGATAATGTACAATGTCTATTGGGGTGCTTGTCTAACCCTACGAGGAATGAACCTCACTCTAAAAATGCCAGACTTTCAAGGCCTATGGGCTTTTCCTTCCTGACAGACGATACTATGAAGACTCGGGCTCGGTCTTCTTGAAGTCCTTGGCAAAGGTCTGCGAGACGATCAAAGGGAAAGCAATAGTAGCATCCGCGTAGACCTTGACAGACTTGGCATCCAGGCGGATCTTGCCCCACGACACAGCCTCATCCGGTCTGGCTCCTGCATCACTTCCATCAAACTCCTGTCCCGTGTTGATGAATACCGCGTAATCTGCCCCATTGCGCTAGAAGGATCATAAGTACAAGAAGGAGGCGTCAGCATAAACGTGATATCGACATTTCACCACTCCAGAATCCGTGCATACATCGTTTGATAGATGACGAAGAAATACGTACCATAAGGTTGGCATTGCAGATATGGTGCTTGACGACACCGCCTCCGAGAATGATGACTCCGGTCTTCTTGGCAAAGACAGCCTGGTTGTTCATGTTCCGGATGTCCGACACAATGTCAATGATCAGGCCAGGGCTCTTGTACGAGTGAAAGTAAATCATATCGCCCAAAGAGCCGTCCGTCAATGCTGGGCAGAACACTGGGATATCATTCTACATGGTAGTTAAGAGAGTGGCGAGCCATGTTAGCTTGGCGGTCAACCGTAGCCGTCCTTGTGCCGGACCACAAAATAACGAGCAATCCTCTTTGAATAGCTCACCTTGTAAGCCCAGTAGTAGATCGACTCCTCATGAGCAATCTCCTTGCCCAACCTCCTGATAACACTGCTGGGTGTCCAGTGGGCCTTCTCCTCTCCGTTCTGCTCCGCCAACAACTTGTCGAGAATGGGAACAACCCAGTCCTCAAACTTGCAGTAGTTGTCGTTCGGCACCAGCAAGTTTCCGATCCTGTTCAAACCCTGTCGTCTCAGCTTTGCGCCCTCCAACGAAAACTCGCCCAAGTAGGTTGGTGCCAGACACTTGATAAAGTCCTCCTCGATGCCTCCTGCAGACGAGACCAAGCAGTCGACGAGTTTGTGTTGGACCAAGAACCGGATGATCTCTCGGACTCCGGACGAGACAAGGTTGGAGGTGTAGCCCAAAAAGATCTTGCACTTGACCGAGCGACGGTATTCTGGGTCGAGCAGCTCTGGGTCGACAGGGCTCTCTGTCGAGACAGGAAGGGGATCATCAGAGAGACGCCACTGGCGCATTTCGTTGATAATCTCGATCGCCTTTCCAATGGCCGAGGCCTGGAATCCCGAGGTGATAAAGGTGGAGAGAAGAGAGTCAAGGCTGACGGTTTGGTTGAAGTCAGGGCCCTTGATCACAATCGAGTCCTTGGGCATCTCTGTCGATGTCACAAAGACGGCTGCCTGTGTCGAGTCTGGGAGTGCCTCCTGTCCTGGTCCTGGTGCTGACATGGCGTTGAGCGGTCTTTGTTGTCTGGGAGTGAATGGTGTCAAGAAAAAAAAGAGAGGCAAGCATACATTAAGTCCTTTGAAGAACCATGGGCTGTGGCTTTGATCGAACAACAACTCATCACGTGCACGATCGCTTGGTGATAAGTGCAAAGTGCGTCGCCATGGCGACACTCCTTCCTTCACCCCATCACGTCTCAGCCAGTCAGCCATGTCAACCCCCTCAGTCACCGCAGTATACAGCGTCTCTACGCCCACGCAGGATACAACCACCGCTACTGAGGCAGCAGGAACCTCAGGACCCATCCTCACCTTCGATGCCCCTATCGACTCCTCTTACAATGCCTCCGCCTTGCCTGGCCAACTCCAAAAGGAACAGTACCTGAGCGCCCTTGCCAAGGCCCTCTCCGCCCTCCAAGAATCCATCAATACCGGCTTGACTGGGCGTCTCGTCCAACAAGGCGTGCTGGAGGAAAAGGGCGACAACCCCATCGATGTCAAGAACAAGGTCCGCACCAAGGTCCCAGGACAGCCAAACAACTCCAAGAAGGGCCAGACCAAGAAGCAACAACAACGCGAACAGCAGGAGCAAAAGGACAAGGAGTCAGAAGCAGCAGCAGCATCGACAGAGGCGACATCATCAACGACAGAAATCGCACAGGGGACAAAATCAACAACAGCCACGTCAGGAGTCGAAGCCATCTCGCTGTCGGCTACCTCTACGACTGCTCCTGACACTTCCTCTGCGATGGACATCGATCTTACACCATCCTCGACTGCTGAGACTGTCTCATCTACAGACGCACTGGAACTGGAAGACCAATACAAGCCCAAGGGCGGGATCTATGGAAGCGACGATGAGGATGAGGGTGCCACTGCTAAGGACGAGGTTGATCTGGTTATGGAGGCGGACCCTGGTGAGATCGACGGTGCTTGTCTAGAGCTGCCCAAGGAACAGGATGCATCCTCCGCTGCGCCATCCCAGACCAAGAAACGGAACGAGCTCCCTGTCGAACTTGCTGGCCAGGAATCTGCAGCGACCAAAAAGTCCCGAGGATCAGAGGCATAGTCCTCTTTCGGTGTAGTTTCAGACGACAATAAAAGAGACATAGTTGTCAAGGGACGCTCTGAACATTGCTTGATGCGCTAGAGGATTTGTGGTGATATGCCTGGGTAACGAGGCGATGGGATTAGATCATGGATAATGGCGAGGATTAGTTTATCTGAGACTGATAAACACAATCGACGCAGACCTTTTCCTAGGCACGAAAATCAGTCCTCCTCCTCCACCTCGCTCCTTCTAGCGAGGTTTGTAGGCGACTTTTTTTTAGCAACCATGACCATGCCACAAAAGATAATACATTTCTCAGATGGAGCGGACATTTGCTGTTAACCTCCCCTTAAGCCAGGCCTTGACTTCTTCCACTTTAGATCTGAATCGTACTGCACGCTTTCGGCCCACAGAGCAGCCACTCTGGTTGCTGTACGGGCAGTGAATTGACTTCACTATCAGGTTGACAAACAACAGCAGAGATCTCGGCAGTGATAAGCTGTTCTCATCGTAAGGCCGCTTGAGTAGCTTACCTTAGAAGGCTTTCGAATGGGTAAAAGTGGCCAGAACTGTCCTGACCTCTCTATGGCGTCAAGGAAGTGAGAACTGTTTATACACTTATGAGGGTATCGGGGGGGCTTCTTAGGCGGAAGCGACAATGCAATACGCTTTGGAGTACAAGTGGGGGCACAAGTTTTTGGACTTTCGGACACAGCAGTGGTCTTTTCGAGTTCACTGGCCTTTCATGGCATACGTTGTCTTTCTCATTTTCATTGAGGCCATACTATGATTATCTGATTTTACTAAGATCTAACCATTCGTCTCTCCTTTCTGCCGCATTATGCTCCAAACACGCACGCGGGAAACAGATTCATGGACATGGACATGGATAAGGACATGAACGTGGATACAAAAGCAACAAATGAGCGAAGGAACTGAGATGGACTTGCGGGAGCTTTATGATAATAGGCGAGGCATGGCAAAAATAAAAACGACCTCATCAATTTCATAGAAGGCTGTTAAGTGTACGTGAGAGATCCCTAGCCTTCTACCTCAGTTCCACTCATCATCAACCGTTCTTCCCAGTTGATGAAAAAAAATGTCAAACACACTTGAACTTTGGTTGAACCTCATTACTGCATCCTTGATTCACCACCAACCCTCCTTCTCGTTCACAACAACTCCTTTTCTGTTCCCAGTAACCCTGTCACCTTTGTCTTTCAAACTCCGTCTCGTCCAGCTCTTGACGACTTCGCCCAACAACAACATCACCCTCCTCCTCCTCCTTGACGAGAAAGGACCTCACAGACTCAATATTCTCCACTTTATCCAGCAGTCAGTTGAATCAGATAGGTGTGCACATGTATGAGTATAAGTATTTATTCGTGTTGTTGTCTGTAACTCTACGGAACAAGGGCGCTAGTGTACATGAAAAGTGCGATCCTGGGGGGGAAGGCGGAAGGGGGAGGTCGTCATAAATATCAGACGTAAAGAGAGGAGAAGAGTCCAGTCGCTGTTCGGGAAATGATCCTGGTAGTAGAAACCGACGGAAAAGTAACATGAGATTATGCAAAGTAAAAAATCTAGGGTGAAAGCAAAGAAGCAAGAAAATGGCGGGTCCTTAGAGGATCCAGAGGAATGAAGTCAAGATGCAATAGAGGATTTCCTGATAAGGTGAGGTAGCGCCCAGCTATCCAGTAGACTGTCAATGTTTTGCTGTAAGAGTGTTGATATGTGGTAGGTTCAATAATCCTTAGAACTTTTGCTCCAAGGGCTGGATGTGGTGTTGAGGGAAGCGGACGTTTAAGGCGTACACATGAGTCCTATAGTTCAAGCAAATAACAAAAAGTCAGTGGTGAGTTCATGTTCGACTGATTGTACAGAGTAACCATGATCCATTGGCAGAGGAGATAGAACTTTTCATACCTCTCCAGGATGATCTCAAAGGTCTTGGGATCCACACGCTTTGGGGTTTCATGAACACGCTCGTCCATCGTAACAGCATATCCACGTTCCGAGAGAATGCTGATAACAACCTCCACAATCTTGGGGTCGGACAAGATGGTGTTATCACTATTGAAAAGGAAAGGCCACTAAGGTTAGCAAATGTCTTGGGGCGCTCAAACATCCATTTGTGCGTGCATTAGCAAAAGGTGGCGAAACGTACGATCGGACGAGGGCCTGTCCACTGATGGCGTGGCGGGCAATCATGGGCGAGACCTCATGGTCAATGAAACGAACAGCCTTGGAGAAAATATCGGGCTCGGTCTCACAATAGTGCTCCAAGCGTCTGATAAGATCCTGACGACTATAAGAGAAAATGTTGGTTAGGTACTGGCATTCGACTTCAATTAGTATCCTTTCACTGCTGTCTTATATGCCAAACTTACGCGTGGATGCCAATCTTGGTGGCGAGGGGGATGTGAGAGATGGCCTCATAGGTGTCGTGTTCCAGCTCGAGGGAAGACTGGTACTCGAACTCCTTGAGAATGATGCGCATCACACTGTCAATGCTTCCGACGGCGTTGATAAGGTCTATCAGTAAAGAGGTCAATTGCAAGTAGTAAAAGGTCAGACAAAGATCGATCACGACATTCGAGACGGTCATAGCGTGTATGAGTACTTACGGAAAGGAAAGATCTTGCTCAGCTTCAGTAAGCACGAGTAGTGGTCCTTGAAGATCTGGTATCTCGCACGAATGAGCTATCATGATAGGAGAAATGGATCGGAGGTGTCAATGGTAATGTTCATAGAGCAAGTAGCCGTGCACAAAACAATTGTTGAAAAGGACATACCAGCTCGTCAAAATCAGTGACACGCTCTTCCATGATTTCGCCCTTTCCTGATCGCATGACTTGAGCGTTGTGTTCCTGGATGAGTTTTCCACGCATGAGCTGACGGTTGACAGAGATCTCCTCGTCGACATAGAGGACACAGATGCGGAAGGTGGGTCGAGGGAAGAAATCTTTGAGTGGTGTGTGCTTGAACTCTTTCCTGAGCTCGTGCATCCTCTCATGGAACAACTTCAGACACTCAACCTGGGCTTCGCTACGTGGGAATCCATCGACGAGGACTCCAACCTCAGGTTCACAGTCCAGAAGGGCATGGAGCAAGTTTTCGACGACTTTGCCGTCGCTGACCATCATGCCCTTGTTGATGAGCTCCTTGCATTCAGGGGTGGCGAGGAGGGAGGACATGGAGATGGAGGGGTTGGTGATACCGCGTGCACGGAGGATGGCGGGAGTGTGAGTTCCCTTTCCTGAGCCAGGTGCGCCCATGAGCCAGATGATTTCCTTGGGGAACTTCATGTTTTCTCTGCCGTGGATATCCTGGACATTTTTGAATGCCTGGTTGAATATCAGCTTTGCATCCTTGATCTCTGAGATCCTATTTCGGCAGAGACAGTAAACGGCGATTGAAAAAAAAAAAACAAGGTTAGATGGAACAAAGGGAAGGGTAAAGGGGAGGAAGAACCATGGTCCATGACTACAGTGGTATGATGTCATCTCAGGGGATAGTATTGGATACGGTCAAGAGGAACTTGTTTTGGAAAGGGGGAGAACAGTGAGGTTGTCAAGTGTCAAGTGGAAATGAGAAGAGTGATCATTTTGTGTGCTGCTGACCCGTATCCCACTCGTTCATAGAGTGACCGACAATTGGCCGGGGTACGGAGGAGAAGTGATATGCCGATGATGATGATGACGGCCCATGCATTGGATCATCCATGACATTGTCGATTGAATATAGAAGTGAGCATTTGTACTGCAGTTTGTGTACTGCACAGAACTGCGGACAAAGTAGGTTGAAACAAAGAACAAAGAGAGCGGGGAGTTGTTGTCTCAGGGACCACCCACCACCTTCTCTATGTCCATTGCTCATTGCCTGCGGGGAAAGGGAACATGGAAAGAATAATTTTTTCGTCGTCGTCGATTGTTGTTGTTTGTTGGCTTCCAGGAACGAAAGAACAATAAAAGAAGGGAAGGGAAAGAGAAGGGGAAGGGGTCCACATGGACACAGCAGAGGACTCACTCGTCTTGCCCATTGGTGAAGGTGCTTCTCATCTCCTTGTTTTTGCTGTTATTCATACAACACAAACCACTTCCTGTCCTATTCCAACACTGTCAATGCAGACAAGTCTCTCTAGCTCATATCATAATGCATGGAGGTGTGGAGAAGTAGCGCATTCAGGGGAAGAGAGAGAGGAAGACGGCCTTACCTCTTTTCTTGCTTCTCCTTCTGAGAACTCGAATCGTTTATACTCTCGTCCTGAGCAACAGCTGCCAGCGCCGGTGCTAATTCATTCCTCATTCAAAAAGAAAGAGTCATTGAGTACCTCATTCAACAACAACAAAACCAAAAGAAAATCGCTCATGTGAAATAAAATATAACCATACCCTGGTTGATGTTTGTCTTTTCATTCTGAATGGTCAAAGAGGGAGTCGAGTACTGGCGAAGGGGGTTGACACCAGGGACAACCGAGAGTCCCTTCGATGCTGTCGAAGTGAGGGCTCGTTTTGAGATGAGAATGGGAGAAGCTGTTCTTGTGAGGAGGAGAGTTGATGGTAAAGACGAGATCTTGGGGAAGGCATTTTTTGAGGCCTGTCTGAGGTGGGAGATCAGGGTGGAAGTGGACATTGTGACAAGAATATAGAAGGTTGCTGTTGTATTAGTTGTAGTTGGTGTGATGGGGGTGATGAGTCGAAGGGGAATTGCATAAAGAATACAGAGAGTAAGAGAAGAGAAGAGAGTTGGAAGGAAAGGAAAGAAGTATGAAAAAGGGTTTGTTCACAAGTCAAGCACAAGATATGGAGGAAGGAAGACAAGAACCAAGGGCAAGGACTGGCAAGGAAAAGCCAAGCCCAGTCGATGGTCGTCAAGTTCCATAAAAAGAGCTTGACACTGTTATCCCACGCAAACACCTCTCTCTCGCTCTCTCTTCTCTCTCTCTCTCTCTCTCTCTCTCTCTCTCTCTCTCTCTCTCTCTCTCTCTCTCTCTCTCAGCCCATGCTCACACATATCTCAGCCCTATGCCGCTCTCATTCAGCGACACTCATCATCACAGGTGCCTTTCCCATTCAATTAATGTATCGTACATGCTAAGAATAAACCAAATGGATAGTCGAAGGCTGAACATGGCAGACAGGGGATTCCCTTCTTCAATTTATTGGTGTCGAGGGGGGTGCATTTGTTCCATCTCACCCATGTATCTTTGTACCAATCGACTGTTTCTCTTTCGTCCATCGACCATCGGGAGAAAATTACCATTAGAGATGATATTTATTTATTTATTTATTTTTTTATTGGAAAGAGGGATTGAACAAAGGTAAATACAGAGAGAGAGAGAGGAGACAAAGATACAGCCGATAGATACGATGGATGCTATGTAGGATGCGTTTTTTGTTATTGTTGTTGTTGTTGTTGTGATTTGCTAGTGAGGGTATCCATCATTGAAGATGGACATGAAATGGTACATGAAAATAGACATTGAACAAAGAAAACAAGGATCTCTTCACTTAAAAGTCGGCCTTCTTCTCATCCTCCAACAACTTCTTGTCGTCAATGACGGCAACCTGGACAAACTCCTCAACAGCCTCCTCCTGCTGGATCTTGGCATAGCGGGCCTGGCGACGCTTGAGGATCAAGGCACGGAGAGACGTGGCAGAGGCAACAAACATCGACAAAGCAACCACAGCAGCAACCAAGAAGGCAGGCCAGTTGAGCGAGCGGAACCAATCATCGATCGACTTCATGACCTCGTCCAAGTCAGATCCCTGGCAACCGTTGCCAAGGGCGAGAGGGGTGTAGCTGCCGAGGGTACCGTCAGCCATGATCTCGATGACCTGCTGGGCGGCGTCGGTCTGGGTGATCTCGTGGCCATTGACCTCGACAATCGACTCCTGGAGGGTGACACGACGGATGATCGAACCATCCTCGGCGGTGACAAACTCGGTCGAGGCGGTGACCTGGACGGTGACGAGGCCAATGTCAAAGGCCTCCATGAGGTCCTCCATGGGAGTCTCGGGATCGAGGGCAGGGCCAACAACGACGCCGGCCTCGACAGTGACCGTGACCGTGACGGGCTCCTCGGGCTGTCCTGATTCCAATAGCAATGGGACCTTGTTCAAGAGGACCTATTGGATCATTGTAATTGTTATATTGGGTTAATACATCACTCACTTAATACCAGTACGTATACATGGATGGACTGCGGAACAAAATGATAAAAAAGGGTCGAACAGAGAACAGGGTGCAAGTGGTTGGCGGCGAAGTCGTTGGATATGTCGATTTGTCGATTTGTCGATATATATGTTGATATGTGTTCATTTGTAAGTGGGTGAGTGGTTCACAAAAAGAGAGCCGAGCCCACATTTGTATCACTAATCGAAAGCACGGCGCCCTATGAGCAGTCAAAGTCTCGATATGACATGACTGACTGTCACCCACCGCACACCTCTTCTCTGCTCCGTTATTGAGACAGCAATAAGTGTGGTGGCAAATAAAAGTGCATTGAAATTGTCCACTGTACGTGTGTGTAAAAATAGGGGAGGGTCGGTGATTGGGTTGGGGGGCACAGGGGAACCGTTGCTGTTGAGGGCGAGTACAGAGGAAGAGGAACAACAAAAGGGCGAGTAAGATAGACAAGTTACCTCGTGGTTTTGAACGTCAAAGTCAAAGGCGACGGACATGATGCGCTCGGCGAGGAAGGTGCCGTCGTCGGCGAGGAGGTCGTCGGTGCGCTGGACAGTAACAACAAAAGTATCGATGTTGGGGCCGGTGTGGACCTCCTTGACTTCCAATTGGGTGTCGGAGATATCGACCAGGCGCTTGTCAACATCCTGTGCAGACACCAAAGCTAATTGTTAGGAGTAGAAGACGAGTCGAGTCAGTCAATGTTTCGTTTGAAGGTAGGGAACAGGGGTATGGGAACGGGAAGATGGACGACGGATGCGAGGCCAATTGTTTTTTTAGGGGGTGAGGATAGGAAGGTAGTGCGGTAAGCAAGTGAGTGAGTCTGTGTGTCTATGTGTGCGTGAGTGAGATACAAGAAAGAGAGAGAGAATGACGGGTGGTGGGGCAGTGAAGGCGCAGGAAGGGGAGGAGACGAGTTGTCTTGTAGTGTGAAAGTAGTGCGAGTTGTTGACGTAGGTGCATGTGTTCAAGGAAGGACGGAGGAGTGTTGACAGTTGGCGAGTATGTTGGTTGAGAAGGTAAAGGAAAGAGAGTGTGCAATGGAGGAGAGGATGCTTACTGGCAAGAGCGACCAAGGCGGTGGCGATAGAGAACAGCTTCATGGTGGGGTGGGGGGGAGAGTGTGGGTGCGAGTGAGAGAGGTGGAGTTGAGTAAGGTGAGAGGAAGGAAGGCAAGGAGGGAAGAGGGAACAGGAAAAAAGGGTATGAGGAAAGGAGGCTGAGTGGACGGAAGAAGAAAAGAAAGGGTCGTTAAGAAGAAGAAAGAAGATAAAAAGTAAAAAAAAGGCGGTGCCAAGCCCAGTCTTCCCCTTTGTCAAAGGTCAAGTCAAGGAACACCAACAAGGAAGACATCAAGGGGTCACACATCCATCTCCTGCCATTGGTGTGCTGTAGCAGCATTGCACGTGACCTGTCAGATGACAACCTCGCTCTAAAAAAATAAAAAGTCGACTGTTGGTTGGCTCTGCAGCTGGGATCGATCAGAACTGGGAGTTGACTCCGTGCGAGAGTGTGGCCAGGGGGGACAGATGGTGAGGAGAGGAAAAGAGTGACGGGTTGTTCAATGTGACGACGCAGGGCCATGAGCATACAACATAAAGAAAAGAGCTGTTGTTCGGGAAGGATGGGAATACATCTTTGCTGCACTCGTCTCCTTTTTTTTTTGGTCTTCTTGTTGAAAGTCGCAATAAAAGGTGACGATAAAAATAGGATACTCTTTTGTTCAGGGATATCCTACTCTTGCTCGAGATAATAAGTCTCCAATGCAACAAAAGAAAAGAAGACATAGGAAAGAAAAAAGAAGTCGCGTAAAGAAAAAAGAAAGAAAAAGGCATAGTAAGTATGAGAAAACATGAAGTTCCATGCGTCCTAGGGATTTGACTCTTATCCTGTTATTTCCCGTGCAGGTTCTTCCCTAGGTGACGACAACAATGATAACAATTAGAAGGAAGAAGAAGGAACCCTCGAGAACCCGCAGGAACCCTCGAGAACCAGTGAGAAGATCACCATTGCTCAGCTTTTCATAATACCCCAATGGAAAAGACGAGAAACATCGAGAAGGTGATTCGATGTCCGAATTAGGAAGGCGTGTCGAAGATGACGGAATTGCTCTCCCATTATAAGAACGGCGGTCGGTGCGCGTCGATTTCCTTCTTTTTTTTTCTTTCACTCACATCCTCACTCCCTCTTCCACTTCACTTTTCCCACACACTCACATCCACACTTATAAAGAAGCAAACACCCCCCACTTCTTTCTTCAACCAACAAGCACACTCCACTCCTCTACTTTAACAAACACACCCATACACATACACAACCATGGCTGCTGATCAAGGAAAAGGTATGCACCTCACGCCCCCTTTCGCTACTTACATAGACTCACACTCCTTCGCTCTTGTCCCCCTCTTTTGTCTCCTCCCTTCTACCGCCTTACTCAGTACTTGGAAACAACACACACTCTTACACGCTCTTCGTTGGACTTTATCTTGGACTTTTCTCGATAACATCTGGATCTGGAAACAAAGAAACCACTCTCACAAGCTCGCCTTGGGATATGGAAAACAAGGATGTGAACAAATATCACCCGCCTTCTTTCGCCATAATTTTTTTTCTCACACTATGGAACAACGCATAGCAGAAACAAATGGACAAGACAATCTCCTTTATGCAACACGCAGGACATGCATGGATACATCGTCACTTCTCCTTTTTTCCTTATCATTCGGTGCCCTTCCACTTCTCTTTCTCTCTTCCAGTGTGAATCACGTGTAGTGTTGGTGATGATATTGATGACGACCGTGATCACTAACCACTACCTTCTAATCACCATCCAATAGCTGTCGGAATTGATCTCGGAACCACCTACTCGTGCGTCGCCGTGTGGCAGAACGACCGCGTCGAAATCATCGCCAACGACCAGGGTAACCGCACCACCCCCTCCTATGTCGCCTTCACCGACTCTGAGCGTCTCATCGGTGACGCCGCCAAGAACCAGGTTGCCATGAACCCCGTCAACACCGTCTTCGACGCCAAGCGCCTCATTGGTCGCCGCTTCGACGACAAGGACGTCCAGTCCGACATGAAGCACTGGCCCTTCAAGGTCATCGACAAGGCCACAAAGCCCTACATCCAGGTCGAATACAAGGGCGAAACCAAGGAGTTCACCCCCGAGGAAATCTCCTCCATGGTCCTTACAAAGATGCGCGAGACCGCAGAGGCGTACCTCGGAACCACCGTCAGCAACGCCGTCGTCACCGTCCCCGCCTACTTCAACGACTCCCAGCGTCAGGCCACTAAGGACTCTGGTATGATTGCCGGCCTCAACGTCCTCCGCATCATCAACGAGCCCACTGCCGCTGCTATTGCCTATGGATTGGACAAGAAGACCGTCGGAGAGAAGAACGTCCTCATTTTCGATCTCGGTGGTGGTACTTTTGATGTCTCCCTCCTCACCATCGAGGACGGAATCTTTGAGGTCAAGGCCACCGCCGGTGACACTCACTTGGGAGGCGAGGATTTCGACAATCGTCTCGTCAACCACTTTGTCCAAGAGTTCAAGCGCAAGCACAAGAAGGATCTCTCGTCCAACCCTCGCGCACTCCGCCGCCTCCGCACCGCCTGCGAGCGTGCCAAGCGTTCGCTCTCTTCGTCTGCCCAGACCTCGATCGAGATCGACTCTCTCTTTGAGGGTGTTGATTTCTACACTTCCTTGACCCGTGCTCGTTTCGAGGAGCTTAACCAGGACCTCTTCCGCAACACCATGGAGCCCGTCGAGAAGGTCCTCCGCGACTCCAAGATCGACAAGGGTCTCGTCGACGAGATCGTTCTCGTCGGTGGCTCCACCCGTATCCCCAAGATCCAGAAGATGGTCTCCGACTTCTTCAACGGCAAGGAGCCCAACAAGTCCATCAACCCCGATGAGGCCGTCGCCTACGGTGCTGCCGTCCAGGCTGCCATTCTTACCGGTGACACCTCCGAGAAGACTCAGGACCTCCTCTTGCTCGATGTTGCTCCTCTCTCACTCGGAATTGAGACCGCCGGAGGAGTCATGACTGCCCTCATCAAGCGTAATACCACCGTCCCCACCAAGAAGTCAGAGACCTTCTCGACCTACGCAGACAACCAGCCCGGTGTCTTGATCCAGGTCTACGAGGGTGAGCGTGCCCGCACAAAGGATAACAACCTCCTCGGCAAGTTCGAGCTCACGGGTATCCCCCCTGCCCCTCGCGGTGTTCCTCAGATCGAGGTCGTCTTTGATATTGATGCCAACGGTATCTTGAACGTCTCAGCTGTCGAAAAGTCCACCGGTCGCGCCAACAAGATCACCATCACCAACGACAAGGGCCGTCTCTCCAAGGAGGACATTGAACGCATGGTCAACGAAGCCGAGAAGTACAAGGCCGAGGACGAGGCAGCCACTGCCCGCATCCAGGCTAAGAACGGGCTCGAGTCGTTTGCCTTCAACATCAAGAACTCTTTGGCCGACGAGAAGGTCGGTGGCAAGCTCGATGCTGCCGACAAGAAGAAGCTCGAAGATGCCTGCCAGGAGGTCATTACTTGGCTCGACGGCAACCAGGAGGCCGAGAAGGAGGAGTTTGAGGCCAAGCAGAAGCACCTCGAGGAGATCTCCAACCCCATCATGATGAAAATCTACGGCGGCGCCGGTGCTCCCCCCGGTGCTGGTGCTGGCGGTGCTCCCCCCGGCGGCTTCCCTGGCTCAGGCGAGTCCGAGCCTACCATCGAGGAGGTCGACTAAGCCCTCAAGTCTTTCTTTCTCAACACATCCCCCACCGCTTTGTTCACTCTCAACACACTTGTACTTTTCCGTTTTTTCAATCTATCCCTCCTTCCCACATGCGTCTTTGGCACCCCCTGTAGCAACACCAATCTGTAAATAAATAAGTAAAAAATGAATCGCAATGATCAAAACGTCAATGAACTTTAAAAGAATGCCACTTGTACTTGAAAATGACTTTGCGCGAGCACAAGTTTTTCTGGATGGCATGATCCTAGCCCTTTGGTCTATGTTCTTTGTTCTTTATCTTTGGTGGGCTCAAAAAAATCGAATACAGGAAATCAAGGCGAAGAGGGGTATGGGGATAGGATGCACTATGAAGCAGAAAAAGGAGCCGATGGAAATCAACTATGTGGTCTTCTTTTCACCCATCCTTTCCACATATACTCGCTGAACAAGGAACTTCCAAGGACAAACAAAAGCGAAACAAATCTCTGCTGATGGCGCCTCAAGAATCACACAGGTCGCCTCCTCTTCTACAAACCAGCTGAATACATATGCGTCTACTTCTTTCCTCATTTTTTCGTTCATCACCATCAAGTCATGCAATGAACCATTCAAAGTCGCACTCTCATCCGAATGGACATGTCAAAGAGATGACCCATAGCCAATCACTTGCTCACCATTCACTCATCCTTTTGTCTAATAAACAAACAGCTATATGAATCGACCTCGGAACCTCCTATTCTCGCGTAGCAGTGTGGAAGGATAAAGTTGAAATCATTCTCATCGACGCCCCAGGGTAACACAAGCATGCCTTCTTATGTCGTCTTCGCAAGTTCGAGACGGTTGGTTGGAGCGGTCGCCAAGAAATCAGGTTATCGACAATATCACCAACACGGTCTTTGATATCAAGCGTCTACTTGGCCGTCGCTTCGACAACATCAACGTCCAGTCGGACGTGAACCTCTGGCCGTTCAAAGCTGTCAACACCGACAGGAGCAGCAGTTCCCGCAGCGTCCAAGTCGACTACAGAGGCGGGACCTGGCAGTTGACGCCCGAAGGAGATCACCGCCATGGCCCTTTCCAAGCTGCAAAAGGCTGCCAATGCTCGCCTTGGAACTTCTGTCAGGGACGCCGTCATCTCTGCGCCTGCCTACTTCAACGACTCCCAGCGCCAGGCGACCATGGAGGCAGGATCGATTGTCGGTTTCAATGTCCTCCGTATTATCAAAGAAACAACCACTGCTGCTAATGCTTTTGGACTGGACTATTAGAACGAAGGGGAAAAATACTGTCCTCGTCTTGGATCTCGGTGGTGGTACCCTTGATGCCCCCCTTTTCGGCATTAGGCGAGGGCGTCGTGAGGTCCAGGCTACTACTGGAGACAATCACTTGAGAGGCCGGGATTTCGACAACTTTCTCGTGGGGTCCTTTGTCCGTGAGTTCAAGGAAAATATTCCCAATGACAACTATAATGGTCCTTGTGCCCTCAATCGCGTCCAAATCGCCTATGAGCAAGCCAAGATTGCCCTCTTCTCGTCGGATCAGACCGACATTGCCCGTTTTGAAGAGATTACCTCATCTCTCTTCCATCGCGTCTTGGAACCACCAATACCGTACTCCAGTGTGCCAATATCAACAAGCAATCTGTCCATGATATTGTCTTTGTTGGCAGTTCAAGCAGGGTTTCCAAGATCCAGAAGATGGTCTTTGACTTCTTCTATGGCAAAACGCCCTACAAATTCATCAACGTCGACGAGGCCGTTGCCTAAGGCGCAGCTGTCCAGGCCGCCATACTCACCGGCGACACCTCCGAGAAGACCCCGGATCTCCTCTTTGCTCGATGTTGCTCCTCTCGCTCGGAATTAAGACCGCTAGAGGAGTCATGGCTGCCCTCATCTAGTGCAACACCACTGTTCCACCAAGGGACACAATACCCCTCGCTGCTGTCACCGACAACCACGCTAGAGTCTTGACCGAGGTCTACAAAGGCGAGCATCATGTAATCACGGACAGCAACCTCCTCGGCAAGTTCGAGGTCATCGGTGTTTCATCCCCCCCCCCTTGGCGGCGACATGGCTCTTGCACTCATCTTTGTCTCGCCTTTCCTTTCTTTTTTTTTCATTGTTTGACATAGATATCGAAGGGGACCTCGGAACTTCCTACGCTAGCGTGTCGGCGTAAAACAACGACACTGTAGATGTCATCCCCGTCGAACTGGAGGGGCAACAAAAAGCCGGCGGTACTACGTCACCTTTACAGGATCGAATCGCCTGGGGGGTTCAGGTCGGAGAGGCAACGAAGGGTCAGGCGGTGGACAATGTCACCAGTCGTCCAGTCAGATGTAAACCCTCTGATTTGTTCAAGATGGTAGGCGACTAGAAAAAAAACCCCGTCTCGCATTGAAATCGACAAACAAGGGCAGGACCAAGCAGTTTTGCTCCCTAGGAGATTTGCCACCATAAATCCAGTTCCAAGTTGCGCAAAAGCTGCTGTGGCACATCATCTCGAAATGACTGTCACCCCATGCTGTCATTTCTATCCCTGCGTACTGTACGGACTCTCAGCGTCCGGCGACCAATGATCCAGGAACAATTACCGGCCTCGATCCAGAAGGAAGATCAATGGAGAAATGAAGTGCGGAATGTTTTTATTGAGAATGGCGTGAAAAGAACAAAAAAAACGATAAAGTTCAAATAATGGAGGCATTGAGTATTCATGCCAGAAGGGATTATGGTTGGGAGGAGCTGAACGTCGTGGAACATGGGGCCTGTCTGTTGGAGGAGGAGATTGAGCGCATGGTCAAGGAAGCCGCCGATTTCCCCCTCGAGGAGCAAGCTGAAAAAAAGGTGTCACTTTGGTAACAACGTCGTTCCTTTTCAACGTCAATCATTCATGTCACAAATACTCTCATGCCAATTGACGACACATACGCAACGCGGTTCGTCTTCCGATTCATTATCGTTTTCAGTAAGCAGGAAGGCAAGGAAGGGGGGGCAAGAGAGAAATTAATCAGCATTACGCGTCCTCTCCCGTCTCTATCTCTTTCTGTTTATGTTGAATGGGTGTGTGGAGATTGAAAAAGAACGCAGGAAAACGAGACTGCCTTCTCTTCCTTCCTCTTGCATGGTCCTCCACGCACCATTGGATGAAAGGAAAAAAAAAAAAAAAGAAAAAAAAAAAAAGAAAAAGGGAATTGGAACAGCGCAGCGACGAAGTAGGGACAAGGTTTCCTGATTTGGGTTGAATATCAACAAAGTGTAAGTTTTGGCGATGATGAGATCTGTCCTCATCCATACCTTATTTCACTTTTACTCTTCTCTCTCTCTCTTTCTCCTTCTGTGGTGGGAGGGGATGTTTGGTTTGAATGGTGCAAGGAAGGTGTCATTTTACTCTGGGAGTTAAAAAGAGAGCGTGGTATGGATAGTGTTATGAATGGCCGATCTTTGTGTCCTTTTCCTGGGAAGGTGCAAGCATAAGGTTAGAATGAACATCGTGTCCAAAAAGAGTCTCGTTTTGTCTTTTCGACAACAATTTGTCATCTCGCCAAGGAGACCCAGAGGAGAGACAAGACACCACCATCCTAGTTCAATCCAGATATTCAGAAACACAATGGGGGTCCAGGTAAAATCAAAGTGAAGGAAGAGGAAAAAAAATTCCTAAAGGTTGCGATCGAGGGTGGAGTACGGCGAGGAAGAAGAAGAAACAGCGCAGAAGCAAAAGAACATTTTATTTTTTTAATTTGTCAGCGGAGGAGAAAAAACTAGTGAAAGGGATAGAGAATAGGGGAAGGGAGCGGAGACTCGCTGTTGGTATTGCTTTCTAATGGTACTTTTGCTAATCTAGTCTTCTTTCATCAAAAAATAAAGATGAACATGCACGGGCACAGGACGGGATCAATTGACGCTCTGTTGTGCAACCGTACGATAAAAGAAAAAGGTACAGCACAACGACAACGACAACGATGACAACGCTAGCAATTGCGCATTCGAGTGTTGCGTATATGTGTGGGTTGACGTGAGTGTCTTCTATTTGTAACATTGTCTTTTCTTTTCCTTGTGGGTGCTGCGTGGCAGATCGACTCGATGGCCGGTAGGGTACTGTTAGCATAGGGCGTTGCTTACAGAGCACAAAAACAAAACAAAACGGCGAGGAGAAAGAAGGAGAGAAGGGGGATGGCGGAGAGGAAAAAGGGGTCCATCCAATTTGGACTTTGCTCCAAACGAGGCAACGTTAATACGTTTTGAACCCACTCACAACACTGACCTTTTCTGTTGGACAAGAAGTGAAATACCGTTCCTCGGTGTTTGTATTTCTGTATTCCCCGGTCGCTCTTCATTTGCAAGACATAAATACCCTCGATCCCCCATACTCGGATTCTCCTTTTTCTTCTCTTTTCTTCCTTCTTTCTTCATTTAACCTTTAACCCGTTTATTCTCTAAAAGATCCTCACCCGGAGAAGACGATCATCCTCGCCCTTCCCCTTTTACTACTGCATATACCTTAATACCCATTCTCTCCTCTTCTCCCCTCCTTCTCTTCTCCCCCCTCTCTCTTCTCTCCTCTCTCCTTCATTTATTTGGGCGTAGCTGCTCATTTGACCTTTGATTCCATTGACTGAGATCTCACAAACACCTGCTATCACAACATTACTATCCCCTCCTTCACACAATGAGCATCGACTCGTTCTGCCACGACCCTGAGGGTTGGGTACGTATCTCCTGTCTGGCATCGTTTTTGTCTTCACTTTGCCCGCTCACTTTGCCCGCTCACTTCCATCCGATCATTGTGTTACTTACCATTCATTTCTCGAAATCATCCATCGTTCACAAATAGGGTCCGACGAGCCATACTCGCCCCGATCTGACACCATGTGTGGAAAACACGATCCTGCTTACTCTCCCATCCCTCATCGGGGTTCTCTACTTTGGCTACTCTGTCTTCTCAATGTCGCGACACGGCAAACCACACAATCTCGGTCGCACAAACATCATCTACTGGCCATCTCAATTCTTCATCCTCGCCAGCGTCGTGGCCTTGATCGCCAGAGCTGCCGTCCTCAACCAGTCTGGTTACGTCCCCGCCACCATGCTCAGCACCATCTCCCTCATCGTTGCTTGGGTACGTTGCCTTACTTTGGATGTTGGGTCGCCATTTGAAAATCTTCGAACCCCTTCAAGACCTACTTTCTAACTTTGTTATCTTTTTGTACCTGCATCTATGTGTAGGCGGCGGCAATGGTTCTGAACCACTTTCAACACCAACAAGAAATCCGCTCGTCCGATCCAATCTTTACCCTCTACGTCTTCACCCTCGTCGCAAGCGCAATCAACATCCGCACAATGTCCCTCCTCAACCAAACCGATCAGGCCCAGTTTAAGGCGTTTATCGCCTTCTTTGCCTTCAGCTTTGCAGGATTCATTGTCGAGGCTTGGCCCCGAAGCGGGACACAGGTCCAAATCAAGAGTGGCGCCAGTCGATTCGAAAAGGCAAACCTCTTCTCGCGTCTCTCCTTCGACTACCTGCAGCCCATCATCACTCAGGGATACAAGGCCCCACTTGCTGCAAAGGATATTGCCGGGATGGTGCCTCGTCGCATCAAGACCGAATTCAGTCACGATAACCTCAACAACCACTGGCAAAAGGCTATCGCCAAGGCCGCTGCCAAGGGCACCAAGCCTAGTCTGTTCTGGACCGTCATGACCTCGTTTGGATCTCTGTGGGTTCCCATCATGGTCTACCGCATTATCGCCTCGACCTTGACCTATGTTTTGCCCACTCTCTTGAACGAGCTGTTGAGCTTCATTGGATCGTATGACACTGCCAACCCACAGCCTGTTTCCTTGGGAGTGATCCTGGCGTTTGGAATGTTCTTTGCCTCGCTTTTGAACTCGTTCTTTATGGCCCAGTACTTCCAGGGTTCGTTGGATGTTGGTGTTGAGGCCAGAACGGCGCTCATTGCCATGATCTACCGCAAGTCGTTGAAGCTCTCGAGTGCTGCCAAGCAAAAGTCGACTGCAGGAGAGATCAACAACCATATGAGTGTTGATGCCGAGCGCTGGAACGACGCCATTACCTTCTTCCCCATGTTTATCTCCATCCCGTAAGTCATCCCTTTGCTGTTGTCTGGTACACAATGCTTGTTTAATACAGTACAAGCAACTAACAAGCAGTGACTCTTCTATCTTTGTTTAACTATTGCATCCAAATAGATACGAGTTGTGTATTGCCCTCTGGCTTTGTAAGTCGTTGTATTGGTTTAATTGCCTTGCAGGCCGAGCATTTTTTGTCAAAAGGTGCAACAACTAACCTGCTTTCATTCGATTGACCCTTGTAGTGTACCAGCAGATCGGATGGTCGGTGTTTACGGGTCTAGCTACGATCCTCATCATGATCCCCGTGCAGGGCATCGTCGGCAAGTACTTCACCAAGGCCAAGGCCGGCAAGCTCGAGTCCATGGACGGACGCATCCGCATCATGAACGAAATCCTCTCCGGTATCAAGATCGTCAAGCTCTACGGCTGGGAGGACTCCTTCAAGGAGCGCGTTGCCGTCTTCCGAAACCGCGAGCTCTCCAGTCTCCGCAAGATCGGTACCATCTTCTCGTACATGTCGATCATGTTCCAGTCGATGCCTCTCATCGTCTCCTTGGTCGCCTTCACCGTTTATGCCACCGTTGGAGGACCCAACTTTGGCCCTGGTGATATGAGTCCCCAGAAGGTCTTTGTTTCTATCTCGCTCTTTGGCATGCTCAACCGTCCCATTGGAATGTTGTCCCATATTATCGCTTTGACTATCAGTGTTACCGTCGCAACCAACCGTATTCAAAAGTTCCTCTTGGCGGAGGAAATCTTGGGCACCACCACCGAGTCCATCAAGACCCTGCCAGAGGATCGCACCATTCCTGTCATCGAGATCAAGGACGGTGTCTTTGCCTGGGAGACCGAGGGCCCTGAAGTCGAGAACCCCAAGGAACAAAAGGCGCGCGAAAAGCAGGAAGCCAAGAAGCAAGCCCAGCTTGAGAAGGAGGCCCGCAAGGCCGGAAAGCCCATCCCCGTGAAAGACGCCCATGTTGAGAAGGACTATGGCCCTACCTTGACCAACATCAACCTCGCCATTGCTCGCGGTGACCTGACCGCTGTTGTCGGACGTGTCGGCCAGGGCAAGACCTCGTTGTTGAATGCCATTATCGGAGACATGTACAAGCGCCAGGGATCGGTCCGCGTCTATGGCAGAATGGCCTACGTCGCCCAGCAGGCTTGGATCGTCAACGCCACCATGCGCGACAACATTTTGTTTGGAAACGAGTTTGACCAGGCTCGCTACGACCACGTCCTCATGGCCTCTGGATTACTTCCCGATATCGATATGCTCCCTGCTGGCGACCAGACCGAGATTGGCGAGCGTGGAATCAACCTGTCTGGAGGCCAGAAGCAGCGTGTCTCGCTTGCCCGTGCCGCCTACGAGAATGCCGATGTCTACTTGTTTGATGACCCCCTAAGCGCCGTTGATGCCCATGTTGACCAACACCTCTGGCAGCACTTGATCGGACCTACCGGATTGCTCAAGGACAAGACTCGTGTCTTGGTCACCCATGCCATTCACCACTTGGAGCACGCAGACCAAATTGTTGTCATCAAGGACGGAGAGATCAGCGAGACCGGCAAGTACGATACTCTCATGGACGCCCGCAACGCCTTCTACCAACTCATCAAGGATTACTCTGTTAACGAGGGCAAGAAGCGCAAGGAAAAGACTGTGGACGGCGAAGTCGCTGATGACGAGAGCGATGCTTCAACGCAGGCTGGGATCGACAAGGAGGGCAAGGAGGAGGTCGCTGAGGTCAAAAAGGATGACAAGGCTGGTCTGGTCTCTGAGGAAAAGATGGTTCATGGTAGTGTCGCCTGGGGCGTCTACTCGATCTACGCCAAGGCTGCGTCGTACAAGCTGTCTATCTTAATTGTTCTCTTCTTCTTGGGCTGCCAGGGCATCCAGATCGGCACCAATGTCTGGCTCAAGTACTGGACGACCCAGAACGGCGCCGAAAAGCACTCTGTCGGCGAGTTCCTGGGCGTCTATGCCGCCCTTGTTATTGCCTTCCTAATCAGCAACGTCACTGTCACCTACATCACCATGGTCATTGCCGCCATCCGCGCTTCTACTATCTTGCACGAAGGTCTCCTGTCAACGATGCTCCGCCTGCCCATGTCCTTCTTCGACACCACCCCTCTCGGTCGTATTGTTAACCGCTTCTCGAGCGACATCTTCAGCATTGACGAGCTCACCCCATGGAACTTTATCAACGTCTTTGTCTGCGGTGCTTCTGTCCTCGGAACAATCGTGGTCATTGGTACAACCACCCCTATTTTCCTGGCCATCGTCCCTCCACTCGTGGTCCTCTACCTCCTCATCCAGACTTTCTACATTCGCTCGTCGCGTGCCCTCAAGCGTATCGATTCCGTCTCCAAGTCGCCCATCTACCAGCACTTCAGCGAGACCCTGGCCGGTGTCACCACCATCCGCGCCCTTGCCGCCAACGACAGATTCATTGCCGAGAACGCCGCCAAGGCCGATATTGCTGCCAATGCCTACTTCGTGTGGGTCTCTACCAACCGTTGGCTTCAGATCCGTTTGGAGGCTTTGGGAGCGATCGTTGTTCTTGCCGCTGCCTTGTTTGTGGTCCTCAGTCGGTCCAGTCTTGGTTCTTCCAGCGCCGGTCTTGCCATGTCGTATGCTCTCAGCGTCACCCTGGATATCACTTGGCTCGTTCGTTCCTACTGCGACCTTAACGTAAGTCTCTTCCCCATTCAGTATTTGTAGCTGACAACTACCAATGTGTGATCATTATCAACGCCTTTTCTCTAACGATTATACGCTTTACCTTCTCCTTGCTAATAGAACCAATTGGTTGCGGTGGAGCGTGTGGACGAGTATGCCAAGAAGAACCCCGAGGCTCCTTCAGAGACGGACGTTGTCCTGCCCGAGAACTGGCCCCAAAACGGTCTGGTCGAATTCCGCAACTACTCAACCCGTTACCGCGAGGGTCTCGATCTTGTCATCAAGAACATCTCCTTCTCGGTCCAGCCTGCCGAGAAGGTCGGTATCGTCGGTCGTACAGGTGCCGGTAAATCGTCCCTCACTTTGGCCCTCTTCCGTATCGTCGAGGCTGCCAACAGCCACTGGGCCAAGGCTACTCATAACGGCGCTGATCAGGACGCCGACCCGACCAAGACTGACAAGATTGCTGACCTGTCCGATGTTAACGTTGAAGAGGACGGTGGATCGATCTGGATTGATGGTGTCGACATCTCGACCGTCGGTCTTCAGTACCTCCGCCAGCACCTTGCCATCATCCCCCAGGATCCTACCCTGTTTGTCGGCACTGTCCGCGAAAACCTTGATCCCTTCGACCAACTCCAAGACGCAGAACTCTGGGAAGCCCTCGAACGTGCCCATCTCAAGGACCACATTTCCTCCCTCGCCGGCGGCCTCTCCTTCAAGGTCTCCCAAAACGGTGACAACTTCTCGGTCGGCCAACGGTCGCTCATCTGTCTTGCCCGCGCCCTCCTCCGCAAGACCAAGATCCTTGTCCTTGACGAAGCCACGGCTGCAGTCGATGTCGAGACGGATGAGTTGATTCAACGGACGATCCGAAAGGAGTTCAAGGATAGGACGATCCTGACGATTGCCCATCGTATCAAGACAGTTATGGATTCTGACAAGATCTTGGTGTTGGAGAAGGGTCGTGTTCAAGAGTTTGAGGCGCCTGCGACGTTGTTGAAGAGGCCCGATTCGTTGTTCTTTAGCCTTGCTCAACAGGCTGGCGAGATCAAGGACCACGACGATTAGGAGCTCTAGTTTATACCATTGTTTTTCATTCATTTTTTTTTAGTACTTTCACCGTAGAGGTTTAATTAGCATTTGCATCCACTTAATACATACACATCGCTTTCGGTCTTTCATATTGGATTGGTATTGGAATGTTGCCTTCAAATGTTTGGTGGATCCTGTTGTGATTGAAAAGTTCGATCTGGCGTTCAGTCAAGAAGCAGTCGACTTTGTCAGACCCCGTCAGGAAGCGTGGACGAAAGTGGTGGTACAAATGTATTTAATGCTTAATATGTTGTATTTTGTTCTCTATGCCAAAACTCCTCCTCCTGCTTGCCAGTTGTTTATGGGTGGTGGCTCCCGCACAAAAGTCAAAGTCATGATCTTATGCCTGGACGACCTTCTCCAAAGAAACCAACTCCTCCAAGGCCTCTTTCCTAGACTGGTCCAATTCCCGCTTGAAGGCCGCAGTATCAACCATCCTGAACGCTCTCCTCCTAGGCTCGTTGATAGGAGTAGGCAAGACCTCGTCCTTGTGAAGCGTGACGCCAACATATGTCCTCTTCCAGAACTTCTTGTCCTTAACTGGGTCCTGGTAGTACTGCACCCACCCGGACTCGAGTGCAAATAGTGTGTGATCCTTGCCCATTCCGACATTCTCGCCTGGGTAAAAGTGTGTGCCGCGTTGGCGGTAGATAATGTTTCCAGGGATCACCGGTTGGCCTATTTTTTTTTTTTTTTGTTTTTGTTCGGAAATGGCGGCATTGTTAGAAAAAAGGAGAGTATCGGCAAGCAAAATTGATTCAGGGGAAAGTGGAGGTGGGGTTTGATGATCTGTTGTTTTGGTGTTGTGTTTTTTTACCTCCGACTTTCTTGGCTCCGAGACGACGACCGGCAGAATCTCTGTTGTTCTTTGTGGAACCTCCAGCCTTCTTACTGGCGAAACGAACCTGGTTCGTGAAGGCTACAAAGTCATTGGGCGAAAAACGGGAAAGTGGAAAAGGGTCGGGTCAGCTACTAGGGTTCGTGATTCTAGAGGTTCAATTCCGAGATCTGATCCCGCTGGTGGCGAGAGAAGTCCAAGATACAGTATGAATGACATTCGACTGCTTTCGGAGCTCCTTGAATCATTTGTTTCTTTGGTTCCTGGATTTCCTGGTTCGATAGAACTGACAGTTCGATTGAGTTTTAAAGGTGATACGCCCGCGATGCTTCAACGTCCTGGGAAGTATCGATCCACTCTCAAAGAGAAAGCGCAGTTCCTGGACCCGGAAGTATTCTAGCCGATCAGCGCTCTTCACATTGACGGCCACTTCCTGTTCCTGAGTGAGATCAGACCTAAAGCTGATCTGGTTGTTGTTTTTTCCGAAACGTGCGTCGATCCGGGAATGCGGGTGGGTAGTGTATACCTGAGGTCTCTGCGGTGAGGCCGAGGCGAGCGAATTGGCGGTTGAGGCCGAGGATGTTTGTTGACAGGAGAGACATGGTGGTGGCGCTGTGTGGGGAGGAAAGGAGAAAAGTGTGATCGGAGGAGGCGAGAGACGGGCGGTAGAAGTCTTGCTGATCAGAGATGCAGCAGTAGGGCGAAGGAGTAGAGAGGCAGTCGAAAATGACGTATAAGAATCGTATTTGTTACCAATTAACACTTCCTCGATCCCTCCCTTGCACTTGCTCCAGACACAAGTGCTGAGGATGAAAAAAAAATAAATAAAGTTTTGCGTTGGTTTTTTGTTTGATCACCACCTCCTTTGCTTGCACCTTTTCAACTTATTCACTCTTGCCTCATTCGAACAAACAGCCCAGCGTCGCATGTCCCCAGCACCAACTACAGGAACAGCCAAAAGAACCCTCGCCGCACCACATAACCCCATGACCCTCGCCCCCGAGACAGCCTTGGCACTCATTCAAGCCGGGGCCTCTTCTTCCAATAACATCAATAACAACACCACCACTATTGCTACTCCTACTACTGCAGCCACCACCGCAGTCACCGCTTCTACTGTTGCTGCATCAGCAACAACACCTGCGCAACCACAGGGCCCTAGTATGAGCATGCCCAACGCCAACAACATGCTCGTCAACGGAAGAGGCAATGCCGCCTCGACCTCAAGAGCCTCCTCTAGTCGAACTGCCTCGGCCTCTTCTTCCTCCTCTATGCAGCAACTCCCTCGACCCTCCAGCACTGCCCGAGGAAACGTTGCCGCATTCCTGACCAAGCTCTACAAGTACGCCCTTACTATTCCACTCGTCTGGTCCATAGCATCGTTCGTGTACCAATTGAACCCTTGGTTCTCAATTACTTACCTTTGCCACACTTTTTTTAACGGTTGTAAAAATAATCTGTTACAAACAATCGTAGCATGGTCGGCGACGAGGCTTCCAATAACTTGATCAAGTGGTCCGACGATGGCCATTCCTTCATTGGTAAGAACAGCACAAACTATACCAGCCAATTGACTCCTATTCCTCAATGCTTCCACGAAAACGTTGCATTATTCTCCAAAGTTATTATTTAGCATTGACAGGACTGAAATCGAACCTGAACATCATGTGTCTGTCATACAACCTGACTCCATGCATTTTGCTTCAAACACCTCTAGTTGTCAAGCACGTGGAGTTTGCAAAGGAGGTGCTGCCAAAGTTTTTCAAGCACAACAATTTCTCGTCGTTTGTCCGTCAACTCAACATGTACGGGTTCCACAAGGTGCCTCATCTGCAGCAGGGAGTCCTCCTCCCAGACGCCGACTCGGAACAGTGGGAGTTCAGCAACCCGCATTTTCAAAAGAACCAGCCCGACCTACTCTGCTTGGTTTCCAGGAAGAAGGCGTCGAACGGAAACGATGACAAGGATGCCCTAACAATGGATTTGGGCCATATTCTCTCGGAGGTCACCGCCATCAAGAAGCATCAAATTGCCATCTCGTCCGACTTGAAGAATATTGAGCGGGATCACCAATCGCTCTGGCAAGAGTCCATCGCCGCACGGGAACGCCACCAACGTCAGCAGGACACTATCGACAAAATTCTCCGCTTCCTCGCCAGTGTCTTTTCAGGAGAGAAGAAGAGGGCCATTGTTCCCAACAAGAAGCCCAGACTTACTATCACCGAAGGAGATGTGGACGACGAGTACGAACATGAACTCGGACTAAGCTCTGGTGGTGAACACGAGGAAGAGGTCACGAAATTATTGGGAAGCAAGCGCAAGCGTGCGTCCATGGTCGAGTCCGAGGCAGACTATCTTTTACCAGGCATGGAGACTCGCGGATCGCCCAGCAAGCCAACTTTCAACATTAGTGAAATGACACCTGGTGAGCATTCATATCTTCGTTCTCGTTTGAGCCATGCTATATTTATGCATTTTTGATGCGGTGCTCTAACCATAACAAATGGCTCTTTGTTGGGTTTAATTTCCTCCGACGTAGCAACACTGGCACTCCTTGCTAATGCAAGTCAGTCTGCCCAGTCTGCCCAGGCAAACCCCTGTTCTCCAGCTTCAACGTCAACATCCTCGATCTCAACTCCACCCATTGCAACAACATCAACAGCACCTAGCAAAAAGTTGGCTCCGCCTCCGGTCACGAGCGAACCACAGGGGTCGATCACGGACTATCTCAGCGCATTCCCTGGATTGAACTTTCCTGGCGTACAACCTTTCAAACTGGACGGTTCAAACTTGTCGATCCCAACAACACTTTTGCCCAATGCCATTAGCCCTTTGCATCACGATATGCTCCGGTCGATCTCAATGGCGAATGCACAGGAGAATCTGCCTGCACCGCTCCCACCTTCCTTTGTCCAGACACCAGCAGGAGCGAATGCGGTTAAAGGAGTGGACCAGATAGCACAGGAAATGGAGCAGTTGCAGAAGAGTATTGAAGCCTTGGAGGCGCATGGCCTCAATGTCAACGACTTCAACTTTGACGAATCTTATTTAAATTCGGCCAACTTTGGTACGTTATGCGTATTTGTATTGACCTTTGACACAAGCGTGAGAAAGTAAGTTTTCAGCTAACATTATGCCTTCTCCTATTTTCTTTGACTGTTCAACTAATAGCTGATAATGGGTATGGCGATATGAGTGGTATCAGCGGAAGTGGGATCCCTTACCAGGATTCTCTGGGATCGGAGGCCGATAACATGGACGATATGATTCACGCGGACCAGGACGACCTGAATATGATCACGCCAGCACTTGACCATCAACATATTGTGTCTGAACCTGTGACACCTTCATCGTCCTCTGCCTCGACGCCTCGAAGCAGCAGCAACATCAACACTATACCTTTATCGACACACCCTTCCAAGTCATTCTCACCGTTGTCTGCCTCTTCTTCTACCTCGACCCCCGTTATCACTCTTCCAGTCTCTGCCGCTTCAACGCCGACCGAGACGCCCTTGATCAATCCACGGACATCTACCGTTGGCGACGAGTACCTTGAGGATATGATTCACCTTGATGACTCTATCTAAATCCTTCACCTTTCATTTTCTTGCAGTTTTGTTTTTGCCATCTGTCCCTTCCTCTTTTCATTGCTTATCTATCCACCTCATTGTTCTAGTTATGTCCCATAGTCATTTTCTTTGCATTTTTCATCTATGTACTTTACACCACTACCCCACACACTTCGCCCATCATTCGATCACAATTAAAGTTTGTGAAAGCCCAAGCCAAAAAAAAAAAAAAAAAAAAAACAACGTTTAGAAGTGTCTGTTAGCGCGTGTCCTTCAAGTCTACTCTACTGCATAGCACCTGCACTGTAGGCGGCGTGACTGGGGATCAACTCAAGGCTGCCTTTCCTGGGTCGAGCTGGGTCCTCGTCCCTTTTCAGCCTACCGTACCCTAGTAGTTTCTTTGAATCACTTCACTCTCCTTCGACAGCCAAAGCTCTCATCAACTACACTCTTGTTCTCCTCTTGACTCTTTCGCCCTTCCTACACCAGACGCATTCCACTCTTTTAATCAACACATTCTCGCCCCTCACTCTAACCAACCGACCAACGCGCTCCATCCTTCTCGTCCCTTTCCACCCATACCTTCACCACGCGCACACATAACCTCCACCCACATCCAACCAAACCAGCAAGCAACAACTATCATGGCCTCGTTTATGTCGATGCAGTACGATTCAGACTCAGACTCGGCCGATGATCTCGACTTTAAGCCAGTCAGCGACGGAAGCTCTGGTTCCGGTAAGCACTCCTATACTCTACACTCACAAAGTTATTCTCCCTTTGCCAAAGTCTCAGCTTCCAACCCTCGAACATGTACCCTTTGAACGGGCCACGTTTTTATTTCTGCGTATGCCTGTGGCACAACCTTGCACACACACACACACACACACACACACACACACACACACACACACACACACACACACACACACCCCTGCTTGCTCTTGTCCCAATGCCAGTCAATCCAAAAAAAAAAAAAAAAAAAAAAAAAATCCCCACTATTTTGTTATCCTCCTCCACATATGTGTAACAGACCCTATTGACACTACTGTGTATGTATGTTTGTTTTTTTTTGTTTGTAAATAGATGGTGACAGTGCCGCTGATGAGGATATAGACGAAACCATGGAGGGTGTTGAAGGAGAGACTGACGCTGCCGGGCCAATAGTACCTGCTCCTGCAGTACCTTCTACAAAGGCCGGCGCCTCTAAAAAGAAATATAGCCCACGCGCTCAACAGACCGGCGCCACCTCAACGCCGCCAGCAACAGTAGTAGCCTCCTCGTCAGTTCAGGTCTCTTCACAACCCGTCTCTACAGATTCAGTGGCAATACCTAGAGTCAATGTGCCAACAGCTGCAGGGGAAGCTGGTGGCGCCACTACTGAACCTTTGGCAGGTACCTCTGGATCCTCTGAAGTAAGTTTTGTTTCCTTGTTTTATCTATACTAAGTCTCAGGCGCGCTCGGTGCTTCAATTGCAAACCCATTTGTTATGCTATTGCGAAAATGGAAACTTAATATTTATGTTTTGTTGCGTATTTTCATTCACTCCAACTGGTTCGTTAACAATAGCTAACGGCTACTGCAACTGGCGATGCAAGCGCTGCAGGAAGTGCACCAGGAGAGGTGGTGAAGAAGAAGAAAGGACCCAAGAAGGGCACAAAGTACAAGAAACGAGCAACAGCTGCTCCAGATGCAGTAGGTGGATTGGCACCCAAGTACCCCAAGATGACCAAGAAGGCTGCTGCAGCTGCCGCTGCTGCAGTCGCGGCGGCGGCGGCTTCTTCTCGGACTATGGCTCATGCGTTCGGACGATTCGGTCTCCAAAATACCCAGGTCGACCTCGGTAAGCATTTCTTGTGCAAGTCACTAAACATCTCAGCCTCTTTTCACCCTTTGCAACTGCGTCCTCATACCTTTACTTCATATCGATATACATGAATGATGCTAGATCATCCACTGGAATCGTTCAAGTGGCCGTACTCGCCATTCACAGCGGATTTCAAGACGCAGCACCAGGCGAGAGGCACGATGGCGAAGGACTTGCATCAGGCTGTGCAGCAGATCACGGAATCCAATAACCGGTCAACATGGCATTTGCAGGAGCTCGATCAACAATTGCAGATGAGTCGACAGGACTTAAAGACGAGTCTAGACGAGATTCAATTCAGGAAGAGTCAGCTTCGGGATATGAGCTTGATGGCAGCTGACATCGTGCGGAAGCTTTCATCGTCTTCGTCGTCGAGCCGGAGGAGTGGAAGAGGAGCAGAGAGGGCGGGTTTACCGTCGTCATCGTCATCGACGTCGGCTTTACCGGGCGGCACAGAATCTGTAGGGCGAGTGAGTGACCTGGACTCGGATGCTATGGAAGTTGACGGAGCCGAGGAGATGTCTGCGAGTGCTGAGCTTGGGCAGCTACGATTGAACGATTTGAATGAGAGTAATGTCCGGTCTTTTCTGGAAAAGATTCGCGAGCTTGAGCAGCACCAACGCCATATCATGGTGTAAGGAATAGCTTGCTTCTCTCTATGACAACATCTTTCCTTTTTTTGGTTTTTCTCTCTCTCTCTTTGCAGCTCAGCGTTGAAATGGATTCTTTACGGGTTACTTCCTTCACTTTGAGATTGGAACATTCGACCAGTTCGTTTGTTCTTAAACTCTTGTGATGCCCTGTCCCACCTCTTTTTCCATCTCTTCAATCCTTTACATTCTTTTGCTTCTTTGCTATCTCTTACCACCCGCCCATTATTCCAGTTTCCCTGCTCCATCATTCAATGCTTGCTCTCATTGCTTCTTACCCTCTACGTTCATTTGCACTATTATTTTGTACTCATGTAAAATAAAAACAGCCGAAAAAAGTCAACCCGCAGCCTTGCTCTTTTGTCCATGGCAAATTTGCATGCGGACGAAAATATTCCCTGTGGTATTATTCATGTACTTTTTATTATTGTTGCTCTCTAGACGGACAATCCGAATGCGTAGACGATGACGATCATGGACTTGTTCTCGAAGCGGTGGACGGCCGCTCCTATTTTGACATTTGACAATTTTTTTTGTGCAAAGAATGTGTGTTAGCTTTGGGTTAAATTGAGAGGTATGTGCGCGAATGGTGGGGGTGATTGATTGAGTACCATCGGACTCTGCATCCCAGAGACTGGTGGATGAGATGTGGATGCCTGCGCCGATCGACTCTAGGAACGTGCTCGTTACTAGAAGGAGATAAGGTATGATAAGTGTGCGTTATGTTAGTACTGCGAGGGTGACAAACAAGCCGGAGATATGAAGGACCTTGCCAGTGTGAATATGACTAAGTGATACGGACCGATGAACTTGAAGGTATTGCCTTTGAGATGGGTGGTGAGACGGGCGATGGCTTCCTGATAGATGGCGGATTGCCACTCTTGGACGAGATCTGACCGGTATGTGGCATCCTTTAAGACCTTCTTCACCACCTGTTTTGGTAGGTTTGTTGTAGGATAGTTTTCGAGTCAGTCAGTTGGATATCAATGCTTTTTTGTTGTTGTATATTTGACGGAGTATGTTGGTTTACCTCTTCGAGGATTTTTGTTGCGGCCTTGACGTCAAACTTGGGTTTCTATACGAGTTGAAGGTCAAAGGGGAGTTGTAAGGTTATGTCTGGTCGTTTGTCCCTTGACGCAGGCTTAATTCTCTCTTGTTGTTATCGATTGGAGCGTACTTCTTCTGTTGCCATTGTGATGTAGGTAGGTGGGTAGTGGATGTGTGGGAAGGTGATGGTTGAATGAGTTTGAAAAAGAAGGGAGATTGGTATGTGTGCCTATTCTCAAGTCGCCTTGGTACCTTTTAAGAGTACTGCTGCTCTGCCTGTCATTTTATGCTCAGGAAGAGTGGCTTGTGATCATATGGGTCAGAGATGGTGCATTGGCCCACATCATTCTGCTCCACTCCTTTCAAATCTTCACTGCAGCAGCAAAGAAAGCAACCCCACTCGGCCGAGTTCAAGAAAAAAAAAGAAGGGGCCCCCGCCCTCCATCCTTCTTCCTTCCCACAAACAGCCACGATAACTGTGGAAGAACACGAAGAAGAGAAGGAGAAAAGAGGTGCAAAAAAGGCTCTTGCTCGAGGACGCTTGAAAAACAAGGCGTCCTTTTCGCTGTCCTCCTTTCTACCCAACTTTCACTTTTACTCTCACTTCTCTTACTTCTCCTTCTTCTTGTCGCCGAAAAGGCCTCCTTCAGCATTCTCGGTCGTATTTTCATACAGATACTACTTTCGACCTACTAACACTGTCTCTCGTCCCCTTCTCCTCTTACTTATTTCTCTTTCCCACTTTTACATCTACACAGACACCCACCTGCTCTCTTCCTCCTAGTCCTTTTTTTATTAATATCACTCATCCCCATCGTTAGGAATAAAGAATTTTTTACAATCGCCTTTGCTGCAGCAAGGACACACACGGCACAAAAGAAGAGCACACACGCTGATTTTTTAGGTATCAAAAATAACTGTATGGATGGGGATTTTTAGACATCCTTTTCCCTTATTTCTTCATCCCCCCCGACTCCCCCGCAGCAGTGTCGATCACCATCATCATCTTGGAGCCAGGAATAGTACTCTTTAGGATATTGTAGTACTGTGTCAGGTAAGAACGAGAAGGAAGAGTTGTAGAAGGGTTTTTTTTATGTCGAGAGTGAGGGGAGGAGAAGGAGGCATCAACTACAGGTAAAAGAGGTAGTGAAGAGTGGTGAGATGGAAGACGGGAGGTGAGGGTGGAGGTGACCGAGAAAAGAGTGGAGAGGAGAGAGGAGAAGAGGAAGCGAAGGAGCGAAGGAAAGAAGTTTATGAAAGGGAGAGAAGTGAGTAAAGTGCCTTTTTTTTTTTCTCAAGCACAACCAACTCGTTCACAGACTCTTGGCTGTGTCAAGGCCGAGGCAGTTGAAAAACAGGCGTCTAGGACAGGTGCGCATTTTTACACGCGGTTAGCACGCATGGCATGGGAAGGAAGGGCTGAAATTGGAAGAGCTTCGCTGGGGCGGTGTGTGTGTGTGTCCCTGGTTCCAACTCACTCCGACCGGTGAGTATAAAGTGAGGTCCCATTCAGGGCTGAGAATTATTTGCATGATACGATATCGACGTGGCGCCTTGGCCCCTTCCCCACCCCCGTTCCGTCTCGAGCAAAGAAAAAGCTGGGGGTTGAAGGTGAAGCACAGGCCATGAACATGTTAGCCTCAGCCACTCGAGGATACGCCCTCGTTAAAACGAACGAACCATCGAACCTCTTTTGGAGTGAACCCCTCTTTTCCCTTTATCGCCTTTGTTCCCTTGTCCCGTTAACGTGCACCTCTCTTTCCCCCCTTTCCCTTCCCTGGCCCCTTCTTTCTTCCTTTCCTTTCTTACCCTTTCTTTACCGGTTCTTGGTGTTGCTGCTGTACACGCACTTACTCTTCGACACACGACATTACTATCTCCTCTTTGTTCAATAGCACTCTCATCAATACGAACTCTCGACCAACCACCACCAACCCGTCGTGAATTACTCCAACCCGTTTCAACACACCAACCAACTGGTTGCCATCACTCCCCACCGCAACTTAACTCAAAAGGAGCCGGGCCTCCCTTTCTCTCTGTCGTTCTTGTGTGCAAGCGCAAACAACATCAACAACACGGATTCGCACTCGCACTCGCACTGGTTCTCGACATTCCCTTACCACTTTGCCAGCGGGACATACCCTTCCCCTTCTGTCTTAACGTACCTGTACTTTTACTCATCCTAATTCCGTCGCCATGAACCCCTACAACTACCAGGCAAGTCAAGTCAAAGGACGAAATGGATGTTTGAATGTGTGTTCATCCCTGGTCACCAGGTCTACCCGGGAGAGCAGGCGTTTGTTCTGGATTTTCAGGAACAGCCTTTTTTTTTTTATTTTTCTTTTGAAACACGTTTTTTCTTTTATCAGCCATTGAAACCAACAAGATTATCATCTGCGGACTTCCCGGGAAAACACACACACATACTTACTCAGGAACCGTCTGGATACCCTGAGAAAAAATATTAACAATTCGAGGAGCCGCCTTTTTGGATCCATCCTGTCCTTCTGGACACATTCATTACAGTTGCTGACAGTGGCTGAGGCTGTAACTCACTTGGGAATGTCTCCTTGACGACTCGCCCAAATGACATTCGACAGAAAAAAAAATGGCGAGAAGGAACGAAGGAATACAAGACTGAACAGAAACGGAGAGACCGAGCAACCTTACTAACAGCATGTGGACTATTTTTTCACTGAGTGTCATTAGGCCCAGATCCTGCTGCAGCAACAACAACAACAACAGCAGCAGCAGCAGCAACAGCAGCAGCAACAACTACAACACGGGCAACAACTTCAACAACAACAACAACAACAACAACAACAACAACAACAACAGCGTCAACACCCACAAATGCATGTTCAGCAGAAGCCGCAAGGCCAGATCCCACAAGGATACCCACAGGTCCCGCAATACCAACAACAGGTGTTCTCTTCTCAACAGTATCCTTCGACGGGCATGACGCCACAACAGCAGCAACATATCTTCTTGCAACAGCAGCGTCAACAGCAACAATTTCAACTTCAACAGCAACAACAGCTGTATCTGCAACAACAGCAGCAACAACAACACCAGCTGCAACAGCACCCTTCACAACAACAGCAACAACTCCCTGTACAACAGCAACAACAACTCCCTGTACAACAACAACAACAACAACAGCAACAACACCAGCATGCTCTCGGCTTTGCGGCGCCTGTCCAGTTCAGCAGCCCAACTCTTGGATTCAGCCAGCCTTTGCAATACGATCCTGCAGGAACGTCCTTCACGATCGACCAATCGCATCTGACCTCACCACCCAGCAGTCAAGCACACCTCCCCTCGCCATCTCCCACACCAGCGCAGCTCGAGGCTCAATCACACGCTCTCCAGATGGCCGGCCATACCATGTCTTCGACAGATGCGGCCCGACTGCGCGCCCAGCAAGCTTTGGCACAATCCCAAGCGCTACAGACTCAGGCCCAGATGCAGGCAATGCAGGCAAAGGCGAAGGCTCAGGCCCAGGCACAAGCTCAAGCTCAGGCTCAGGCACAGATGCAAGCACAGGCACAGGCACAACTCCAGGCACAGGCACAGGCACAGGCACAGGCACAGGCACAGGTACAACTCCAGGCACAAGCACAGGCACAAGCACAGGCACAGGCAAAGGCTAAGGCACAAGCTCAAGCTCAGGCAAATGCTCAAGCACAAGCACAAGCTCAGGCTCAGGCTCTAGCCCACGCACAAGCGCAGGCCCACGCAAAATTCCTGGCGCATAATCAGTCCTTAGCCCACAATCAGGCGATGCTCCAGCAGCCCCTCGGTTCTCCTCTTTCCAGTGTGTACTCGTCCATGTCAAGCCCCGTCGCTCAGCCAACCTTGTTGAACGGAGCTGTTGCTACAGCAATATCAACTCCCTCGATCCCCATGGCTCCCGTCACTCCAGCAGCTCTCGTCACTCCAATGGCACCAGTGGCTCAAGTGGCACCAGCGGCAATAGTGGGACCAGCAGGAACCAACAAAACTCCAAGGCAACCCTCGACACGTGGCAAAGCTAAAGCAACAGGAGCCACGCGGAAGCAGGCAAACCAACAGCTTCAGCATCAGCAGCAGGTATCCATGTCACAACCGCCACCTGCACAAGCTTATCAACAGCCTCCCCCACAACAGTTTTCTGAGCAAGCGTTCTTGCAGCAGTATCAGCAACCTATGCAACAGCAACAAAATCAACGAGTTCTCCCTCAACAGACGCAGGCACATTCAAAACAACAGACAAAGCCCCAGATTCCTCCTGTGAGCAAGAAACCGGCGACAACGAAGGTTTACAACAGCGACGACGACTCGGACTCAGACTCAGGATCATCGAGTTCGGGAGACGAATCGTCTTCTTCTTCCTCGTCATCTTCTGGGTCGTCATCTTCCTCAGAATCAGAGCAGGAGTTCAAGGGGAAAACGCCGCCGCCCGTCAAGAAGGCAGTGGGCAGGAAGAAGAATGTTGTGAAGGCTGGGGGCACGGCCACGCGGTGGGCAGTGCCTTATGATCCGGTGTTGGTCCCCATGGGTAGTAAGACGCTGGAGAAGATTCTTGCCTGGAGGTCGAACAATGGAGCTGAGGAACTGTTGATCAAGCACAAGGTATGCAAAGAGCGTGGATGGATAATGGACCTCCAAGAGATACTGCGATGGCCAGGATGACACAACTAACCTGTCCTTTTTCTGTTGATGCCACTGTCATTAGTTCTCGAGCTATCTTCATGTTGAGTGGGTGCCAAGGAAGCGGATTGAGGATGGCGAGCATCTGGGCAAAAATCGAGTCAAGAAGTTCATGGAAAAGAATGGGCAACAGACAGATTATGAATTTTTCAACCCAGCGTTCACCAAGGTAAAGCCGACGAGTATGAAGTGCACACCTTGCGAATGTTCATTTATGACTGGATCTCTTTACATCTCACTGACCAGTACTGCTGCATCTCTCCCTTTGATGGACTAGATCGACCGCATCATTGACGAAGGAGAACTCACGACTGCAGATGGGGAGATTCAGATCTTCTTCTTGGTAAAATGGTGCAACACTCCCTACGACGGCTCAACTTGGGAGAAAAAGGACGACATCATGGGGCTGGAGCCGACCAAGGTCCACGAATTTTACTCGCGCAAAATCCATCCCACCGAAAGTGCAGCCCGGCAGTTGCCCCGTCCACCACGAGGCGCATTCCGGAAACTCAAGGAGTCGCCCAACTTCAAGCACGGGAACCAGCTTCGTCAGTATCAGATGGAGGGCCTCAACTGGTTGCTGGACTGTTGGTTCAATGAGCAGGCGTGTATTATGGCCGACGAGATGGGACTGGGCAAGACCGTTCAGTCGGTGACGTTCTTGAACGAGATTCACAACACCTATCACATCCGCGGGCCCTTCCTCGTCATTGCTCCACTTTCGACCATCCCACATTGGCATCGCGAATTTGAAGCCTGGACAGACATGAATGTGGTCGTCTTTCATGGAAACATCCCTTCCAGGAACTTGATTGTCGACACGGAGTACTACTACAAGGACGTCACAGTAAGCAACTCGGATCATGAATGTTAAACCTGCGCAACGTGAAGAAACACAGAAGGTATGAGTGAATGCTAATCAAGGTGTTTATCCGTTTGGTATTTGATTAGGGCCAAATTGTGCCAAACCTGTACAAGTTTGACGTCTTGATCACGACCTACGAAATGGTAAGGCTCAGCGAAGTTTTATCTTCTTGGTTGTAAATAGACATTAGAGAAGAGTGTGACAAGCTAACGACGCGTTATCTGTTCATTTGCTCGTTGTTAGATTGTGGCGGCATCAGCACAGCTCAAGCCTATTGCTTGGAGGGCGATTGTTGTTGACGAGGCGCACAGGTTGAAGAATTCGGTAAGGGCTCGTTCCATGGATGCGCTCTGTATTTTGTGTCCCTGTATGTCTTCAATATGTGACTCTAACAACTAAAGTGTTGTTACTATGGTTTGAAATAGGCGTCGAAGGTGTCAGAGATCCTCAAGACTTACAATCTGGAACACCGCGTGCTTTTGACCGGAACACCCCTCCAGAACTCGCTGGATGAGCTTTTTGCCCTTTTGAACTTTTTGGAGCCAACTCGCTTTGCGTAAGTCTATTTTGCATGTTTTTACACACTGGCATTTTGCAATCACTATACCAGGGATAGCTCTTGAACTAACATCGCATGACTTTGGCCAAATTGCTCTTTTCAATAGAAACGAGAAGGTGTTCTTGCAGGAGTACGGCAACTTGAAGACGGCGGCAGAGGTTGACAAACTCCAGCAGCTTCTCAAACCCTTGATGCTTCGTCGATTCAAGGAGGACGTGGAAAAGTCGATCCCTGTCAAGGAGGAGACCATCATCGAGGTCGAGCTGACGACAACTCAAAAGGCGTTCTATAGGGCCATTCTGGAGCGCAACTTTGGGTTCTTGAAGAAGGGAGGCGCTGCAGGACCGAGTCTTATCAACGTGATGATGGAACTGCGCAAGTGTTGTATTCACCCCTATCTCATTCAGGGTGCAGAGGACCGGATCGTTTCAGAGAGGAACGCCAAGACTGCTGAAGCGCAATACCAATGTCTCATCGACGCGTCTGGAAAGCTGGTTTTGATCGACAAGCTACTCAAGAGGCTGAAGGAAGGCGGGCACAAGGTACTGATCTTTTCCCAGATGACGAGATGTCTGGATCTCTTACAGGACTATCTTCGCGGACGCGCCTACCCCTACGAGCGCATTGATGGATCCGTTCGAGGAGATATGCGTCAGGCAGCGATCGATCGATTCTCGACCCTGCCAGATTCGTTTGTCTTTTTGCTCTGCACCCGTGCCGGAGGAGTCGGAATCAACTTGACGGCCGCCGACACGGTTGTCATCTTTGACAGCGACTGGAACCCCCAGAACGACCTCCAGGCGACGGCGCGTTGTCACCGCATCGGACAGACCAAGCCCGTTCAGATCTACCGACTGGTTACCAGGAATACCTATGAGAAAGAGATGTTTGATCGTGCCAGCATCAAGTTGGGACTGGACAAGGCGGTACTCCAGAAGATGGACGTCATGCCAAGCAACTTGGATGATCTCTCAGACATGCCCAAGCCCCCATCGTCGCTGAGCAAGAAGGAGGTGGAGGAGTTGTTAAAGAAGGGAGCCTATGGAGCACTTTTGGATGATGATGAGACGAGCGCCAGGTTCTGCGAGGAGGACATTGACCAGATCCTGGAGCGTCGCACAACTGTCATCAAACACACAGGAAACGAGAAGGGCTCGGTCTTTTCCAAGGCCACCTTTTCATCAACACCCAGCGGCGAGGAGGTCGATGTTAACGATCCCCAGTTTTGGGACAAGTGGGCAGAGCGCGCAAAGGTTAATATCCAGGATATCACAAGCAAGGACCAGCTGATTCTCAACGCTCCTAGGAGTCGTCGACAGGTCCAGCGGTTCGGCAAGGAACAGGGCGATTCGGACTCGGAGGATCGGGAATATGTCTCTGACCCGGACTTTGAGGATGCAGGAGGCGAGAAGGACGTCAAGGACGGAAGCAAGAAGAAGGATGCGCCTCGACCCTGGAGCATGGCCGAGAGGCTGATGTTTGAGCGCAAGCTGATGATCTACGGCTATGGTCGCTGGGACCAAATGCACTTCTTCTTTCCTCGCAGGACCGAGAAGGAACTCAACGCCGTCGGCTATTGTATGATCCAGCAAATCCTCCGGGACACGGCTGCGAACGCCTCAGGATCCGAGGACGATGTCAAGCTGATTGAAGAGATTGAAGCAGTGCTGCTGGAGAACGACGCGAGCAGCGGTTTTGAGCCGCCCTCGACCAACGACATTCCATTCGAAAAGGCGAGCAAAAAGGCCATCGCCGAGTTCAAGTCGTTCTTGTTGGAGGCTTCGCAGGAATATGTCGACCACATTCGCAAGAAGGGCCGCAACCTGGTACTCAGAGTCCAGTTGATTCATACCATCCGGAGCCTTATTCCTCGCGACTGGAATGCGGCCAAACTCCTGGAGATCCCAACAGTGTCCGGTGCGCCCCCAGCTACTTGGTGGGGAGATTTCCATGACCGGGATTTGATGCTTGCCATCATCAGGTACGGATACTTGGTCACCGAGGCGCAGTACGAGGCAGTCAGGAGTGACCCCGAGTTTTGTTTCTATGGCAGACGGTACGATTTGGCTGCCAACCGAGATGCCAATGACGACGATGCCGGTGAAGGAGCTTCTCGCATCGCCGACTATGGAGCCGGTAGCTCGAGCGAAATCCTGCCCTGGCCATCGAAATCCGATATTGGCCTCCGCCTGAGACGCATCATTTCGGCACTCCAGCGCTCCAATCAGGTCGAGGCGCGGAAGAACAACATCGCTGAGAAAGACAAATCCAAGGAGCGCCAGCGTCAGGACCGTGCGCGACAGCGTGAGGAGGCAGCTCAGGAGAAACGCCACCAAAAAGTGATAGAGCTGGCGTCTCGATGGACCAAGAAAGACAAGAGCGATTTCTACAGGACCATCGTCTCCTTTGGAGTTGCTCGGAGACACGCAGGCACCCGCGGCGATGGGGGATCAGTCCCTGGAACACCCGCCAACGGCTACAACCGGTCACGCCTGGCTTCCAGCTCAACCAGCCGACGCCCACCACCACTCGCTCGGAACGCCCACTCTACTCTGGAGCATGACTGGACTCGATTCAAGGAGTTGTCAGGTCTGAGCAAGAAGCCAGATGAGGTCATGGAGGAGTATTATCACCACTTTGTCAAGCTCTGCCAGCAGGTGGTGGATAAGAACAACAACAGCCTCCAGAACCGTCATAGTCGAGAGTCGAGCTTATCATCCACCCACCCCAAGATCGATACTTCGACTGCAGGCGACGACGACGATGACAAGGATGACAAGGACGATAAAGAGGATGGCGCTGGAGATTCCCTTCCCCTGGATCGTGCCAAGAGAGTTCTCAAGCGTGTTGAGCTCATGAACGTCATCCGAGATGAAATCTTGACCAACCCAAGGGTATGTCACAACCAACTATTTTGTCTGTAGCTCCTTTTTTTTTTTTTTTTTTTTTTTTTTACTTCTGACGTGTTTGCTCAAGACTAACATTTTCTTTTCTCACTACACAATAGGTGGATGAGCTTTTAGGTGCAGGAAGACGTTCACCTGGACTGCCGAGTTGGTGGTTGGCAGGTGTGCACGACAAACCGTTCCTGGAAGGTCTGGCGAAACACGGTATCAACCGACAGGACCTGATTGTCACAGACGAGTCATTGCCGTTCGCCGCGATCAATCAGCACTATGCAACACTCCAGAAGGAACTGCGAGAGAAGAAGAAGATTGCTGCCGCCAACGGCGAGAACATGGACGACACCGTGAAGCAGGAGGAAGACGGCGGTGAGGATCTAGTCGAGAGGGCTGTGAAGGCGGCTGCGCTTGCCGATCAGATCGACGGGCCGTCGTCGTCATTGAATGGCGCTGATGGTGAGGACTTGATGGGTCCTTCGCTTTTGGGTCACGTTGAGGGGATCGTTGGTGAGCATATGTCGACTGTCAAGACGGAGGAAGAGATCAAGGTCGCGCTGGTTTCGGGGCCAATCATGGATGACGTCTCGCTATCGTTCATCCAGGATACCAAGGATGTTCTCAGCAATGGTGGCACGGCTTTGGGTAAAGGCTTGGACAGGCCAGCTCAGGGGCTTATCGGCGTGAATGGCGTTGAAACTGCGGAGGCGGTAACAACTCCTGACATGAACAAGTCCCTTCTCTCAGAGTCGACTACCGTGAAGTCAGAATCGACTACTGTGAAGTCAGAATCTCCGAGCGTCGCCACAGGTCAAGCACCGTCAGGATCGGTTACCAAGGACAGGAAGCCTACTCCGCAACAGGAATCCGACGAGTTCGTTTGGCCCAAGGAAGCCGTGGTCTTGCGCCGAGTGGACCATCTGATCGACATTGTCATGAACCCTAAAGCGGTTGTCGGCAAAAAGCGCAAGATGACGGCTGCTGCTATTCCTTTGATCAGCAATGACGTGGGGTCATCTACCGCCAGCTCGGGCAAGAGGGCGCTGTTGGATCGAGATTTCGGCAGTGATGCAGGGGACCGCAGTGACCATGGCGAGGAGACCGCTTCAGCATATTCGATACCGCCGAGCCCCAACAAGAAACCTGCTGTCGTTAAGAAGGAGAAGTTGGCGAAGAGGCCAAAGGAGCAGGTGCAGCCGGAGATGGAGAAGGAGAAAGAAAAAGGGAAGAAGGCGAAGGTATCGGAGCAAGTTTTGGTGAAAGGAAAGAAGGACAAGAAGAGGAAAGGTCAGACCGAGGAGGAGGATCAAGCGGAGAATGAGCCGGTGACGCCTAAGAAGAAGAGGACCAAGACCAAGGCCTCGCCCCCAGAACTCACGACAAGCGCATCTCTGGTGACCATCTCCAGTGAGACCAACGGAACAGGCCCAGACGGATCATCCTCCAAGCAGTCGGGACTGAAGATAATGATCAAGCTCAAGATGCCTTCTCTCGCTCCCCCTGCCCAAGTGACCGGTCCATCCGATGCAAAGTTGAAGGGCAAGAAACCCGAGGCAAAGGCCAAACCAAAGGCCAAGTCTGTCAAGGAGCGCCCCCCGGCTGCTGCAAAGCCCAGTAAGGACGACAAGACTCCGCCTACCAAGAAGCCTGTGGCCGAACGCAAGAAGAAGGATGTCGAGTCGAGTGGAAGCGATACGGATGAGATGATGGCCATCGCGAGCAAACAGCTGAAGTACCTGCAGCGCAAGATCCAGGAGAAAAAAAAGATGAAGCGCACCTCCAGTCCACAGTCGTCCATCCGCGATGGCGGCAAGTCTTCCAAGGCCAAGGCTCCTCCTGTCGGCGGCTCGATCCAAGAAAACGCGTCTGTGGCCAAACCTCTGATTGACCGATACTCGAGGTCGCCATCTCCTAGCCATCTGGATTCTGGATCTCGTCGCACTAAGTCAGCGCAAAAGTCCGCTGCAGGTCGTCAAAGAGGCCGTTCAAGATCAAGATCCTCACGGTCGTCTTCGTCCTCTCGAAGCCGATCTTCTCGCTCCAGCTCTTCATCAGGATCGAGCTCGTCGTCCTCGTCAAGGTCGTCGCCTTCATCCAGATCCCGTTCGTCCTCAGGTTCTTCCTCCTCGGGCTCCGACTCTGATTCCCGTCGTCGTCGTCGAAACCGTGGCCAGCAGATGAGAGGTCGTCAAAGGAGATCTAGCGGCGGGTCGATTCGCCGAAGACCGCGTTCCATGTCTCGCTCACGTTCCCGTTCCTTCTCAAGATCCCGGTCAAGGTCTCATTCGCGCACCCGGTCTCGGAGTAGGTCTCTCAGCCGCTCAAGATCTAGATCTAGATCTAGATCCAAGTCTCCTCGTCGACCTTACTCTGGCCATGAGAAAGACCGCAACCCACATCCGGACTCGATGGCAGCATCTTCCTCTGGTTCGGTCAACCAGCAACACCAGTTACCTCACGCTCATGGAGCGCACCTCAACGGCGTCGGTTCTTCTAATGACTACCACCACACAGCTTTTGCAGACCAGCACCAACAACAGCAGCTGTCGGTTAGCGTGAGTGGTAAATCGAACGGAAAGAAGCGCGGCAATGACGGTAATGGCGGATCCAAGCGACGCGAGGGCTTCATGGACGACGAGCAGTTTGAAGATGACGGGTACTACCACAAGAACAGCCGAGGATGAGCCTTGCTTGCACCTTGTCCCTCTGTCCCCGTCCAGCTATTTGCTTCCCCTCTCTTTGTCAACCAACAAGCGTATGTGGCGCACATGGTGACCATGTCGCGTTTGCAGGATTTTTAAAATAAAAAGATAATCACCTTCTCCTTGGCGGGAGCCCCATCTAGGTAAAGCACAGTGATGTCGGATATTGTGAGGGTTTTGATTATGCACCCTCGGTTTTGGAATATGTTATTGCCTGTCATAACCTTATTTCCCTAGAATGAGTGACCAGATTGTCCTTGGCCGAAACATTTTTCTTTTTTTTCGCGTTTTTTCGTGGTTGCCGCGAGTGGTTTACCACCTGTCGACGATCGATTGATGTTTGAGTTGGGACCGATAAGGAGAGAAGCAACCACAGCAAACAAAATACCAGTCGCTGGGATCCTATCTGTTCATCCTCCTCTTCTTTCCATTCTTCTTCATTCCTATCCACCCACAGAAAAAAAATTACTAGTCCGTCCCAACCTACTCACTCTCAACATGGCAGAGCACACAAACCCAAATGCGAACTACAACGTCGGAGGTGTAGGTGTCCCTAGCGCGCAGGTCGAGCTTATGGAGAACATTCAGTCACAGGTCCACCAACTCCTCCAGCAACAGCAACAACAACAGTCACTACCTGTCCAACAGCAGTACTCCCAACAGACACCTACTCGTGATCCTCTCCAGTTTGACCAGCAGTACCAACAGTCCTTCTACACCCAGCCTACTGACAATGGGGCTATTCAAACCAACTCTGCAATGGTAGATGCAGATATGGCGGCGCCAGCTATCGTCCCCGCGAACACTAATGTGGTCGGAAATGGTTCGCCTGGATCCTCGGTCGGTGGTGTTGGTGTTCCCGGCGCCCGAGTTGAGACTCTTGACTTGATGCAGCCCCAGGCTTTTTACCAGCAGCAGCAGCAGCAGCAGGATCAAGCTATTCAGCAACAACAACATGTCGCCAGCAATGCTGGTGCTCCAACTCAGCAGTCGCTCATTTCCGCTGCTTCGGCCACTAGTACCACCACTAAACCCGGAGAACCCGACACCGTCCAACAAGCCTCTGCATCCCGCCCACCCGTCGGGCCCTTTGACCCCCCAGGAGAGGCCACAACCACAGAACCAGCAGTCCCTCCAACAATCTTCCTCCAACGTGAGGCATCTATGCGCCACGACCAACAAACGCCCGCCCAAACAACCACAACCTCTTTGTCCACAGAAGCCACCCCTCCTCACAAGATCCACGTCGCATCCTCAGCCGCAGTAGCAGCAGCCGCCGCCGCCCACGCAGCAGATGCATCCTCACGAGGCCGCCGTCGCTCGTCACTTGCAATCCTGGCCGACAAGATTCGTTCCTCCACCTCACGATCCCGCTCCTCCACCTCGCGGTCCCGTTCCTCTTCACTTTCGTGCCGTCTCTCCCGGACCATTTCGCGTCACTCTTTCGACGACGGCGCGGAGGAGGAATCTGTTGGAGGGCCTTATAGGGATGTCAAGATTGCTCAACAGGAGCATTTGGCAAAGTTGCGTGCTGAGCAGGAAAAGAACGGGATCACTCACAACGTCGACGGTCTTCCTATCCCCCCAGTACCCGAACGTCAACGCCGTCGGTCCAGTGTTAGTCATGTCCTTGGACTTGACAAACCTTTGCTCTCTCGCTAAAGAAAACATCAACGACGGGCATCAGCAACATAATCAATAACAGAAGTCAACAGCGACGGCAACTTTACCATAAGCCAACAAAAATGACAAGCAAAAAAGGTCAAAGCGAACTAGGCATAGTGTGAAAGAATCAACCGTGACAGATTTATCAAAAAATATGCCCGAATTAAAGAAAGAAACAATTAATGACTTGATGTGGTGTGTGTGTGTGTGTGTGTGTGGATGTGGATGTGTGTGGATGTGTGTGTGTGGATGTGGATGTGTGTGGATGTGTGTGTGTGGATGTGGATGTGATGGAGCCTAGTATGGCTGTGATGGTTTGGATACCATTTGTGCGTTGTATTGCTGATAGGTTTGTGAAGGGTTCTGTTGCTGCTGCTGTTGGTATTGATGTTGTTGGTGGCTCTGCTGATGTTGCTGATGTTGCTGATGTTGCTGATGTTGCTGATGTTGCTGATGTTGCTGAGGTGCTTGGAACTGAAAAAGTCCCTGCATGGGCGGCTGCATGACAGACCCATGCGCAGGATACTGAAGATGAGTAGCTTGCTGCACTAGTTGTTGTGGCTGCTGAACAAACGGCGCCAATCCAGCAGACGACGACGTCTCCACAAACGAATGCATCCCTACACTACCACCTCCATCACTAGCACTGCTACCATACCCTCCTAGCTGAGGATTCAGCGCTAAAGTCGTCAGAGACGGGTGGATAGTTCCAAGGTCCATTACGGGCAATTGTCTCATGAACCGCGTCGACATATACTCCTGCTGCTTATTCTGTAGATGCTGGTACTCGATCATCCCCTCCCGAGCTCCGACTCGCCCGTGGACGATCTCTGTTGGCCAGGGAGCGGTTCGACTTCCAAACGCGATATCCTGGTCTACGATCCACTCGTTGTCTATAGGGATTCCCGTGGAAAAGAAGCCTTCTCCCCCTCCTCCTGCTGCTTTAGATGACGAGGATGATGATGGTAGTAATCCGGGATGCGAATGGAGTGAAGGAGGAGGAAGGAAACCCGAAGGGGGAGTCCGACTGTGAGTTTCAAAGGTTGGTGGATAGTTATCTACGACCTCAGCATTCCAGTGTGGTGGAAGATGAGGAGGAGCATAGGTCGGCTGTCCTGAGTAGTCTGAGAGCGGTTTAAACGGCATCGATACACGTCTAAACGTCAAAGGAGGGGGCGGCTGGGCTGCAAAGGTCGCCGTCGATGCTGTAGTCCTGCCTTGCTCGTACAGGTTATACGACGATGAAGACGGCGATTCATTAGATATCGGGATCGCCGTTTGGCCGCTGCTGACATTACATGTATATACTCTCTGCAGGAGCTGATGCTCATGTCCTCGCAAGTGAGAGTGGGGTCCATGGTAGGGCGGCGGCAGCGTCGACATTGGTTTCTCGAGACTATAAGAGTCAATGAACTCCAGATCTGGTAGCAAGTGTGGCGGAGTGCCTAAGGGGTGAAGCGAGGTGGGAATCGGTAGTGGCTGATGGCGGCTATTCTGCGCCGAGACCTGTAGCGGCAAAGGATGAAGTGGTGGTTGTGGCGGCGGCTGTGAAAAAGGTCCAGGCGGGACCATTATCGTCGTCGATGTGACGGTGGGTGATGCTGCGCCTTGATGAGGAGCCACTGTTGAAGTTGCCAACCCTGATGTTGAGTCTGCCATCGCCATAGATTCCTCTGGTGCCGGTTGTGTTGTCGAGGTACCAGATATGAGCGGCCGCGGCAAGATCGGGCGAGAGAGCGGCGGCATTTTCTTCACCTTCTTGGACAGCCTCTTGGTGGTGCTGCCTGCTAAAGTAGTCGTTTCGCCTTGATCAGCCTCATCGTGATCAAACCCGATCCCTGAAGCGCGTCGAACAGAAGCTCCATCGCTGCGAGAATCACCAAAAGTTGTAGAGTTGTCCATGCTCGACGCTGTGGATCCTGGGGGCATAATCAAAGGCCACTCTTTAGTCAACGCTGTATTCGTATCGGAGCCGTCTTGATGGTTCGAGGTGTGATCGATGCGCACACTCTCCAAGGACACCGACATGGGCGAATGTCCTGCTCCAGATGGTGACGCCCTGTCCGATGGCGATTCGGACCCCGATCTGTCCTGCGGTGTCGCGGCAGATGTCACTGTTGATGATTCGCTTTTGGCGTTGACTGTCACTTGGGCAGAATAGAGGTCTTGAAGGATTGCGTAGAGGCGAGCAGAGACTGTCCAGTGAGGGCTGGAGACTGTCAAAAAGTTGAGGTGGACGTTGAGGCAGCGTCTGGCGTTGGCTGCCAAGGCGTCATCCGATGAAAAAACGTTGGTTACATGGCTATTACAGACAGAACGTAGAAATAGGGTCTACGTGTCAGTACCCATCTAGTTTCATATTGTGAATAAATAACAGCATAGTCAAGGGAACTTACATAGCGGCCCCGGTGAATACTTGAAAGACAAAGAGGTGTCCTCGATACTTGATGTCAATCTCGTTAAACTGCTCGACAATCTCTGCGATCTTTGTAGCGGCCTCTGCACACCGCACTCGCGACTGGTCAACAAACGACGTATCGACCACATTCTCCAATGCAAAGATCGGTCGGTGGAGCATAATGACAGTCATGTAGGAGGTCAGGATAATATACGCAACATTCTCCTCCGACTCAACGAGCTCCTTGGTTGTCAATGGAACCTCCTCCCCAATGGTCTTGATCCAAGTCGACAGCCGTCCTTCTAGAACTGCAAACTCCGAGCTGGGGTCACTCGGACATTTGTCCGATTCGAGTGTGTTACCGTTGATGTAGTGCGACACCAGAAAAAGTAACTCAATCGGCTCAAAGAGATACTTGGCCGGTCCGTGGCCTCGAAGCCGTCGCGTCTCCTGCAGCTTGGTCAAGATCCTGGATGCAAATGGGTCTTTGGGCGTTGTCTCCGGCTGAGTCGATATGGTCTCCTGGATGTCACTGTCCTCCTCCTCCAACTCGCCAATGATCGCCGCCTCCAATTCCTGATGCCTTTCAACCCACCAATCTGGCCGATAGTCGGGGAGCTGAATGTTGTACAGCTTAACGTCCAGAATCGATGGTAGACCTACCGATGCTGCTGAAAAAATGTCGATGTGGATCAGATTCCAAAATGTCCTGCACTTGGTTTCGAACTTGACCCTATCCGCCTCTAAAGTCGGAACGTCGCGCTGGTTGTGGAGGTAGAGCTCAATTCCCATCCTGCTGGCCAGACCTCCAAAACGCCAACCTCTCGGCCCGCTCCATGCACTGTACTCGTAGAAAGAAAGGATGAAGAGGGCATGGAGGTTGCTGATTGTCGCTTCGTCGATCAGGTCCATGATCTTTTCTCTCGTTTTTTCGGCGTACGGCTCTCCTGAGAGATATGGAGGCACTTGGACAATGTCGGGATGGTCAGAGAACCTGGCAGCGACGGCACAGATTGCATTAAGTAGAGACGGGTTGATCTTTCGCTCAGCATAGTCCTTGAGAAACTCCTTGGGGTCGAAGTTGTCAAAATCCTGGAAACAGTGCTCAAAAAAGACCTCGACCAGGTGGTCAGTGAGCTCTTTCCGCCACAGGTCACCCCGGGCTGAAGCAGGTCGTATGCTGGATGCCTCAATGGATGGGGTGTGCCCCTCTTCGATCAGTCTACGCATTGGGTCATCGCTTTGGTTGGGGTTGCCAAAGTAAGAGTGATGGAGTGGGTAGAAGTTCCGGAGGGTGTTGAAGCGAGGCCGCAGGTTGCCATAGTGAGTCGGCTGTAGTGGGCCAATGTTCCGAGTCGGCTTTGGTTTCACGATCTGGCGACCGGAGGCATGGTCAATGGCGGCTTGGCGGGCCTCGGGGTCGAGTTCCTCGCGGGGGATGGGACCTCGCTTTTTGGAGTGGGTGAAGAATGTACAGAGGATGCCAGTTTTGGCACATTGGTGGCACCGTGGCTTTGCATTGTCTATCCAATTGATACCATGATGGCCAAGAGTGGAGCGGTATTGGTTAGCAAAGCTACAGGCCGGAACTCAACAGGTAAATTGCGTACCAAGGGAACTGGCTACTGCGAGTTGGTTTGCGGCTGTTTGTTGGCTTCGATTGGCAAGCAAGGTAAAGTAGAAACGGTGCCTTACCACACTTGGTCCTCTTTTGTCGGCAGTAGTCGCAGGCTTGAGTCGCCTTACGGCGCTTGCTCTCAGCATCGTCATTGTTGTTGTTGCTGTTGCTGTCGCTGAGGGCCAGAGGCGAGCCAGAGTGCTGAGGGTCTCGACTGCCGGCCGTAGTCGTTTGCATCGGTCCCTTCTGCAGAATCAGCACTCGCGACCGCAAATCGAATATGGGGCGTGAGAAGCAGGGAGGCAAGGGCAGCGTGGGACGTTTGGTGTGCACTGGCAGAGCGGGACTGGAATGCACACACACTAGGTTGGAGATGGCAATTGCATTTGGGCTTCACCTCAGTTACAGAGGTTGACCAAGGTGGGAGTAAAGTGAAGTGTGAGCGTGAGAAGAGAAGAGGAAGAAGCGAGGGGTGAAGAATGGCGGCGGGTGTGAAAGGAAAAGGAGCGTAAGAGTGAAGAGGACGATGGCACGCTTTGGGAGAGATCTCTGTTGGGCCAAGGGGACAAGGCTTGGAGGAGCACCCTTAATCGGATCCATTCAAATTGATCAACAGCCAATCAGCGACCCCTTTACATTGAAATATCACACATGAAATATCATCACTCAGACACAATCGACTCCTTTAATCACCCATCGTTATTCTTCTTTCTCCGTTCCTTTCCTTCTCTCAACCCAACTCGACTCACATCCCAACCTTCTCCCTCCCTCTCTCCCTTTCTATCCTCTTCTTCGACGTTCGACGTTCAGGACATATATCAACGATGCTGGAATCGATATACAACATCGACTTCTGGAAGACATACATCCTCAAGCCCAATTTCTCAACGGACGACATTCCCGACCTCACCTCAAAGGTCGCCATCGTCACCGGAGGAAACGCAGGACTCGGTTACGAGACATCCCTCGCCCTCGCCGCAAAGGGCGCTCATGTCTTCCTCGCCTGCAGGAACAAGACAAAGGCCCTCGACGCAATCGAACGGCTCGAGCGGGAGCTTTCCGAGACCGCACCCCATCTCTACCCCAAACTCGACTTTCTCTACCTCGACCTTGCCGACCTCCGGTCCGTCGCAAAGACGGCGCAAAGGTTCCTCTCCAAGGGCCTCTCGCTCAATATCCTGGTCAACAATGCCGGCCTCGGACTGGTACCGCCTACTCTCAGCAAGGACGGTGTCGAGCTCGTTTTTGCCGTCAATCATTTGGGGTAATTTGCCACAGGCACAGACACAGGCCAAAAGCACAAATAGGGTCTGTTGCATGATGCATGACATCCACCCCTCTTTATCTTTATTGTTGCTTTGCCCATGACCACATACATTTAGACAGTTGTCTCTCTCACCCGATATCTTTAATGCTCCTAGCATCTTGCTTACCTTTACTTGTCACTCAACTCCACTTCAATTCATTACGTTAGACACTTCCTGCTAACACAACTCTTGTTGCCAAAACTGATCGAGTCGCAACCGTCAAGGATCATCAACGTCAGGTAACTTGGCCCGCAAACAGGAGTACCAAGAAAGGGCGATGTCTTAAGCGAAAGAGCGGATGTATTTTAATTTGAGCTGCCCTCTCACCCTTTTTTCACACATGCACCCATGCCCTGAATTTCCCCCTACTTCCCTTGGTTAATGCAATCATAGTTCAATGGCTCACGAGTTCGAAGTACCCCTGGGAGGCATTCAATTCGGGACGCTGAGCCAAGCAGACGGAGAGTCACCACTTGTAAACTACAACCGATCCAAACTCGCCAATATCCTCTACACCAAGGCGCTTGCACGCCGGCTAACGAATGCAGGACACGACAGAGTCTTTGTGAATGCGGTTTATCCAGGATATTGTCTGACAGGAATCGACGGTGATTTGTCCCTTACTCAGGGGATGGTTATCTCCAAACTGCTCACACTGACAAGAGCATGGGCTGGACGCACTGCTGCCGACGGCGCGCTCAGTCAGCTCTACTGCTCTACGAGCCCAGAGATTGAAGAGAAGAGGCTATCAGGCCGTTACTTTATCCCCGATGCACATGAACTCCGTCCAAGTATGCCATGCCTCTTTCTTTTTCAGCTTACACATGATACATTACAGACACATGCTACTTCTAACTGACACTGACCAACTGTTCTTTCATACTAAACAGGTCCATACGCAATGAACAAGGAATTACAGGAACGACTATACAAGTACTCGGAGGACTTTGTAGTCAAGCGAGGGCTGCTTACAACATAGCGCCTGTCGGTCTGGAGACAATAAAGGACATCATTTCATGTCAATTGACCGCCATTGTGCACAAGAGTATAGACCATCCAACGGCGTGCGAAGGTTACGCTTACAGTATCACTAATAACAATGGCGAGCTATTCTTGCCTCTATCACACAAAGAATCCCACGACATGTCGATAGCGTAGGATCAATGTTTGGTGCGACCTTCGTTAGGCTACCTAGACATCAGATGGGACAAACGTCAGCCAGTCTCTTCTTTTATTTGGGTCCTTATCCGTGTGTGTGTCGTGCCACTGCCAGCAAGAAAAGAAGATTTGTTATTATTGTGTCATTGACCTCTTGCAATAGCGCAATCACCGTCTCTTTTTGTGCTTGTCCAAACAAAGTGCAGTCTCCTGTTGGGTGTGCGCCATTCCCGTACCCATTCGCAATTTTTTGTGTTTGTAAGCTGCACCAAAATGTCGCTCGTGCGCGATGCAGCTGAGTAATTCCTTGCTTTGTCATATAAAAGGGCACGAATTCCCCTCACTTTTCCAGTACAAAGCAACATACAATCCCACAACCCAGTAGCCATCCCCTTCTACAACAACAACTACCACTACAACAAGCAACAATGACCGCCCCCAAGCTCACCCTCTACAACACCTACTACTGCCCCTACGCTGCCCGCGCCGTCCTGGCCCTTGCCGAAACTAAACAGGAGCATGAAGTCGTCGAAATCGATTTGAGCGTGCCACGCCCTGACTGGTATTTGAAGGACATCAACCCCTACGGCCAAGTCCCTGCCCTCAAGATCGGTGAGGACCACATCATCCTTGAGTCCCTCATTGTCGCCGAGTACATTGCTGACCTTCACCCCGAGTCTGGGTAAGCATTTTTGGCATACATCCATACAACCAGCATGTGAATGACTCGACCATGTTAAACACTAATTTTTTTTGTTGCCTCGTTCACTTCAACTTACCGAACAAATCTGTCGTCTCCATCTGCCTTTTCTGAACTCTAATAGCCTTATCCCCAAGGATCCCCTCCAGCTGGCCCAATCCAGATACTTGATCCACCACTGGGGTGCTCGCACCCAGCCCGCTCTCTTCAAGGCCACCATTACCCTAGACGCCGCCGAGAACGCCAAGGCTCGTCAGGAAGTCTATACCGAGTTGGAGAAGGTCGATGTCTTGCTCCGCAACGTCGTCCGCACCCCCGAGGACAAGGAAGGTCCCTTCTTCTTGGGCGAAAAATTCACCTTTGCCGATCTCGCCCTGGCTTCCTTCTTGACCCGTCTCTTCCTCGTCGTCGCGTACCAGGAGGAGGGTGTTGAGCAGGAGTTTGAACAGGCCTTGAAGGACAACAAGAACCTCGAGCGCTTCCGTGAGTGGCGCGACGCCATCTCCCAGCGCCCTACTGTCCAGAAGGTCAGCGCTCCCAGGGAGATTCTTGTCAAGAACTATCGCAAGTTCCTCCCCAAGACCAACTAAGTCTTTTGTTATATCTCCCCCTAAGGCACCAACCATTGTGTCGCTTGCATGAGCATGTACATATTTAAACATTAAAAATGAAAAGAGCATTTATTTCTAAAGGCCAAGGGATTGAGTCTCTATCTGTGTTGATGTTCTGTGAACAACTTGGATGTTGCGGGGTGAGTTCTTAAGCCATTCCATGGCATCAATCAAGCAGGGGCACTTGAGCGAGTTGTACACAATTGTGTTCAGGGCAGGAAAGGCGTGGTACAGGTACCGGATTTGCTGCGCTGTCAACACGACCTCGGACGTGTGGCCAAAGTACTTGTCACGACGGTTGGCAGACTCGAGCGACAGTGTCCTAACAGACTCGAACAAGCCTAGTGGAAGGACTTCACGCAGATAATCCTCCTTTGTCACTTCACTGTTGTCGTCTCCTTGTATCGCTGTCGTCGATCCTGGCTCCTTCGCATATTGAATCGGCTCCATCTTCATCAGCCAGGGTACATGTACAGAGTTCATTCCCAGGAACTCGAGGAAGGGCAACTTGGAGACCATGACCAGGAATACATAGTCGAACGTCCCTTCCCTGCCATGATGTCCGTGGATGTCTAGGTACCGAATCTGGTTGCATTCCCACCGGATTGCGGACGGAATCGTCTCTCGCTGTTGTCGAGCTCCAGACCGGACGGGATTCTCCGCGTCGATGACCATTTCATTGGTAAAAGCAAACAAGAGATCATCGATCGAGATACTCTCAAGGGCCTCGCACTGTCCGATAAAGTTGGCCCAGGCCATGGCTGAAGACCCCTCGCACTTCAAGACGGAGAGATGCTTTAGCCCTCTCTGCTTAAGGTTGGGCTGGATGTTCTGCAAATCCTGTGTGGTGATTCGACATTTTTCCAGTCTGATAGTCGACAGTTTTTCTAGCTGCCCTGCAGGGCTTTCCAGGTAGGTTGCAATGTGGGGCTGGGTGTAGGGTTGGCTCTGGTGGTAGTCCTGAAGGGAGATCAACCGGAGATCCGGGCAGAGTGTTGCCAGGTTGTCGATGTCAGCCGGAGCCGACTTTAGGTACAGTTGGTGCAGGTTGGGGGTTCGTTGGAGGATTCCGTGGACAAAGTTCCCTCCTGAAATCTGCTTGCCGTAGATACTGAACAGCTTCAAGACACGGAGACTCTGACACTTGAAGTCCTTGTTGTATGGCGGTAACTGGTCAGCATCAAACAGCTCTTCCCCCTTGGTCTCTACATTCGACGCCCTATCGTCCAGTCTCGGTGGGTGGGAGTGAGAGTGGCCGCCTGGTGTCGGTCCGCTGTTCCAGCTCCAAGGAATCCAAGACGATGATGACGATGATGACAAGTGGGTCCCTACCCGTGACCCGAACCTCCGTGCGGGCACGGGGAGTGAGTTGGGGCTGCTAAAGCTGTTCTGGTACGCCTCGTCCCACTGCCTGATAGTATCGACGATTCGAATGGCAGATAGTTCGAGATACTCCAGACGAGGGCACGCCTCGAGGACGCGGTAAATCATTCCTGATTGGTACACAGGCGCGTATCGTCTGTTGTCCATCCCGATGAGTTGGAGCTTTGTCAGGTTTGCCAGGGCACCCTGGGCGACTGGGAACAAGAGAGCCTTTTGAGAAGGACCAAGTTCGCTGGGGTCTGGGAGCTGGATTGTCAGCCTCCGGAGGTTGGAGGCAGAGGCATAGAACTCAAAGAGGCTCGAGGGGTCGTTGAGGGTCTCGATTTCGAGGGTGGCGCCGGTCAAGGCGGTAAGGTGTCGAGCGATGGACTTGAGATCACTGTCGCGAAGGGAGAAGGTAATGAGGTCTCGGACGAGGTGTCCGCTGCGTTCGAGGTCCTGGTGTTCGAGACGGTTATAGCGGAAGGTCTCCCAGAGGAAGGGCGAGAACTGTTGGGACCATATTGTGCAGACCTGGGTGCACTTCCAGATGTCGGCGAGTGAGAGGTCAGCGCGGATTCGGTCGATGATCTCGGGCAGATCGAGTGGAGGCGGAGACAGCTGATGGAAGTACTTTGGGCGATTCATTGTTTTTGATGGATGTTGGCTGGCTTGTGATGGATGTGTGAAGTGAAAAAGTAGAAGAGAAGGCAAGACGAAGCAGAAAAAGAAAGTGATAAAATAAGGTGAGACGAACAAGCTAACACGTTGAGGCAACTGATTGGGGACCACGGTGGTAAACAGCGACTTTATTAATGTGTCTTTGATGTGTGGCAAAAAAACAAACGTGGCAACAGGTTACGGCTACACGACCCCAGGACATACATTCACTATCACAAACACGACAGGATCAAAGGTGGAAGGAAGCAAGCTCGTTTTCGTGGCAAAAGAGGGGAGCGGGACTGAGAGGCGGAGTGGCGGTGGGTCTAGAACGGATTCGTGGTTCGGTCTCTACTTTACCCTTTCATCATTACTTGCGCCCAATTGCACCAAACTCAATTCCACTACGAAATAATCATGTGCACCTTTTGCTTTTTTTTTTTCCTTTTTTTGAAGGACCTTTTACTCGTTTTCACTTTTCAACCTTCAGCACCTTTTCTCGCCCTCAGCATGGATGAAATACCATATGTGTGTAATGCCCACAAGATCGTTCAGGATTACAGCTTCATTCAGCAGAGTCAACAAACTCAACAAAGCCAACAAACTCAACAAAGTCAACAGAGTCAACAGAACCAACAAAGTCAACAAAGTCAACAGAGCCAACAGAGCCAACAGGGTCAACAACCCCATCCGAATGGCACCCGTCGATGGAGGCGAGAGGCTTGTAACTGCTTTAATTGCCCAGTTATGAACTACGACGATATCGACAGACACCTCTGTGTCTACCACGAGACCTTCATGCGAGGCGACATCTTTCGAATGCGTTATCCGGACAGTCGCACTGCCCTTCTCACTAGTGACCATCCATCCGAGGTCCAGACGTTGCCCTCTCAGTGTCTCATTATCGATTACAATAAGTCAAGCTGGCATATCTTTGACAAATACGAGCTTAATGGTACGTGGCCTCCGTGACACCACCAACTACCTTGGACTTTTGGAAGAAAAAACGGGGGTTGTTATTGTGAACATTGCAAATCACTGCTAAGATCGCACTTATCCTTCCTCCCTCTAGAGTTGACCTGTGGCCTACCCGAGTCTATCAAAAGGAGTATCTTCCAGCACATCAGAGAATATTTTCTTTTCCTTGACAGCGACGACACCCACCGACCGATAGAAGCGTTGATGGGGAGTCCATCCCTGTTTGCTGCCACATACCGCCAGAAGACGAGTCATGAAGGCTCGTACAATTCGTACAAGGCGAGGAGTTTTCAACAAGCATGCAGGCAGCCAGGATATCTCAATGTCAATCAATTCCAACCACTGGATGAGGCCATATCAGTCATGAGCAGGGAGGGTCAACAAGGTGGGTTACTGAATGCGCTACTTTGATGAACCATGCCTTTTGATTTCTGTCGCTACGGTGTGCTTTCCGCTTACATTGTGACGTTACCTTGTACTGGCCCCAACTAACAATAGTGGCGCGGAGCAGCCAAGCTGTGAAGGTGGGATACACACATGATCCCAGCGGGTTTTCCCCGATCATGTGTCCAGGAACCGAAGGGCAAAAAGTGTCATTCCCAGAGAAATCCCAGTGTGACTTCAGCGGGGCTATTCCGTACGTGGTGCTTTTGGCCGGCATCATGCATGAAATTATGGTCGCTCACCAATACGATACTTGGTGTTCATGTAGATCCGACTACGGGAAAGGAGTGGTCCACAATCACATCTATTATTTTCAAGTCTTGCCTCAGACAAACACCAATAACAGCTACAGCAACAGCAATGCACCGTTCGAGGAGGTGCATGGTATTCTAAGTCCAATCATCTATGAATGGATTAGCGCTCTTAGACTTATCGAATACCGTCTTCACAACGAAGCTGTTTTCCACTCTCCTTAGTTATGCTACGCTGTCTTTTCAATAAACGCCTTATTTCGCATGAGCCTCCTCTTGTGCAATATCTAATTTATATGCACCCACTCACCCTAGAACCATTAACAACGGCATGTACTTTTCATCTTACTCCCGTCGCCGACATGGCTGCAGTGCAAACAAAAGGGCACTCTCAATCAGTGCCGTAGCACCGACCCTTCTCAAGTGCATTGTCCCGACGTCAACATCAACCTCTGTCCTTATCATCAAACATACATGCAGGGTCGGGTGTTTCGGATACGTTACCAGGACTTCCAACTTGTTTTGATCGGCGAATCCAAGTCAAGGGCAGTATTCACAGAGCATGACGAGATGAAGAAATTGAATATTCATGGCCCAAAAGTGTTCTTGGAACATCGAAGCAGGAAGTCTGTTGTCCTCCGAAATTATGAATTCGAGAGTAAGTGGCCAAACCATCCTCTTTTCGCGCGTTGGTCGCTCACTTGCAGTATGGCAATTGTACAGTTTGCAAAAAAAAAAACCTCCCCCCGGTTGAGTGGACACAAACGTTGGAAGAAAGATGTCGAGGAGGGGTTAAAAGCAGAGGGTGGGGTGAAGGAGAGGACAACAAGACGCGATGTCTGAAAGGATAGCAGTTGAGGGTGTTCGTTGTCTTTTTGTATGCTTGTGCACAGACAGTGAGGTGAAGAGTATCAGCACGGTCAAAACATTTTAGTGCCGTTTTATGTGATCGGATGGGCAAGTGGTGATAAAAGGGAAGCAGTTAGTTTGTAGGAAGAATCCGTGTACGTCCACAATTTTCCTCTAGACAACAACATGGCTAACCCTACGGGCGAGCACTTGTTTTAAGTTGTTTCTCGTTAATCTGTTCCATGAAATAGAGAGAAATAGGGTGCGCTCCATTGCACAAACCTGACAGGGTCTACCATGTATGAATTTGCAGACGTGTATGACTGGTCTCCGTGTGTGTGTGTGTGTGTGTGTGTGTGTGTGTGTGTGTGAACCCAGAAAGAGGAAAAGAGGGTCAAGGGTTGTCGTTTTCCCTTCATGCGCTTAGCGTGCATTTGCTTTGTGCTCTCTTTTATCGGACCAACACATTTTTTGCAGGTTCGTTGCTTTATTAGGAATCCACGCTGCATTTTCTTTCTCACGCAAACACAACGGCACCACAACAACGACATTTTTCCCTCTTCTTTTCTCTTCTCCACCCCCACACAACCACACTCACATCTACCCGCCTTCTTCACCAACAATAATAACGATGCAATTGAACCCCGGAAAGACCCTCCTTGAGGCGATCGACAAGGCTAACAGCGACCTGCGCGATCTTTCCCTCAAGATCCACAGCCACCCAGAACTGGGTTACAAGGAGTTCTATGCCCACAAGACCGTGACGGATTTCATGGCCGAGCGAGGATTCCATGTTACTCGTCATGCCTGTGGGATTGAAACTGCTTTTGTAGCAGAATATATTCATCAGGGGAGTAACCCTGTGGACCCTTCGCCTCTTCGGTCTGTTGGTTTCTGTTCTGAGGTATTTACTGCTTGGTTGTGTTTGCAATCACCGCGTGAAATTGATGGGAATATTTCGCTTCGCTTTTGCTAACCCAATGGTCTCCTTTTTTTTTGCGATGTGGAAAAGTACGATGCGTTGGCACTCGGTGGAAGCGGCGACAAGGTTGTCCTTGGGCAAGGATGTGGCCACAACTTGATCTGCACCGTAAGTAGCCTCCCACCGGATTCCCACTCCATAGGCCCTATCGCACTCCTTTTGTCTCCTTCGTGGTGTTCAAATAGTTCGCGTAACTAACATCCTTAGCAATATACGTTACCTCCCATTAGGCGGGAGTGACAGCAGCGTTAGGTGTAAAGGCTGCGATGGAGAAGCACAACATTAGGGGCAGAGTGCGTCTCTTGGGCACCCCAGCAGAGGAGACATTAGGAGGCAAGCGGCCTATGTTGGAGAGGGGAGCGTTTGATGGTTTGGACGCCTGTATGATGATCCATCCTGGTCAATTCGATGTTCTGTACCGTCAGCCTTTGGGTGTTGGGCGTCTTGAGATTGAGTACCGTGGCAAGGCTGCCCATGCCTCTGCTAGTCCCTGGGAAGGTAACCTTTGGAAGAAAGGGGGACGAGGGGAATGGGGAATGAATGTCTAGGTGTTGACCATGTTACATTCTGATGACTAACTGACTGATCGCCTTACTTTTTCTTTCTTCTTTTAACCCTTTTCATGTTCAATTGATGCCGCGTAACAGGCATTAATGCGTTGGATGCAATTGCGATGGCGTACAATGCTATCGGCCAGCTCCGTCAACAGACCCTGCCAACGAACCGCATTCACTCCATCGTCACTAATGGCGGCCAGGCTGCCAACAGTAAGTTGAAGGAAAATAATAACGGTTAACACCAGGATCGACTCAGGGGACACTCCACAGTCACATATACTCGATTTCTAATTGCACACACTAACCAACGGTTTCGTTCAAATACATGTATCTAAATAGTCATCCCAGATGTCGCGTCAATGATCACGCAATACCGCGCAAACAAGAACGAAGACCTCAACAAACTGCATGACCAACTCCTCGAGATCTTCGAGGCCGCCGCAGAGGCCACAGGATGCACCGTCACCGTCGAAAAGACAATGGAATACATGCCCCTCCACAACAACTCCATCCTCTCTGACCGTTACGGAAAATACATGACATCCATGGGTGTCCACTACAACTCTCGTCAAGTCGACGAAACCACCCCTGCGGGATCGACTGATATGGGAAACGTCACCCATGCCCTGCCAGGGATCCATCCGGTTTTCAATATTGCGAGTTTGGAGGGGGTTCGGGAGCCGGGTCTGTCAACACATTCGTTGTTGTTTGCCGAGAGGTCTGGAACAGAATTGGCGCACAAGACGATGATCCGCGCGGCCAAGGCGCTTTCATTGACCGGGTTGGATGTCCTCTTGGATGGGGAGTTCACCAAGCATGCTCGCGATGAGTTTGAGAAATCCAAGGAGCAGTAGGAACTCTACTGCTATTGTTGATGCTGTGTAGATAAGGAGGAGGAGCGTTTCCTGCAGAGCGAGAAAGGTATCGTTTGGGATCCCACAGTTATTCTCCGAGATATACATGTACTGTAGTCCTTGGAGAGCAATAAAAAATATTACTTTATCGATACCGGAGATGAAGCCCCATTGCCCATGAACCGCCGTTTTGTTCCTGCACTTATATTTTTTTTTTTTTTTTGTTATTCACGGGAATTCAGGTGTGCATACATTGTTCTCGATGGACGCTCAGAAACTAATTTAAACACAAATGTCTGTGCCTCATTTGCTTGAGCGACATGAGCTGCCTATGTCTTTGCATTACACAACCGCGTCCAGTCTTAACAACCTACAGGTTCCCTGCAGATTCCATCTGCTTTCGTAGAGGCGTAAGGATAAGAATACAGGTGTCGACGGGATACCGATGCCATGAGAGCTCTTTATCTCATCTCTTGTGGTCACAAAGAGAAAGATTCGCAATAGGGACATGCATCGCCCAGTCGGAGCTGTATCCATGGTCGACGCCATTGGCGGGAGGTTGCAGGTCCTCGTACCTGTCATTATGAATGAGGTCCAGGCGGACGGACGGATGCGTCCGGAACACACATATTACGCCACTATCAAGTCCAGTCCAGTCCAGCCTCACAGTAAGAGTCTCCAGCCCAGTCCGCACCCACAGATAACAGACCAGATAAATGGACACTCCTTCCAGCTCCTCCTCCTCCGAGCAATTCATCCAAAAGTGGGCGGACTTTTTTGTCGAGAGAGGAAAGAAAAGGGTTGCTGGAGTGGGACCGATTGGTTCCCATGAGCTTAATAGATTGCCTCTTTCCTTTCCTTCAACCATCACATTTTTCTTCCTCATGTCGAATCCCCGACCTCCAGAACTCCGTCCCCCTTCTCTTCACCCCTACCCACTCAAGGCGCCAAAATAACAGACTTATTTCGTCAGGACTGGCTGTTTTGGCTTGGTCTCGAACCTTTGTCTACTTGAGTCTTCTGTGCAGATTGAGCGTACTGGATTAGAGGGCCGCTTCCTGAGAATGCTCATTGAAGGAAGGAGAGGGAAGAGCATAGGAAATAGTAGTCATGAGCAAGATCGGCAGTTTGAGATGCGATAGCAGCCAGACCAGGCCAGGACAAGGGCGCCAAGGGGTTTGCCGCTAGTCTCGCCTTTGATCCCAGAGAGTGCCCACTCGGATGTCTCCAAGCAGACCGCCTCTAGAATAAAGCACCCACTTCCCTTTCCTCCCCCAATGTGGCTGATTCTCATGAAGAAGGGATTAATATGGGAATCAACTTCCTCACGTTTGTTTGTCTCACTGATATTTGTGTCTAAATTTGTATCTTGATGGTGCCTGAATAAAACCGGTATGAAAACAACACAAACGCATTCGTAATGTAATCAAGAAGAGAGTCGGGTACACACGAACACACAGGTTAATTATAATTGCGTGTGGGAACGTGAACAGAGGGATAAGGAAAGAAAGGAAGAGACAGAGAGAGAGAGTCGAAAGTGCGGCAAAATGAACAAGGGAAACGACAAAGGAACAATAAAGCGTAGGGAGGGCGATTAGAATTCTATTGTTCATGAACCATAACGATAAGAAAAGAACATACAACACAGGCACCAACAGTGTAACACTTAATTTACTCATTTGTTTGTCGCACAAAAGGGAAGACCCTTCTCTGCTCCCAGGGCAGGATACCCCCAACGCCTTTTTTGCCCTGATCTCGCCCTTTTCGGGCTACTTTCTCACAATCGTCGGTGGCGGGACTGGGTTGGCTAATTGCGAGAGAATAATGAGCCGCGGGATAGAAATAGCAAAGACAATCTTCCTGGGGAAAAGAGATAGCAAAAGAGGAGTGCGGGGGTAGAGCAGGGATAGGGAGAGGGGATAGTATTAACCGTGGGAAGGTGACACTGGCCACAGCAATACTAGGAGCTACAGCGTGTAGGAATCGGCATTGACTGCCGTGAGGCATGATGGTAGAAAGCAAAAAGAACAGCCGCGTGACTGAAGAGGGTAAGGAGTGATGCAGTATGATGTGAATATGAATCAACAGCAGCGAGGAATAAGATATGTGTTCGGGTAGAGACATCCGTTGGTCAGCCATGCGACACAACGGATAACGTATCCGTATATCTTTTCTTCGTCCCTTCAGAGCCTTCTTTATCCACGCTGCCAAAAGATGAAGAGAGATGGATCATCCATGACGCACATTAAGGACCTCTCTTTCCCTTCCCCCTCTCTCGCTTTTTACGATTTGATCGACAAATGGTGTATCGATCGCTTGAATTCATCCGTGTCCCCCATCGGCCACCGCCAACCATTTTTGGAGGTTTGGAAATACAGCCAGCCGCCAGGCGGGGAAGAAAGAGAGTGTGAGTAGGAGACTGAGACATTGACAGACAGGATCAACCAAGCATAAGCCAGCTAAACCTCAGCTACCTCAGTCAACTTGGGGCCAGTAGAGAGCGATGGCGCTATCGACCTGCACATGACACTTGGGGGAGTTTCAGCGCAAGCCGGATAAGAAAGAAAAGACCGCTAATGGAAGAGAAGAGAGATGAGAGAGGTTTTACTTGGCGCTGACTTTTTTTGGAGGAATTAAGGTCAAGCGATAGGTTCTCGTTCGGTCTTGGATTTGTGTTTTTTCATCCTCAGCTACAGCAGAAGCAGAACAAAAGAGCGAGGAGAAAAATGTGCGAATGCATATGAGGAAGAGTGAGAAAGGTAAAGAAGACGAAGGAAGAGAGAGAGCGAGCATGGCTGACGATCCGACTCGCTGAAATCGTCCCTGTGCGAATTACTTTGATCTCTCTTAGCTCCATTTTGCCTTCTCTTCCTCCCATCCGCATGGATCTTCATTTTCTCTCATTTCCCTCATTTCTCTCGCGCTCTCTAACCCTCTCTAGCGCCGCAATATGATCGCGATCTGATATCGTTGCCTTTTTAATAAATGTATCCCTTTCTCCTGGACTCAAAGAGACAAAGAGACAAACAAAACAAACAAACAAACAAACAAACAAACAAACAAACAAACAAACAAACAAACAAACAAACAAACAAACAATCGTCATACAGCAATTTTAACAAGCAGGGCTGCAGTAATAAAACAATGTGGAAGAGAGAGAGGAAAGACTATTTTGCCGCATGGACGGGAGCTGAATGTCCAACTCTCTTGAGCCCCCCCTTTTCAGGATTAGTACCATGAAGACAATGAGAAGGCTATTGTCCCAATCCAAATAGGCAATCATGTCCTCTTCTCTCTCCTTAAGTGTGAATGATTTCCCTATATTATTTTTAACTTGAATATGGGTCGCCTTTCCTTCGTTTCTTCTGTCAATGAGCCTTTCTTCTGTCTCTTCTTGGCTATGTAAAACGGCGTAGAAACGTGTAGTAATGGAAAAAGGTAGACATGTTTGGTGACGAATACGGAAGAGCCCTGTCATCGTTTGTTTATTTGTTTGCTTGCTGTGTATCGTGGATGGGCACACAACACACACACACTGCGCAAATATTGTTTGCTCAACTCCACACACAATCGATATTAGGCTGCTATCCTGTACGCAATTGGAAGTATTTCATAAGCCAGTATACCGTACAATACAGGACGGACAGGGGCGGCCCTTGTACTACTCGTACTATGCGATATTAGTTGCAGGCCTAAAGGCGGACAAAATAAAACATAATACGAGACAGCATTGCATTGGATTTATTCTACAAGAAAAAGGGAAGGATTATGGTCAATAGTGGATAAAAATGACCACCCGATCAAAACAGACAAAAAAAAAGAAGAGAGAAACGAAACGGCTAAACAGGGGGTGTAGCTTGTCATGGTGACTTGATGGGAAAGAAGAAAGACAGGAGATAGGAGACTAGAGACAAGAGACAAGCGACAAGGAATAGATACTTGCATGGCATGGCCTTGTATCCGATTCGCTCCTGCTTGTTTTCATGAGATAGACCTTTTCTTCTTTTTTGCTAGCGTGGGCGTGAGAAGAGAAGCTAAGACAACAGAGTATGAGTGAATGGGATGAGATGCGTGCAGTGGCAGGATTGGGTCGATTGCCCGTTCTTCTTTTGCACGTTTAATGATCATGTTTAGCCCAAGGAGCCAAAAGAGAAAGAGAGAGAGTGGCGAATGGCAAGCGGCGAGATGGAACCCGATCCGGAATGGAGTGCAAGGGAAGAGAAGAGAGGGGAAGCAAGCATTGGACAGAAGGAAGGGTGACGAATGGACGAAGGAGCTGTCTTTCTCGGGTCTGTCTCCGTCTTGTCCAGCCAGTCATTTTCGAGGGTGTCTATTTTTTGTTTCTGAGGAAGGGCGAACAGGTCTTCTGCCTTCTGTATTCATTCACCCACAGTAATCCCCTTGCTTGGATTCAATTGTTATTTTTACATTACTCTAACAACAGTTCACCCGTTAGCCCTTTCTCCCTCTCTCTCTGTCGGAGTCTTGCCCCTTCCATATCCTCAGTCCACAAACACAAATTGGCCAAAGCAAACCCAAAAAGAAAAAAAAAGTTCATACATTACATATTTCAGTCGCAGCCATCATTGACCGTTGAGCACTTTCTCTCTTTCTCATCTTCTCTTCCACTCTTCCACTCTTACACCCTGACCCATACCCCCAGACAGGTCATATAAAAGGACCCCTGGCTCCCCTGCTTTATCGCCTTTTCTCTCTTTTTTTTTGTTTTTGTTTTCCCCTTCTCCTCGGTTATCCTACTTGTCCTTTGTCGATCCTCTTCCATCCTCTTCTCTCATCCTCACTCCGCCCTCCCCTTCACCCCCCCTTCCCTCCCGCTCTCTCTCCCTCCTTTCACCTCCCATTCATACCCATCCCCCACTCATACCCTAAACACACACACACGACGCCTTCAATTCCCCAAGAACCCTAATACATACTCTTGTACATCCATCATGGAAAAAGAAGAGTACATTACCGAGCGCTTCGACGACGAAAAGGTCGAAGACATCTCGGCCGATTATGACCTCCAGGAGGAAGACGACTCACCCATCGAGGAAGTTCGTGTCACCATCCCCAGTACGTCTCTCGTTCTTTTCTTTTCTTTTTGCTCTCTTTTGCTTTGTTATGCTGCACAACATAACATAAACAAAACAAATGAGCACAGTTGGATCGTGCACTCTGTCAACATCACTAACACATTGACCCACCCTCATCTCCTACAGACACTGATGACCCTTCAATGCCATGCAACACCTTCCGCATGTGGTTCCTCGGTCTCTTGTTCACTGCTGCCGTCTCCTTTGTCAACCAGTTCTTCTACCTCCGTCAAACCCAGATCTCGATCGGCTACTCTGTCGTCGCCCTGGTCTCTCTTCCCCTCGGCCACATGATGGCAAGGTTCCTTCCCACCCGCCAAATGAGCCTCTTTGGCTGGTCCTTCTCCCTCAACCCCGGTCCCTTCTCGATCAAAGAGCACATCTTGATCGGAACCATGACCGCCGTCAACACCTCGACTGCCTACGCCGTTGATATCGTCATCCTCCAGCACCTTTTCTACGACGACAAGCAGCCCTTCATTGCCGGTCTTCTCCTCGTCTTCACCACTCAGGTCACCGGTTTCGCCCTTGCTGGTGCCCTCCGCAAATTCCTCATCCGTCCCGCCCATATGATTTGGCCCTCGACCCTCGTCACCGCCTCGCTCTTCCGCTCGCTCCACGCCAGCAGCAATGGCAGCGAAGACAATGGTCGCACTAGCCGCATGAGGTTCTTCTTGCTCGTCACCTTGGGCTCCTTCATCTACTACTGGCTCCCTGGCTACATCTTCCCTACTATCGGACTCCTCTCTTGGATCTGCTGGATCAACCCCGACAACGTTGTTCTCTCCCAATTGACCGGCTCGAACGGTCTCGGAATCGGAACCATTTCCCTCGACTGGTCCGCTGCTTCGTACTATGTCCAGCCCCTCGTCACCCCTTGGTTTGCCCAGGTCAACATCTTGATCGGTTTCATCCTCGTCGCTTGGGTCATGGTCCCTTGGGCCTACTACACCAACCTCTGGAACTCTAAGAACTACCCCATCCTCTCTGCTGGTTTGTTCTTGGAGGACGGTACACCCTATAACAAGTCCATGATCCTCGATAACAACGTCTTGTCGCCCGAGAAGTACCGCGAATACGGCCCCGTGCGCATGGATTCCTTCTTTGCCCTTACCTACGGAGTTGGTTTCGCCGGTTTGACGGCCACCGTTGTCCACGTTGTCCTCTACAATGGAAAGGAGATGGTTGCTCGCTGGAAGTCTGCCCGTGCCGAGAACGAGGATATCCACTCTCGCCTCATGCGCGTCTATCCCGAGGTCCCCGACTGGTGGTACATTTCCCTCTTTGTCATCTCGCTCGCCCTCTCGCTCTTCACCTGCCAGCAGTACAACTTTATGCCTTGGTGGGCCGTTCTCTTGGCCATGGCCATCGCCATCTTCTTTGTCCTCCCCGTCGGTATCGTCCAGGCCGTCACCAACCAGCAGCCCGGTCTCAACATTGTCACCGAGTACGTTATCGGTTACATGCTCCCCGGTCACGCCATCGCCAACGTCACCTTCAAGACCTACGGTTACATTGTCAACGTCCAGGCCCTGACCTTCACCGCCGATCTGAAGCTCGGTCACTACATGAAGATCCCCCCACGCATCATGTTCATGGCCCAGATCGTCTCCACCCTCATCTCCGGAGTCATCAACCTCGCGACCGCCACCTGGTTGATCAACACCCGCCCCAACGTCTGCACCCCCGAGGGCAAACCTTTCACTTGCCGTTCCACCAACACCTTCTACTCGGCCTCCGTCATCTGGGGAGCCATCGGACCCGCTCGTGTCTTTGGTAACGTCGACGGCGCTCTCTACTCGCCCGTCCAGTGGGGATTCCTCGTCGGAGCCATCCTCCCCGTCCCCTTCTGGCTCCTCTCCAAGAAGTTCCCCAACGTTACTTGGTTGAAGTACGTCCACTGGCCCGTGTTGCTGGCTGCCACCTCCAACATGCCCCCAGCCCTCCCTTACTTCTACACCAACGGACTCTTCATCGGATTCGTCTTTGCCTTCCTCATCAGACGTTACAATTACGATTGGTGGGCCCGCTACAACTACCTCACCTCCGCAGCCTTGGATACCGGTGTGGCCATTTGTGGTCTCGTTATCTTCTTTGCCATCCAATCCTGGGAAGGACCTGACTTCCCAGCCTGGTGGGGCAACCCTGCTGATGGAGTCACCGATCACTGCCCTCATGGCGGTGCAAACTACTTCGGTCAAACTTATTAAGCCGCACACCTTCATATCCCATCGCATTTAACCCCGCATCCTTCACGATCTATCTTACGATATAAAAAAATAATAAATTACAAACCAAAAAACAACAATAACCTGGATGCTCCATGGCGGTGTGTATGTGTATCTGGGTGAGACCGGGGGTCTTTCTTGGGTCGTCCCGCTGCTGCTTTGGTAGAGGGGATGTTTTCGCTGTTGGCGCGAAGGATGGGACTGACAGAAGATGCGGAGATGTTGAGCGCTTGTGAGACCTCCTTGGTTGTTGCTCCTGCAGCTACCATTCTCATTGCCTCGTTTGTGTTTTCTTGTGTTATGCGTGGCATCCTCTGTGTGTGTTCTAGTGACTGTGGGTGGTGGTTTGTGGTTATTTTTTGGGTTGAAGGAAAAGGGAATATATTGAAAGAAAAAAAAAATCGAACAAGTGATGATTCAAGGTTAACGACATAATATCTCGTGTAGTAAAAAGGGTAATTAAAATTTATGTTGGATAATGACGCCAGAGTTCGAGTCCTTCTGGCTCGCCTCCACAAGTAGTAGATTACCTCAGCCAGATCCGTCACTTATATCAACAACCCTGGGCTATCGGAATCGACCAGTTCTGGAAATGAGCTTAGCCTCCGCCAGGAGTATCGTCCTTCATCCTCAATCTTCATCCTCACTCAAGATTTCTGGGACCACGGCGGCTTAATGCCAATTTTTCGACATTATCCCTTGATTATGATGATGTCCCTTGATGTTGTTCCTTAATGTTGTCCCTTACAAGTGTGCCGCATACCCCTATCAAGAACCCTCACAGGAACACTCACGGAAACGCTTACAAGAGGACCTAGGCAATCTTCGAATACACCAGCATTTTGAAACCAGACTTTCGTAAGGCCATATAATTGACTTTCGCGATTATAAGTAAGGGATGGCGGTGTTTTTTCATAACTGACCTATTTTCTCTATCTAATATTTTCGTGAAAAAAAACTGATAGTCTCGCGTGACATTATCTCGCAGGCTCCAGCTATCGCTCATGTTTTCTTCCAACGTTCAAAGACACCGCAGAAGTTCAATGGTGCTATCACTCTCCATATCTTGGTGATATTTTTTGTCGTACTCGCCTGCCTGCACGCACACCCACGACGCAATAAATTTTTTAAAAACAAAAAAAGTACTCGCCTGCACATTTGGATCGACATTTGCTCATCCTCAATTGGCCATCCAACTAGCTCAGAGGAGTTCAAATACTGGGGTAATGGTGCAGATTTTCTGAACAAGTTAGGACTCTAATTAACATCTCTCAAGTCAGAATCTAGTGGACTCTCACAGTCATTTGGTTGTAGTTGCCATTGAATCGCCCCTTTCCCTAGGTCGTCTCTTCCCTAGTCCTAGAACGCGATGCTAACCTTGCTATTCTTCTCCCCCTTCTCCCCCTCCTCCCCCCGTCTCTACCAATCATTGGCATCTTTCTACTTCGGAACGATCACATATTGTTAAACGTGAACCGTCTTTATTTTAGCGCCTCCAAAATAAAACAAAATTTTCCGTAGATCGCGACGCGTACACTGACCACACCCAGTGATGCGTCGAAAGTACTGGTGCGTTACTGATTTACCCCTTTGTAGTGCGTAATAAAAAGATCCCTCTCTTTCTTCTCACTGACACAGGAAACGCGCTATGGAACATTCAACCCCTTTAAATAAAATAAAAATTCTTACAAACGAACAAAGCATCAGCAACGCGACCTCGAATTCTAATGAAGTAAGGATTGACATCGAAGGATCAAAAAGCAATGTCGCTTTGAATGCTTGGCTGCCACAAGCCAGTTGGCACTCGTGTATCAAACTATTCCCACCTCGTCAGCGATCACGTGATAATATCGCGATTCCTTTCAACATCCTCGCTATCCCTTGATCTTGATGGTTATCCCTTACTGTTGTCCCTTACTGTTGTCCTTTGATGCTTTCCCCTTATTCTGTCCATTGGTCTTTACGTCTCTTGATCTTTTTACTTTCTCCCTTTGTCCCAGCACCTTCTTGTTCTTACAGTTTTTCGGGCCTTTTTCTTTCCTCAATCTTTCCTATTTAGCATCATTAATATTTTACGTTTGTTGTAAGACATTCTCTCTTTCAAACCCACACTTTACAAATTTCAACTCATCAACTCTACATACCAAATCCTTCTCATTCAAAAATGCAGCTCCAATATCTGTTCATTATCTGCGTTCTTGTTAGTTTCGCGGCCGCTGCTCCTATGTATGTAATCACCGTCAATGCCAAAGATCTTTCTCATAGAAATACTGTGGCATTGGAGATCAATAATGGAAGAGCATCCTAGATTCAAGGGATAATTATTAGTATTACACACAAATGCAAATAACACCGACTACGATACGGCAGCTCTCAATAGGAACAGAAGAATTGTTGAGGTCATAACTAATATGTTTTTTCTCTGTTGTTTCTTTCTTGGCATTGTCGTCCCATCTCTAATAGACCGTAGGTTGATACACAGATCCCACAGCAGCTACTGTTATATGACTGTTGTCGGGTGGGGTACGGGTATTGTTGAGGCTGTTACTAATATGTTTTCTCTCTTTTGCTTCTTGCTTGGTATTGTCGTTCCATCTCTAATAGCTTGTAAGTTGACACACAAATCCCACAGCAGCTACTGTGATATGACTGTTGTCGAGTGGGATACGGGTATTATTGAGGCCATAACTAATTTGTTTTCTTTCTGTTGCTTGGTACTGTCGTCTATCCCTAACAGCGAGTAAGTTGATACACAGATCCCACAGCAGCTACTGTGATATGACTGCTGTCGAGTGGGACAGGAGCCTGTCGTCTAACGTACCACTCTGAGTTGTCGATTTTATATGATTGGTCGTGAACCTTCTAATTTCCTATCAAGAAATGGGTGATGATCCAGACATAGGATTTTGTTAAACCCCCATTAAGGCGCGTTATGACAAAAGAGGGTCCTTTGAAAAATAAATATTTTTGTATGAAGGTAACCTCGGTAGAGTAGGTAGGTGAGGTGACTGATGAAATATTGTTGGGAATCTAGACGTGGGCTAAGCAGAATGACCTTTCTCAAGACGCGACGAGAGAGGACACGGAGGGGATAGAGATGAAAGAGGAGGGAATAGGTCATTGTGAAGAATTTGCGTGTGAAGATGAATGAACAGGTGGAGTCTATGCAAGACGATTTACACCCATTCTCCTAGTAACAGAGGATGTGTGTGATATATTTTATTATGATCGAGAAAAACAAAACAAAACAATAAATGGAGGAAACTATAGGAGCTGGACCCCTACCTAGACCAAAAGAGGTAGCGAACCCTACGCTGCCTAGATTTCTTCTAGGGTACAAAAGTCAGAGAATGAAGAAGCATTGAACAGCATACAAAAGATGGGACAACTCTGTCGGTTGCTTTTTTGTTCTCTTTTCAAGAATGCTGTTGTTACTATTTTTATTTTGTATTTTTTATGGTATGTGTCAGCAAATACCGTTTCTGTTATCATTACTTCATCACCCCCTCTAATAAGTATAGAACCACAAGAGAATCCCACAACAAAGACTTAATGCTGGAAGTGCTGGTTGTGCTCAGGATGCATCTGCTGAGGAGAACCCAACCCAGGAATACCGCCATTCGAATAGTTGCTGTTGGCATATCCTGGAGGCATGGGCGCGTTACCCAACAGAGGCGACGCAAACGGGTCCTGGGAAGCGTTGGCTCCTGATCTTGATGCTGTTGGTGCAGGGTATGACACCTTTGGTGTCGCACCGCCAGAAGTAGGTGGCAAGATGTAGGGGCTCGCCACGGGGGAAGCGATACCGCCAGACGAGACGCTGGAACCGTGTGTGGGGGGTGGAGGGGAGAAGTATCCGGCAGAATGTCCAGAGGAGGCACCGGGAGGGCTGACGTATCCTTGATCGAGGGGCGAGGGGCTGTTGACGGCCAGGGCTTGCATGTTGGGCGAAGGGCTTTGCATATGGATTGCGCCGCCAGTATGGTCAAGGTAGACAGGTTGGACTGCAATCGTGCCATCGGGGAGGTGCTGCATCAAGTACTGGACGTTGCCTTGTGCCTGTCCACCCATCCCAGGGGAACCGCTAGCGTTATTCAAGAGCAACTCGTCCATTCCTGCATAGGCGCCATTATGAATCATCCCGGGGGTCGAAAGAGCAGCCCGCGCGGCGTTAGGAGACACGCGTGGTGTGGCCTTCGAATCCCGACCTGCAGTATCGCCACCCTCGGGTCTGAGGGAGGCCAGATAAGCCTCCTTCTCCATCTCGGCCTCCTTGATCTCAATCTGCTTCTGGCGACGGCGGTAGAGGAAGAGTCCGATGATGAGGCCGAGGACGGCAATTGCGCCTATGATGATTCCGATGAGTGCTCCCGTGCTGAGTCCTGAGGAGGCGCCGTTGTTGCCACCACCGAGGGGATCACTGATGGCGGTTCCGTCTGCCTTGGGCGCGTACTCGCCCATCCACTTTGAGAGCATCACATCGTAGATTTGGATGTCTTTGACGTATGCCTGCTGGCCTCCCGTTGGTGTACTCGACATGCCTAGTGTCAAAAGAAGAGACAAGGGAGGTTATATTAATATATAGTAAATAATCGCAAGGCTTGCAGAGAATAGAGAGAGGGACAATCAACAGTCAAGAAAAGAAAAAAAGTACCTCCAAGGACAATCATGTTGGCACCGGCAATGTTACAAGTATGCCCATTTCTTGGTGAAGTCGGGTTGGTTGGAATGATCCGGGTCCAAGTCATGGTAATCATATCCAACGACCACAAGTCCGACAGACTCGTCTTTGCATTCGCATCATACCCTCCAAACAACAACACCTTCTTCGAATCCGTCAAAACCGTACAATGGTCCTGACGAGGCTGCGGGTACGTGCCCAATGTCAACTGAATCCCATGTATAGGGGCGGCAGGGTTGGAGACATCGATGTAGGGCAAGGACTGGAAGGACTGGTACCCGCGTTGACCGACTGACGAGGAGAAGCCTCCAAAGATAAAGATCTTGGAGTTGTAGAGGATGGCGGAGCCGGAACTGAATTGGTTCAGGGATGTGACGCCGGGGGCGGGGGTGAGGGGGAGGGAGGCTGTCCATTGGCCGTCCTTGTAGGCGTCGACTTCGTTGGTGCTGCTGCCATCTGCCAGGGAGCCGCCGAGGAAGTATGATATTCCAGTTGCTGAGTTTGTGATCAGGTCTGCGTTCTTGCGCCCTGTCCAGCTCGCCGCTTGTCTATTCTCGCGAAAATGGATAGGTTAGTTGGGTGTGTGGGAGAAGTTAAGTAACAAATGCAAAAAGGGGCGGCGAATAAGGAGATATGCGTGTGTACATGGCGCAGGTGGGGCGGCGTGTCGGTGCTTGTTCGATCGATTTTTGAGGGTCGACTTGTGTCCTCCCCTCTGTGTCCTTCTGCGCATGTCTCTTTTATCGGGTGTCGAAGGTATGCTCTGATAAGGTGTGTCGACTACTTTTGCTTCTTCTCTGTTCTTCTGTGAATTCCAAGATAACGCACACGTTGTCGGGCATCGCCACATAGCTCAACTCTTCTTTTTCTTCCTTTCATTCATCTTTTCACACACTCCTCCGGATCCACAATGATTGCGTTATCCTTGTTCCCGATACCAGTCCACCTCTCATGCATGCATACGTTAATCACATATTCCTTTTGCCTTCACCCTTCATCCCCTTGACAATAGGTAAGGGCTGGTGAAATAGGAAAGGTGGCAAAAAAACAACAATAAAGACAGCAACAGTGTACTTACGCAGCAGGGGCATTGGAAGAAGACCACACTCCCGAAGAAATCGAATAACTGTACAAGAACGGTTTGGTGCCATCTCCCCAGGGGGCTGTAACCAGCAGCGTCGAACCATCCGCACTCATGGCTGCAGAATGTCCGCTCACTTGGGGACCCATTCCAGAGGTAGCGTTCGCTTTCGACAAGTTGATCCACGCAGCTGAAGACTTTGGCCAGGATTTCGTCATATCGAGGGCAAAGAGGTCTGAAGAAAACGTCGCAGCTCCGGCTTGGTTGAGTTGTCCGCCCTGGTAGTAGATCATTTTTTTGTTGGATGCAGAGGCGACACCCAAGAAGGCTGCAGGGGCATCGATGGCGGGCGCTGTGGGTTGAGGGGTGGCGGTGCCCGTAGGGGTTGGGAGTGCTGTGGTGGGGAGTCCTGTTGCTGGGGGTTTGGATGTTTGGGCGGTTGTTGTGGAAATGAGGGCTGAGGAGAGATAGAGGGAGAGGATGAGTCCCAACCGACTTGCGCTAACTGCGACCATGTTTGTGGTGGTGGTGGTGGTGGTGGTGTGGTGGTGGTTGCTGTTCTTTGTTTGCCTTTTCCTTGCTAGTGCCGATTGTGAATTAATAAAGCCGGATGGGAGGAAGGTGAAAATGGCGCCAGAAGAGGACTTGGAGAAGCGGACTAGTGCAGGTACCACGTTGTTTCTAGTGGGAACAGTTTCAGTTGAAGAGAAAGAAGGAGGAGCGCGATTCTAGTTGTGAGGAAAGGAAGGTGACGACCGTTGAGGAGTGAAGGGAGGAGGAGGAGGCGTGAGGTGGCGAGAGGGGAGAGAGAGTGAGAGTGGAAGAAGGAGGGGAAATAAAAAAAGGGGGTGTGCGTGGTGGTTTGTTAGTCCGTTGGCGGAGGTATGTGAAGGGAGGGTATGGGTGAGTGAGTGAAGAGAGGAGAGAAGAGAGAAGAGAGAAGAGGGAGGAGTGTGAAGGGAGAGGTTCGGATGGGCGATGCTGGGCTGAGGGGCTGAGGAGAACAAGCGAGTGGGAGGAGGGGATAGAGAAGGATGAGTCCCGAGGAGAAGAAAGAAGGGAAAAGAGACAAAAAGGAGGACGCAGGGCGGGAAGTACAAAAATGAGAAAAGGAGAAACAAGAAGCAATGGAGCTGTGGAATGGATGAACGAACCCAGCCTCCGATGATGGGGAAGATGGAAGGAATCAGGGCGTGTATGCACTCACAAGAATAGTGATGAACAAGAAACAAGAGGAAGCGGGGCCAGAGCAGAGCTGCAAATAGAACCTTGCGGTTTTGGTTGAATGGGGGCAGCGGCGGAAGAAAGAAAAAGAGTGAGAGCACCAACCCTTCTGCCTGCATTTGAGCACACACACACAAGACATACAAAAACACAAACATGCACCCACGCACTTCCAAGAGACCAAGGAGTGTCCTTCCTCTCTCTCTCTCTCTCTCCCTCTTGGATATCCGTTCGTTCTTTTCAATCGCGCCGCTGCAATGTCTATTTTTTTTTTTCGTTTTCTACCGCAGCTGTCGTCTTCATTGTTGCCACTGTCGCACTTTCTTCAACTCTGTCTCTTTCCTCAACCCTCTATCTCTTCTACCCCTGTCTCTCTTCATTGGTGGTGCCTGAAATCGGACCTTTCTTTTGACCGAAAAAACTCTAACCGTCAATAACAACCTTTCTTGATGACACACACAAATTGCCCACACTTATACACACGCGTAAACAACATGAACAAACAACAACTACAACCTCAAGGCAATCAAATGGGAACACAATCACCAATGTTGCTCTCTCATTGCTATCAATCTCACAATTCTCGCGAAAATGAATTTGTTCAAGAAAAGACGTTGGATGGGGTTGTTCACCAGAGACGAACAAATGAATAGCCAGCATGAGAGCCCTTTCAAAATTTTCTACTTGATATCTCGCCGCTTTTCAAGGTCTAGGCACGCCCCCGAACGCAACCACACAACAAACATTGACGAGTACACAGGGTCCCGTCCCCAAACTCAACCTTTTTCCTTGTCATGCCGCTCTTCAACTCTCATTTCATCCTCATGCCGCCCTATCGGTCAACAAACAATCTTCCGAGTACTGTCCGCACCCCGATCAAAGCACTTAGGGCTGGTTATGTAATTGCACCTATTTTTCCATCTAGCTAACAAACCAATGAGCGCCATTAAAGACCCTCGCTAACTCCTCTGGCTTGTGCGCAAAAGTTCAACATTCAACGTTCAACAATCTAACGTCAGTGGGACTCGCTGGACCATCAATCATCTTTATTTTCCTTCCCTTACAAAAGCATTCTTTTTTTGAAAAATAGGAGACAACGTTTTTTGGGTACACTGTACGACGATACACCCTCACAGATACCCTCTTGCACCCTGCGTTTTTTTTTCTACCGAAATATGCTGAGTATCATATGACCCGTAAAGAATTTTAACGACTACATCCCAACAATTGCACACTATCACCAATGAGTCGATCGCTCCCTTTTTGTATCCGTCACCAAGGTCTGTCTTCTTTCGGACGCCAATGTGCAAGAGGTGTAAGAGGGTGCCACCTTTTCTTTTTGTCGTTGCCATTGTCATTACCACTGCTACTGTACCGAAATCCCAATGAAGCAATGTATCGATCGACTGAAATCTAAATCAAGGTGGACAATAGGCGAAGGGTGAACCCTCTGGGGTTGAGCCGACCGTAGTTTCTCGCATTCCTCGAAGCGATAGTATATAGCATTATCGAACTGGATTCATGGATCAACCACGCCCGACCCCATCCAGAGGTCGTATTCAGTACATCCAGTCATCCAGTACATCCAGTCATCTAGTACATCCAAAGGAATTACCGTATGTTGTTTGTCGTTGTTGACCCAGGGTCGTAAGGGTGTCGCTATGCTGGTAGTTGTTTTTCGATGAGCTGAAGGGTGCCGATTGGTATTGTTGCGTCGAAAACAAAACAACGAGAAAGAGACGTGGTTTACACTTGTATTGCTTTCCTTGCGAACTGCGTCTATTAGTCGTCTAAAGAGTCAATAGCCAGCAGGCGAGGCCGATGAGGCGGACAAGGATGTAGTCAAAAGGTGGAAGGATGGAGCGGAGTAAGACGAGATAGTGGCGAGAAAGGGAAAAAAGATGTGCAACATATCTAGTGGTGAAGTTTGAGTTCCACGTCCAAAGTATGGGCTCCAACGTGATCATGTATATATTGCACGACGTAGATCATGATTTTTTATTCACACGGCGTGAATGACCCTTTTCTTTTGACCCATGCAACCCCGGTAACCAAAGACAACGTTAAGCTCCCTCTCCCTCTCTCTCTTCAGGAACAAAGGAGAACATGTCCGGGAAGCTATGGTAGGATGGGCAACGAAGGAGCCCTTATGTCACCAACAGTGGCTTAGACAACAAAGGTAAAAAACGTCACCATTGCCCATTACCTATACTACACACCCTTGTCCTCAACAATACCTCGCACTGCACAATATGGAGCCTGACTTGACACTTGTACCCGCTCTTCCCCTGCCTGTAACGATTGACAAAGAGACACAAGCAAAGATGATCGAGGAGGACCTCGACATCCGAGATCCTTTGACACGCGAATGCGTGGAACAAACTATCCTTGCTAGTTTTGAGCGGCTGGAGGTATGTGATAATTCAATTGGCAAATAATGCCTTTTTGTTGACTGTACAGTCTCCTCATAGAAGATTGTTTGTCTTCTTAGGCCTCGATTGCTGCGATGGGTGAGCCGCAACGTGACTTAGACAATGACCTGGATGTGAAGCCCGACCCCGTCAAGCTGGAGCTGCTTAAGCTAGAGGAGCGCGTCTTTGAAGGAGGACGCGCTTCGTTTAGAGGTTAGTCAACTAATCGTTTTCTTGCAACATCCCTACCTTCTGTGTCAGTAATGATAGTGATATTTACCAACATATTTATCTGACTAACTATTAGCACTTGAATAAGACTGCAGGCGTCAACCATGACGAAATCGTCCGTTTTCGAATTCGAGACCTTCTTGCCCGCGACGAGTATATCATTGCGGCCGCCAAGTGCTACGGTATTGCTCCAAATGACAGAATTAAGGACATTATTGAGGCCGACTTGCATCGCGTTCAGTTCACCATCAAGCTTGACCGAGTTCCAAGCGTGGCGAGAGTATCATGCTCGCGTCATCAGGGCAGCGTTTGTTTTCCAGAGATATTACGTATCTAAGAGAAATGGGCTTCACATTATATACCTACTTCTGCCAATGCCATGGTCCAAAGCAAAAACGACAGGACAGGATTCGTGGAGGTATCTCAGGCAAGGCTCATGCACCCCAGAAGGTTTCGATCAAGCGTTTTTGTCCCGCGAAGATCGTTGCTACTGAGACGCTGAAGGGTATCAAAGCGGGAACTCTGGTGATCGACCTCTACTACCATCACGCCCACGACCTTGCGAGTCTAGAGAATATCGGCACGCGACAGAGGTCGGACAGGATCAAGGCAACCGTCAAAAGCCTGCTGTTGCAAGGTTCGTCCATCAAGAACGTTATGGAGAGGCTGAAAATGAAGTATGCCAGATTCATGGAGGTTATCAGGGGAAACGACCAGCGGCTCTCTCAAGATGACTTTGTCACGTACGAGGACGTGTACAACATCTGGTACAATATATACAATGAGATGACGCGGAAGGACCCAGACTTGGGTCTGTTGGCGTTAGCTCCCCAGGTAGACCAAGGGCAGCAGGACTTGCAACAGGACTTGCAGGAGGAGGAGGAGCCTGTCCCAGGGCATGGCCTTTCTTACTATCTCGATCGGATCATCAGTCTGGAGACCCTTCGAGACAAGAGCCAGACCATACCTCATGAGTCGCAACTTTGTGCACTGCTTGATAGATTCCTTACCATCTAAGAACCATCATTGCCTCGTAAAGAGGGTGGAGATCTTGGAAACAAAAGACAGCGGCAGTGTTACTAAAAATAATAATATTCAAGTCAAATATTATGTGCGATATGTGTGATTTTGAAGAGTACAACCTACAGTACAAAAAATATAGAATTACGGGTTTTCATGCTGTCACTGTGTAAAAAAATACTGCGAGGAGACAATATCTACCGAGAGAAACCAGGTTGAACTACAATCAGGGGATTCACTCACTACCAACAAAATACACACGCAAAAGAAGAGGATCTGATTTCATCAAATTTTTATCTTATTCTCAACCGTTCAATGGTAAGAAGAAGAGGGATCGACAAACGACATCTTATCGCCCGCACTCCTTACTCCCAATCCCTGACCACTACCATGGCCAGCATGGTGGTAAGCAGAAGATCCCATTTCCTCGGGGACGTACGGCTGGGGGCTTGGGACGATAAGTGGCGGCGCGCTGTACATGTTATTGATGATGTTGTTGTTGTTGTTGCTCAGATTATTGCCGGGGGTTCCAGAAGGGTAATCGAAAGGGTTCCGGTCATGACCGACGCCAGCTCCTCCTGCACCCGCTCGTTCGTAATACTGGTTGGGCATAAACTGGCCATGCTGACTGTGCTGCATATGTTGCATGTGCATTTCTTGGTGGTGTTGGTAATTAGGGTTATGGAAGGGGTCTTGACCACCTGGGTAATACCCTCCTCCTCCTCCTTGACCACCCTGCGAGTAATAATCCTGTTCATAACCACCCACAAGCCCACCATTCAAATGCGCCGGGTACGGTTCAGAAGGTGGAGCCGGGAGAGGAGAACTCTCATCCTTCTTCCTCCGATCCTTCTCCAATTTCTCATCATCCTTCTTCCGCTGCTCCATCTCGATCAACAGCAACGTATCCGCCTTCCTCTGCTTACGACGTCGGTGTGAGTAGACCTGGAATCCAATCACGGCCAGAAATGCAAACCCGAAAACAACCCCAAACCCAACAGCAACTCCATTAACTTTTCCTTTACTCCCATCCGTCGGGACTGAAGGTGGTGAAGGAGGACGAGGCGTGCCCGGTAACGCTGTGAACTGGGTGGACCAAGACCAAGCAGATGTCGAGAGGACGTAGATGGCTGGTGGTGGCGGAATGGGAGAGTCAGTGCCATTGGTGTTGAGAGCGAGAGGGGTCGCAGATGCAGGTGCGCCGTTGGTGTTGAATCCTAGTAGGGACAAGAGTTGGTTGCCAACCATGATGCATTGGTGGTCACGGACTGGTGGTGGAGTGATAACACCCGCTGCAATTGTTGGCTGTGACCAGGTCCAGGTCGTAAGGTCTAGTGCAAAGATGTCGTTGGTGACCTTGTCGCTCGGTGCCAATGCGCCTCCAAACATGTACATTGTGTTTCCATCCGTCGCTATTATTAAGATGGAGAATTGATGGTGTTAATATATCTGAGGTTCATATGAATCCCATTTCATTGGCAAAAGTAATTTTGTCCGCATTCTCGAAAGGACTTACACAGAGCGACGCAGTGTCCGTATCGTGGTGTAGGAGTTCCATTAGGCGCTGCTGATATAGTTTTCTATAATGAGGTCGAATATTTCACGCGTGTCAATGGAATTTGAAGCAGAAAGCGAACAGACAAGAGACTGTAACGCATTTCACATCGTCCCATCTGAAAGTGACAACACTCATTCTTTTTTTAGCGCTTCATAGAACTTACCTGGCTAGTAACAGCTCCAGTCGCCATATCAACAACTGGCAGCGTCCCTAACGGCATCCCAGACCCAACACCGGCATTCCCACCCTTGACAACCCCACCAATAACAACAGCCTTGCCCCCACCCGGTACAACCACCACCCTCGCCCCAACAACCGGTCCCAAATTCGCATTCACATTCTGCCCGCCATTCCCTCCCTGCGGTGCAACATTCCACACAAACGAGCTTCCATCTACATCGCCGCTCTTATCGATAGAGATTAAGTCGGCTTCGGTGACGAGGCCGGTTAGACCGGATGCCAGGACTGAGGGAGTAGTGCTAGATTTTTGAGGGATCCAACCTCCGCCGATCACGACGCCGAGGGCGGCATTTGAGGTGCTGGGGATGGGTAATCCCGTTGTGGGGTTGACGGCGAGTGCGAACCCGGTCATAGTCCTGCCTGCTCCACTGATTCTTCCACCTTTGTTACCACTATTGCCGGCAGGCCCCGTATTCTGACTAACAGCCTTCTCAACCGCGCTCCAAGTCCCCTTGTCCATATCATACGCCATCATAAACCCCGCCCCGCCCGCATTCGCCGTATCCGCATTCCCCACCGTCAGAAACTTCTTTTGCCCGGGGACACAAGCACCAGAATGAAACCTCTGATACGGCGAGAAGTCCGAGGTAAGATTGGCCCAGACAGGGGTAGCGGAGGAAGGGCCAAAGGATTGAGATAGGTCGAGACGGAAGTGCTGGTTGGTCGGTTGGAGGTAGGTTGCGGTGGGCTCGTAGGTGACTCCGCCTTGGATGTGGAGAGCGGATGCAGTTTGGCAGATTGCGAATCCTCCGACGGGGTATGGAGCGATTGCGTTTGCGGTGGGGGATGAGATGAGGAGGAGGGAGAGGGACAGGGATGCGAGGAGTGGGAGGCGTTTTGGGTGTGTTCTCCTCCTGTGTGGTGGACGTTGGGAAGGAGGCATATTGAATGGTCTGTCTGCACCGGGCTGAATGTTAAATAGGGATTATGAGTTGAAGGTGGAGGGCTGATAGGCGAGAAATAGGTTGAGACCAGCTCCGGAAGAAAGAGAGGAGAGTATTAGAGGGTATAACTAAGAGATGGTGATGAAAGGAGTGGAGTGGGGAGAGGAGGGAGTCGAATGAGTGATGAGGGAAAAGGAAGAGGGAAAGAGGTAGAGGAATAGAGAAAGAGACAGAGAGAGTGAGAGAGGAACAGCCTGTGAGCGGCAAAGGAATAAATTAACTTGGCTGGCTAGCAAACAGGCTGGGGTTTCGTTTGTGCTCTCAACTCTCGAAAAAAGCAGACCACAAAAAAAAAAAAAAAACAAGAAATCAAATGTGCCACGAGGAACATGAAAAGGAGAACACGGGCGAGGCCGATCGAATTACAGTTGTATTATTTACCCACAATTGCGGGTAGAGGAAGAAGGTGTTGACGGGAAGGGAGACTATCACAAACTTTCAATTCAATCTGTGCCTGTTGTCGTGTCTCCATAGTCGTGGCTGTCGTCATAATCGGTAAACTGTTGTTGCTGGGTTTACATTCCTACTCCAATGATCGCACCTACAAATAACATATTTTAATAGCATGGGGATGGATGGAGGGGTATATGGGTGAAAAAGGCTATGAAAGGGCTGTTGAGAATTAAACGGTCCAGCCCCATTCAACAATCTCATGGACCTGGAGCTTCTTGGCCGCATCGACTGGCGCAACATTGTCAAAGTGGTGTGTCAACCATTGGCCTGCAGAAATAACAGTGTACCATGAACGGGGGGATGAGATCAGGTGGAAGCAGTGGTGGCCTCCTGGGATCTCCAGATATGTCATCGACGCATTGCTCTCTAATAGGTCACAGAGAATTGGTCCCGTTAGGATGTGTTCCTATTCCTGCCCCGAATGATTGATGAGAAAAGAGAGAAGCGGCTAGATAGTACTTACTGTTGCGGAACTCGTTGACAAAGGCGCGCGTATTTTGCACAGGTGTCAATGTATCAAGATCGCCGCTAAGAGGCAAAACAAACAAACAAGACAATGTAGACAGCCTATTAGAAACTCGTGAACATACTCGCGACATGTCAATTGAAGGGTACAAAACAAAGAGCTTACTGGACGATCATAAAGGGAACTCCTGCGCCACCCTTGATACGGAACCTGGGTGAATGCTCAGACAAGAACTTGATATCTACTCATTCCAGGCAGGAATGACAAACAGTCACAGTTAAACATGCATATTAGATCCAGCGATGAAAGAAGTCAGGATACAAGTCCGTGATACCAAAAAGATACGTACTGTCGGCAGAGTCGGGGGATCCTTCACGCTTAGCAACGTCCCTGATAAACCGTCCACGCCCATCATGGTTACAAATATTATTCATATCGACCAGATCCACAATAGCACTGAGCCCCAAACATCCTTGAACAGTCGTATCAACATCCTCGAATCCAGGCTGGTACTCAGGCTGATTGGGGGTCAGGGCCAACATACAGGCCATATGGCCACCTGCAGAGTCGCCTGCGACAATGATGTTGTTGGGGTTGCCTCCAAATATCCGGATCTCGTCCTTGACCCAGCGCAAGGCCCGTTTGCAGTCCAGCAACTGAGTCGGGTATCCTGCCTTGGTGCTTAAACGGTAGCCCACCGCGACCACTATCCAGTCCTGCGAGATCATCTCTGTGAGAAGAGGTCCAATGATTTTCTTGCTTCCTGCTGTCCATTCCCCACCATGTATGTAAAACTATTTGGATATAAATAATGTTGAGTAAGAGTATGCTCTTGCATGAAGAGGTCCGTGGTTTCCTTGTTTTTCGTCACTTTACACAGTTGTTGAGAAGTCAAGAAAGACAACCTACCAGGACAGGCCTGTCGTCGCCTCCTTCGACTGTGTGGGGTTTGTAAATGTCCAGACTCATCTCTGCTGCCGACTCCCATCCGTCTGATTCCAGCACGCTTAGCTGTTCCTTTGGTGTCCAATATGGGACTATTGGATGTTAAAATGAAAGGGTGGTTAGTAATTTACATCCTTCTTGCTTGTTCCATTGAGTCCTTTGACGACAATAACAGCCCCTTCCTGACGTACTGTTCTCGTAGAGGGTGTAATCTCCCGACCAGAGGAATGGGTTCAACAACTGCTGCCAGAACCGGGCACTATCAAAATGAACCATCATTTAAGAAAGAAAGTCGGTCAGAACAAAAATGGATCCCTTCCTTCGTTTCTATTCTCACGATGCATTTTTTTCATTCTTACAGCCCCTTCCCTTTGGCCTGTGCAAAAGTACAGGAAGGGAGAAGACTCACTTACGTGGTGGGACCAGGAAGTTCGATCCATTCCTTGCTCTCCTTGGCCAATTGATCCAGAAACTTTTGTCCGAGCGCCTGGACCTCGAATGATCGCCTAGATAGATACAGGAGTCCAACAGCCGTGATGATGTTTGTGTAGTAAAAGAACCGGACCAACAGCGACTCCTCTATTCGCATATAATTCATCACCAAGACACAGTAAAGGTAAGAAGCATGTCAGGCGGACAATGGTCATTCTCTTTATCAACTCAAAACATGCCCAGAAGAACGTACGGAAGGTGCCGGTGAGGTGGAGCCAGGTGTAGAAACATGCGTCGGTGCACATGATGGAAAGAGGCAGCTCCGAGAGCTGGTTGCTGAGGACACAGAGGACGATGTTGATTTTGCGGTTACGGGTCGCGGCGCCAGTGATGGCGACCCAGGACAGGACGAGGGTGACAAAGGACGCCGCCGCATAGGAGACTGCCCAGGTGGACTTTGCCAGGTACATGCCCAGGTCTATCAGTGCCATCGTGTATGTTCGATGTTGATATGCTCCGTTCTGTTGTTGCTTGTTCCTTGAGTGTTGGCTTGTGGTTGATAAGTGAAACCGAGTGTTTGTCAACGGTTGTTGTTCAATTTCTTTTCTCCGTTATGTGTGTATGTGTGTTGTCGATGAGTCCGGCTGCAAGGAAAGGAAAGATAAGGGAATAATGAAAGGAAGAGATATGCAAAGTGCCAATTGGACCCGATGGCCGATGCTCTGTGGTGACAGAATTATTCCTTGTTTTTTGTGGGGAAGGAAAGAAAGGGTGCCACGGACAACCCTTGATGCTTGTTTGTTTGATGAGCGAAGAGTTGATTCAGGAATGAATGTCGCCCTGAAGGTTGTCGTTATTGTTGCTGCTTGTTATCTGTTCCAAGAGTGTGTCCGGTATGAGTCCGTCAAGGAGGTATGGAGAAAGAACGGAGAAAAGAGAAAAGGGAAAAGTGTGAAGAAGAGAAGAAGGAAAGGGGGGAAGTAGAGAGATAAAGGAAAAATAAGGCGGCATACCATAATGAAAAACAAGGTTGGGTCGGTCGGCATCATTCTCTCTGACTTTGGGGTAAATCATATACACGATTATGCTTCCTGAAAGTGAACGTGTCAATCCCACCCTCTTTGCTCACTTTCTCGTTGTGCCCTTTTGTTTGTACACCCCTATTCATAACGACCGCTTCCTTTCCCTTGCCCACAATGCTCTCTTATCCCTTCTTGTCCCTCACCACCACCCCCACACACACCATTGCACATTCAATTAATCGTAGAAAGCCACTCTTCCCTTTGTCCACCCCAGCAGAAAATGAATACGGGCAAATAAAAAAAAGGTGAACCGGCGCACCACCTGTCAACTTGAACGAACGCCTCCCGCTTGGAACTCCTCCATCCGTCTGCCACTGACCGATCGGTCCCCTTTTTTTATTTTATTTTTTCCATTTTTTTATTTTTTTTTTGTTGGGTTAACGTGGTTCAATGAAGGGAAGGTTGGTTCGGTCTCTTTGGGCAATTACTGTTGACACCTTCGCACCCTGTCACCTTCCCCTCCTCCCTCCTCGTTCCTCACCTAGGAAACACAAACCGGTACTTTTCTGTTTGTCTACAAGGTGTATGTGTATGCAATGCGTTCGGCTCGTGTCATCAACAAAAAAAAGCCTTGGGTTCTTCCCTTCCTCCCCCCACTTTTTTCCCTCATTGTTTCCCGCCTCGTCTCGCACTGCTCCTTTTTGTGTCATCAAAAAAATCCTCCGGGTACTTTGCCTCAGCAAACGCAGACAAACAGTTCATAGTTTTGCATGATTTCCCTTTTTCGTTCCATTGCTATCCGTTCGCCCAACTATGGGCAAAACATAAAAAATCTTTGGGGGATGAAAGAGACAGGGAGACAAACGCAGATATCCGGAGGATGAGGAGGAAGACGAGGGGGGAGAGGTGAAGGGAGTTCAACAACAGTTTGGTTATCCGCTTGAGCAACTAGTGGTTCTTAGGAGAAGCAGAGGGCTCTTTGTCTCGCTACTGCTTCTGCCTCGGGCGGGTGGAGTGCCAACGCCCTCCAAAGGCTGCAAATGTGGGAGGAGAGAAGGAAAAATTGATGGGAACTTGGACGGAGGGTAGTTGCCGGACCTGGGGCCAATTGGCGGCGGCGAGGAGTACGAGCTGAATTATGGTACAACAACATGACTACATAGCGCCGGTCTTGTATTCCCCCTACTCTACCCCAAAGAAGCAAAAAAAAAGAACTCTTCTGTTTCTCCTCTTGAATCTGCAACTTTTCTTCTCCACAACAAACGCCAGTTGACATGCATATGTCTGTCTTATGTTCAGATGGGATATATCGAGTGATGGCGCATAACTTCTTGGATTTATTTGGTGGCAAAAACTTCCTCTCCACCCCATCGTACCCCGATGCGATGCGCATTGTCCACTTTTTTTTTTTTTTCCTTCAGCAACTTTAGCATGGCATAAACAACAACAAAACATGAGCGATATAGGATCTACTGACAAGCGAAAAGCACCTCCTTTTCTGGAAATATAATCTGTGGGCACCCAGACCAAGAGCGGTCGTACTGGGCTTCCCTTTCCTCCGATCACGCACAGAAAGAACGGGATCCCAAAGTCCATTTGTGAGTTTTGATCGAATGACTTTTTCCCAACGTGTTGAACAAAAGTAAAACTTTATTTTTAAGCCTCAGCAGGACAATAAAAAATGTTATGGCATTCAGCTTCCCGCTTTAGGGGTGTGGAAGGGCTTTCTGGTGCCGTCGATGGTCTGGGTTCCTTGTGGAAGTAAAGTCTGTTGAAAGGATAATGGGGTATAGTTGGGTGCTAGTCAATGGAGGAGATTCGACGCTGGATGAATACGTATGTAATGGCATCCAGGTAGGAAGGTAACGAAGTGATTGCTAGCGGCTGGTGGTGCAACTAAAGTAGTTAAGGCAATAGAGCGAGAACAATCGCCGTAATGATGGTTAGTAGGTAGTAAGGTATTGGAGGGGTTCCGAGGGCGCCGATGGCCATTTTGCCTCTCAATTGCTTGCCCTTTGTGGTGCTTATAAAACAGAACTTGAAATATGGCATTGGGTGTCTACGACCAGTTCGCGTGGAATTACATGATACGACCTCTAGAAGAGGAAGATATGCAACCTGACGCTGGTCTAAACCCACACCCTGCCTGTCAATGCTATATCAACATTGTTCATCTATTGCTCACTCGTTACTTCTTCCGACAACTCATTGTGGAAAGCCATGTCGATGGATTAAGGTGTAACTGAGCAATGGGTTAAAGAAGAAGAAAACCGTACGCACAGCCAGGAACACTTGCAATTTTGATCAACAGCCAAGAGGCAGTCACGTAAACAACAAAGGGCGATTCACTTTTTTTTGTGTGAGAAAGGAATCACCTTTCACCAACACGACCAAGACCTTCAAGGACAGGAACAACCGACTTACCAAAGGCAACAGCAGGAAACAACAACCAAGCATACAAACATAATGGCCGTCAAGAAACCAAAACGGTCGACCGCAAAGCGGAGGCGCATTCCCGTCACCGCATCACTCCCTCCCACAGCAACCCCTGCAACCACCTCACAGCACTCCCTCACACCAGCAGGATCCTCCTCTGCAGGCTCACTATCAGTCCTTATGGCATTGACACCCTCAGGCGCTGAGACAACCTCATCCACATCCTCTCTCCTAACCATCAAATCCTCAAAAACCGTCGCCCGCAAGAAATCCTCCATGGCCACCGCACAATTGATCCGGCGATACCATACTCTCAACAAGGAGCTCTCCCAATGCCTTGCTCGCATCGATGCTTCGACGAATTCTTCTCAGTCAGGAAATGGAGGTGGAGGCGGATATCAGAGATCGCAGGGACCGAGGTACACGGCACAACAAAAGGCGGATGATTTGGCGAGGATAGCGGCGATCCGGCAGGAGATGGATGACCTTGGAGGGCTAGACATGTACCAGAAAGCCTCGACTTTGGGACAGTCCAAGCAGCGTGGAGGCGATTCCAGCAAGTGGTTTATCCCCGTTATTGAGAGCTGTCATCCCCAGCTTGATAAAAAGGTAAAGGCTACAAATGGAGCCGTGACTTAATAGACACGACGCGCCCAATTACCAATAATTGAAGCGATTATTAACGCATACGTTGGATATGGGAAACATAGGCGGGTAAGCCGTTAAGACTACTGGACATTGGAGCACTCTCACCCCACAACTACCAAAAATACAGCTCCTGGATCAAAGCAACACCCATCGACCTCAACCCCCAAGACCCGCTCATCACAAAAATGGACTTCCTCGAAATGCCCATCCCCACCACAAAAGATGACCTCTTCGACATCGTCAGCCTCTCCCTCGTCGTCAACTTTGTCGGCGACCCAACCCAACGCGGCGAGATCCTGCGCCATTCAACTCGATTCTTGGTACCCGGCACGGGACTTTTGTATCTGGTGCTTCCTCTGCCGTGCATTGACAACTCGCGGTATATGGACCATGAGCTGTTGGTCGAGATGATGGCTGCGTTGGGATACACGACGCTTGTGAGCCATCACCTTGCGAAAAAGTTGGCCTACTATGCCTTCCGACTGGATGTTGATGTTGCTCCTTCTTTCTCTGGAGACAAAGGGAGTAAAAAGGCGGCCAGTCAGCCGTTGTTTCCCAAGAAGATGCGTCATGATAAACCCAATCGTAACAAGTAAGTCTGAACTTGCATTGTCTTCGTCTGGCTGTGAGAGAACGTTGTTTAATGCTTATTATGGAGATGTCTATTCAACTAACTAACCTACCTCGTCTCGTTTTTAACACCCCCTGTAGCTTCTGCATTGTCCTTGCATAGCATTGTTGAACGCCCGACACGTAATAAAAATCACCCAAGCAGGACGCAACCATGTCAGCCAGTTCATATATCAACTCTATCCACTACACACATACACACACTCTCTCTTCTTCTTCTTCTTCCTCCAACCCTTCACACATACGCATACCCATCTGCATGCAATGCTGCTTTGTTCTTTCAGGATCGAGAGTCGCAACCTCTCGTTCCATCTGGGCTTGAGGAATGCGGTTCCAGGCTATTCTTCCACACTCTCACAGCCTCTTTCTCAACTCTCTCTGTCTCGTTCCTAATCACGTACCTCCCCCAATTTTTCAAGACTCCGACACAGAGAGGATCAGATTTTCATTCCTCTCCAATAATGCACATCTTGCGATTATCGCTTTTGCTTTGCATACAACAAAGAAAAAGGCATGGATGGACGGATGACCGGTCAATTGCTTCTTTGGCCCGGGGACTCATTGCGCCTCTACTGTCCCTCTGTGCAATATCTTTGTCCTCGGGATTGTGAAGAGAGGTTGAAGAAAAATGTGATTTCTTGTTTGTCGCAAAACAGACGTTAGAGATTATTAGGCGGGAGGGTAACGATTCCATGGGCCGATGGATTTGATGGGTGGACGTCAACATACCCTGTCCTATTTTCCTGCCTAACTGTCAGTATTACAGTTGTTCACAACAAACTTGTCTCCTCTTGGCTTCGGACGAACCGTGAGAGGGATCAAAAAGGAGAGACCCTCAGCACTGAAGCTGGTACTCTTGGCCATCAACTAAAACTTGCAAAATCGACAAAAAGAAAGCGGACTCTGGGAAGTGTTCAAACAGACAATTGAATTGAATTGAATTGATTTTTTTTTTTTTTTTTTTTTTTGGGAGATCGTGCATTAGGCGAAGGAAAATAGACAGATGGGAACAGAAGGTGAAGATGAAAGCCCATGCGCCGCCCCTGCACCTGGGCTCAATTTTATTTTCCGTTTTCTGTTCTGTTCATGAAAAGGTACTTGCAAGATACAGTGGAGTTGGGTTGGGTTCAAGAGTAGTAATGATGGCAGGTAAAATAGTGGGGAATGAGGGGATGAAGGGGGACGGAAGAGGAGGACGAAGAAAAGTCAGGGGGTTGAACATCATCTTTTTGTACAACTGGTTAGTTGACGGACGATGGACATCAAGAAGAAAAAAAAAAAAGGTCGTCTCGTGTCAAGAGAAGTGAGAATAGCACCTCACCTCTTTGCCGTTTTTGTTCGTCCCCTCTGGCTTCAGCTCAATTATTTTTGGGTGCGTGTGTACCTCTCTGGTTATCCATTCATTTCACGAACGGACTGTGGGTGTTCGGGTCAGTCCATCACTGCAGAAAGGAAATGGAAAGCAGTGCAACACGACAAAAAGCTCTCTTTTTTTTTTACACAGTTCTGATAAAGTAAACCCATTTAACTGCCAGAAGGAAGATGGGGAAGAAGGGAGGGAAGCGAGGGAAGAGATGAAAGAGGATCCGTTGCTGATAACCGCGACAATTACTGGGTGATAAAAAGGACCAACCAACCCTTCGAGGCACACCAACAAAACAAACAAACAAACAAATAAATCTTTACTTCTTCATTCGACTCTTGTACCTCCTTCCATCCCCTCTGCGCCTTTCTCGTCCTTTATTTATTTTCCACGTTTGTTGGTTAACAGCGACTCATCCTTTGCTTTTCTTTGCATCTTTTTTTCACAACCCCCTTTTTTTACGTTTCTCTCTTGTAATATCTGTCGTTTTGTCGTCATTTTTCACCCGCAAAACTAAAAAAATTACAAGGACGCCGAGTATGATGGCACCAAGACCGCACATCCGTGTGATCATTGTTGGAGCCGGTATCGGAGGTCTCATGCTGGGCATTCTCCTCCAGAGAATGGGCGTCACTTACCAGATCTTTGAGCGTGCGCCCAAAGTTAAGCCCTTAGGTAAATTATGGTCTTTCATCGTCTTTGAGGCAAAAGTACTTGCGTTCTGCTTCCTTCTGGCTAATTGACACTTCTCTCTGGCGATACCTTCGTTGTGAACAGGCGCATTGATGTCGATTAACTCAAACATCTTGCCGGTGTTTGAACAGCTGGGCCTGCTGGAGCGGGTCGAGGCGATCTCGCTGTTGATCTACTACACGACTCTGTTCAACGGAAAGCTGGAGAAGATTGCAGAAGTCAACACCAAGGACCACAGAGAACGGTAAGAGACAACCTTGAAGATGACAAGAACGTGGTCTGTGTGAGATGGATGGTGGGAGAACAAGTCTCGAGAAAGAGAAAATAAATCGTCATTCCCAACCCAAAAACTCAACCCGACAACGCTCACACCATGGCACCAAACATAAAACTTGTTCTTTGACCTTCTTTCGCATCAAAAACAAACATTGAAAACGCAACTAACCAAACCTTGACTCTTTTAAAAAACAACCTTAGAGCTGGATACGACTTTCTGGTTTTCTCTCGTCCTGAACTATACGACATCCTCTTGAGCGAGATCCCTTCGGGGCGCATCTCGTTCAACAAGCGAGTGTTGAGCATGACAAAGACCATCAACGGAACCGAGATCAACTGCTCCGACAACTCTTCCTACGAAGCCGATATTATTGTGGGGGCCGACGGGGCATATAGCTCAATACGACAGAACATTTACAGGAAGATGTCTGAACTGGGAACACTGCCGGCGTCGGATAGTAAGGACATGGCAATGCCGTACGTATGTATGGTCGGAACGACTACTCCTCGGGACCCAGAGAGGTACCCAGAACTGAAGGACTCATATACTCATATCCACCATGTGATTGGCGATAGTACACCATACAGCGTAAGTGCTTTGGACAGGACGACATGCATGGCTTTTGCTCTTTTGCCCTTTTCACTTCCAGCTTGCAATTTAGTCATGATTGAGCCTGGGATAGAAAGGGAGACAATACCATACCACAATTTGCTAATTTCCCCCGTTTCTCTCCCTATTCCTCCTTCAAATTTTTACGGAATAATACAGTGGACAGTGATCACGATCCCAGGCAACCGATTCTGTTGGAGCGTAATGAAACAGATCGCAGACCAAGACGAGGCGCGGGAACAGCGGTTCAGGAACTCGGAATGGGGGCCCGAAGCGAACGAAGAACTGATCGAGGCCGTCCACGCGTTCCCGGTCACCTTTGGAGGCACGTTGGGGGAGATCATTAATGCTACGCCCAAGGACCGGATCTCGAAGGTTATGCTGGAGGAAAAGCTGTTTGATACTTGGTACCATGAGAATATTGTCTTGATTGGCGATGGTAAGTCGACTGGAGGCTGTTGTTTTTTTGAGAGAGGAAGAATGAAGATGTATGTTGCGAGGAGTACATTGAAAGTATTGACTACTAACAGAATGCTACATCGAACATACATGTGCTTCGGATTTTACTTTGTTCAACAGCATGCCATAAGGTAACAACCACACTCAACTGGTTCAAACCCTTCAACCACGCACCTCACCATCCATGATAACCCTTTTTCTGACCTACTCCTTCATCTCTATTTACCCGTAACCAGATGCTGCCAACATCAGGACAGGGAGCGATCAATGCGATGCAGGACGCGGTGATCCTGGCCAACTGTATCTACGACCTCGAAGATGTCCGACCCGAGTCGCTGTCGGCAGCCTTCAAGTCCTACAAGCAGCAGCGGCACAGCGAGGCCAAGAAGCAGATCACCAACAGCAAAGTCAACGCCAAAATCTCTAGCGGCCAGGTACCCTTTTTTTCTCCGCCATTGATCACATCACTTCTGTCTCACTTATCTCAATCAGTCTCACTTCAAAACCTAACAAACTCATTTCTCTCTCTCATCGCTTGACTACTCTATATTTTCATCCTCTTCCTTGTAGACGAAGGTGGATAGGGCAGTACGCCATGTAGTCCTAAACTACATCCCTCGCTCCCTGCAAGACCGGCAATTCACAAAAGATGCCGCCTACCGTCCTCAATGCACATTCATGCAACGAGTCCCCGACAAAGGTACCGTCCCCTCTCAACCTCAGCTTCCTTCTAGAAGATATGAGGCCGAAATGGAAGCCAACCGACGACACTTTTCTCCTCCCCTTTGATACCCCCTTTTCTTTTCGAATTTTCTCTTCTCTCTACGTTGTTTTGAGCGTATTAGTTCTTAATGGCATCGATGTGCAAGCACAACTAATAAAAATAATAATATTGTTGTTGATTCTGGGTCTCGCTGTTGCTGTTGTTATTTGATGAAGAGGAGAGTAGAGCGAAATAGCTAATGTATGACAAAGTTCGCTGTTGGAAAATAAAACAGCAACAGGATTGGTACAGGCGGGAGGGAAGGGGAATGGGCACTTTGTTGTTTTCTTCTTGTTTTTGTTTTGATACTCCCGACGTGGATTGAACTTTGATGTTCTTTTGCGTTCATGCTTGGTTGATGGGCAAGTAGACTCGACAAAGAGAGAATGGCGGAATGAGCATATTTGCGAAAGGTCGAGGACAGGAAGCATTGCTCTCAAATTTTGGGCGTCCAAGAAAAATGGTTCATTCGCCCGTCATGACTGAACATCCACTCACCCAGCATTTCCTTCCTCACACAGGTACAGTACAACACAATGCAAGTGGGTTCGATGAGCGGAACCACAAAAAAAATGAAGAAAAGTGCTCACCATGCATCTTGTAACCTGTCAAGTCTGCACCCAGTCCATCAACAAGGAAGAGAATGTTGTGATCACAGGATTAATCAATTCCACCCATTCTTTGGACCCACCCTCTTTTTTTGTGCCTTCGGAAAGAAGAGGATCGATTATCTTTCTGCTGTTCCTTCTTCTCTTCCTCCTTCTTTTCTTCTCTTCACCACTTTTTTCACTTTCCCCTGACCTTCCACACCAACACAGCAAGAACAAAGAATGACACTTCCTCCAAGGCCTCGCCCAACCGTGGTGATCGTGGGCGCCGGAATCGCCGGTCTGATGATGGGTATCCTCCTCGACAAGATGGATATCCCTTACACCATCCTTGAGCGTGCTCCCAAAGTCAAGCCCCTCGGTATTGTTCTCTTCCCGTTTTTTTCCACCTACGCTGTTGACATTGTCATGCTACATGTATATCTTTGTCATTTCTTCTAACAACATTTCATTTTACTCGAGTAGGTGCGTTGATGAGTTTCAATGGAAACATCTTGGCGCTGTTTGACCAGCTGGGAATGCTGGATGAAGCGATGAGCATCTCGTTTAAGATCCACAGTACCAACCTCTTTGATGAGAAGCTTACCAAGCTTGCTGAAGTCAACACCAGCGACCACCACGATCGGTAAGAAAAAAGATGCGCACAGGGACAACTGAAGCGCACTCTCACACGTTCAACATCCCAGACAAACATAAACACAATCGCTCAACATCTAACCTTCTTTTTTTTGGATATGGTGCAAACGACAGCACGGGATACGACTTTATCGTCTTCTCACGCCCAGAACTGTACGAGATCATCCGGAAACGAGTCCCCGAGGAGAAAGTTCTGATGAACAAAAAGGTCACCGCCATCAAAAAGACTTCCACCGGCGTTTCTGTCTCCTGCTCCGATAACACCACCTACGACGGACATATCCTTATCGGTGCCGATGGTGCCTACAGTACCGTTCGTCAGAAGTTGTATAGCGAGATGGAGGCTAAGGGAGTGCTTCCAAAGTCGGATGGGGAGGATTTGGCGATGCCTTATGTATGCATGGTCGGAACTACGACCCCCCAGGATCCTAAGAAGTATCCGGAGCTCCAGGGACCTACCACGCATATTCACCATGTCATTGGAGATGGTTCTTCTTATAGCGTACGTTTGTTTGTACTCGTGAACTCTAACATCGTTCTTTTCTAACAACCACCAACACTTTTCTCTTTTATGACCTTACTAACCAATATCTTCTATATCATTCCAATGGACATAGTGGACAGTGATCACAATCCCAGGAAACAGATTCTGCTGGAGCGTGATGCAGCAGATCACAGATCCCGAAGAAGCCAAAGCCCAACGCTTCCGCAACTCGGAATGGGGTCCCGAAGCAACCGAGTCCATGATCGCCGCCGTCCGTGGCTTCCCCACAACTTTCGGTGGTGGCACCCTGGGCGACATTCTCGACGTAACCCCCAAGGATGTGGTCTCGAAGGTCATGCTGGAAGAGAAGCTGTTTGACACTTGGCACCACGACAACGTTGTGTTGATTGGAGACGCTGTGCACAAAATGCTGCCTACCTCAGGACAGGGCGCGATCAATGCGATGCAGGATGCGGTGGTGTTGGCTAATTGCATTTATGATTTGGAGGATTTGAAGCCCGAGAGTTTGGACGCTGCGTTCGAGTCTTATAAGCAGCAACGTCATGGAGAGGCCAAGAAGCAGGTTAATAACAGTGCCGTCAACGCCAAAATCTCCAGCGGCCAGGTATGCGCACTGCTATCGTGCTTCATCCGTCCTGCCACTCTTTCTTTCGAATGTCAAGGAAAGAGATATGTTTACGACTCACTCACCACCTTTTTTTCTCCCTTCCTTTTCTCCCTCCTTTCTGCAGACGTTCCTTGACAGATGTGTGCGTCACGTAGTCCTGAACTGGATCCCCAAATCCCTCCAAGATCGCCAATTCACAAAGGACGCCGCCTACCGCCCTCAATGCACATTCCTCCCCCGCATTCCTGACATGGGTAGCGTTCCCTCCCTCCCGCAACTCCCTTCCAAACGCTACCAGGCCGAGCAAGCTGCTGCCGCTAACTCTGCTGCTGTTTAGAAGATTGCTTTTGGCGGTGAAGTTTCGTAGATAGACGACTTTTTATATATACACATACATTTCATTACACGCGCAAAGATCATTTTCTTGTGCGTTGTTACATAGCTTTCATTCATACCTCATTCAGTGCCCTTAATAAATTGCAGAGGCGTTCAGTACAGTTCCGGCTGACTGCGCCCATCCAGGAGCCCATCGCATTGATTTTGATATGGAGGCGAAGTTAAATGGATAGGATGTTTTGGCGACAAGAGGCAACGTTGCTTGAGGATATAATTCACAATAACCGCAGTCATTATTGTGAGGCAAGGAGAAGGGGTAAGAACTTATAGACGTAGCGACTGTCTACAAGATTTTCATTTTTTAGTTGGTCTTCCATATCAAGAAACAAATGTTGTACATCGCTCTTACCAAGGCTTCACTTGACATCCTCACCGCTTCCTTGATATCTCTCCTAACCCAGAAGGTCGATGCCCATTCGTACGCCGACTGCATCGACTGGTGCTACAAGGACCCAAAGACTTTCCTCCTGGTCTTATAAGAACGTGCATGCTTCGACTATGCCCGTCGTTTCACCCTAAAGGCCAAGACTTTTGCTAAGCTTGACTCGGATGGTTTCAATCGCCTCGACCAGCAGTCGTACAAAAACTCCGATCCTAACCACTCTCTGCCTTTCTCCGACGGTAAGACGGTAAGCAGGGTGAGGAACCTAGTGCAGATGAGAGAGTCAGAAAGAAACCCCGAGGGATAACCAGAGAAGAGAGGGACATCAAGGAAGTACGACGTCAAGGACAGTCAGCACAACGTCCGGAATGTAAAGGTTCAAGGGCCACACATTCTTACTTCATCTTTCGCTTTAAAAGAATCTAGTTTATTTCAATCTCTTCGTTCTAGGATTCTGCTCCATGCAAGGTGGCCTGGAAGACCATCATACATGGCCAAAGGTCTCTCCATAGACTGCTTTTAACAGGCGGGGATGGACTGGGCCTGAGCGCCACGGCAGTTAGCGGTGGTCTTGACCTGTGGAGATTCCTCTTTACCGTTCTTTTCAATGCCCTTGAACTCCTGGCAGACATGCTTGATACCGGTTCCGCACGATCCAGAGATGGTAGCGACATCACCGTAGTTGGAGTTGATACCGACAAGGTCTGCATTAACCCTGTTGGCCCTGACGTTCTGGACAATGACATTTCTTGGGCCACCGTTCTTGCTGCAGTTACCGCAGCTGCGGAAGAGCTTGCCGACGTTGACGACGGTGTAGTCCTTGATGGTGACCGTTCCTCTTCCGTTGTGTTGGACAACCTTGTCCTTGGCGTCCTGAGCTCCACCTCCTTGGATCAAGACGCTTCCGGTACCCTTGATAGTGATGGCATCTAAATGAGAAAGTATCGATTATTGTGGTTAAGACAGTGGTCAGTGAATGAAAATGTGTGCAGTGATTTAGAATGTGTATAGAGAATGCAGAGAAGGAGAATGTTTGTACCTTCGCAGACTTTGCGGAACCAGACGTTCTTAAGAGTACAAGCACCCTCGCAATGAATTCCCTCAAGAGCGTTTCCTCCGATGATGACGTTGCTCAAAGTAGCACCATTCTTAAGGATAAAGACAGCGTTGGCAGACCCAGTGTCTTTGTCAGAGTTGCAAGGGCGTCCACGGTCGTACTCCTTGTTGCCAAAGTCCTTGACTCCAGTGATAACGCTTGGTGCGGGGAGGGAAACGATGCTGCCAGATCGAGTAGGGATGTTGAGCGTTTGCGCGGCGCAGACGGAGGCGAAGACAGCAGTGAGAGTGAGGGCTTGGAACTTCATGTTGAAATGTTGTGTTCTGGAGGATAGATAGATTCTTGGTTGAGGGTTGGGTTGGGTGCGATACTGATGCTGTAGATGTGGAAGCTGAAGACTGAGTAGTGAAGAGAAAAATACCAGGGGATGAGTCCAGTACTTATACCTGTGAGGTAGCCCTGGTTCCCGTTGGAAACTGAAGATAGGAAAACATAAACATTGGATAGATAAAGAGACTCAGGGTGCTAGTGGGGCCCGTTGAATATATGTTTCATGTTGTAATGCATAAATGCCGCGAGTTCATGATAGCCTTTGGGATCGGTAGTCTAGGAAATATGTCCTCGTGTAGATGTACATTCAATGGTCGCGTATCGGGATATAAATCACCCCGCATGCTCTTTTTTTTCCCGCGAGATTAAGTTTCGCTTTATGAGGATTACCAGGTAGGAGAGAGTGCTCCATCAATTCATCTAGCGCACAAACAGGTATTTGTCCGCACAACATTTCAGTGCGATTCGTTTCGCCTATGCAGGGCTTGACTGACTGACTTGTGTGTAACTTGGATATATCCTTCAGCGTTCACATCTCCATATCACACTGACAAACAGTCGACGAACAATCGACGCACACATAAATGGATGTGTTGCACCAATGCCAAGCGGTGCTTCATGATGGTGATCGCCAATATTAATTGGGACTACAAGCCTGTCGTCTGCGCAGACGTCTTGCTTGCTGGTTTGCAACGTGGTGCGTGTGACTAGCTTTACTTTTACTCCCATGGTGTACATTTATGAACATAAAGTCTATGGAATTCCAGGATTGGAGAGCAATGCAAGGGCAATGCAGGGTAATAGCCTGATAGGTCACAATTAAAAATTGACAACGTGTTGAACCAGTGATTTGTGTGTATTTTTTTTCTCGCGATATCTTATGACCCACGACGGTATCTTGGTACTTCTCACCGCCAGGCTTTCGCTTACCATTCCTGATAGGAGTATGTGACGCTCTTGCGATGGTTCATGCAGTAGATGTTGCGAGCGTAGTGTGAGGGCTGTTGCGAATCTAGACCCTTGAGGTGGAAATAGGCGTACGTCAATACAGGACGCTGGCTGCGTGCGACTTTTTTTACATACGTAAAGAGGGTCGTAAAAAAAGAAACAAGTCAAACCGTTTTCATCAGGGCACAAAAGATTAACGAATGAGGGAGTCATTTGGGACAGGAATGAGAGGGATGAACGGCACATTGAGAAGGTGGAGGCCAAAAAGATCAAGGGGATAAATCCAAAAAAAATGAGAGGGATTAATTTTTGCAGCATGGAAAGCATTATGCATTGGTTTCTTTAGCCGCTTTGTCGCTTTTTATGTGACGTGTATCTTTTCTATGTACTTTCCGCACTAAACAAATAGAGACATACCAGACAGCACGCGAACCCCAGTGTTGGGACAACACAAGAGGACATCAAGGGACAAGATCAAGGGACACGTAAAGAAAAAAATCAAGTAATGGAAAAGGATTAAGGAATGCTGGTATGGGGCCTAGATTCGTCTCAGAAACACACCAATGGCAAGAGTCACAACAGGCATGTGGCAGCCAAGCGTTCATAGCGACGTTGCTTTTTGGTCCCTCGATGTCGGTTCTTCCTACCATACTGAAGCAGAATCCAGCAAGCGTTGGATTGTTCAACCACAATTAGGGGACAAGACCTGGAGTTTAGACCGTCGTGGGACAGGTTAGATTCACCTATTGATAAAATGCTGTTGCAATAGTAATATAACTTAGCACAATAGGAACCGTTCATTCTGATAATTGGTATTTGGGCCTGCCTGAGCAGGCGATGGCCCGAAGCTATCATCCGTTGGGTTATGGCTGAACGCCTTCAAGTCAGAACCTGTGCTAGAACGCGACGTTTACCGCCTTTTCAATTTTTGGTTGAATACGATCATGGAAAAGGTATACGTCACATAAAAAGCGACAAAGCGGCTAAAGAAACCAATGCATAATGCTTTCCATGCTGCAAAAATTAATCCCTCTCATTTTTTTTGGATTTATCCCCTTGATCTTTTTGGCCTCCACCTTCTCAATGTGCCGTTCATCCCTCTCATTCCTGTCCCAAATGACTCCCTCATTCGTTAATCTTTTGTGCCCTGATGAAAACGGTTTGACTTGTTTCTTTTTTTACGACCCTCTTTACGTATGTAAAAAAAGTCGCACGCAGCCAGCGTCCTGTATTGACGTACGCCTATTTCCACCTCAAGGGTCTAGATTCGCAACAGCCCTCACACTACGCTCGCAACATCTACTGCATGAACCATCGCAAGAGCGTCACATACTCCTATCAGGAATGGTAAGCGAAAGCCTGGCGGTGAGAAGTACCAAGATACCGTCGTGGGTCATAAGATATCGCGAGAAAAAAAATACACACAAATCACTGGTTCAACACGTTGTCAATTTTTAATTGTGACCTATCAGGCTATTACCCTGCATTGCCCTTGCATTGCTCTCCAATCCTGGAATTCCATAGACTTTATGTTCATAAATGTACACCATGGGAGTAAAAGTAAAGCTAGTCACACGCACCACGTTGCAAACCAGCAAGCAAGACGTCTGCGCAGACGACAGGCTTGTAGTCCCAATTAATATTGGCGATCACCATCATGAAGCACCGCTTGGCATTGGTGCAACACATCCATTTATGTGTGCGTCGATTGTTCGTCGACTGTTTGTCAGTGTGATATGGAGATGTGAACGCTGAAGGATATATCCAAGTTACACACAAGTCAGTCAGTCAAGCCCTGCATAGGCGAAACGAATCGCACTGAAATGTTGTGCGGACAAATACCTGTTTGTGCGCTAGATGAATTGATGGAGCACTCTCTCCTACCTGGTAATCCTCATAAAGCGAAACTTAATCTCGCGGGAAAAAAAAGAGCATGCGGGGTGATTTATATCCCGATACGCGACCATTGAATGTACATCTACACGAGGACATATTTCCTAGACTACCGATCCCAAAGGCTATCATGAACTCGCGGCATTTATGCATTACAACATGAAACATATATTCAACGGGCCCCACTAGCACCCTGAGTCTCTTTATCTATCCAATGTTTATGTTTTCCTATCTTCAGTTTCCAACGGGAACCAGGGCTACCTCACAGGTATAAGTACTGGACTCATCCCCTGGTATTTTTCTCTTCACTACTCAGTCTTCAGCTTCCACA